TTCTTCAAGTTTATCGGCTTTTTTCTCAAATATTGTAAAAAATATATCGACACTTATACCTTGGATGCTTGCAAAGCGTATTTCGTTGATAACCACTTGCTTAAGGGACGAAATATAACAAGAAACCTATGTTGATCTTATTTTCTTACCGTTTGAAAGTTGCCGTCATCGACGAACACGTGAAACACGAAAACGAAAGTTGAAGTGTGTGAACGCTGACCGCTAATGATGTACTTCTTCGGTAATAAACCGTAGAACCAAAAAAAATAGTTTTCTTTAATATGAAACCTTGAAATAGGTAAAAATTTGTCAAATACCTATTTTGAGTATTTGCTACGGTAACAAAAACCCATTTTGAGTATTTGCTACGGTAACAAATACCCACTTGGGAGTAGCAAAGACCCAGATGAGTATTGGCTACCGTAGCAAAAACCCATTGAACGTATCAAATACCCACATGGGTATTTCCTACCGTAGCAAAAACCCACATGGGTATTTCCTACCGTAGCAAAAACCCTCAATGGGTATTTTGTACCGTAGAAAATACCCACAAGAATCTAACCACGTAGCAAATACCCAGATCACTCTAGCTCTCTCTCTCTCTCTCTCTCTCTCTCTCTCTGTTCCATAACTCCCAAATATGCATAAACCTTAAATGAGCAGTTATCAAGTGGACCTGACTTCATTGAGATAAACTTCATTTCATATTATGTGCATTATCTACATCTAGCCTCTAACTTTGCAGTAATAAGTATGGTGACTAAATACCAATTGATTCAAGATGTTATTTACAGTATGGAAGGTTTTAATACCAATATTTCAGCTCACTTCAATGTTTTTATTAGCTGACCAATGGACTGAAATTGTATTTAAACATGATTCTTTTCTTGGTCTCAGCAACTTTGAAGTAAATCATTTCTGCTTCCAGACATTAGCCTGCAGTGCAGGCATCTTATTAGGACAAGTTAACATTAGTAAGCTTGGGACTGTTAATTTGACCTACCATATTTGATTCTGATATTATGTAAATGACTGATGTATAGTACTAACCCTCATATAAAACAACCTCTTCTCATCAAATGTTGAGAACTGCATGAACTAAACACCTACATGTGATTTATTCCTTTAATTATTGGTTTTCATGAACCACTCTATAACAGGCCCCCATTTAAACCAGGTGTTGAAGATGACCTGGGCTAGACTGTTTAAATCTTTCCAGTAAATAAAGAAGCAAATACGGTAACTCTTCCACAGTATCCATAGATGATCTCCACTTGTTTGAAGTTAGAGCCTGCCACTGACAAAGGTCCAATATCAGGGCAAACCTCATTTGTCAAACACTTAACATTATCAAATAAAAGTGGTTAAGTTATAAAAAAAAATGGAATGTTACCATCAGCAGGGAAATTGTGTATGCATTCATGACCTTCTCACAAGGCATAAAGCTAACTGGCCGATATTCAGTCCAACTGTTTTTAGAACATGGCCTACGCCAGGACTGATAATTTATAAGTACATCTCTTCCATAGAGATTTCTTGATAACAAACTGGGAGAAAATGCTGTAAGAAAATGCTGTAGTCAGTCCAACTGTCTTCAAAACCTGTCCTACACCAGGACTGGTAATGTTTAAGTACTTCTCTTACATGATGATTTCTTGATAAGAAACTGGGAGAAATGCTGTATTTATCCAATAACCTTTAATATTGGCTTATGTAAATGTTTCATATTTCCACAGCTCACTAGGGAGATATCTATTATTTGTCATGTCACCTATTCCTCATACTTCTATGCAATATGTTGAAAAGGTTTAACTTGGGTAGAGCTGGAATGTCCCAAACATTGTGAAGGTATCTTGAGTTTGTTCCCTTGTAAACTTATGCGCATATATCCAAAATAATATTTATCCAATAACCTTCAATATTGGCTTATGTAAATGTTTCATATTTCTACAGCTCACTAGGGAGATATCTATTATTTGTCATGTCACCCTCTTCCCATACTTCAGTATAGTATGTTGAAGAGGTTTAACATTGGTAGAGCTGGTCATGTCCCAAACGTTGTGAAGGTATCTTGGGTTTGTCCCTTGTAAACTTATGCACACACATCCAAAATAAAATCATTGTTGCTCAATTCTGCTGCTGATTCCTTCTATCAAGCTCTTAAAATTTCTCTCAAGTACTCTGCCAATTCTTGTGATGTCTTTTGTTTCAAAAGGGGGAATTCTTGCAATTGTTGGGGAATGTCAAATTAGCAAATGTTGGTAATTTTCCTGTCTTTCTCTTCTCTCCCAAATATGTTTAAACCTTATATGAGCAGTTATCAAGTCAAACTGATTTTGTTGAGATAAAATTCAAGTGAAAAATATATTTGGTGACCAAAAATTTTGACAAAAGTCACCAACTGTCAACCATCAGATTAAAAGAAAAAAATGAAAGAAGAAAAATGTGAAAAATGTGTTGATCCTTGGTCAAGTTATTAAATTAGCAAATGCTGGTAATTTTCCTGTCTTTCTCTTCTCTCCCAAATATGTTTAAACCTTACATGAGCAGTTGTCAGGTCAAAATAATTTTGTTGAGGTGAAATTCAATACATATTATTATATTAAGCCAAATACATCTACCTATAGCTTTTATTCCAAAGTGTGTTGATTACAAATGTGGACCAATACCACCATCAGTACAAGGGCATGCTGTGTGAACACTGATCTCCAAGACCTTGGACAAATAGACATCAATGACTTTGCTGAATCTTTCCCTGTTGTGCACAAATATAGTTAAGTATTGTTATACAGATAATGTCCCATTGATATGAGGTTTCTTCTATTTAAATTTTTTGTGGGGGGTGGGGTGACCTACGGTGACCATTTTACAATTAAAGGTTACCCAATGGTGAATTATTCAAAAATTGAGCTTAGAGCCCTGTCATATTCAAGCTGAAATTGTTCCTACTAGGAAATTCAAGAACTAATTTTGCTTCTTAACAATTTATATACATTTAGGTTCTTTGTTCTTAATTTTTCAAACACATATTCATGAAACTAGACATTTTCATTTTGATGGTGACTTGTTCTACCTTTGGAGGTTTCCTTCAAACATCAGTAATATGCAAATTTTAAATTTCTGAAGAATCCACCAGGCTAAAAGTATATCTCTTCCACTTGCCAGTCCCTGTTCCCACCAGAATGAGCCCACTGATATGCAAGGAAGAGAAGTGTTAAGAGACACTTCAGCTAGTTAAGATATGCTGGAATTTTTAACTCTGACCTGTCCTCTGAAAAATCCTACCTATGCTCCTGAAGAAGTTCTAAGTAGAAACATCAAGAAGATTAAAGAAACAGATCATTCTGGTAAAACTCACTTTTTGACTCTAACTAGAAAAATTAAATATTTAAAAGCTTTCCATTTGTTTGGATCACAGTAAGAAGATTATTTGATCTGCTTTAGAGATACTAGCATTTAATTCTTCAACATGTAAAAGGAGAAAAGAACCACAATGGCAAAACTTTTAAAAGTAAACCTTCAATGCTGGCTTAATTACTACAGTTGTACGTTTAATATACTTTTTAATTTATTTAGCTATTTTATTGCTTTTTGGCATTGTTTAAAGTAATTTTGTAGGTATTGAACACTTCAAGTATTTTTGAGGTATTGCCAAAAAATATGTGATTAAAAATTGTGCCATCTTACCAATAGTATAAGTAGAAGTAAGTATCTTTTGTGGTGTTAGTTTGTAGCAATAGGTATTGTAATTATCAGTATTGTATGGATTGTAAATAAAAAACCAATGTCAGGATTGTAAGTTATTTTAGTATTGTGAGTAATACTACAGTGTCAGTATTTCTGGTAATGCTAGTATGGTATGTAATGTGTGGTATTTAAATAGAAATAAAATATGATAAAAATGTAACTTATAGTAGAGTTCCTTCTTTCTGGTTTCAGATAGGTATTGCTGCATTTCATAGGGATGCCTCTAATTGGCACTTTTTCCTTAAGTTTTGCTCTCTGTTGCACACAATTTACCAGGCTAGCCTCATTCCCCCTGTCACTTGACCAGCTAAATTCCCATGGCTGCCATATTTGCTTGGTTTAGATCTCGTATTTGAAAAAGCATAGGAAATCAAGGATTCATTTGCTGAAAAATATGCAAATTCACCCAGGCAACAAAGTATTTTGTCATTCTTGATCTGAATAATTACTCTTTTCAGGTGTTTTGGTCTACCTTTCTGCTCAGCTGTTGTTATCTTATTTAGATGTAGTACGTGTATTCAGTAGTTAATTTGGAGTCACATGATATCAAATGTTTACCTTCGTTTACCTCGTTCCTAAGGTCCTCTCTCTTCCGTCCTTTAGTATTTTCTTGAGGGAGGAAGAGAGAGGACTCTGGAAAAGAGTTTGGGGTAAGTTTGCAAAAGCTTACGCTATGACATCCGAGGGTAACAGCGCAATGCATCCCTGAGTACCCGCCATTGCACATGAACAGAGCATTCTTGGAGGTGGCGTGACATTTCAGCATGGTGACTAACTAACAAATGTTGCAATCTTTTGTGCTTGTTTGTTATAGTTATTTTTTCGTATGTGATTCTTTTTTACTTATTTATTTCGTTAATCTTAGCAGCACCCTCGGAATGACCTGCAGTAGCCTGTAATGCTGCCGTAAAAGTCAAGCTTATAGCAACTATAATTTTCGCCAGGAAATACAGAGCACTCCGGCGTTCACTGAGGTCTTCAGACACTTTACGTTTCTACCTTACCATAAGTCATTAACATTGTTTATTGTCTCCCCCTATCAAAGATCCATTAATAGAGAGGTAATATAAAGATGAATCGAACACAAATCAGAGAACCGTATCTTTGAGTTTTCATACCGCGTTAAAAACTGCGTAGGAAGCAAGACTGGAGAGAACGAAAGCACGAAAGCACGAAAGCTGAATTCGCGGGAATTTTTCAACCAATGAAATGCCGAATGCAATGAACAGCAAGCGTGGCTTTCCATTCCCATAATGCCTCATTTCAAAGAAGAAAAGAAGATGGCGTCGTTGAAAGTGTTTGGTGGTAATGGAACTGAAGAAGGTAAATTTCGGTACCCAAATGGCATGGCAGTCAGTAACAAAGGCGAAATTGCCGTTATAGATACGTGTAATCACCGTGTCCAACTATTCAAGTCTGATGGCGAGTTTTTGAGTTCGTTTGGTGCCCAAGGAGTTACCGATGCTTACATGAATTTCCCATACTGTGCTACCTTCGATACTGACGGAAATATCATCGTCACTGACTCGGACAATCACAGAGTGGTAGTGTTCTCATCAGCCGGCGAACTAATACGGGTTATCGCTAGCGAAAACCTCAGAAATCCCTGGGGTGTTTGTATCGCAGGCGATGGCAATATCGCGGTTTGTAGTGGCGGCGAAAAGGGAGAAGTTCAAGTATACTCGCCAGAGGGTACACTACTAAAGCAGTTTAGCGATCCAAAAACGAATAATCGTCCATCCTACGTCACCTACAGTCACGAAAAGTACTTTGTGTCTTACAGTGACGATCAGTGTGTGAAAGTGTTCGACAGTCAAGGAAATTTCCTGTTTGACATCGGCGAATCTGGGTTTTGCGACGGGCAGTTCAACAGACCGCGTGGACTGGCAGTCGATCAACATGATCAGTTGTTGGTATGTGACGGATGGAATAATCGGATACAAGTTTTCAGTTTGGATGGCTCGTTCCTCACGAAGTTTGGAAGTCGCGGCAAAGGAGCTGGACAGTTCATTTTCCCTATCGACCTATCGATCACCCCAGATGGACAAATTTTAGTCTGTGAAGTCAAAGGAGAGCGTGTTCAGGTTTTTCAAGGATTAGATAATCACCAATGTAAAGACCAATAACTAGTATTGTTGTAGTACCATTCCTTGTTAATTATTTTGGGAGAGCTATCGATCGATACTTAAAACCCTTTTTATCCGTAAGCTATACGTGTATTGTCGATGAATTTCGTGTGATTTATACAGTAAGTTTCGACTTTGTCATGGACATTGCAACTTAGAAGTCACGCACCATGGACTTGAACTCTTTACATCGTTTTGTTCGTGTTTTGATAGTATTTTAGAGCAAGTCTAGTGACAAGTAGTGTGTAGTATTACTATTACCTCTTTATTAGTAAATTGTTCAGGGCCAAAATCCCTTTAGTCGATATCATGATAAAGTATATTTCTGTACTAGACCTTCTGAAAATCTTTAGTAATTCAGTAACCCTCATCAAATGTTTGGAAACAGTTGCTTTTTGTATTTAGAAAACATAGAAGCCATTTTCCTTTACTTGTTAATGTTATCAAACATAACCGCTCAAGGGATATATTTAGGTAGGAACAAGACTGATGCACTGTGACCTGTAAACCTTTTTGTAACTGCATATTTCTTTTATTTTGCTCCTTTTTCGGTGTTGTGGGTTCCTCTACTTGTTTTTTTCTTTTTTGAATTCAGGATGATCCAAAGTATTAAACAAACACAAAAGAGGGGAGATATTTTTTCCTTTTTTTTGTTGTTGTGAATGTCTTGTTTGATCAAAACAATTTTTAAACAACATAGGATGTATTTCAAAAGCTAGAAGTAACATCCCTTACTTGATGTTTAACCGACAACAGATACAGACATTTTAATTATTTGGCTCATTTTTTTCACTACCCTTATGGCAAAACATCAGCCAAAATGATATCTTAATCCACTGGGATTATTTATCAGGTAAACTGTCTTAAAAACAACAGGATCCAGAGTGAGTGTAAACTGATAATGCACCCTATGTGCTGTACAGTGAGAAATGAAAGTGAAACATTAAGTGAAGGAAGGGATCAAACAGAAGAATACCTTTCTTTTGTGATTGCATAAAACCTCAGTGGTAACTTTCAAGTAGAGATGAGCCATTCCTAGGGGTACTAGTTTCAATTGATCTTTCATACACTTGTTTTTGCTCATCTTTTGCAAACACTTTAATAGTGATAATAATCCTCAAGCAGAATTGAATTTAAGAGCCACGTGATGGGCAACAAGTAAAATATGTTACAGAAAAAAGAGTGATAACGATCTTAAGATAAATTTGTTATTCTTTGATTTTTAGCAATGTGATCTAAGTTTCATATTTAATGATGATACATTTACTAGTACTTGTATTTAATATCATACTACTGGGAATATGTATATAACTTTGAGCTCTTTCTCTATTCAGAGGATTGGTTGAGTTCTGTTTGTGAGCTTTGTCTGATTTATCTCCATATAGTTCCATAGCCTGATTTGTAATCTTAATTCATTTCAAAATTGTTTATTGTAATTACTGTGTGATGCATTTTGAAGGGCAGTTTCTCAACTAGCATGATGTGGGAGAAGAGTCATCTATAACTAATGGCTTAATCTAGGAGTATCAGTTCATCATGCAGTATGATGTTGGGCTGATAGTAGTCCTGAAAAGGACTGCTGTTAGTAACACTGACTGACATTTCAATAGCCTGTGTGGAAGTCACTGTCAGGGTTGAATTAGGAGTTGTTAACACACTTTGCTACAACAATAAATACTGAACAGGTATTCCAAATGCCAGTATGTGACTCTCGCCAGCTCTCTCAAGGTTCTCCAGCTCCAGGTTCATCTTACCACATGATTGTGAGTCAGCAGCAGTAAGGAATAAGAAGCCCAGACCTTGACATGTTCACTCATAGTAGACATGTTTTTCTGCTTACTGTTTTCTCTTTGTGCAAGATTGTAAGGTTTAAGTATCTGTTACTGCTTTACTTTAAGCTCAGGCAAAATAATTAAGAATGTATGCCACAGCATTAAATCAGCACAATAAGCTTGTATGAAATATTTTACTGTAATAAATCACAAGAAATGAATTACCCTGTGTCCCAATTCTTGATTGATAAATTGAAATAATTGAAAAAACATAGAACCACTACATGTAGTGATTAATTTATTGCAATTTCCAGGTTATATTATTTGTAACTCTCCCTTGGCAGGGATGACCAATTGTAAGGGGGCATTTTCTCCCCTCAAGATTATTTCTGTCAAGCTTGCAGTTGATTAAGAAATTATCAACTTGTATGTTGGGGACCTTGTCTACAACAAGGGATGTTTTCAAAATTGAAGAGTGATATTTTCTGTTTCCATTCAATACGGTATGCATGCACATGAAGCATGTTGGAATTGGCTTTTTTCTGTTCACAGGTATCCAAACTAAGAGGATTCAATAGGAAAAATTTGCATTACTCTCATACACACAAAATTAACTTGGATCCCTTCAGAAACCTTCAGTTTGGTTTTCAAAAACTCTGTGTAGACATAAACTTGATGTAACCACAATAATCTCAGTCTCTCTAAAATACCAGATTTTTAAGGACTGGGCTTTGATAAAACAGCAAGAACTATGTATAGTGATTAAAAAACAAAGGTGCATGCTAATTGTGCCAGGAAAATTAAGCCTCAGTAATGGGGGGTGGAGTGGCTAAAATGCTATTCTTCTTACACGTTGCTAAAAGTTTAGGTGATGCAGATAACCCTGACGGCAACCCTGAAAAATAAACCAATTTTGGATCAATTGTAATTTCTTTTCCCCAAGTCATAACTAGGTGAAATTCTGCATTCAGACTGTTGTTAAACCTTTCCACTCCCACAATCTTGTTACTAATTCTCTTAACTGTCTGACATACAATTCTTATTATATTAGTTCAGGGAAATTGATATTGGATCACCAAGGAATCACATTATTGACATTTCCATTATTCCTGCCACTTTTCTGCTTGGTATCATTTTGATATTTTAAGGATTTTCTGTTAGCTACAACCCTGACTTTCCCTCCATACACATACAATAGTCCTCCTCTTGTCCTAAAGATAAGTTAAACATGAAACAGCTGTAACATTTAAACTGTAATTTTTACTACCACAACAAGTTTGCACAAATTCTCATTGATCTCAGGGCAATTATACTAGTGTTCTCAAAAACAAAAGCTATAAAAAACATACACTTCACTACTCTTAATTATTATGGCAAAAATAGAACCCTGCACTGATTGCATTCATCAAAGGCTACTTCTATTAAGAGATCTAAAAGCACTTCAATGTAATGCACTGACACTTCTTCACAATTCAGTCTAACTGTACATTCTTTTGCTAGTATTATTTGCATTTCTTGGTCTGTAGTTGCACTGCTGTTTGCCTGCCCTGTAATTTACATCCCTGATACTTTACGAACAGTCCTTCGAAACATGCTAGATCCACGCCACAAGTTCCCCTAAAAGAAAGGGATAATAATTAAAAATTTTAAGAATCTGTAAGAAATCCTTAATACACACCATTTGTAAAGAAAGATTATGAATAAAGTTGGTGATAATAAATTAATATACATCTAAAACATTAGAAAGGGGTTGCAACATCCTGCTCAACTAAAAGCTGCTCTATGTTTACACCACACACTAGATCTAGCCGATCTGCACTTAAGCTTACGGCTACATAGAAGATATATTTGAAATGTTTCATCAATTTCTTCAACTGCAACTCACCGTTTTTTTCAGATAACTAAAACAATCTCTCCACCCATCAAACACTGGCATTGCAGGAGGCTTTCCACCAGCCAGGCTAAAGAAAAATGCCAAGGAAAATATGACTGTCTAAAAGCATACTCAGTTCAAACCTAAATAACTCTAAGCATTGTAAATCTAAACTCTTTTTGTAGTGTAACAGCAATCTTTCCATATATAAATAACCTACAGGTTTACAGTAGGCTTTGATATAAATAGCCTGCAAGCAGGATTAAATATAGATAGCCTGAAAACAGGCTTAAAGAGGCAATAGGTTGACCCACTGAAGGACACGAGTTGGAGAAAAGTCTCATTCTTTGCCTCTGGTCTCTCATTTCATATCCAAGTATAAATGCCATATATAAAATTCTATTTTAAGACTAATTCTTATACTCCAGAGCTGTATATATCATTATTTGTTAACAAACACAAAACACCACTCATCTTATATTTTTCCATGAGTACTAAAAGTTATTTTATCATAATAATGTTTTTGTATTATTTTTCTGGCTTTGCTCTGAAAGACACTGATTAAAAGATAGCTTAATTTTCAAATTTGTGTTCAGTATATAAAGTAAAGCTCACCCAACATTATTGACAATCATCATGTGTGAAACCAACACAAATGGATAGGTTACAACTCCAGCAGCATACTGCAAAATAAACAAAAAACAATATGTAGCCTTTAACTCTATAACTCCCAGATCAAATTTGTAATTCTCCTCATTGTCAACCATACAATTCTTATCATGTGAGTTCAGAGAATTTAGTATTGAATCAACTAATTATCCCCAAATTGATATTTTTCTTTATTCTCATCACTTATCTGGTTGATATTGTATTGATATTGTGAGGAAAAATTCTGTCTTGGTCACTAATGGAAGTTAAAGGGTTAAATTGAAAATAATTCAATTTTTTGACAACTTTATATTCAGATTCAACACACATCAGTCATGAGTTAATCCTAATCACACTTAGAAATATCATGGAAAAATGTAAATCAGGTTAGGTTAGTTTGCACAATAATATGATTTAGTAATAAAAGATGATTGTAATAAATTGTCTGAGCAAGTTAAAGATGTCTATCAGGCATGCTACCTGGAAAAGTCCATTTGTATACACTTGTACTTCTTTTCTTCTGCTGACCTGCAAATTTACAAATCACTTCATCTTTATTGGCAGGTTCATTAAGGCATACTATTACTTATCACATTAACTTGCTGACAAAACTGAATACAAATAATATTAACTACTGATATCACAGCATGAATCAAACTGAACAGCTAGTCAGTTGCATTACCCTGCTACTTGAGAGTTTTTTTTGTCTTCAAAATCAATAACAAGTACTTTAGAGGTAGAGTGAGGTGTAACATGTTACACCTCACTCTACCTCTAAAGCACTTGTTCATCTTGAATCACAAACCACTACCAAGATTGTAAAGTACATGCACATTGCAATTCTAAGTTTTGTATGAAGTAAGCTTCAAGAAATGTTTAAAATGTGAGTGAAAACACTATGTAGAAGGTATAATATCTTTCACTTGCCTTTCAAATGCCTTTAACCTGCCTTCAACATGGCAAATTTGGCATGCATGTGAAATTTTCATGTGAAGTACAATGAAGGCATGAAAAACATGTGAAGACTGTGCCTTGATTTTATCATTTTTAAGCCCTTGATTACAGGCAGATATGCATCTAGTAAAAAAAGCACATATAAATCATAAAATTTTTTATTTGTTTATACTCACCTCACTGTCAATAGCATATTTGCTGATCAAGAAGCAAGCTCCTCGATATAACAAAAGGGACAGGACTTCTCCAACAAGACGAGGAATGATACCACTGTTGACACCAAGAGATGACATTCAACAAGACATTGATTAAATGCTATTGTTAAGTGATTTGCAATTGAATTATTTCTTACCATTAGCCACTAAACTCTTCTTTGCAATGCAACTATCACTGTGAATAGTTACTATTGAATAAAGCAAAGCACCTGCTGAACGAGAAATTTCTAATTAAAAGTAACACTTCTTTTATTCAAGCTACATTTTGTGCCTGGACCTCTTGATTGCATATGATTGACTTTCAACCAAGAATGAAAGCTAATGCTGATTTAATTTTACAATTATCCCACTTAGAAAAAACTAATGATTAACAAACTACTATAATTCAAATCATAGTAACAAAGGATAAAAAACATAATACATATAACTTAAAGTTTTCTTAATTTTAACTCCATAGTTATTCAGTAACAGAATATTCATTTATTAATAACAAATTCATAAAACTATTCTATCATCTGATATTTCCTACCTAAAAAAACCAGCAAGTCCTTCATTGTTATAGATCTCTTTGACTGATGCACGTAGTCCACTGAAAACAGATTTGTTATCACAGGCAATAAGATAAAAATGTACATGTTCTTGTCCATGATTGGCACATGCAAGTAATGAAAGGAACATTCAACTTATCAGAACTCCCAGAAGTGAAAAACATGTAACTTCTCCCTATAATCTCTATACATTATCCAGCAAACAGGTAATGAGAATATTTAAAATTATCAGGGGGAAGTCGTTATCCTGATCTTCCACCAAAGTCTCATAACTAATTCACAATGATGTGTTGCAGCTGGAGGGGAGATTTAACAATCAAATGTTGGGAGTTAAAAGTTTAAATCAATGAAACATTTGCTGTTACAATTCCAAATAGTAAGTTGAATTTGGAAAGTGAGTAAATTTTAAGAAAATCAGCCAATTCAAAAGAGGTGACCTCTTAAAATTTAAAAATTGTCAAATAGAGATGAAATATAATTTAGTGGATTGTGAGAAAAGAACTGACCTGTAAATAGTTTCTTGACCAACGAACTGAACCATCATTCTGACTGAGATCACTAGAAATTAAATAGGAGAGGTGTCAGTGGTCTATCAAAATTTGCTAAAAACATAAATTAATAAATAAATTAATTAAAAATAATACAAATTACAACAATTATAGACCACTTATCTCCTTTAACTTTGTCATCTAGAAATTAATAGCCTTGAATGTCTCATATTCAATTGAAATTCAAGCCATTATGATCTAAGGCACAGTTTTGTTACTTTACCATAAAATGGGTGACTGATAATGATACCACTGCATTTTGCCACAGTCTGTACACAGGTCTTAATAGAAAAAAATATGTTAGTTTAAACATCAACATGGAGGTAAGTGACCCAGACCAGCCTATAGTACTTAATATCCTTTTTTCTGACACATAAATCAACCAAGAGTATGAATATTTCCTACAGCACCGCTCACGTATACGTTGACCGAAATCGCAAATTAAACATGCCAAAAATCGCATGTAATTGCGCATCAAAAAATCGCACGTGCACACATGACTTTCAAACATCAACCTCATTAGTATGTCTGAGGTAGTCCTTTTGTTTTACTGTTTTTGGCAGTTTATTGTTTTAAAGAATAGGCTACAATTCAAAAGCACTAAAATACTACATGTGACAGCTTTTTTCATTATGTAAATTTTCCATTGTCTACTCACTGCTTTTTCAAATCTAGAAGTCCTTTGTTTCATACAACAATGAAATACAAAGGAAACTTATAGCACTGAATAACAAAGGCACATGAATCACGCATTTTTTTTGGCCATGCATGCAAAAAAATTATATATACGTGTCTGACTACCCTGTGTCAGAGCATATGAAATTCATCTGTGCAGTTAACATATACGCAAGTGGTACTGTATGAATATGATCCTGATCCATTGTTCAATACCCTCCACCCTGCAATCCACCATGTTTTCCTAACAGTTTACAGGTAATCATTTATATTCCTTTGATCAATACATACATTGACTGAGAGGTTACTGTAGTAAAGTTTGTCAGAGACCCCCTTTACCCATCAACCCGTAAAAGTGACTAGCATCTAATTTCTCCTTACAATATCACCCTGAATCAAATATTAATGTCAAAAGAATAAAGGAAATCATCACCAACAAAAGAAGCTATTGATTATTAAACAAATTCTCTCATCCAGCACCCTTGGAAATGAATAGAGAACAGTATGGCAATTATGCATATTGATGTTAGGGTGTAAAGAGTTATTCAAAGGTAAAACCCATACCCATACTCCTCAGTCCAGAGTTTGATGTACAAACCATTGTGCTTAATATATTTTCTAAAAAGTCAGATTCCCCCATTTAAGCAAAAAGTAAGAGCAAAATTGTTTGAAATACCTCCTCGACAAACTCTAACAATTCTTCTTGCCTGCTCTAAAATTTCAAGAATATACAGAGAAAAAAGATTAACATACAGAGCTGTACAATTCAAATCATTCTAATTAAGATGAAAAAAAAAATATAACATACAATAAAAAAGTGGCAAACCCACCTTATTTTCTGGAGGAACCAGTGGGACAAGGGCATTGTCTTTTTTACCCATAGCCTATTCAACACACAATTCACATAAGATTATATCACAATTGATGTAAGGTACAAAATTCAAATTACACTTTGGAAAAATCAAACTTTAGAAGGAATGCAGTAAACAAATTTAACAACTGCATCATTAAGTGGAGGTTGGGTGCCTGAAACATCCAGGAGCTTCCACTATTGGCAGCCAGCTCCTAGATGGAGACCATGGCTGGCAAATCCTGACAACCCAGCCATGAGCCCCCACACAGGGAAACAGGCACCTGTCACACTGAATAAACAGTGGAAAGAGGGAGGGAAGGGGTAGGAAAAACTGCCTGGATGATGAGCTGGCACTCCTCACAATGCAGCAAGTTTACACTCAAAGCGCATGCAAGAATACCTCAAATAAACAGCACATGGAATTCAGACATATGCGTATACGCAAAAAACTGCTGACTACTAGAGAACGCTAATGCTCTTTGTTGTTAACTTCGTTAAATTGCATTTAACTGCATCATAATTAAAGTGAATTAATGGTAATACCTGCAGCAGTGTATTGTTTACAAGAGTTCCAATCATTGATGAGTAGACCCTGACAACAGTTATAGCAGAACAATCAATGTAATACCAGAAATAAAGTTTCCCAAAATTGATGAAAATTACCTGAGAGATTAGAGGGAATTTCACCTCACACAAGCCACAAGGAGAGGAGATACTTCAACATACAAAAATGCATCCTACACTTTGCAAAATATTTTGCTACTGTTGAACAAACTAAGGCCCAATGCTTTCATGTGGAGACACAGTGAGAGCACTTAAGAATATCAACATTTGAATCAATCTACTTTTAACCCCTTCTTTTTTTTTCACAGAAATTAGACAGAAATAATGACAACTGATCCCACTAGAGACTAAAAAAAATTTGTACTTGAGCCAAGTGGCCCATCCAGGTGCAGCTTATCCCTGTTTCCATAGCATGAAGCCACAAGGAATATTACTATTCGCTCCTGGATTGGATGCTAGTCCATCTCAAGGTTACACCCCCCTCTTTATTTCATTGAGCTTCCCTAATAATTAACCACCATCCATTCATACTCCTAGCTGGAGAGAGGTACTGTTAGGTTAAATTGTTTTGCCCAGGATCACAACACAATGACCCAGCCAGGTTTTGAATGCAGACTTCTAAAACTGGTTGCTAATGCACTAGTCATTTTTAAAGTGATTCCTCAGAAAAGAAACCTACCAATGTCTGTTCGGAAAAATACATTTCAAAAGATAGGTCACTATGCTTGTGTAATAGATATGATGAGCCAAACTTACCCCATTTATGCCTGTACAGGCACTAATCATGTGCATCATTTCATTGGTTCACAATACATTTTGAGATAGCCAGAGGCAAGGGTTTTTAAAGTAAAACTTGAAAAAAACTTCATGGGTAGAAATTCTTGAGTATATAGAACAATTTGATACATAATTTGAGGAAAAATCCTGTAATTTTAAATGACAAAGTGTTCCAAAAGTCATTGCTTTCAAGGTCATAACTTGCATCATCGAGTTTTCCCTTCTATTAATTTTCTTTTAATTTCTCAAATTTAAATGGGATGATTTGTACACCAAAATTATGCAATAAAAGATATAGCTCACTGCACTGGTTTAAGAGCCAAAGACAATTGAATCTCTTTACCTGGTCCATTTATTGAAAAACAATACCATGTTCCCTGATGAGGTGACTTTTATACACCCGGTATGCACAGTACAATACTGAGGAGTCACCTTAAAACACTGGGTGTCTTACTAGAAACTAATCCCACACAAACAAATTTGCATGACTTTTTGTTTTTGCTTTGGAAACCAAAGCATACAAAGCTTACCTTGGTAACAATCCTCTGTAGAGTCCCCTCCATCCATTTATCTTCTTTACATGACTTGCTGCAGGATAAGGAGGTAAAAAGTAAAGAAACCTAAACATATATGTTACTTTTCTTGATTACCAGTATCTTGCTTTTATATTTTTTTATAATAATAGATTGCCTCTGCACTCTTTACAAATACATATTATCAACTAGAAATTGTGTTGTCATCTTCACATGCTGACCAAAAAAATATAGTGCTTTTTCACTGTAGCTGTATTACCAAAACAAACAAGTGATCTGAAAATGACTTATCAGAACCTAAAGTGAATATCACATGGGACCAAATCAGAACTTGAAGTGAACAAAGCATACTGCTGGAAGTGTAGGAAAATGCAAGTGAGAAAGTCGACATTAGTTTCAGTTTTGCATCTGATTGGTTGAGAGGGTGACAAGAGTTTTTCAGACCAATCACAGGAAGAAGTAAAGTGAAAAAGAGACAATCCCAGATTGCTTTCAACATCTGATTGTAACTGCTTTATTTGATTCCTTTAATTGCAGACACAAGGCCAGCCATGTATCAATCTCCTTAAAGCTTATGAGTAATTTTTAATGTACTGGTAATAGTATTTTTTAATATGTCTTTTAATGAATAATGATAATGATTAAAAAAGAATGAAAATCATCTCCTTAAATTCCTTACCATATTGGAAAAAACTTGGTAATCTCAGGACCTTAGTTCCTAAAAATGTTGTGGACTCAGTTGGAGAAATTGGTTCATGTCCAACCTTAACACAAAAATAATTTCATTTCAAACACTCAGTAACTAAAAGTATTAAGTAAAATACAATTCAGGTGATCAGTGAAAATGACCTGTAGAATAACTTTCCATTTACAATGCCTTGCCACCCAAGTTCTAAGCCTCCTCTTATTAAGTACATTTCTGCTTAGACTTTGGGAGGGCAACTGAAACAAATTGTACAACTACATTAATCTGAAAAGAGAGAAAAATGATGTCGTTGTAAAGATGTCTATTTTAAAGGGGCATTAAAACCCTATAAATGAGAATATAAGAAATAATTGCCAAACTAAGAAGTTTTAAATGCTAAATGAATTCTCCTTGTCAGTATCAAAGGAAATGTATAAAGGAATATGGATACTGATGTTAGAGTATAAAAGATTGACAAAGTTCAGTACTTGAGACGATCATGGCAATTGCCAAAATACTTATCTAATGTCAGGAAATAAGCCAGCCTTTGCTGATCTGATATTGAGCACCAAACCAAACAAACCTGCCATATTACCCTAATTAAAATGATGCTATAATTCATTAGTAAGGCTTAGATCATGAGTGGTGCAACATCTGAACTGAACCTAAATAAGAGACCTTTCTGATTCAAAACAAAGACCACCAGAAGAGTAGACTTCTACTTAATCCTTTAAGCCCTAAGAGTGACCAACATCTAATTTCTCCTTACAGTAATACTGGTAAACCATTCATTAAGATCATGGCAATAAAGGATATGATTGCCAACATGAGAAGCTTTGATCTTCAGATGAATTCTTCTTGTCAGTACCAAAAGAAACATATGAGAAGAGTATGGAGAAAATGGATACTGATGTCAGGGTGTAAAGGGTTAATATCTACAAACTCTGGCTGTTCTTTTTGCCATGATCACGTTGATCACATTACTATGCACTCTACTGCCCTCACTAACCCCCTCTTCCCTGACTTCATAGAACCCATTATATTGCAATAAAGCAACCACTCCCTCACTTGGAATTTTTGCATCTTTTATCCTTGATGATATTTTCAGAGCCAGTAAGAAGAAAGAGCTTTGTTTTTCATTTATGGAGAACGTTTTGTCTCCTGTGGACATTTGTCCTCATTCAGCCTTTAGTTCAGTGAACACCCATCGGCCACATGCATTTGTTCCTTCTCATGAATATTTAAACATTGATGTGGAAAGAAGCCAATATTTTTACTTTCGTATCAAAAAATCCCTGTTAAAACGAAGGTAGGAGGTTCTGCAGGATAGAAATATGAATACTAAGAGATGTCACGCAAACACTGAGTTGAACTTTGGGCGCCGGTAAAGTATCAATTGAGTGAAATGTAACTGAGTCATTTGACATTTATAGTCTATTACCTGCATCAGAAGTCGAACACATGTTAGTGGCTGAGTTGCTGTGGTCATAAAAGCGGTCAAAACGAGAGCTCCAGCTGTTGTGCCTTCGTTATCCAGGAGATCTTCCAAGCTTTGCCCACTTCCATTTCTCTCACTTGCAGCCGCCATGTTGAGTTGCTCGCCAGAATGAGGCTGACCGCCCTACCCCTACCCCTCCCTTTGTTTCAAAGGGAGGGGTAGGGCATTCAAAACTGATATTGAATCTACTTTAAATTTCATATTGTCCATCACCTGTAAATCTCTTTGAAATTGGTGCTTATCGATATTCGACATTCTACATTTACACTCACACTTCCCCACTTTTTCCACCGTGAACATTTTTCTCGTGGTTATCCACCCCACCCCACAGAGGCGTGAGATAAGCCGTGGAACAAAATGGCGGCACAAGTGAAGCAAATGTTACTTACTCTCTCTAGTGCTAGTGGTTCCCATAAGGATATTACTGGAAAATATCGCGAAATTTTGGAGAAGATTTTCAAATTTCAAGAGCCATCTCTCACGGAAGGCCTCAAAACTTTCACTGAAGCTTGTAAGTTTGTTGAACAGCAGTTATTGATAAGATGTCAGCTGCCTTTTAATGGTGAGCGACCAGGAAAAAGGGGTCACATCGTAAAGAGAAGCATGAATATTGCAATTGGAAATCTTTTTTCCTGTCCCCCTCTTCTTCCACAGTAGCTCTAACTTCAGACTTATGTCAAGTGGTTACTCTGTCTCTCCCTTTCCATATCAAAGACTCATCAATGACCGGTCGTAGACTTAACAGGAATGAGTGCTCCATCTCAATCTTATGTCATAACCCATCTATTTCAAAAATCTTTTTTACACTCTTATGTTTTCTACCTCTGATCTGTGACATGTGGCCATAACAAGTTCTAAACCTCCTGAGCCACAATGGTTTTGCTTGTTAACATCTTACAATCATTTGTGAAAATGATCATGGGATCAGTTTTAACAAAATTTCAATTTAGCTGAACATGCATGTAAGCACAAAAAAAATGAATATGAACCACTACCCTGCCAAATTCTTCTGGGTTTTACAATAAATTAACTGTATCATTTTCTCTTATGTTTTGCAGTGGTTCATGAAAATGTAAGCCTTGTTGTATCAAGACAAATTTTAAGTGAACTCTGTAATCATATTCCAAACATGAATGTAGCTTGTGCTAAGCAGGTGTCACATTTTGTGTTGGAAAAATTACAACCAAGAGCTATATCTTTTGAGGAACAGGTTAGGAGAATTTTTCAATTTTTCTTTTTCAATTTTTGAAAGAGTGAATCGTACTCTAGATTAAATGGCCAGTCCAGCCTATTTTTTGCTTGGGAATAACTGAAGTAGTAGGCAACAGGGTCTTTTGTTTAAACATGTGTCATTTTAGACCTAAGATAAGGTGTTATGAAAACACAAAAGCTTGCTGGCCAAATTTTCAATTTGTAGAACATTTTAATATGTATGACATGACTTTCAGTTTCTTGGGGAAGAACATTGCAGTCCATTTTTTAGACCTAAGATAAGGTGTTATGAAAACACAAAAGCTTGCTGGCCAAATTTTCAATTTGTAGAACATTTTAATATGTATGACATGACTTTCAGTTTCTTGGGGAAGAACATTGCAGTCCATTTTTTTCCCTGACAAAATTCCATTTACAAAAGGGCAGATATCTGACATTCAATTTAGCATTTCATCACCATGGAAATTATTTGTTTTTCTTTTTACAGGTTGCAGTAATAAGGAAGCATTTGGCGAAAATATATGAAGATTGTCAGGAATGGCGAGAGGCTGCAAGGGTGCTCACTGGAATTCCCGTGGAGTCAGGGCAAAGGTTTGGTGCACTTGTGTTATTTAGTTTCATGGAGTGTGATAAAATGAAAGCCCAAAGCTGTCATGGAAAATGGCCAATCATACCACTATAGTGTTCTGATAATTATTGCAGGGTAAAAAATTTCAGTTTGCCTCAATAACTAATGATTTAATGACAATGTTTTTGAAGTTGTGCCTTCTGGATGTGGTCTAATTTTCTGACTGATCATCACATTTTGTGTTAATGTGACTTTTTATGTGATCTAATGCAGGCAATATTCAATAGATTATAAACTGGAAACCTACCTGAAGATTGCACAGTTGTACTTGGAAGATGAAGATCCTGTTCAGGCTGAAGCATACATAAATAGAGCATTGATCCTCCAAGCAGACACAAAGACAGAGAAGCTACAGATACTTTACAAGGTAACTTTCAAACTAAAAAAATTTAATTTGATTCTAAACTTGGTGGCTGTGAGATTCCTAATCCATCTTACCCTGTAGAGGTGGTGGAACCATTATTAGTACAGGAGAATAGTTATGAAAGCCATCATAAATAGAAACTTCAGGTAAAACTCTTTTGTTATTAAGTAAAATGATGTGAATGGAATGGATTGGGATGGAATGTTTCTATTGGACAGTTCTCTCAACATGATTGTGATGTTACTGAATGTTGTTTATGGTCAGATCAAAACACTTGATCAAAAAAATTAACAAAGAAATTATAGGGTTTCAAGATCCTCCACAATCTCATGAAAGTTTATACAACTTTTATACTAAGATTCTCTCATCACCTATTGTCTTGCAGGTTTGCTATGCCCGTCTTCTGGACTACAAACGGAAGTTCATTGAAGCTGCACAACGTTATCTTGACCTATCATACAATACTGCAATACATGATGATGAGCGGATGACAGCCCTTAAGCATGCATTGATATGTGCCATCCTTGCTTCAGCTGGTATGCTGTATTGATAGGACATATGTTGTCAGTAATAAACCTTAATTTTCATTTTTAAGCTGTTGAAACATCCTAGCAAAAAACTAGATAAATCATTGCACTGCTGTAATGCACTGAACTTTGGATCAAGAGGTTTGCATTCGGTTCCAGCTGGGTTATTGTGTTGTGTTCTTGCAAAAAAACACTGAACTTTTTAAACTCTAAGAGTAACCAACTTCTAAAATGCTTTAATTGCTTAACTGATTCTTCTTGTCAGTACCAAAGGAATTGTATGGAGAAGAGAAGAGAAAATGTGGATACTGATTTTGGGGTGTAAAGGGTTAACCCTCACAGAGTCTCTGTCCACCTTTGGGTACAAATGAGTGCTTGCCAACTGTCAGGGAAACTCAACAACAAATTGTTCACTTTAGGAGAACTAGCTTAACTCTGCTTTACTTAACAGTACAGGAACCAGGGTAAGCATCTAGGAAGGACTGGGTCAGTTTATTCACATACTGTACCTGTTTTGTATGTTTTCAGGGCAGCAAAGGTCAAGGATGCTAGCAAACCTGTTTAAAGATGAACGTTGTCAGCAGCTACCTGCCTACGGAATTCTTGAAAAAATGTAATCATTTCTGGATGTAATTTTATATAACAAACCCAATAGACAAGCCTCATTGTGCACATATTGTCACTGATGAGTTCTTTTTCTCTCCAAGGTATTTAGACAGGATAATTCGAGGACCAGAACTTCATGAGTTTGCTGCCATGTTAATGCCTCATCAAAAGGCAACTACTGCAGATGGTGGGTATTCATACTGAGTACTTATAAAACTTGGTTTATTTTAGTGTACTTTTAAGTTGTTTTTTATCTAAATTTGTTTTATTTCTTCTATTTTTAAGGTTCTAGTATTCTTGACAGGGCTGTTATTGAACATAACTTACTCTCTGCCAGTAAACTCTACAACAACATCACATTTGAAGAACTTGGAGCTTTATTAGAAATACCACCAACCAAGGTAGACTATGTATTCACCTTTAAGTCTAAAGCATTGTTAGTTTCTGTGATGATAGTCAATTTAATTCAATACAATTCTGAAGTACAGTTTGAAACCTTGGTAAGCACTTTTATGATGGTTTGAGAAATCTTGAGAATCATAACCCTACTGGATGGCACACGGATGGGGTTTTGCTGAAGTCGAAAGATCTCTGATATAGAATCTGAACAGTATTTCAGTGATAATTGGGTGCTCCTCTAGAGCTGGTGAAATCTAACCTAGGTTGGCCACTGTAAAGAGTTTGAAAGCTGACATTTTGGGTGTTCGCCCTTTGTCAGAGCAAATGATGAATGGCTAAAGCTCAAAACATTACATTTGAAACTCTTTATGGTGGCCAATTTGTTTTATCAACCCAGTTGGTAAATACTAAATTCCCTTGTAATAGCATATCCTTGTTTCCGTGTCCCGAAGCAATAGAATGGATTCTAGCCCATTACATGCTTCTTCAAGCTTTACATTTTAACCCTTTAACCCTAAGAGTGTTTTGAATGTAATTTCTCCATACAGTATCATTCCTGAATTACACATTTAGGTCATGAGAATAAAGGAATTGATCACCAGCTAAAGAAACTTGTGACTCTTAAACAGATTCTCCTAGTCAGCACCATAGGAAATGTATGTAGAATAGTATGGAGAATATGCACACTGATGCTAAGGGTTCAGGGGAAATTGAAGGAGAAGCTTTTTTTCTAGTTCTAGTGCCCCACCTGCTCTTCTAAATTTTCTCCTTGCATACTTTACATATCTTGATGTACACTTTACCTTGATGAATAGTCAAGTTAAGCTAGAATTTTGAACCAGAAGGCAAGGTAGGTATCTTTCTCATTCTAGAAAAAAAATGCCAGCCTCTTTACCTTTTTGGGGTTATGATAACATGGCAAGATGGGATAGCAATATTTTTTGCTCTTTTTTAGGCAGAGAGGATTGCATCACAGATGATTTCTGAAGGACGCATGTCTGGATCTATCGATCAAATTGACGGAGTTGTGCATTTTGAAAGTAAGAATTAGCCTTTAATTTTTTATTATTTTTTCTATGCTTGGGTCTGAGGTAGTAACCAAATACATTTAATCATCGCCCTTACCTGGTGGTATTTATTATGAAGAAAGAAAAATTAGAAAGAGAGAGGGGAGGTGTCTAAGCACGAGGAGGCCAGGCACGTACAAATGTGGGAACTCCTCGTCTCGTGTTTGACTCGCGTGTTGGGCAGGCTAGACTGGCATCGTTCTCTGTAGTAGGTTTCAAAATGGTCGATTTTGAAAGCTCGATATTGTTTGAACAGATTTGTCTGGGATTTTGCCTTTGCATTTGTACGTTCAGTGGTTTAGGCAGAAGAGAGGTGAAAGGTTTTGAAATTTTTCGTCGGGTTTAAGTAGCGGATTATGGGAAAAGGGATTGAAATCAGGGTTCATTTTTTGCCGCTAGCCATACCTGTTGAAGTCGTTCTTTAAATATCGTTTTCGGCTAGACCCTGTTGTGTAGCTCCTCTGGGAAGAATACTCAGTTCCCCTTGTGTTTTTTTTATTATTATTCTCAGCTCAAGAGGTGCTTCCCTCGTGGGACAGACAAGTTCAGAATCTGTGCTTTCAGGTCAATAACGTGATAGAAAAGATCAACAGTTTTGCACCAGAGTGGGTAGCTAAGTATAATGAATCACAAATGATATCTTGATGAAGTTTTAAGCTACTTGGCAATTGTCAAAAGGACAGGGCAAGCGTGCGGAAAGCACATTGGATACCTCCTTTGACGATGTATAGTTCCTTTCCTTAACGTTAAACGTGGAAGAAACTCCTGTGGAATGAGACTTTCCGGAAGTTTGCGATTTCTGGATGACTGCCGTTTGAGTATTCAATCTGAAGAGCTCTTTAATTCCTGAAATAAAAACTTATTTGTTAGAGAATGAATTAACTGTGGTGAATTATTTGGGGACATTATGGTACATTCGCTTTTTGATTTAATTAGGACTGTTTCCACGTTCCAATTAATTGTTCTGGCAACTGCTTTGTTTAGTAAACTGGAGTCATCCCTTCTCCGCTGTCCTTCTCCGGCTTTCTGAATTTGGACGAAATATTCGCCACTAGAGCGTTGTAATTAGGGATACTCGCGTTCAAAATGATGAAGTGCTAATTTTTCGTGGACTTGGAAACACTGGTGTACGAACTAAACGCAAGAGAACTAGTTTGACCTGTTCCTGCGAGAAATTGGTTTGGCCTGTCGGCAATGGTTGAGTTCGTTACACAGGTTTCTTATAAGGGAGCTATGTCTCTGTTTCTTAAATTGCTTTCTTAGTTGTGGCAAAAGGTCGTCATTTCGAATGAAAACTCAAAATGATAGTTTCCTTGGATAGAAAAACACGAAAGAGACAAGCATGGAGAAGATTGAAAAGAATTGCAAATGATAAACTTAAAAAATTTAAGATACAATAGCTTGGATCCTTTAACCAATCACAACCAAACTGTACAGCATTCATTGTTAGAAAAGCCATACACCTTGATTCTTAGCAACTTCTATCCAAGGGATGAAGAGAGAAATCTGGTAACGAAGGTAAATACCGGTCGACATGGTTATTGCCCTTGACCGTATCACCTGCCCCTCCCCTGCTGCGATGTTTTTTCTCAACTGTTCGCGTGAACACCTAACAACTGAGCATAGTGCGTGGGCGGCTTGAGTTTAGCTACAGGTGATGTGAATGACATAAAGAGCTTAAGGAAAGTTTAGCAAAAAAATTAATTAGTATCTTTTAATGCGAAACGTCCAGAAACTACGTTGTTGATTTGAGTAGAAAGGTACAATATATGCCACAGAAAGAAAGATTCGAGGATCCCTTAGAAATTAGACCATACTTTTGTTTTTTAACGACTGTTTTCTTACATGATGGGTTCTCTCCTGTTATGAACTTGGTTTTCTTTCGTTTCAATTTCAATTTAAGACCAAGTACACGATTTTTCATCGCTCAAAGAAATTTTCTTAGGGAACCGTTTCTTTCCCTCAATATTAGATCCTGAAAATGATTTTCCTGATGATTTTCGTTTGGTTAAATAAGGTCTTCAGGGTGTAAATATTGAAAGTCATTTTTCATTTTCCCTGGTTTCTGGGTAGTTGTCATGCCGTCTTTTGTCTCACTCTTTTGTCTTAATTTTAAAATTTAAGCTCTTTTTATTATGCGTATCGAATAGATTTGAATCAGCAGCAAATTAAAGTGGCGTGTGTTGTCTTCTGTTAAGTGATGGCAAATGACATCAATTACAGATTACGCAGGAGAGGATAAAATTTGATATCCATTTCTTTTTCGGATGTGGTTTTTTTCTTTCGACCACGAAATGATGTTTTGTAGTATGGTATTTCAACCGAAATTTAAAATTGACATTGGCCATTACGGTTTTCGCTTAAAAAATTCCTTGTGCCCCCTAGCTCGAACAGGTCGCGTGTTTGACAGAAAAGCGGGTGGTAATCGGGTGCTAATTATAACTCAAGGTCACGCTATTTAAATCCGTGCTAAATTCAGCGTTTACCTTGCTTCGACGTTGTTTTCAACCGCTCGCTATTACCGACTGAAATTGCTAATTCAAGATTCAATGTTGGAAGGAGAGTCTTCTTTTCGCTGTATTCCAATGTCAAAGATGCAGGGAAAGTGCGATGGTCTTCACAGCCCTCAGAAAAGACGAGAATCTTCATGGTAAGAAAAGAATAATTTATTTCCTGTCGCTATTAATGGCAGCACAGCTGATAGAAAGATTAGAGCCACATTTTGCGCTAAATTGTAATCTGTCAAACTTTCTCCCATCAAAGCAGTGGCAAAAATCGCAATAAACTGATTTTACGACCGTTATTAATCCATTTAGTTTTGAACATAAGGAGATGTGGCGGTGCAATACGCCCACTGTATTTTAAACTTTTGTAACCTTACAAATAAATTGTGCGACGTGCAAGTGCCGTCTGAAAGCCTTTTTCCTATTATTCGATCATACTACTCTGACGTTTCTTCGTCACTATTGCGACAAAGGAGATTTCAACCCTTTCGCACTACACAGAATTATGTACAAATATTGCCTTGATACCAGCTGTATCTAAACACACGATAGAGATGTGACGGAAAGTTACTTGAGTAAGTAAGAACCCTCCTGAAACAGTGAATGATCACACATGTTAACTTCTCAGTCTTCTGATACGAAATTTGCTTTTCTGATGTCGAAGCAACTTTTTTCCTTTTTTTAATTTTTTTTTCAACTGAACTTGAACTGGATGTTATTATATTCCTCGGTATTCCTTGTATTTGAACACGGCAGGAAACAGCACCTGACTTGTGGTTTTATAGACATGATAATCGCTTCAAAGAGAAGCCGCCTTATACTGCCTTTGTTCGCATTCAAACAACCAGGAGGGTGAAAGGTCCAGAATTAACGTATGACACAAATAAATAGTGGACTTATAAAAGAGAGATAGATATCAAAATGGCTAGTTAAGAGATTTGCTGGCGGTGAAGTAAATGAAAGACAAAACAAAGCAGATTTGTATATGTTTAGTTTTATTATTATAGTTATTATTATAGTTATTATTATTATTATTATTATTATTGATATTTATATGTTTGATTCTAGAGTTAGGAGTCTTCTGGTTTAGAATTCGTTCCAATTTCTGTTTTTTAATGACTTATCTTGTTATGGTCCGTTTGCTACAGACAACTCTCTGAGTATGGCGCTTATTTTATCATGGTTTCATAAACTTTGAGGTCGTTGATAAGTTAGTCGCAATTTTCGTTTTTGAAACTCTCCAAAAGGCTGTTTAATTTTGACATTATCATCCATAGTGGTTATTAGGTTTATAAATTCATAGTTACCCGTCATGGTAGACATAATTGAGTTTGTAATAGCGCCTGAATTTCATTTCGTAAATTACTGCTTTAGCTAAGATGAATACCCTTCAAAATAAAAACAGACATTAGTTTATATTGAAATGTAGTTGCTTACACATACAGCTGGATGCCACGGGGTTACTCATACAAAAGTTTTTTAGCGTTTCCAGAGTTTTCTTGCATATCATTAGTTGCTTGCTGAGACATGATTTAGAGGGATAAAAAGGGAGTGGGTCAACAGAATTGAAGACCGGAAAAGAAGACACAACGGACATCGAGCCTAAAGCAAGCAGGTCTTGTTGTCAGATGCTAGAAGCGCAATGTACATGTACAAGTTGTAATTAGTTTTATGATCGTTAAAAGACTTTAGGAGGTGCAACAAGGGGGACTCCCTCTGATTGAAAATTCGGGTTTAGGGGGAGGACACAAGTTCACACAACACCCCCACGGGTAGGTGTGGAATCGAAAATATTTCTTGCGTGTCAGAAAATATGACATCGCTGCCGGAATAAGGATCTAGCAACGGAAGTATTTCAACTTCTTTACACTGAGAACAGAGAGGAAAGTTTGCAATTTAATATTTCGTTTACTACATCAAAACCGTTTCCTATCAAATTCAACATGTCGTCATCATACGAGAACCGTGACTAAGCCCCAGTCGTTTGTTAAATGCGCGCGATCTTACAATCAATGGATCAAAAGGATGATGGGAAAGAAGAGGAGCTGGGGTCTTCTGAACCTCTCTTATTTTCTCCCTTCCCATCAAACTGCTTGTTACATCCTGCCGGTTATGAGGAGGACTATGGAAAAGTTAGTAACAACCCAGCTAGTATTTGGCCTAATTCACTCTTGAGTTTTCTGTAGCTCAATGGTAAGGCACCAGCCGCGCAATCGGTCTGCTGTGGAATACGTTGAGAGTGTTAGATTTTTTGTGCCATACCTGTCACAGATGTCTAACTTCATGATCATCTCTAACTTTCGGTGAATTTGGCTAAGTAGTGAAATTTGACTGAATTCAACAAAATTTAACCTACCATACTAGAACAACAATACCACATTGAAACTAGTGAGACACTTTTTGGGGCTAACTATGTTCGCTAAATATGTTCGATAGGGTCAGAACACTCCGCCCTAAAAGAAATAGCTTTATGTGGCTTCTGTTGTCTCAAAGACAAAAAGATAGTTCATAAAAGTGCGATTTACGTTCGAGTGCTCACGACATCATGCCCTAGATATGTCTGTGTATTTATCGACAAGGTGATTAGGCATATGTCCTGTAGTGCAGGGCAGATTAAAAGTAGTCACGTGGGAAACATCTTACGCAAGCGTAGACGTAGAGGGACCTTGGTTGTGTAACCATTTAGTGAGCGTAATGTAAAGAGAACAAATCCGGCGAAGGACCTCGTGCGTGATAAACGCAACACGCGCTATCTATAAACACTAAGGATCGAAACTCGTCACGTGCAAAAGTTATTTGCGCAAGCGTAGACGCGCAGGATTTATGCGGCAGCTGGTACCGTGGTCGTTTCAATGTTTCATGAGTTCAGGAGAGGAAGATAAAGCGAATTGGACAGCTGCGACGCGCAAACTTTTCACACGAAAGGATAGGGTTTTTTTTTCGCTATGCTTAGGGTCGTTATTCGATTACTTCCAAGTTCGATCTATGGGGTATTTTATGATTGAAGGTATATGTGAAAAAAAAGGCGTTTGAATTTACAAATTGCCTGTGTTACTTAGACTTGGAATATCTTACCAATTCCCTAATAAATGAACGAATTTATCGGAGGGTCGCAAGATGTCTGACAGTGACAGTTCATTTGAAACATGGTACTTTGTGAAGAAATCAGTCAAAATAAAGATGTACATCGTGTAATAGCTAAATTATTAGATATCCATTTTCGCTATCGTTTTGTCGCTGAAAAGAGTACAAATGTAGGCAAGCCGATGTGTTAGTCGTGAGTTAGACAATATCTCCTGGCCCTTACCTGCCGGCAATTATATAAGTGGTATTTGCGATAAGTTAGATACACCGGGGTAGACTAACAAAATACCAGTTACAGATCAAGCACCAAGTCTTAGAAGGACAGAACTGAAATTAAAAAAAGAAAAAAAAGAAAAATGAACGTTTCCGAAAGCATAGCATATTCTGACATTTTCTTTAATGTGCAGTATTATAATTATTATTTTTTTTTACTGTTTTCCTGTTTCAATATGCTCGAGTAATCCCCTCTCCAAAAATACTTCAATAGTTCTTCTTGTTAATTGCAGCTGAAAAGCACTGAGGTACACGCAATTTCAATGTTGCTTTAGGAACACAATGTGCAATCATATATTCAAGGATCAATTCACAGCTAAACGAAAGGAGCTTTCAAGTGGATTATCATATTAATATTCATAACAACTGCTGCCTCGGCGAGAGTGTTTCTCGCACGCAACGTGAAACTTTCGTTTAAATCTTTCTTTTGAAATTCATGTGACCCTCCAAAAAGTTGAATTTATTATTTCCCTGGACTTTTGCATGTTGAGAAAACTTTAGCACTGAATCCTGTGCCATACTACGGAAGAAAAGTTACCACACCTAGAACTAAATATAACTATTATTGTTTGGACATGTCCGACCAGATTCCTGGTGGAACTTCTTTCTCACTCCCTGAAACAGCGTGGCTTAATCAGTTATGATCTGGTTACTTTTTTTCACGAAGTCACTCCACTCTTACCAACACGAAAATTTGACGATTCCTCGTTTTTTTATTGTAATATGTGTTATGGAGGTACAACCATATGCCTACGCCACAGACAGACGAGTGATAAAATAAAACAAAAGGTTCGCATCGTCTAAAAACTAATCCTTTGTTTGCCACGTCAGTTTTTCAAGAAATCGCTAATAAATTATATTAGATGCAGTGGTTGTCAAGAAGTGTTAACCCCAACCCTCTCTAGAAAAAAATAACTATTTCGAAATCGTTAAAAAGAAGAGCATCGAGAAATTTATCATTCGAAACGCCCGTACTACTCCCTGTAGTACGCTCAAATCAACGTTGTGTTTTTCAACATTGCGGGTTTTCTCGGCCCGAACCGTGGAAAATTATTTTTCTAAACTCTGAGAAGTAACAGAGCAATATTAATTGAGCTTCTACACGATTATGATTATATTCTTCCAGTCCGGCGAATTCGCTAGCTCGTTGTAGAGGAGACGATCACGCTCAAGGTTCCATGATAATTCCCTGGCACAAGTTTCTTTTGTATCGTCCACCAGAGGATATTGCATTGTCTGGAAAGTTCACGCCTTTCTGGAATCCTGTTTTAAAATGACAGCGTGAACTGGCGATTGCGTGAACTTTTTGTTACGTAATAACATCGCATGACAATTTCCTTTTTGTTTAAGAGAGGGCCAAAAACTTTATCCTGGCTCAATTCTGCGATTTCAAGTACCTTAGAAAGACTAAATATGTTTAAAGTCTGCATAAAGGCTCGTTTGAATGACGAATTTTTGACAGACTTTCTCTTTTTTAAAACCCACTGCGTCATTTGCGTGACATTCGCCTGAGGTGGCGTGACAAGACGCTTCCAGATGACCCTTCATGTCAAGATCTTTATGAAATAAAAGAACAACGTATCGTGTTCGCGATATCAACCAAGATTTAATCGTATGTGGGTATATTGAATGCGTAGAATTTTCTTCTTCGTCTGTTCGCAATACTCGCAGCGATATTGCACAAGGGAGGTAACACAACACTTAGTCGTGTATTCTTTGATCTCTATCGCATTGCAACCACAATAAAATTTGGGACAAAAATGAATAGGGAATGAGTTTTTGGCATTGCGTTTTGTCTGTTATTGATTCAACACTTCTGGTTAGTCACGTAACAACGCTCTGTGGTGACGCTTTTTACCTCTACAAAAAAATTAACAACAAAGATAGCCAACCTCTACAATGAGCAAGTAGTACAATAAATGTGCCTCGTAGCGTCTCGTGAGCTCTTAAAAAAAAATCATTCTGAAGAAATATAATTAGCATCGGGTCTCACGTTTTAAACTCCAATTTGACGTCGAAACGATAAAATTTCATCTTTATAAACCTTTTGTCTGGAAAAACAAGCTCGTTTGACAAATTCCAGAGTCGAGTTTTGCGGATGAGTGACTTAATGGCCGTTCAACATTCAGCGTGACTAAAAACATGACCACTGGTCGAGCCAAAATACAATGGTAAACCATTCGGATGTGACGAGATTTTTCCTTCGCTTTCCTTTCACATGCAAATTTTGGGGATTGTTATACCGGCGGCGAATCGTAAATATTGCATAAATTATCTGGGTCGTCTTAAAACAAACCAATTATCATGTCTGTTTCACGTGCTCAGCCAATCGCATCGTTTCTTTTCCTAACCCTAGTCAGTTGCTGGCCTTGATCAATACCAGCTCGGTACAATGTGCATGTCAATCATTTTACTGTGGGGTCGCGGAATCGGGTCTACTCAAACCCATAACTTGACGTTTCTCAGCTTTTTGAGATTCTAAAGTCTTCAAAATTAATTTTTTCAACGGCGACTTTCTCACTGAGACGGTCCTATTCCGTGTGTATCGGGTCGTGACTTGAACGAACGAATTCTCGCTGGTTTCATTACGTGAAATCATTTATAAGCTTCAATGGCTGGCCGCGTAGTGTCTCGCGAATTCACCATCGACAGTTTGGATTTTACCTTGTACTAAAGGAAATAACTGTACACTAGTCATCCTGGCGGACTCAGAATTAATGGATGTAAACGCTAACAGTAAGCTTAAGCGGAAGAAGAAAACCCATGGGTTAGTATCGTGAGCTGTTTGTTGGTTGGTGTTTCGTGTCGGTGTGAGAATCGTGAGGTGGAAAACGCTCGATTGTCCGACTTGAGCCTGGACATGGTGTGATGTTTGTGTGGAGTATTCTCACCTGAAGTTAGACCGTGGTTTCGTGAAAATCGTTTTCCTTGTACATAGAAAAGAAAGTCTTCATCAAATTTTAGATAGACTTCCCTAAATTCTGGTTTTTGATTCGTATTTTCAGGCCTGGTAACCCGTCGAAACGACATAGAGATCGACTTAACGCCGAGCTGGATAACCTCGCGAGGTTGCTGCCGTTTCCTGAGGAAATCGTCACGAAACTGGATAAAATATCTATTCTCAGACTTACAGTGAGCTATTTGAGGGCGAAGAGTTTCTTTCAAGGTAGTAAATGTTTTACGTGTATTCTTTTCTCGATATGCTTGTTGGTTTTACCTGCGTAGTTATTTTTTTCTTAATCGCGAGACATGGTGGTGTTAGATGCTAACCATAAATTATTTTCTTGGGTTTGTTGATTTGAATATCGTAAACTGTTCAACCCGAACAGTTCTAAATGTCCCTGCCTGTAATGACATTTTAAATCAGTAATTTACTCGTAGTCAGTAGACGTAACTTTATACGAGGTTCGTATACGTTTGGGGGCATTTGATTAACGATGGATATTTTTTAAGTCGCGTTATCCGAACTAGGACCTTGACTGTTTACCAAACGTGGGCCATAAATTGCGTTGCTGTATTTAAACGTAAACAGAACTTTGACGGAAGAGGATCTCCTTAAGCTTTTTGATTATTTTACAAGACTAGAGGGCAGAAAGGTCATCCGTGATTGCCCTATTATGAACCTTATTTCTTTGGTGTAGAATCAGTAAGTACGCACACGAGTTTCAGCGAGTACAACAACTTCATTCGTGAGGTTGGCGAACAACTTATTACTGCTGCTGCGTTTCCCAAAGCACACGAATTCCAGCTGCATCAAATAAAGAAAGCATTGTTTGGATACAAGTCTGACGGAAAGTAGACTACTTACGCACTTCGAGAGGGTTTCAGGCGAGTCTGAATAAGGCAGTGATAACATGTTTTCGCCATTGAAATTTACCACGTAAAAACTCACAAATGTGACTTCAGTAAGGTTCGTCGTTCAAAGCGCGTAAGTGTTTGGCTTTCGCGGAATTTAAGTCAAAACAACATAGGCAATGGCATTAGGTCGCATTGAGTGTAACCATCGCTTGACAGTGATGTCTGACAAACATAAGATCGTCGCATTATGGCCATTTTCCGTTGTCTTACCCGACAGACGGTGTGAAAATCTATTTCTCGCGGTTCGTCGACTTTATCTTGGTTTGAAAATTTCATATTTCCTCTCATTAAAATTATTTGTTTGTACAACAACTTCACAAAAGGGCAAAAAACAGAATTGACCAAAATCTATTGATATGGTTGTTTGTTTTCAGGCGCGACGGCTTCCAATACCCATGTTGAAATAAGCCGTACAGCTAGTTGTGTTCTTCTGCGAAAATTTAATCAACCAGAATTTGCCATGTTAAGCCAAAAACGATACATGCATGAAGTAAATTCGCATGCAAAAGTCAGATAAAACCCTTTGGGTAGGTATCATCTCCTGCGTGAGCACTTTAAAGCGGAGAATGGCGTTGTTGTGTTTATCGGGAATTTTTTGAACGCAGGTCTGGCCGATTCACACCTTTTACATTATAAAATGCAATAGATGTAAACCCTCGGTCACGCAGTCTACTAAAGCGAAATATTTATCAACTTGGCTCACGCAACGAAAAATTTGCGAAGAAGGAAAAACATAATTACTTCATGCGATGCTTAGCTTCCACTTCGTTCACGGGACAGTACCTACAGGTTCTCTGAGAAAACCGGTCAGCGTTGCGTGTCCGTCGATCAGAGGGTGATCATAAATGATAAATGATCCTTTTCCCTTTGGCGTTCTTGGTTTTTGTTTGAATGGAAGAATCGCTATGGGATAGCTTTCTTTGCGGAATTCGTTACCCTTGACCTAGACAATTCCTATGTAGCAAATTGTTTACTTTTTTTGGTATTCAAATAATCACTACTTCTACAGTCGAGGTTAGTTTTGTGGATTTACCCCGCGGGCGGTATTTAGTTTTATGCTCCTTATTGCAAGTCGCTGGTCTCAAATATAGCTGATCTTGAAATTCCTGGATGTTGGTGTGATGAAGAAAATCGTTTCGTTTAAAGCGTATCCTTGGATGAACGGACATCGTTCAGTACTCACTTCTTCTGCAAACGCCCCGTGGAAAACGAATAGCCTCGGCCTTAATTTATGTACGTTTGGGGTGTCCAATAAAAGCCGTTGTTTCCCGATGTGCGAAATCCTTTAGACAAGCGTTTCACACGAAACCTAAAAAATTCGTCGTGGCGCGGCGGAAATTTTAGCTCACTCTCCTTTATCTTTATTGTGATATGGCTTGTAGGAGACAGTATCGTTTCTCAGGGCATATTCACATTTTTGCACATATTTTTTCCCTCGATTCCCAGAAGCACAATTGTTTTAAAGGCGAATAATAATGATTGCGTTTTGTCGAAGTTATGGCTTTATTTGTTTTGATTTATAACCTCTTTCTCTGCGATCGTGAATTTTTGGCAGATATCGCAATGACCACTCTCTATCAAAATGTCGTGTGTTGGTAATGCTATTCACAGTTAGGATTCAAATGAAACGCTGTAACAACTCGCTGTCTGAAATTCTATCAGAAAATTCTCTCAGTAGGTAACAAAATTCCTCAAAATTTATGAATTGTCTTCAAAACATCAAGAAGCTTGTGAAAATTTTAACTAAGGAAGGACTATCTTTTAAATTCCGTGTTCGGGTTTTTGCAAAGCGACCAGTATATTGATTGCATGACGTTTGATGTACTGTACACGTATTGAAAGAAAATTATCGCTTTGTTTTTATGCGAAGCTGAATTTTGTAAAGCGGCTGAAATTTCATTTTTGTGTGGTGAAAACAGTGCCATTAGGTTTAGTTGTTTCATGCCCCTATAGTTATTCCTTAATCCAATCGTCTCAACTGAGATGTTTTTCAAATTCTGCTAAATAATTTCCGCGGAAAATTGCCTTATGGTGCGATTTTCACACAAACAAGCATCTCATTTACAAGTGAAATCATTATCGTTTTCTTTGCTCAAAATGTCCTTCAAATTTGAATATGAACAGTAAAGCGATTTCTTTACCTTGGCTCTTTTTATTGGAGGGTCTTTTTTTATAGAAGCTTTCTAGAGATGTCTACAGAAGCGTAATCCTTGTAACTAAATACATACACTCTAGAACTTCTGTCCAGAAATGAGTGGCTGTTTACAGGCTTAAACATTGTAATGGAATTAATAAAGACCTTGCATTTTTGTAGTTTCTAATGGCAGACATGGGCAAGAAGAAACTTGTGAAGAACTAGTCAGAGAGGTTGAGGGAAATGGTGTCTTCTCCCAGCTGTCTCTAGAGGTAAGTACAATAGCCATGGTTTCATACCCTCAGACAGTTGCATTTTACCTCGTATATAATTTTTAAGGCTAAAGGTCACATAGTTTTGCATGCTTGGCTTTACACTCTACTGAAAAAAAAAAAATTAACAAAGAAAACAGGAATCATAGGTGGAAAATGTCTGGCAATTAATTAATCTTATAACTTAATTTCCTTTTAGGGTGAATATTCTTTTATATATCGTCTTCAACAGTAGTTAAAATTTTTTGCACATCACTGAGTCCATTTATTTAGCATTGTTTTGTGACTGACCCTTTGCCCTGTACATATCCTTTGTGATCAACACTACTTCATATCAGATCTGTGGGGAAAATTTTAAAATCTGTATTCTACTAGATTGATAAATAACAACAATTTGCTAAAATCTGGTCTGTTATTTATAACTCTTCTCTAGATTGAAGGGCAAACTAGCAGCATTATCTAATGTTAGATTCAGATCTGTGTCTTTTTTGTGGGAACTAAAATGCTGGGGCACTGATTTAATTTTTGTAATCAAGCAATTAATTTGGGTGAAAACCACAAGATGAAAACAGGCTCTTTGTACATAGGTTTCCATTTTTTGCAGAGAAACAATTATTATAATTTGATAGTGGGAAATTACTGCTTTATTCATTTGGTGTTCATCTAAGTAAGGTTAAATCATTGGCAATTTGATAGCAGTCATCATGCAGGTTAACTATTCACATTTGACCCTAAGACTGGATGGCAAAGGTGTGGAAATTTGATGTCTACGTTTTGTTTCCTGGTGCTTCCACCCAGATTGTTACACATTATAACAGAGAACAAGATAGCAAAACATCTAAATAAGTTTTTCAAACTTGAAAATGAGTAAAGAGGATTTTTAAATCATGGCCACTTTAAATCCTTTATTTTGAATCTGTGATTCAGACTGGAAATTTTTTTTTTGTGTACATTGTCAAGCTTTCAATGAAATTTCTGTCTTCAAGCTAAGCTACTGTGTTTCAAGTCCATCCTGTTTTTAGGAAAAAAACGACAGTTTCTTGCATTTATTTGTTTTCCAAGGTGTTAATGGTTATCAGCCTGTTATGTTCATTGATCCATATCAGGTTTAAAACCAGGACTGTTCTATTTAGAGTCAAAAGCCCTGGCCATTTGACAATAGAATGTGTGCCACACCTTCTCTTAGTCAGTTTTTTGTTTGTATGCCAAATTCTCTGACCAATGCAATTCAGCTATTGACTGCTTATCATGGCAAGATGAAAATGGAAAGCTTTAAACTTGATGGGAGTTTTCAATTTACTTGTATTAGAATTGAATAAATGAAATGACAGTTTACCAGGTGGCTTTAGACCACCTTTTATTGTGTGGAACAACATTTCATGGTGATTGAAAGATCCTTAATTATTTAGTACGTCTGGTTTTGGTTTTTTTTTTTTTTTTTTTTTTTTTTTTTAAGGTAGCAAAGTTGGGAGATAATAAGGAAAGCATGAAAATAAGAATGTCTAGCTTTCTATATTTTTGCCTATTATATAAATGTTTTTTATTGTGTCCATTGTCTCAATGTTGGTGAAAATATAAATCATATTAAAAATCTGGCTACTTGTCTGATGGAAAGGGCCACCAGTGTTTCCCATGTTTTGACTTAAGCTTTTGCATGACTAGTCAAGGGTGTTATGAAAAGCATAATATCTTTTCTAAATTGAAGCTGAGTGTATTTTACCTAAGTAGCTCATGGGAAAAATGCATAGCTTTTTCTAGATGTGTTTTTTCGGGATGTGGATGGGGAGATTATGGGACCATTTTCTGGATATCACCTGGTTGTGGAATTCCTGTCTTCTTTACCCACTCTTTTGACAATGATTTTATTTTTTTCCCTTCAAATTGACTTCAACTATCTTGAATGGGCAGGTAGAAAAAATTCATTGTATCTGTGTCTCATTTTTTCCCCACTTCCTTTTGTATTAAATAACACACATAGTGCCTTATTTTCAATGCTCTGACATTTTTATTAGACACGCATACTCAGTCACAGTTGCAGCCACATGACTGCCACATGTAGCCAACTCTTGATTTTTAATCCTCAAGAGTTGAAGGGGAAGACTACAAGCACATGAAAAGAATAGGCAGATAAAATATTTTGATTTTTGATGAAAGAACTCTCTTTTCCTTCAATTCAATTCCACAATAGAAATCATGTTTCTTAAAGGGATTCATATAAAGTCTAGTTTATAGCAAGAGGGGGGGTATGCTGTAAGTTGTCTTTGACCCCCTCCTTGCCTGGCAAAAAGGTGCTGATGCATAATAATGATAAAGCAAGAAGCATACCCCATTGGCAAATAAGATGGAAAACCCCCCCCCCTCCTCCTTCTAGGAGAGTGGAGAGTAATTTTTCCTTTCAATATCAACACAATATTGAGCAGATGGCTGATGAGAATTTAAAAAATCAGCTAGTAGAAATTATTTGATACAAGAACAAGTTCTCAGAACTAACTTTATAAGAAATGTACAGCAGACAGTTAAGGAAATTATGATAGAGGCTGTGGGAGTGAAAGGACCTACAGCTGATGGGTTGTTTTTTCTTAATAGCTTCATAATCCCAAACATGGTGTTTTCCTTTATAGGCTCTGGATGGATTTATTGCTGTGATAACACAAGAAGGGCAGTTGTTTTACGTGTCTGAGAATGTTAGGGACTTTTTGGGTTATTCACAGGTGACCAGACTTGTATTTTGTGTTATCTCTGTTTAGCTTATTGCATTGAACGCTTCAAATTTCTTCTTGCTAGGCCTTGATAAAGAGTATTGTAATGTGATTTTGTTTGCTGACTGTATAGTTCTAGCTAGAGGCCAAAGTAGAAAAAATGGTTTTTCGGTGAGACTTAGTTTGTTGATCATATGTCCAAATTGCTCTTCCAATGCTTTCATTGGCTAACAGGTCCTTTGATGTTAATTGCAACTTTTAACCATGTACTCTGCATCACAGCTCCAGCATGTAATAAGTATCCTTTAATCACGCAGAGCTTCTCAGCGTATTGTAATGTAATGCTTCAGGTGCTTTATTTTGTTTGTTTCTGAAGAACTTCACCTTTTGATTGGAAGCTTACATGTACTAGTGACCCATCTAATACCCTTACTCTACATTTTATTGACTGCATGGTAATTTTGTTGCAGGCTGCTGTTATTCACCAAAGCATGTTCAAATTTCTACACATTGATGATCAGGATATGGTGAAAAGTAATCTAGCTTGGCCAAAGCCAAATGGGAAAAAGACAAAAACAGTAAGTACATGTGAAGTTAACTACAGGATGTGTCTCTTGTGAAAGGGTCAGCCTATATATATGATTCTGTTTTCAAGTTCTATCTTCTCAATGACCTGCAGCTCAGACAATGGTTACATAAAGCTTGGGAACAGTTTAGGCTTGAAGGCAATTTGTACTACATTTGATTTCTTTGGAGTCAGTGATGTTGAGTATTAGAAATGTGGCCTACTATACCTAAACTCCATAATTACTTTCTGTTCATGAACAGTTCATCGTCATTTTTACTGGTGAGGTCCTCATTCCCAGTAATCATGATGTAATTAATCAGCTTTTGATTCATCATTACTGATATTGTGGGACCAGGACATTTTAAGTATAGGTGTTTGTACCTACTGGAATTCATAAGCATCAGTTTTTATTCCATTTTTACTAACCTTGTAGAGTTAGGTGTTGATTGAGAATGTTTTACTATTGCAGCAAGCAGATGAAAAAGATGGAGGAAAATTAAGTCTGGGTAGCGTTAAAACAGGTATTTTTCATAAAGATTGAGGAGTTTTTATCAGATGTTATTGAAGATATAGTTAGACACTAGAAGAACACATGTATATGATGTTTTGTTTCCTCCATTCTTGTGAAGGTTCTGATGAGAATGACAGTTTGAACCGCTCATTTACCTGCCGGATGAAGTGTACTTTGAATCATGGTGGTGGATTTTACAAGGTAACTATCTTATTGGTCATAAATGCTAGCTAAAGAAGAATTTGTACAAAAGGAAAGAGGATCTGGCAACAAGCAAACTTGTACTCTTCACTACTCAGAGGCTCTGTCATCCCTTGATCTGAGGAATTGAAATCTCTGTAGGATTATCACCTTTGTGGTCTCATCTGTGTATCTCCTTGTATTTAAGTTTGGTTTTGGATAATGAAACTCTGATTGGTGGCAATAAAGAGGGTGGCAAAGGGTTTTTGTGTGATGCGTGATGGCCCCAAAATTTGTAGGGTGTCACGTGATTGAACCCAGATTAGTGACAGTGACGTGGGACTGGATATCACAACATGATGCGTGATTTGCTATTTTACAAGCACATGACATGTGATACATACTAATTAGATTTTGGAGATAAGTGAATGCTCTTTGACATGGAAGGATACCGATCATTTATAGTAAATAGAGTCTTAACAGAGATCAATATCCTGTGGCAGCAGTGACTCTGTTTTATGGTCTCTTTCAACCTTTACTTGACCTTTGATCTACGTGTTAGGTCCAAACAATCGTAACACAATAGGCATAAGTTAGTATAGTTAACGGTTCTTCAAGGACTCTGACCTTCAGTACTATTTTTGTCAACCGCTTGGTTGTGGTAGTGTATCAGATTGTCCAGAAAGACCAGAAAGTATCCAAATCCATCGAATGAAAGATCTGAAAGAATATTGACACAAACAACCCAAACGGCTGAAATGGTAATATACGTTAGAGTTTTGGTGTCATTTTATGCCATGCAAGAAGAAGGTAATGTAAGCAATGAGCCAGTACACAAGGAAAAATTTTGTGTACTAGTTAGTGGTACACAAAATTTTTCCAAGGTCATTATAGAGACCTAAACAAATTCAAATGTCTCATTATATCCTTTACTGAAATAAAGAAAGTGCAGTACATAAGGAGATTGGGCAAAACTTAGACATAAATATTGCCCAAGTATCAAAGAATAGTAAATGTGGGGTAGACATCTACTCAATTGAATGCAAATTGAAAGATAGCCAAATTAGCAAAGTTCATACTAGTTCTTAAACACCAAACTTTAATGATTATGATGCCATGATGAACACCTCAGATGTTGAATTGAAAAATAAAAAATCTTTGTGAACAGAACTTCAAAGATGAGGCAAACAATCAGCTATTGGATGAAAAGGATATTCAACAAAGCAACTTGAATAAGCTTAACTCTTGTGCTAAATATTCTAATTCTTTAACTTGTTTTTACTGTGTTTGATACTTGTATGTACAATTATGTAAGCCTGAGTAAACACTCTTGGAATGTCTAGTTTCAACAAGTAAGTCATCTTTATTTGTCTAACGAAAAGCAATATGCAAAATGCTGTACTACAATGGCAAATAAAGAAATGCGCTCTTCCTTAAGTCACATATTTTCTTGCAAAGCCTTTTTTTTCTGATTCAACTAGCCAATTGAAACAGATGCACTAAATCAAAGCCTAAAATCTTATCTTTTTTTCTACCAGCACTGTCCTTAAATTTACTTTGTGGTGTTCATAGAAAGTAATTAAGGTACCGGTTTGTAAAGTAATCAAGTAATTATAAGTGGGCAAGTAAGCATTATTAGTGAAGTGCGAGTTTTGTATTGTTATGTATTTTAAGTCATGTTCTGTTTAGTACTGTAATGTAAGTAACATTACGCTGTAAGTGACTGTTAGTAAGTGACTGTTTGTATAAGTAAGAAATAAGTACTGGTAACTAATCCATTTAGTACAGTAATGTAATAAGTAGAGTGATGTCGAGTAATGTAAGTAGAGTAATTTGTAATGCAAGTTTAGTTCTGTACAAATGTTTCTTCAATAAATGTTTATTAAATTAAAAAATATATATATGACAAGTGAAACACAATTCATTCCAGGACAAAAAACGTTGTATGCAATCTAATTTTTAATAATACAACTGATATGTTGATATATTGCAGTACTTACGTCTTTTTACAGGACATGTGATTGGTTAAAAAAATTTTTTGTGATGTGTGATTTAATACAAAAATTCATTGTGAAGTGCAATTGGAACCCCCCTTTGCCACCCTCAATAAAAATCTTGATTGGGGTTTGAAAAGTGCAATAACATGGTTGGTTTTTAATGGCACGTTGTTGACACCAATAGTCCATGTTGATAATGGAATTTTTTACACAGACATTAATGGATGTATTGTTTGATTTTTTTTCCTCACAGCCTTTCAGTTTTCTTAGTGTACTGCTTGTTTAAAGTCCCTGTTATTTCAAGTGTGTTAAAGCAATGTTGTAAAGGATCTGGAGTACATGCTCTGATCCCATTCATTAACTCCTGATGTGAGAACTTTTATTGCCCTTTATCTTCCAAGTATGCCTGTCACTCACTGAGCACATTGTCTTTCAGCTTTTCAGATTATCAGGCAGATTGAGGGAAATCCACACTCGTAAACGAGACAGTCAGGTGGTGGAGTATGGCCTTTTTGCTATCTGCTCACCAGCAAACAATCCAAATTCTCATCATGCAGGTGTGAATATTAAGAAAGAGGTTGCCTTGACTGCTCAGAAGAGATTGGAAAGATCTAACAGTGACCCAGTTTGTGTAAGGTATGAAGCCTGGTGTTGAGCTGTGTTTTGTCGCGGGCAGACTTTTGTGTTCAACCAAAATGCTGGAGAATAGTCGCAGTGAACACACTAAACACTCAGAGAATTTCTTCTTTTAATTCTGAAAGTCACTGGCTAAGGGAAATCGATATGTTTCAATTGGTAATTAAGCTGTTGTACCTGAAATTTGGACACATCAATTCCCCTTGCCCATCGTATAGAGTGAGCTGCTGATACTACATCTTTCCATCAACCAATACAATTACCGCTTCCAATTGTTGACCTCCTATTCTTTTTGTCTTTTCTCCTTGTTTATTTTTAGGAGAACTGGTCTTCCTTTGACTGGAATGTTACATTCCATGCCCATCAGCCGTCACTTTTCAATGTCTGAAAATCGTTCTGCGGCTGTCAGTCCACTGGCATCACCTACAACTTCTACTGACTCTGGCCACCCTTCTCCAGACTCTAGCCAAGGAGGAAAGATGTTACTGACAGATTCAGATGTACGTAGTGACGGCAGTGAGGTTTCTCCACCATCAAGCAGCAACTCTCAAGATGTTGATGGAAGGCCAGCCTCAGAACGTCTCATGTCTGGTATAAACAACCCATTTGTAAATCCCCACAGGATTGATCGGAAACGAGCTGCTGCTTTTATGGATTCTATGATGGCTGAAGACAAAGATCCCACAAGGAAACGTTCTCGCAGCTTGGCAGATGCTGAATTGTTCTTACGAGATGGCATAGACCACAGATCTTTGTTCTTCAGAAATAACCTGCCCACTGTTCCTGAAGTGAAAGTAGAAAATGGTAAGAAGAAAGAGGAATGTACCCAGTCTTCTGATGTGCCTGGTAGGAGACTATTAAACAACCATGACAGTAGACTTGATGCAGCTCAGGGTCTTGTGAATCTTGGAAACATGGCTTCCCAGTTTCCTGGACTTTGTGCTTTTCCGCCTGAATTGATGTATCCTGATGTCATGTTTCCACGCGTTGATATGCTTCATGATCTGCAGCACTTAAGGAATCCTTTTGACATTCACAATCCCTACTGTCTAGGAAGTGATCCCTACACAGCTGCTTTGGCGATGAGGCGATGGCTCAATAATCCAGACATGTTCCGTTCTCAGCTGAACCCATTGTTGGCTGCCCAATCAGGGCTTCTGAGCCCAGCTGAGAGGCTGCGCTTTCTTAAGTTTCCATTTGGTTACCCCTCTCCATTTTCCAATCCATCACCCTTTGATTTTAGTGCGGCTGCTGCTGCTGCAGGGCTGACAGAAAGGAACCTGCCTGAGTATGCCTTTAGGAGCCTCTACCAGAATGGCCTGGTTCCTGATATGGCCAGGAGTAGTGCTTTAAAAGAAACAGAGCAGAAGCAGACTTCATTCACAGAGAAACAGGCCAGAGAAGGGAGCTCCTCTCCACCAAGTAAAACACCTAGCAAATCAGCAACCCCTGATAATTCCAAGAAGAGTGAAGTAGAAAATGGAAAAGAGAAAAAAGAGGAAAGTGATATGGACGAATTCTTTGAAGAGAAGAAAAAGTCAATAAAGGATAGAAATGCTGCAGAAGAGGATGAAGATGAAGATGAAAAAGTTGATGTGGTGGGGGGAGTCAAGCCAACATCAGTACTGCGACAGACATTTGCAGGGATTCAAGAGGAATTCAATAGTCGATTGGAGAACTTGAACAAGTCATTTGCTCGATCTTTGGATCAAAATATGACTTGCCCTTGAAGCAGGTAAGTTCCTAGTAGCTATGGAAGCCTAAAAAATTGTCTAGAAAAGATGTTTGGGCTAATTGAAACTCAGTCCTTGAGTTTTTTCGTGAATTTTTACACATTTTTGTCTTCCTTCTCCATTTCTTGTGCCAGGTCTAGTTTCTTTTGAGTCAAATCTCTCATTTTCTTTTATAGTACAATGTAGTATTCATACAATGATGAATTGTTAATCTACGTCAGTCTGTCTGTTTGTGCCTCCATTGTCTTTCTTCATACTTGTGTTACTTTTGTTTCTTATTGGACACTGGAAAGCAATGTGCTATAGAGCCCAAAGATCTTTTCTAACCTCTGACAGTTGAAAGGGCTTCCTTGGTCAGCCCTTACTGTTATTTTTTCAATGGTTATAGGCTTGTCTATAGTTTGGACAATTGGGTTATTGAAAGTAGTTATTGTTTCCAAGCAATGCACTCTGGATTTCAGCTTCAAGAATATGGAACAACTTAGATATGTAGTGATTGTAACATGCTAGAGATCTTCTTAGTAGTTGTATAGCTGCAGTGTGAAGCTTTGTATATTGCCTTATTTGCTTTTGCCTTTTTTAGAGATAAGGTTTGCTAGATTACAATGGAGGTGAAAGGAACCATGAATATATGTTTCCTTTTTAAGGTAGTGTATAGATTAGGTGTGATTAGCACATAAGGATATTAGAATGTTAGTTTTAAGGATTTTGAGGACTACCTCGTTCGATTTATTCACACCCTCTAGATTAGGGTGTGGCAGATACCACATGTACTTCTTAGCTTTGTTCTCAGACCAGCTTTGGACATATTGTCTTCAAAGCACTGAGAACCAGGCACAAAATGCTTCGCTTTGGCAGGGCATTGGGATTCAAATAGAAAATGGGGGAAGACAATCTTGTATTAAACTGTTCAAGGAACATGGAAGGAGAGTTTCCCCAAAATTTTTGGACAGAAATCATCAGTTGTTGTGGAATGATAAAACTGAATATTGATCAAAGGGATCATTGGCTGACTGCGGACTGTTGGGGGTAAAATTGTGTCCGATTTTTCCAATACCACTTGTACTTCTTACTATGCGAGCAAGAATCATTGTTGCTTGCTGCCCTCAAGGGTTATCAGTGCATTCTCTAGTAATTGTGGAACAATTATTGAGATTGCTCAGTTTATTTTTTCATGTATGCCTTCAGTACTTGCCTGTAACAAAATAGCCGAAAGCAAACATTTGGGGTCATTAGAATTAACTTTAACTTTGCCTGCTTGGTTATCTAGAATCAGGTTGGTTGTTCTCAAATACACCTTTTTTTCCTTAAGCTTATTTCAGTCATAAAAGCGTAATGTTTTAGTTGTCTTGTCATTTAGTTTTGTTGTTTATTGTTCAGTTAATTTAATGACTGTGTTTTCAGCACCGTCGAGAAATACTGAGTTAAGTTACTTTTTCAGTGACTTTGTTGTAACTATCTCTGAAATAGCCTGCTATGTGTGATAAAATAGCATCTTTGGAGTAAAGAAGTGTAGAGCACAGTTCAATTGTATAGTTTATAATAACTCATTTGTGGCAACTAGTCAGCTAGAATGAACCAGACGGGACAAAATTCATTTCGTGTAAAATCAGGCTCGTAATTTTACCAATCAGTCGTTTATAACAACTATGTTTTTTCTTGAATTATGCTATGCAGTCTGTGTTGTTGCTTATTGTATTATAATTGCAAATAAACTCATACTTAGAAAGCGACTCGTGTCTTGGCAATGCATAATCGGAGTTTCTTAGACGGGTGAGGTGCGCGTCCAGAACGCGTCTGAAGTGCGGTCTAAACGCGGCCACCGTTGGACGGTTTTGTAAGTTTATAGGTACAGAAGCATCGCATTAGTTAGGTACACAGTATGGATATTTTGATCTAATTACAGTGAGACTGACTTAAGGGAGTTATTTATCCTCCTCTTATTTAGGTTTTCATTCAACGTTTTTGATTAGTATTTTGTTATAGCGTAGTCCTTCCTTTGGCTCTTTGGGAAACGAGTATTCAGAATAAGAAAGCTTTTGTACTTGAGTAGTATTTAGGTGGTCTTTTTTTTTCTTGAAATTGTTTGTATGTTTAATTTGGCAGGGTTTTAATCAAAGTAATTTTTCAAGAGTGTTCAGTTCAGTTTGTTTTCTTTTAATTATTTTTCGTTGATTGTTTTTGTAAAATTTTCCATCTTTTGTGGCTACCACCTTCACCTGATTGATCTAGGATTGTATTGTTACCAAACGCTCTGAACAAAGGGAAGGAAAGTAAATATATTTTTAGCAGATATAAGAAAGCAGGCTGCTATATAAAGCCAAGCTGTTGTTTTAACACCACCTAGTGGTCAATCAAGTTCTGAAAAAAAAGCGCATTTATAGTATAGAGTACCGATATTGAACGCAGAGTGCAGACTTCTTTGTAGTGTGTAAGATTATCCAGTAAAATATATATCCGCATGTATCTTCATATACCTCATGTTATAGAAAGAGTAGAGACTATTGTATTGTGGTAAATAAATAAAGCTTCTACCTGAATTTTTTTTCCTTTGGTTCTTCTTTATTTGTTTTTCCTAAGAAGTTGAACACAACCTATGCCTATTTATTGTGAAATTTAAAACTTTACACCTTAAGAGTGACCAGCAGTTAAATTCTCCTTACTATATCACCATAACATAAACATAAAGGTAATGAGTTTAAAGGTATTGATCACTAACTAAAGAAGGTCTTGATTGTCAAACAAATTCTCCTTGTACATAGAACATGGTGGAGAATATGCATACTGATGTTAGAGTGTCAGGAAAGGGTAAAATGAATTTGTTTTCTATCGCCAAGAAAAAGAAGCCCTTTTTCTTTGAAGTCCTTTCATCCCTATCGGAAATGCTGAGGCTCTCTCGCTGTGATATACACAGTACAAATTAGCGAATCTTTGTGGTCTGTTACAACCATCTTTTGGTTACGTTTTTGTATGTGCACTAACAATTTTCCCACTCACCCACCCTTTACCAAGTCAACAAAGGTTACGAAATAGGTATCTCCAGTCATAATGATGACAAAATGATGTTGTAAAACTGGTTTGTGGTAGCAAAAGAATGTGAGCTTATGCGACCAAGGTAGTCACACTATTTTCGCGCAATTTATGTGCGTTATTGACCAAGCGTGAGGTCAAGATGGCTGGATGTAGGCAAAGTTCTTTTTTGCGTTTTATCAGTGAGACGAAATGATAAACAGATCGGACTCCCGCTGCGCGGTTATCCAATTTTGTTGCACTTTCGGAAAATGCAGTTGTTAACTATGAATTCGTATCGGTGATAAACCTTGGAAAAAGCTATCATTCCTTTTAAAGCCGCTGTAGCGTTTCCCCGGAAATTCTGCAGAAAAATCTGATACTGGTTCTGGAGAGTCGGTCGCAGCCTGATTATCGAAGATGAAAAGTCTCTTGATGGCTATCTCCACACTACTAAACAGCGTTTCGGCTGCATAAACAGAATCCTTTGACAGTCCTTCGTTACCCTAATGATCAATTCATGTTGTTTCATAGAAATTCAGAAATATATTAGTAAAAGCTAGCTTTTATTTGAATAATAGCTTTTTACACTTCGCATTATTTGAAAAGCTTCATTTTTTTTATTCAGAAAGAGGGAAACAGATGATAATTGTTAAGCGCGCCAAAAAAAAAAACATTACTTATCACTCAGAGTTTTGTTTAACAAGCGTCAGCTGTTCTCTCTTCCTTTAATTAACAAAAGGGACTGATAGCTTTTTCCAAGGTTTATCATCGATATGGATTCATAGTTAACAACTGTACTTTCCGAAAGTGCAACGAAATTGGATAACCACGCAGCGGGAGTCCGATCTGTTTATCACTTCGTCTCAGTCCATAGGGTGCAAAAAATAACTTGGCCCACATCCAGCCATCTTGACCTCACGCTTGGTCTGAACTGAAGAAAATCCATTCCATATGACTACCAATCACTTCATCACGGATGGTTTGCCAATCTCGAGCCCAGGGTCGTTTTAGCTCCTTGTCTGCGGTACGGTCGCCAAATAATAACATTGTATGCGGAATTATTATGGACATTACTGTATGTATTTAAAGTATAGGACATAATAGGTATTGAGTATAATTCCATAATACATGGCATAATTCATTTATATTTTGGATTAGGGAACGTAGACTTAGGGAGCTGTTTGTGAAAGAAGTCTCTGATAACATTGAAGAGTACAGAGACTGGATGACAACTAGCGTTAATGGGTTAGAGGAAGTTTACAAATTTAGCCAAGACGGATTTTTCGCAAATGAAGTTGGTGATTTATGCGCGAGAGCAACAGCTCAAGTCTTGAAAATTCCAATTGTGATTATTACCGCTCTCCCTTCAACACCTACGGTGCCATTCCTACCACACGAATTCCTTACCACCACACCCATCTACATTGCATATGATCATTCTGGGCCAGGCCACTACGATGCCACAAAAGGTACTCGATAATTGTTCAATAACCTTAGGTTAAATTAGCAGTTATAAATTCTGATAATGCTACATACCTCCTCATATATCGAGGTTTGAACTGAGAATTTTCGAGAGGCACCCTTATAAGGTTGAAGTCTTGTACTAGTACTAAGTTGTAAATGCTTACGTTAATAAAACTGAGCCGGAAATCATTTAATGGAGAAAAATGATGTTTTCTTCATTTGTGCTGAAACGAATTCTGTAAATCGAGGTTATTTCAGATATAAGCAATAACTATTTACCGACGTGTCGGTGGCTAATAGTAGACATTTAACGAGCCGCGAAGCAGCTTGGCAAATATTCACTAATAGCCACGACACTGAGGCGAATAGCTGTTTTTAGTACACACTAAATCAGTGAGATAATATGGCACAAAAGATGATTTTAATAATCAATTTATTCCTGTACGTGCGGCAAACCGCGAGTTTCTCGGAGGTAAATAGCAAAGGATATTCAGAGTTTGAGTAGCCATCAGAGCACACCTTCAACGCTGTCCACCGTTTTTAGTATATACTAATGACCTTTAACTTGTCGAAACCCTTGTCGAAAACCATTGCATTAATTCTTGACAGTTTCAGAAGTTTCAAGTGAGAATGGCTGTGACGAACAAGCGAAGGAAACAAGATGCACTTGCGGTAAAAAACAAGAAAATAAGTCAGTTTCAGACATTTTCTGTGTTTCTGGTAAATGCCCGTGCCACAAAGTGAACCACTCTTTGTACCCGTCAGTGTAGATGTTACAATTGCAAAAATACGTGCAATTCCAATGAAGGTGTGAAGGTAACAAAGAGTCTGAAGAGAGGCTGTAGGTGCGGAGTTGGACAAAAGAGCAAAGGGGACGGAGAACCAAATGCAAGTCACAAGTCGTGTCAAGACAGTCTCCGCAAGTCGAAGTGTCCGTGTAGCGGGTGGCATAGGATGCACCAAGTCTGCAGATGCTTTAATTGTGGAAACATTGTTCAAGCTCGAGCTGACCAGGAAAATCCCCAAAACGAAAGAAGCTCATTTTGGCTACCATACCGCTGACAAGGAACCAAAATGACCCTGGGCTCGAGATTGATGCTTTGCTAGCTTTGTGATGGTAGGCCAGGCTGCCCTGTTTACGGGTTTCATTTTCGAATATGGCAGCGAGTCGAACGACATGCAAACATTGTACTACTTGGTGCGGCCACGAAATCTAGCTTTCCTTTATTACACCCTCGTTGACAGACTGTCTAAGTTTCCAGTGATGGCCTTTTCAAGCTGTTCAAAGAACAGAGAAAGTCGCGCTGATCAAGATAAGGGACCCATACAATTTTTTTCAGGTTCGAGGTTTCCTTACTGCCAGTTTTCAAACTTTTACGAAGTGGATATCGAGATGGCGGAGGGAGTGTTTCCGTCGGTGGAACATTACTTTCAGGGAATGAAATTCATACCAGAGGACAGAGTACGGTTCATGAAGGGCGGAGAATTCGACAAAAGGAAAGAGAGTAAGGCCTCAAACGCCAGAGAGGAAGTGGCGAAAGGGAGATTTGCCAAGTCTGCCGGATCTAAGTCGGGTTCTGCTAAATACAGTTTGACGCTAGCATCTGGTGGTTTAGACCAAGAGGTAGCTAAAAAGAGAATGAAAAGAGCTTTGCAAAAGAAATTTGAACAGGAACCCTTTAGAAGTCTACTTTTGGCAACCAAAGGTGTTCAATTAATCCATATCCCAATGAGGGGTCGAATTGATTTCTGGACAGGGAAAAAAGACAAGAAGACTGGAGAAATTGTTGGTGAGAACACAATGGGAAAAATACTCATGGAAATCAGGGGTATTATACAGGAAAACCGTATTTCCTGGAATAAGCGCCCACACTCTGATGAGTGCCTTCCCCAAAAGAAGCGCCCTAGGTTAGGCCTACCCCCTAATGTCAAACTAGCACAACCATGAAATAAACGTCCCTCTCTATTTATACCATTTTGAGCTTCAACTACAGTGCGATCAATACAGGAGAATTAGTTTGTTTTCTATTAAGTCTCTTCCAATTAATTTTTTCCCATGTGCTTACTGTTCTTTTATTTTTTTTCCTACTGCCATGCCCTTGGTAAAAGTTGTTAGCTTCCCAGGATCAACTAGAACATTCTTTAGTCTTCAAGCACTGGTATTTTTTTTTAGGATAATAAAGTTATTGGGATGCATTTGAAGAAAACAGTGCATTTCTTGATAAAGTACCTTCATTTTAGTAAGTGCCCCTCCTTTAGTTTAAATGTTAAATAAGTATTAGGGCTATTTAAACATTGGATGGTAAGAAATGATTTTAATTATAGATATCTTTGAATAAACTACCATAAATTCAACAAGCCACTCTTTTATTATATAAGCTATACCCACACCCACTCCCCCCCCTTGACAGAGCTTCAAGTTTTTATTAAGAGTTCTTCTTTGATGGGCCCCCCTCTGTCCCTTGCTCTTGTATAAAAACCCCAAAATATAGATGCAAGAAGATATAATAAGGCTTAAACACTGCAAAGTCCATTGTAATACTCCATATAATTATTATGTATTGGGGCTAGGTATTGTTTAAGAGCAAAATCTTAATGTATTTGAAAACCTATTTTAATTTCCATGTAAAGATAATTTGGGGGCTTTTCAAACAGAGAAAGTAGTGCAGTTGAAATGAAAAATGGTTATGAGGCTCACCCTCAAGTATTTAACCCTCTCACTGTAAAGATTCAGATAAGAATCCTTCTTACTGTCTGCTTTACATTTCAAATGACTCAAGCTTAGGGCCGGGTTGTCCAAAGCTGGGTTAAGTGTGAAATCTGATTTCAGAGCTGAAAACTGTAAGAGAAAATTCAGTATAATTCCTTTTTTCAACAATTTTATGATTGGACACTATAAATAAAAGGGAAAATTATTTGAAAAAGGCTTTAGAACAAAGGAATCAAGAAACCTAGATTAAAATTTTAATTCTAGGTTAGCACTAATTGGCTATTGATCAATGAGGAGTATTGTTCAATGAAACAATGCATGTACCCTTGGTGGTGTTTTTCTTCCATTCCATCACCTTTCTTCTTGAAAATTAATTGATACTATATGTACAAATAACTGACACAGTTGCTATTCTGAGGAGTGATAGGATAAATAAACTTTCCCTCTCCAATTAGTTGATGAGGTAATAGACCAATTTCCATTGTTCTAATTTTTTCTCCTTTGTCTTGAGATTATTGTGTAAGGATGAGAAAGATTTACAACTGTGAATTATTGTAACAATAATGGCTGAAATATAGATTGTGAGGTTAATGTTATCTAATATTGGGAATAAAATGTACTTTGCTTAGCTTGTCATGGCAGATTGGTTAACACATCTGGCTTTACAAGGCATTGGTGCTCCAGTTTTTTACCCATTAGGAATTAGTCCTTTGAAACCTGCCTTTTTCATTGCATCCTTTACATACCTACCCATTGTGTCTGTACATTGTTAAAGCTCCAGATCTGAAAAGAGCTCATCAAGAACAATGATAATCTAATATCAGCAAACCTTGAAATTTCACATAAGCAGTGGTGTATCATGCATGCTTCAACACTGGTTATGAGTGCTACTTTATAGCTCATGCCAATCAGTGAGTTTGCTTCTGATGTATAACTGATGGGTTTTAATCACTTTATTTTGCTTTTAAGTTATCTTTATGATAAGTTTGACTTTGGATTTTACAACTGAAATTGCAATGACTGAGCACTGCATGGTGTGATGGCATGTATCTTTTAAAACACCTCTATTCAAGAGAAAACTTCATGCTAGGGATGTTTAGATCCTAACTGAAGAAGAATTCTCTCATAATCCAATTGCCTTAAGAGAAACACTTATGATGAGAATGATTTTTCTGCTCTCTATGGGCTTACCATTGAGAAAGGTCCCTGCATGTTGCCACACATTTCTACAAACTGCATGCTGGTATTTTAGAATCCTCTTGCATAATGTCAGCACTTATACCAAGGTATCCATTGCTCATCTTCAGTAATCAGATTGGTCAATTTTTATGAAGCCAACAACAATTTACTGTACAGTCACTATAGAACTTCAACTAGCCTTGTCATCCCTTATTCAAAATCATAATCACTAAAGGAAAGTAAGGATGCTGAAATTAATTAAATCATAACCTGACCCTAAGGCTAACAATAGAACTTCCTTAGAACAGCTGGAAGAAGGTCTCCTTCTCTCTCTGTCACGAAAGGCACTCTCAGCGTTGCGTGACAGGAGATTCAAACACGCGGTAACAGCCTGGGAACAATTTTGTTGAAATGGCGGACGGTAACCTTTGTTATTTTCGTACTTGTTTAGGTTTTTTATTGTGGCTTTTGCAGGCTTCAACTCTTTCATATGGAGGGCAAAAACTACGAATGGTTAATTTGGTGAGTATACCTCTGAACTCCCGCCATTTTGATGGGTTGAGTTACCAAGAAGATGCAGGTTTTGCTCGTAATCATGTTATCATGCAAAATTTTTCAGACTTCCCTAATAGGTTTGTCTGCTCGATAATATGTACACGTGTAACTTTTTTTCCTGTGCTGGTCATCTTTTTCGAAACATGAAAAGATTCCTCTAAACAAATCCGATCAAGCAGAGAAAAAGTCTTCTCACCTAGAAAACGATCGCATATTTAGTAATCTTGTTAAAGAAATGTTTACGTCACCAAATTTTCGTACTATTCACCGGATTTCACTGAAAAATTTCAAGGGAAATCATGAACGAAAGTAACAGTGATGGTTTTTCAGCTTAAATGCTTCCGCTACGCTCATTTACTTCCCTATGTTACTTTATACATTTAAAATAATGGCTGTAGGCAATATATTTGAATGATTTAATAACAACCTGTTAAATAGAAAAAGTTAGTCTACATCATGATTTCGCCTCTCAAAATGTTTTATCTTCAAAAATAAAGGGCTGCCCTTTGATGTTTACTGATTGGAGAGATACAGTATAACACCTATCACTCTAACTCCGGAGGCAAAAATGTGACGTACCGTAATAATTAACAAGAAATCATGTTTTAACCATTTTTGTGCGCGATCAACAGTCAAGAGCTTTTGTTATATGTAGAAGGTTTAGTGTAGGAAGTTTAATCAAATGTATAACATTTTCATAAATGTTAGTACCTGCAAATGAATCATAATTTACGATTGAGACGTGTCAACCCGCCATGGTCTGACAGTTTCATCTTTAGAGACCAACTCGTTTTACTAAGTTCGAGTTGAACAAGAGAGATTTTGACGTGCAAAGTTTGTCTTTTAATCAGGTTTATCGACATGGGGACAGATCACCTGTAAGATTTTTTAAATCAGATAAGTATCAAAATTATTGGCCACAAGGAGAAGGACAACTTACTCAGGTTAGTTCCTAGACTTAAAAATGAAAAATGTTTTTTTACAATTTGTATTTTTCACGTGAGGTCCAAAAGGCAAACACCCTAAAAAAAGCGAATTATAATCCTGTAGCAACAAGTTCTTGAGTTAAGAATGTGAGTCCATCTGTATAAATAGTTTATTTGTGGCAAATTTGAACACATAAACATAAAGTTAATTTTGACACTAGTTCAGAGTTGTTAACATAATCTGATTACCATTTTTTCTATATTTACTGTGAATTATAGATAGGAATGAAACAGGAATATGAACTGGGCAGGTTACTGAAGGATCATTATGTTGAAAAGAACAAGCTCCTGAATTCATCATATCTGTTTAAAGAGGTAGACACCAATTAATATTCATTTTGTTTTATTTTTTATTTTATACATTAGCCATTTTGATAAAAGTACAACAGTTTACAACTAATAGTAAAGAAAAAAAACAGTTTAATAGGGAGGAAAAGTAACAATAATATAATATTTTCAATGAATGATTTGTCAACAATATATTCAGAGACTGTGGGATGTCTATTGAAAAGAATAGTAGGTGGAAGAAGAAGGCGCAATGCTGGGGTTTTAAACAAAATGTGTGAATGGGGTGTTACCTATATCACATAGATAGGAAAAAAGGATTGTTTAGATGAATTTTTAATAAATTCCAGGGACCACTACCCAAGCACCACCTTTTGATGGGAACACTGAGAATTTTTTCTAAATCTATCACACAAGTTATAACTGAAAAAGAAATCTGACTTAGTATTGATTTTGTTTTTCAACCCCTTGTAACAGATCTATGTTCGCAGTAGTGATAGGGATCGCTGTATCATGAGTGCTCAGGCCCAGCTTAATGGTCTTTATCCACCTCATGGAAAACAGGTAAGGTCACCATTATGAAGTAATGTTCTTGCTCCAGGATTTGCTAAGGGATTTGACTAGTTTTTGAAAACTTGAAAATTGTGAAAAACTTGATTAAGTTTGCAAAAGAAGTCTGGACATTTTTTTCGGCTGTGATAAGCACTCACCCCTGAGCCTGTAATTTCTATGAAACACATTCATATCATGATAATAACTAAATGAGTCAGGGAATTTAAATGGTGCAGTTGAATTGGAGGCTGATGTGGACATGAATGGTATTATTGCCTACAAAGTTCAAGATTTATGCTTTAATGGTGTCATGGATTATCATTGCCAGAAAGAAAATTCACTCTTAATGGGAGGTCTCATTAGAATGGAGAAATGATTGGTGATCTGTTTCTAGATATGGAGGAATGGTCTGGACTGGCAACCAATTGGAGTTCATGTGGTACCAAAGAATGAGGATTATGTAAGTTTTACTTTATCTAATTGTATTAAAAAAGTTGTTTAAAATTGTTTTCCATCTAGTATTCTTAAATATCCATAATCATTTAGCTTACAACTGTTTTAAATAAGTTTATTCATGATCCTGTATTTTCATTGGCAAAAAAATTATGAAAGATATTTGGCAAGAAAACTGAATTTAAGGTTATAAAATGTAGATCCAAATTGTAAATTATTAGTGCAACATCTACTGTTACAAAGCAATTTCAAAATCACTTAGTACCCTTTCTTAACTAAGTACATTTTTGGGTTTTACTGTATATCTTGTTCACTTCCACATACCAAAATGTTTTTCCTTTAAGGTTCAAATTTGGCTTGATTGGCTGATTGATATGACTATATTTTATTGGCATGGGACTTAATATTATCAATGTTTTACCAGTTGTGAAAGTTAAGTCTTGGTAACAATTTAGAAAGAACAACTAAAAGGTGACATGGAATGTATTTAGGGATGTAAATTTTGGAAATTATAAATTTGATAGTATAACAACATTTGTGCTTAAAAATCTTCTTAAGGATTCAATTCTTGTTAAAGTAGCCTTACTGATTTCTTCCTTTCTTTAAAAATATTGATGTTGACTTGCAGTTTCTGCGGCCATATGATTACAATTGCCCTCGCCTCAGTGAGCTGAGTAAAAATTATAAACAAGAGGAACAGTACAAAAATATGGCCAAACAAAACAAGGTGAGAAGGATTATCTTTTCATTTCCTTGTAAAAACCTTTTGACAATAGGTTCCTTTTAGTACCCAGGCTTTTTTTTGTTATTTGTCTGTCTGTCTGTCTATCTATCCATCCATCAACTGGTCTATCTATCTGTCGGATTCTCAGTCCATAAATCCATTCATGCCTTAAATTCATCATCTTGAGTCTTGATTTGTCCATCTATTCATTCATCCTTCCATCATCAATGTGTCCATTTTCTGATCAGAATTTCTTTGTGCCCCTTAGTCTTAATGCATAGCCGTGTGCAATTATGAAGAATAATGTATACATTATAACATGTATTGAGGATGATTTGCCAACATTACCTTGGCAATTTCTGTTTAAATGCAGGAGGTACTGGCTTATATATCAGCACATGCTCAGCAAAATGTAACTCTAGACAATGTTTGGGGCATCTATGACACACTTTTCTGTGAGGTATTTATTGGCATTTTTGTTTTAATTAATATGCCAAATTATGATGTATTATTTGACCTTTGTTTATTTAATGGTCAGTAGTTTTTTCAGCATCATCCACCTGCATTTGACTTGACTGTATTAGTGCAGTTTTCTGTTTTCAGTTTTAAGTATGTTAATGTGTACTTAATGTATACAGAAATGTACATAGTTGATTTTATTAAGTTGTCATTGTATTATAACTCATTAATTCAGTAAGTTACTGCAAGAGAGTTTAATAAACTGTTATTATTATAAATAAAATTTATTTTAACCTCTGTGTTGCATGTAACCTTTGTTTAAAATTGGTAATTATTTATTTAAATGTTATCAAATGTTTGTCTCTAGCTTCCAGAGAAATTGAACCTGGTTTTAGTTTTCTTGTTTTGCATTGAAATGGTACATACTATAAGTTATGGGAAATTTTTTGTGAAGATAGGCCATCTGCTGGACAAGTTTAATTAGGTTTTCCAGTCTTGGTTTCTGTTTTTTTTTAGTATTGGTTTTGTTTGTTTTTTTTTTAATTTAGAAATCACATAACCTGACACTTCCTTCTTGGGCTACAAATGGCACAACTTGGGAATCCCTTAGGAATTTGAGTGAATTTGAAATGACATCATTATTCAACTCTCCAGAGAAAGCTAAATTGACGGGAGGTTTGTCACACTTTCTTAATTTTTTGTTTTATTGTTTTATTGAAATGAATCAGTGAAAAGTGAGAATCAGTTGATCATTCAATGAAAGCAGCCAATTGAAATTTGAGAAGCCATTGCTATGTTTGCAGCATTTCTTGAAGCATTGGTGAGAGAAATCAAAGAAGAAATGTGCTATTATAAAGCAAACAAACAAACAAAGCTTGACATCCTTAATAAAGGATTGCTCTGCTGTACAGAATGAACCTTGTTCAGGCATTCCTAGGCATCCATTGTTTCCAAGATAAGCTTCTATAAATATTGCGTTTAGTAGTTCTGTGGCCAGTGGGAAAATGCATCTAAGTTTTGTGGCTTTAAACCAAACCCACTCAGCTTAACTAATTATGCCAAAACGTCAGTTTAGAAATTGTGCAATTAATTTAAACAGATTTATCAAACTTTCTGACCTGTACTTAGCAAGAACGAGTATTGTAAACCTCTTGGTCTAGTCTGCCATGTTTTATTTTTTTGTATAATGCAAAGCAGGTTGGAACCTATTTACACAGGGGGCCCAATACACAACACTTTCCTTTCATGTATTTTGAAAACTCACATGGCAAGATTTTTCAACTTCTTGCCAGCTTCACTTGAAGGTGTATTTTCATTGAGGGAAAATTTAAAAGCTTAATTAAACTTCTAGATGGTTGCATGATTGATGAGAATGTTTTGTTGTTTAACTGTATTTTTTTCAGGTTTTATTTTCTCAATGCCCTCTAAAGGGATAATAATAGTAATAAAGTTTATGTTCTCACCCCTTGTCAAATGGCTTCTGCTGTAATGAGTCTGAGTCTGACTCAAAACATATTTATGCCCAAGAACATGTAGTCTATTGTTATATTTTCATAATATTATTCAGAGTTGAAACTCTTTCCAAGTACATTTTCAGTAATGTATTGTTGTTGAAGCATAATGAATGTTATTTTGTTTGTCTCTGTTCTTGTAAACAAGAGTATATAAAAACATTGTTTTAAAACTCTATTAGACAAAAACACGAGGATAATACAGTTTAAAACATAACTTAGACACAACGCACACTCTGAATGGTCAAACATCTATTGTATATTTGCTTGTAAACCCATAGCAAACAGAAACATCTTCCTTTCCTGTGAGGTGGCGCCACACGAGGTGGAGTCCCAGATCTAAATTTATGAAAGGCTTTTGGTTTGGTTGAAATGAAAAGGCCAGAGCAACGAAAAATATTTTATTTTTCTTGGGATTTTTATTTTAACCTTTTATTTTTCATGGGATGTTGAACTAACTTTTCTTGTGTTCTCCCAACATCCCAAGTGGTTTATTAGGCAGTAAAGATTTTTCTCTGTCATATTTTATAGGAAGTTTAGTGGGTGCCATTATCAAGAACATGCAAGGTTACCTTAAATCAGATAGCAAAAAAATGTACATTTACTCTGCTGTAAGTAATTTGATCTTTATTTATTTTTATTTTACATGGAATGATTCCATTTAATTCCCTATGACACCTTATTCTTTGTTTGATCACTATTTTAAAGACAAAGTTAGAGAGGTTCTCAAACAATATGGACCATACAAGGTTCTTTGTCTGTTCAAGAAAGAAACAGTGAAACAGAATGTTGTGTATATGAAATAATTTATTTAATAATTCATCATACAACCATGTAGTTCATGTGACTAAGAAGTTTAAAAGGTGCTGACCCTGGTGCTGAAAAGCAAATGAAAGTAAAGATGAAAAAGAAAGTATCAAAACCTTAAAAGCACACAGAAATTTGAAGTTAGGCTTAATTTAGCATTTAATATTTGAGAAATGCGCTTTCTGCAGCTGTTGTTTGATATGTGATTGGTACGGGTTTCTTTAAGTCTGCTCAGCAGTCTTCGTTTGTCTTCGTCACGCAACACGATACCTCATCCATCAGCTGGGAATGAATTGCGTGACAGGTAGTAGCATTTTATGTGACGAGCCCAAATAAGGAGACAAGTGTTATGAGAAACTATCCAGTTTTTTTGTTTGTTTGTCTCTTTTGCGTGCGTGTGTGCGTGTGTGTTCATAGCAATTATTATTGTAAGGGTAGAACTAATCCTGAATTTGATTGGTTTCATTTTGTTATGAGTTCTGTGATTAGTCTAGAAATCTCGTCCTATCTCGTCTCAACCAATCACATGCAAAACTAAAACCAATCACGACCTGGCCAATCACCGCGTAGTCTATGAGCAAGCCCTCATTTTTTCAGCGCCACTGGACGCTCGTTTCTCCGCCCGCAGAGACGAGTCGGGGAGAGGTTTACCAGGGGTCTGGCACTAACTGTTATCAGTGTTAAACCGCTTGCAGACCTCACGCTGGCTTGCATGCTCAAGGTCTCCAACTTCCCCGCGAGCATTGTGCCAAAGCGCTAATATAATGCGGTGTTCATTGCGCTTCAGGCAAATCCCTGAGATGTTCTTCTTTATTCTGATAATTTAGCTTTGGCTTCAGACCACTCAATCTAAAAGCGTTTTAAACCATCACATGTCACTTTTATTAGCGTCAATCCCTTATCATAGTTAGTAGAGTCTCCTCTACTAACTATGCCCTTATCAACAAGTTTATCTGGTGTAAAGTGCCTTGCTATCATGGCAGTTTTAACTCGTACACATAATTCACCTTGATCTTACCATGTTGTTTGTCTGTGAACGATACAGCATGACACTACAGTGGCTGCTTTGCTGAGTGCCCTGAATATTTATGATGGGATCCAGCCGGCTTACTCCAGTGCAGTCATCATCGAACTCTTCTCAGATGAAAATGATGCTAAGTAAGTGAGGCACGAAATTCTTCCGAAAATTTCAATTGCTGAGGCTAGAAATGTGTTAACTAACGAAAGGAAAAAGATCTCGCATCTTCAACACACATCAGATTCACCGTGAAATAACTTGCTAGTGCGATATGTGTTTTGATCTTTGCGCCTCTTCGTCGATCTGCTATTTTTCAACATGAAATTGTCGTGCAGACCTCGTAAAGCAAAGTACCGTAATTCATCTGATTGGTCTCAAATCTTCGCGCGGGCGGAGAAAAGCGCGTTCTGCAGCGCTCATACGAGGGCCATACCGTTGGCTACAAGATGATAGCCGTGACAAACTTAACTTGAGGATCCATTCATTGCTTTTACTTATCGATACTAGCTATCAATTGTGACAAGAGAACATTTAGTTATTCTCTCTCAGAAGCGACTAATAGAGAAGGACCATATGTGATAACTGTGGTAATTTTCCTTGTATTTTCTTTCGCAGGAAAAATGCGACGGTTCGTATAATGTATCGATTTGGCCAAAGCAAAGATCCAAAGGCTCTCAAGTTGCCAAACTGTCCACAAGATTGTCCTATGGATGACTTCATCAAGTAAGTGGTTCAGTGGTTCATCGTCCAAGTCAGCCGGAAGAGAAGATGTAACTTAGAATTCCTTTATTTTGTGGTTACAAAGTGCTTCATAATCCATGTGTGTTTGGACAGTATGGAATTACTTCAGGAATAACGTTTGTTCTCTTGTATAGAGGGTACGTGGAAATATTTCAATTTATCACTTTTTAACGTCGACTGTGTATTTCATTTTCTTAATCAGAGCGACTTCGGATGTTGTTCCTGATGATATCGACAAGGCTTGTGGAAAAACAGCGACAAAACCAGCTGAAGAGAAGTGCGTCCAGACCTTTAGATACAAGAGTAAGTTGCTTTGTCTTTTGCTGTTGTCGAGCTCATAAACGCTCTTGTTTTGAATTCGATTCTCGTCAGTAAGAGTTGCAGACAAGGCATAATAGAGTTGATTACAAGTGTTTTTACGTTATGTGTGTGTAAAGCAAACTGCTTGAACGCGAGTGTCTTTCATGATTTATGGACACGATAGATGTTTGAAAGGTTTAAAAACTGTACGAGTTGTAGGTGAGTACAAAACCCATCCTGTTGACCATGAATGACGAAGTGTGCGAGTATTTCATTCTATGTTCATTATATTTTCAACAAAATTATAGAATGTGACGTCAAGCCTTGTCGCTGACCAGAAAGGAGATGCTTTGTGGATTATTTTCATATCATGAGCCTTTCTATTAAACCACGTGGGTCATTAAGAATCCCGTTAAACCACCCATCAACGCCTTCGATGACTATGCGCAATATTAAAAGCAGTCTTAGTTCTCCTTGCAATCACCAATGTTTTTATAGAAGGACCGATCGTAAAAATCTTATTGCACTTGTTAATAACGATCTGCGAATGTTGGACTAGACAGTAATGTATCCCATCTTCCTATATCTCTCAGTAAGTACGTGCGCTATGCCATGATCAATCAATTTAGTTTACAGAATAGACCTCGAACTTAATTAGTAAGAAATATTTCTTCGGAAAAACCTTTTACCACGTGAGATTCATCACCCTGAGCTACCATACACTTTAGAAAAAACAATTTTTTTGTCTTGCAGGTTTCTTGGCAGCCTTCGTTTCAGTCACTGTTGTGTTGGCTCTTCTTGTGTTCTGTTTGTGCGTCAGGTGCTGTCGCAAGCGATGCCGAGGAAATAACATCACTGTGTACAATACCGGTCTGCTAAAAGACGCTCGGCTTTTGGACAGACCAGATTATGATTCAGATACCTGAGCTGTCTTCCATTTCCATTCACTTTTATATTGTTTAAAATTTTTTACACATGTCCTTTTAAGGACTAACCCTCGCTAGAACGATCATCAATAATAATTTCTTCAAAAACCTACATGATTATTTTGATAGATTTGTTTTTCCTTCACGAGTCGCCTGAGTTGCGCTTAACCAAGGATCGTGTGCACAACCATCCTTGTTGCTACAAATTTCCTTGTAAATTAACAAAGGCAATGTCGTGTTATATCCAAGTAACACACTCGATTATATAAATTTGTCGAATGTAATGACTTTTCCACTAGATAATGTACTTATATTGAAAGGAAAAATTGTAAGCTGATAATGATTAAGACTTTTTAGTGTTGACGGGGTTCCACTGTTAGGAGTTAGTCCGAGAAAAGATTGTCGGACAATCAACCAATTCTTTGCAAACTTGACAAACAAGACGAACTTCGTATCAAATAGTAAAGTGACAGGTAAAGAAAAGTACAGGGGAAAAAGAACAAATCTGAATCATTCCTTTAATCTGCTTTCGATTGTGGCGTTAAATTTTTCACTGCGTGTCATATTTGTAAGATATATCAATGTAGGATGAGGTGTGGATATTTTGCAGGGGGTTCAATGTGTTCTTACTATAAAAATGGGTCGGATAATACATAGACTAGTTTTACTCCCAATGTAGTAGGTTTTGTTCTTCACCATGAATGACATTAATCACTTTATTCTCTCTTATTGATATTTATTAATTATGAAAATTTGGTTTGCATCCTACAATATTGTTTCACACTTTGCAAACGGTGTTGCGTTTGTAGCATTGTTTTACTCCCAATGTAGTAGGTTTTGTTTTTCACTATTAATGAAATTAATCACTTTATTCTCTCTTGTTGATATTTATTAATTAGGAAAGTTTTGGTTTGCACTTTACAATTTTGTTTTACACTTTCCAAACAGTGTAGCGTTTATGAGTTATTATTTCAAATGGAATCGATACAATGAATTCAGCAGCTATATTTTTAGAACTTTAAATTATTAAAGTAGGTAGGAAATGGTATTGTTATCGCTTATCACAAGCCACAATGAACTTTGAAATAAACTGAATATTACTGCGGTGTTCACCTCTATTTTGGGTGAAAGTGTCATCACTTTTACAATTGACGAGTTAGCTGGATTGAAAAGAAAAATTAAATTTGCTGTACGAGACTGTTCCCTTTTAGCGTCTGCCGTGAATTCAATTGGCGAATATACGAATATAATTTTGTAAAGAAATTCAGCATATGGCTAGTGGACGTCATTTGCTATTGCCCTAATCTTTAAAATTATTCGTCTTTTATGCGATTTGTTTACATTTTTCTCTTGAGTAAATTTTTACAGTACAGTATGAGAGCGTAAACTTCATCTTCAGTCTGCAAGCAGACGTCATAAGGAACTAGGCCAGCGAACAAGGTCTCTGACACAGCTAAGTTATATATCAACTTGATTTCAGTACTTTCCGCTGGCGCTGCTTATTTTAAAAACTTGTTACCGACGGTTGAGGCAATGTAAACAGCCCCAAAACACAACTTGTTAAGAGCTGGTAGAATTGAAGGCCAACAAGATTATTGGTTCTAGAAAACCGTGGCGAAGTAACTGTGTTTGGTAGACGTGTGTCTGCTTTGCTGTTACATTGGGGGACATTGATTACCACTGGCACTAAAAGAAAAATAGAATGAGCGCAAGGCACGCATATGTAACAGAGGTGAGCATGCGGTTTTAGTTCTTTGGTTATACATATTTCAAATTGAGAAATCAATCTGAGTAAACGTATTTAAAATAAAAATAAAAAATCAAACGGAAATTGTCAAAAAAAAAAATTGAAGAAACCAGCTAAGTAGTGAGGTAATGTGGTCTACATGCAATCGATTGGTGACAGTTCTCGACATAAACCACTGGAAAACGGCCTAGCCGGTTATGATTGGCCTTAAACTATAATGAATGCATAATGAACGTTTCGACGCAACCTTTGATAAAGCTTCTTGGAATCAAAGCAAGTTTAATACTGATTTATCTTGGTTCTGTGTATTGTTTTTGATTGTTTTATAAACCCGTGAGCGACGTTAAAATGATCGTTTCTTAAAGCAAGTCACACCAAGAAATTAAAGGCTCAATTCTTAGTTTGAGTGGACTTATGCAAGAAAGAGAAAGACAAATAGAATTCCTTGCAGTCTGGTATTATTAACTGCAGATACCAAAGGTTCCTTTACAATAGCCTTCTGTGGTATTAGGTTCCAAATCACAAAAACCATAGGGTGAATGTTTTTATGAATGCTACTTGTCTGATAGAAAGCCTACAAGGCCGCTCTCAAGCCCCTAGCAAGTCAAATGAATGCTTAAACCACTAATAATTCACGAACTTAGAAAAAGTGATAAGAAAAATAATTGCATCTCGCACCTGCAGTAGTCGCTTTGTTTGTTGGCAGTACGCTAAGAGCTCCTACCGGCGAGTAAGTTGTTACATACGCCGTAGACAGTTGGACACTCGGTGTCAAGGTTTCTATGGAGCGAATAAATATTTAGCACTCCATTATTGCTAATTTGCAAGGAACGAACGCAGGTCAATTGCTGAACTAAAGGCTTGAGCGAGCGCGGTGAAATGGCGGATAGCACAAGAACAGTCTTAATCGCAGTCGACGAGTGCGAACACAGTGAGAGAGCTTTTGAATGTGAGTAAGAGAAACCTGTTCTAATTTCTTCACATAAAAATGATGTTTCCCCATTTTTTTGAGACGAAATACGTAAAAAAAATATATAATTGAGGTTTTCTTCCGTTTTGTTCTGGTAGACACAAAGTGATTTAATCTTCTTCTTTGGTTATCAATAGGTTCGCGCTCGCTAGCCTAAAGGAAAAAATGAAAGAAAGAGAATGAATTAAAATCGGAAATTTCATCGAAACACGAGTTAAAGATAACGGAAGCGTTTGCTTCAGATTTGACGACGGCGTCAGTTTTGCAATATTAAAAATAACCACAAAGGCGTCTTTCTCTGAAAACCATATGACTTACCATGGCCTTCAATTCCAAATTGAACTAAAAATGATTCAAGAATAACTTAAGTATCGTTTTAAACGTTGAGAAAAGATTCCCATGTAAAAACCGCATAACAAGAAACTCAATTGAATAATTTTAGCAGTTTTCACCGGCAGACGTGCTTGTCGTAGATACACACTGATATAAGCAATATGATATCACAAATTTCGGACTTAATTTGGAAAAAGGCCAAAATTTAGTTTCGTTTTTTCGGTTTAGAAGAAATGGAGTTTGATGATGCAGTCCAATTTAATCAAAACAGGATACTTTTAGCATCGCTTGAAACTAAGACAAATTCTGGCCAACAGTGTTGCCATAAAAAGACTTAAAATTGTTATATTCAAACGGAAATTGAAATCAACAGTTTTACATTGTGTTATGTTTCTTTATGTAATCGTTCTTGTACTATACGCATCTAACAAGAGAGAGTATTCTTGGAATTCTAAGGCTGTTGTCTCAACTAAAAAAAGGAAAACAAAAAATTAATCGAAGGTCTATGCATTATTTTCTCCAACCCTCTGTTATCAAATGTTTGATAACAGATGGTGTCTCCTGAGTGTCCTGATTATGTTTTATCGCAACTTAGCTGTGTTGTTTGGTCAACACCCTCTTCACTTTGCTCATAAATGGAGCTTTAACACGAAAATATCCGAGTGTTTTTGAAGATTTTTACCGGAACAATGCCCAAATTAACAATTTTGGCAACGTTATCAGTGAAAATTATGTATGAAATAAGCGGTAATGTCGGTTCCCTCGAGGTGACACCGGTCAGGTGAAATCAATCTTTGCACACGATAAATAATTTACAGGGAAGATTTCAGCTGAGATGGCAATGAATTGCGGTTTGTCTTTCCACTGGTTCTCTTTATATTATTTTATTTCCTTTATTGATTATGTCATGCCAATTAGCTTTGGCTACTAATATAGAGATATACAAAAAGCTTACCGTCTATTACCTTCATATCAAAGTCGGGAATCAGTTTTTAAGTCGTATTAATAAAGAAGGTTGTAGAAAATGTAAAAAGGCCTATCACTCGTCGGCAGTCTGGGTTTCAAATGAAGAAGGATTTGACTGTCACAACTTGACGATTCAATAAGCATGCTGAGGTTTACAAAATCTCATCAGACCTTCGGCAGGTTTCATTTTTTACATCAATTTTGGGGACAATTTGTGGTACGTTGTGAAGAAGACAGATTTATTCAAGACATGTGCTTTTTTGGTCCACCTCTTGCCCACTTTCATAATAAACTCAACGAGAAGAGCTGGCCACGAGGCCTGGGTTCGAGCGTGATATGTTATATCAGGGTCATTACTTCTGACCTTCCGGTGAAATAAAAATACGCAGTTAACTATTAATTCCTCTCCTTTAAAGTTATACTCCGACTATGTTCAGTTTTTAAGTTTCTTGCTCCCAACCGACATATTTAGTTTTAGAGGTAAAACTTATTTGTTCATGTCTGCAGGGTATCTGAATCATGTTCATCAGGCAGAGAACTCACTGATCGTGCTGTACTGTCACGAGAAGCTTGATCCTCCAGCATTGTTGCGTAAGTTGAGGTGTCTTAGCTGTTTTTACCTCGGTATCTGATTCCGTTCAACCCTCCAATTTTATATAAAGTCGCTGAAAAATGACAATTTTTGAAAAGTTTGGAACCCTGGGAAAACAAAAGTATGAAGTTTTTTTCCTTGTGAGAAACTAACATTTCCCTTTACTTCACGCTCGTTACGATTAAATAACGTCTTTCCTTAATCAATTTTAAGTTCTTGAGTTGCAAAATTCAGTTTTTGCCAGAAGTGCACATTGATTCCACTTAACTTTAATTCTCGTTTGCTGATCTTTTCCGCATCTTCATAATTTGAAGCCAAGCCATTTTGTTCAAAAATAAAATGCAGATCTTAATTTTTCTTTTTCAAGACTAATGAAAGACTTGTAGGGCTATCTCTACATCGAGGGTGCAGCATATCGCCTGAATTGTATACCTAGTCATTTTCATGAAATGCGCAAATTTGTTTTTCTCTTCGGGGGAGCTGGTTCTTAGTTTATGAAACGGCTATGAGGTGCTTGAGAATTTTCACTTTCTCCTTTAATTTTCTGGGACAATGGCCTTTTAGTATTCCAAAATCTCACACAATTTTAGTATTCCAAAATCTCACACATAATTGCCTACTTATAACTTGCAGATTCAGCACATTCCGAAGAATGGAAACAAACTTTGAAAGAACACGACGAGAAAAAAGACAGGGTAATCGAGAAGTACAAACACAAATGCGAGGAGAGAAGGGTAAAGCGTGACAATAATACTAAATATTGTAAGGTATCTTGACCTTATTTCACATTTTTCTAAAAGGGCAACGACATGCACATTAGTATTGTTTTCTTTCCGTTCTTTTGCTCCAGCTAAAGGCAAAAATCAAGGTAGAAGCTGGAAAACCCGGCGAGACTATTCACAGAATAGCTGACCAGCAGAAGGTTACTTGTATTGTGATGGGAGGCCGCGGGATGTCAACACTACGGCGCACATTATTAGGTGGAGTCAGTGATTACGTCATCAAGCACACTCAGATCCCTGTTATCTTTATACCGGGTCAGCAGTGAATGACGGGGGCTTGGAAACGAATTATTCTGCTGCCTCGTGTATCGTTGTCATAACTTCCCACCAGAAGGTGTAACGCATTAAATGAAAAGTTTAAACCATAAAATGTACACTTGGGTGTAACTTGAATTTTGCACTTACAAGGTAGATTAAAAATGTTCACAGACAACGGGAAAGTTGAAAGTTTGCTGTTTTCTTACTTATATCACCGTTGGTTATAATTTTCCTCATTTTCCGGGGCGTTGATCAAAATCCGTGAATGACTGCCACTTGGTACCAAAGTAGAAAGATCCTATTTTTGCATTTTGGTGTAGACAGTGGATTTGGAAGCAGGAAACACCTCTGCCATTTATGGTATCTATAAAAGAAGTAAAAGTACTCTACGACTGAAAAATGTTGCCCCTCCTCTTCCTCTGTGTGTTGGAAATCTTAGAGGATGTTTGTAGACAGAAAAGAAAGGAGGCTACCTTTGCTAAACAACTGTTCATCAGATAACTCGCGCGCAGCATCGTTTACTTTTTTTTCTACTCTCTCACCTGCGACCCATGACTGATGGTCATGATAGTTCGTAACTGGTCAAATTTATACTCTTCTTCATGTTATTTTATCCAGTGTTCTCGACTGATTTTTACAAAGAGGTGGTAAAAGCAGAAATTGTTTCCTCTTAAAATGAATCATTCCCTTTCATTGTGGAATTTCAGTTCTAACGCTTCATTCATTAAATAACACTAAAATAACAGGGATTATTTATGATATCAAGCCCAACTGATTTGGGATAATGAATGTTGGGCAGAAGTTTGACAATAATTAAAGGCTGCAGACTGTCAGAATTTCAGCGCATGCACATTGTTGGGTGGAGTAAACGATTTTCGTGCTCTCTTAACCTTTTAATTTTTAGTCTCGAACAGTTTTTTTCCTTTTTTTACGGCTGTCTTTCGAGGTGTCTAGATATAATGAGCGCTGGGAGTTCTTTTCTTTTGTTCACCTAATCGCATTTAGCAAAAGAATAATTTGAAAATAGCGTTAACATCATTTTTAGGGATGTTTGTTAGGGGCACACAGTATGAAATCCTGGGAAGGAGGTTTTTACCACGTAATTCAGATAAAAAGGTATATCCTGCACGCGCTGTAATAAAATAATGAAACTCGTACCAAATCATCGAGACCCAGGTCGTTCAAAGGGTAAATAACACTATCAACAGAATTAACCTCTATTCGATGAATAGCGCAGTACGGTTTGTAAACACTTATCCGCTGGAGGGCTATTTATTAGTTGGATAGAGTTATCCGCCCTTTTAACAACTGGGCTCAAGTGACGCTTTCCGATCAACCGCTCCGTCCCTTAATTTTGCCAAAAGGCTCCCAGTGGAATCTTTTTAACTGTATGATGGATTGCTCATTACTGGTTTTCGTTTCGCTCAATTGCATCTCATAATTACCCGATTAAAAAATTACAACAGCTATGATTTGGCGCACAGGCTGAAAACATTAGTATTCTCACTATAGTATAGTGCAATGACGAAGTCTACGGGCAATGACGTCTTGAAGTGGTGTGAGTACTAGTTAATAATGTTGGTTTTGTTCAAGTATATAAGAACCGCCTTTAAAAACAGTGTTCTCAATACCTCATTAACAATTTAGAGCTGTTTAAGTAAGTACGAAACTAGTTGTATTCTTTCACTCACTGGCTTAGTAATTGCAAATATTTCATACTTAATTGACAGTCTGAATCAATTCAGCTTTTCTTTTGTTTCGGATCAGTGTAAAACAAAGCTGTTAATCACCAATTGTATCACTGCATGAGTGGGAAAGAAAAGATACTGTAAAAGGAGGCGATAGAGGTCAATTTGCTCTCGCTCGACTGATTTCAAGGCTGTTTGTGTACATTTACGTCGTGATGAATATTTGAGTAGGTGTAGTTTAAATCAAATATTTAAGAAAGGGAATGTGGCTTATTTGACACTTGAAAGAGAGTCTTTCTGATGGCTATCCCTTTCATTAATGCAAGACTGCGCATTACTTCTCTGTGAAAAGCTTCATTTCCTACCAGATTGACGTACAAGCTTTAATCGTCTTCATTTCCTTAACAAAGACTTCAGGAAAGAGCGGCTTGATATCACAGATGCATTTCAGCTTTCCTCAAATACAAATCTTTTAAAAACCAAACAAGGGAAAAGCGTGGATCGAAAATCAAAAACAAATTTACAAGCTTAGTTCTCTAGAGGACGGCGAAGAGGCCGCAGTCGATAAACCCTGCGAGACACTGACGTAGCGACATGGCCACCGATCGAAACACACGGGGTAAAAATGCATTGGAGTTTGGGAAAGCCACTATGTACGTTATTTCTGAGCGAGGTCTACAAACGGAATCTTCTATGCACAATAAAGCCGCCGAGAACCGAATATTTTTGGACAAGGCTGTTTTCTCTGGGAAGAAGGTGAACTTTTCGCACACCAGATCAGTCGATTTTAATTGGAAAGAAGTTGCTAAGTCTTCCGAGCAAGACAAAAAGCTACGAATTTTGAATTTGAATGAACTTGTCGTCAACGATAAGATGAAAACGCTTGTTAGTCCTGAGAAAACTCGATATTCTGCAGGTGCTAAAAGCTTTGGGAAGAATCTAAATCGACCGAACTTGTGTTGTTATGCGTCAGAAGTTAATATGGCAAAACAGTACAAACACGGAGCTGAAAATATATTCATCACTCGCCTGAGCAAAATATGTGACGATTCTATGGATAATTTTGAGAAAAGCACTGCGGAAGAAAAACCTGAGCGTCAGAAAAGAAGCAAAGCCCAGGACAGGAAAGATTATGAAATTTTTGAGAAAAGTTGCCTTCTACGCAGCCATGATGTGGATTCACTGAAAAGCGAACAGACATTTGAAACCTTTGAGGATACTAAAACTACAGGTACCTCTGAACAGGAAAATGATTCTGAAAGCTCTAGCACATTTTACAAAGATTGCACTTTCCAAGTTGAAAAGCTCGAAAAACCTGGCAAATGCTATTTAAAAAGAATATTTTATTCCAAGGGACACCCTCATTATTCCAAACCGAGCAATATCAGCTGTTTACCACAAATAGAGCGGAAGTTGGAAAAATGTGAACCTGCGAAACATTCACATAAAGTTGGCAGGAATAGCAGCTCGAGCAGAGAAACGATTGAGGAAAATAACATTCACAGGCCAAGAAATGATAAACTCCTTCCTTTGAATATCAACGTTCTCAAAACCAGCGAGACACAAAAGCATAATTTAAAGTCCATTGTTAAGCTTCCGACAGTTGTAGACAACAGAACTGGACAGGTTCACCTGTCTTTACAAGCAATTGCTTTCGAGCAGAGCGACTATAATAAATGGTCGCGGAGACGACAGCAAACAAAACTTGAAAACGCGAAAGCGACATCTTTTTCTTTCCCTTTGATTGCAAAAAGCAGTCGTTAAAATGAACACTTTGTCAGTCCCAAGCGAGGTAAATTGACAGTTAATATACTTTCTTTAAGATAGCAAAACAATCTATAGAAAAATATAAAGAACAACTTTGTTTCTAATTTGCATGGCTCAAAGATCTAATTATGGCCAAAACAGGTGTTAATAGAAGTTAAAGATGAATTTGCATAAAAGGTCGATAAATGTTTTCTTCAGAGGAATAATATCAATTGTTAACACTGCGTAGGTCAGAAAAATACACTAATAATTCAAATGTGTTGTGTATGTGTTTTATTTTTGCTCTTTTTACGATTCTCTGTGATTAAGGCTTCTTGATTCCTTTTAACGGCTTGGCACTGCTGAAAGGAGTTTCATTTTAGAGTACTTTGTTTTAGCAACTATACGAGTAAGTTATATCAGTGAAAATCACCTTTAATTTGAAGAGTTTTACACGCCGGGTAACTATTTTAGAAAATTCGTAGCTAGATTTGACTGGTCTCGAATAATCAGTTTGAAGTTTAGACATAAATTACGATGACTTCATTGGAAACTCGCCTGGTCTCCGTCCAATTATGGATCATTAGCTATAAATTGCGGGGAAATCCACAAGCACGATTTTGATGAGGGTATTGTAATTTTCAAATTCAAATTAGAGCACTGTTCGATTGAGGAGACGTTGAGGGAAAATCAGAACCAAACAAATCTCCTCAACCAGTGAGAAAAACACCAACATCATAAGACTCTCATGGAATCAACTAGAGTTCGATGTTAACACTTTGTATTCAACTAAAGCCCAACGCGGATAACCGATTCGCGGCTGGTTTAAAAGTTTAGTCTAATTGGCGCAGGGTTCTTAAACAAATCAAGCACTTCTTTAAAAAATGCCGGTTCAATATGGCAAGGATTGGGCCCCAGAGATGCCCTATATTTAAGAGGAATGCCCCTTTATTTACTTTCCAGAATGCTCTTCCCTCCCTGTTCCTCCTCCATTGGCTACTTTGAAAATTCGTATCCTGCGATCAGTCTTTTACATCAAAAGCTTTAAGAGTGATTGTCAGTAAAAATCAAAGAAATCGTGGCCACGGTCAAAAAATCGATTTCGCTCATACTTTGTCAGTTTGAAGGCCTAGGTAAGTAACTGAAGGATATGAGGTTAGTTTTTTGAAATATTCCATATGACAGCAGAAAACCACGAAAAACGGTCACCCTACCGGAAGCTCGGTTTCCACCTGGCGGAAACTCGAAATTTTACACTTTTCAGCTTCTCGCTACACAGACGTTTACATAGCTGTGAATCTTTATTAAGTATAATTGAATACATTGATTCTTCCTTAGTCAAACCATGGGAAACATTTTTATCTCTGCTTATTTGTGAGCGAACTGAGACCCGATTAAGAAGACACACTTTTCTCATTTACGCGAAGGTGTAAAGTAATCCAAACCCAGCGACGAAAAAAGCTGACCGGTAGTTCTTCAAATCTTCTGATATTATAACCAAAGACAGTTCAGTCATTGATTTTTAGGTCTACGGTTTTAAATCTTTAGGATCTAGTAGCACTTTTGCATGAACGCCGATCAAAATTCGATAAAATTCCAATTGAGCGCCTTTGAAATCTACAACTCTACATAACAATGCACTATTGAATAAATTAACTCCTCGGCCAAAGTTTGTACATAAAACATGAGGGTTTTACTTTCTTAGCGGTTTGAACCTTTTAAAAATTTATATTTATGTTTAAAATATTGTCTTCACAGGTAAAACAAACTATGAAACACCAAAATTACCACGAGCTGAAATTAAATCTGACAGGCTCGCTCCCTAATCTGTGTCACGCATGAGCGACTTCGCTACAATTAGTACAGTAACAAACAGATATTTACATCTGTTAATTTACAATAAGTCTTATTTTAAAATATCTTACTCAACGATGTGCCAGGTTCCCCAGTTAACTTGCTGAAGTAAAAATAAAAGAAAATATCATAATAGCAATTCAAACTGAATTGATAAGAATTGATTTTATTAAGAATGAGAAGCTTTATGCCGGCGATAGCCAATCAGAAGTACCTGTTCTCACGAAAATTGCATCGTTCTTTAAATAAATAAATCGAATTATCTTTGTCTGTGAAACATTGCATCTAAAACCAGAGTTTATTGTCGGGGAACTTCATAGAACAGCGATGTCTTGCTCGTTCTTGAATATTGTTGGTGGGATTTGCGGCGCAGACGAACGCACAAGTTCTTCAACTTCCGTCACGCCTCTCACGCGGTGTAACAGGGATATCAAAAATCACAAAAAGTCGTTGAAATTTTCCGGAATTGAAACGGAGGTAGAATTAATTTTGGCAAGATGTGGATGTTTTCAAAAGCCGGCGAATTTATCGGATATGACTATCTGTCCGGTTCATCGTGCCAAGTTAGGTTTAGGTAGGCGAAGGACGGGTAATCTTTGCACCATCCCGGAAGTTGTTTCTGGTCATTGCAAGGAGCTGAGGAAGGCACCCGCACTGGAAAAAGGAATAAATTTATTCCAATCCATGAAGATATTTGAGCTTTCAAAACAGCTCGTCCCTGTGGGTTCAGGTAAGCAACCAACTACTTGATGTTCTACCAAACAGAAACTGTCTCCAATGAATTATTTTTAGTCTATTCATTCTGATGACTTGAGATTATATGAAAGAATCATTTGTTTAAACGACGGAGAGAAATAAGTAAGGTTGATGAAGGACATTTCGTTACTTATCTCTTCATCCAGTTGTCCAATCCAATTTTTTTATAACAACCTTTATTTCATGCCTCTCGTTTTTTTATGGATTGCGCTAATATTAGTGTGTGCACTGTATAGTGCCCTACCCACTTTGTCGCCAGGTGTGTGAGTGAGTGAGTGAGTGAGTGAGTGAGTGCCGGTGTCCGTAAACAAACAGGTCCGCAGCGCGTGCACAGCACTACCCACATGTATACAATGAGTTCCTATTTTTTATCAGTATCTCTCAGTTCGTACGCGGGGTGTGATTGGTCAATTTTGCGCGGCCCACTAAACTTTAACTAGTTTCCATTCACACGCGCCCGATTGACCTCAGAGACATAATGAATATCTTACTAACCTCGTTTCACGGTCTGTAACTTACAGTACGCAGCTGGAATTCGGTTAGTAGGGGTTAATTTACTTTGTTTAAAACATTTCAATTTCGTTTCGCAAAAAGCCACTTGAGAAAGATATAAACAATAAACAAAAAAAAAGGATAGTCTAATCACAATGCTACTCCCCCCCCCCTTCTTCTCACCTCTTATCGCGCAGTCAACTTTCGATTGTTATTTTATTCTGTGGGTCGACAAAACTTCAGACTTTTGTGTTTAAAAAATACGCGCCTTTCGGTAATTTCGGAGTTTTGACGGGAGTTTGACTATGTTTTTTCTAAAGGAATTTGCGTAAAATGCAGAAAGATGCTTAGTGTGTATAAGGAAAGAGCACCTGAGAAATGTTCACAATGTCTGTGTCTCACCTTCTTGAAAGATGGCTTAGTACTCAATTTCTGCGATGGGGGATCAACCACTTCAAGAGTTTCCGGGACCTGCAAAACTCCTTCAAACTGAGACCACGGTAGCAACTTTCCAGGACCCACATTAAATGCCCTCCACGTTCGTATTCCGTTCTCCTCATACTTGAAGTTGTTGAGTAAGCTTACACCATCCCATTTGACGTGCCGAGTGCTTGACGGGTTGAATGTAACGTAACTAGCCTTAGCGCAAGATCCTGGACCAGACTCTATGGCTGTTTTGAGCTGAATCGCTGTTGTCACATCATTGCCCTCGTTTACATATCTTCCAATGTCTCCTTTAATAGTCGCTGCTTGGCGGTCGCATATTCCTTTTCCACCTTGAGGATCGGAAAAGTCGTTCCGTTCCACGCCCACGCCAGCAAAAAAAAAATATATTCCTATTCCAGTGCGGCTACTTTTCACAGCTCTTGCTGAGTGACCCGAAACAACTTCCTGTATGGTGCAAAAATTAATACTTTTGAACATGATGTATTACTCAGTAAGTGACACAGGCATAATCGGAAAAAAAATCCGAGTGCTTCATGGGACATGGACAAACATCCTGCATACTGCTAGGATTGGAATGTCATGTGTGGCATACGCGCAATGGAATAAATGTGATGGAATATTTTTAAGCCTGGTGAATAAATGAGAATGATGTATTATTCAGTAAGTGACACAGGCGTACTCGGAAAAAAAGAAATCCGAGTGCTCGCGGCCATCAGGAGTCGAAACTATCGACATCGTGTCAGGTTATGCCTAAGTGACACGATGAGACGGTACGGGTAGTCATCTCCAATAAACTCGTTGGCTTTTAAAAACACGCAATCTTGCTTAAATCAATTCTGGTTCAAGTCCGGAGAGTTTTTTAGGACTTCGTGCGATGTTTTATATCCTTGTTACACAGCGTGAGCAGTGTGATGAAAGCTGAGTAAGGGTAGAAATTAGCCATTGGAAGTTACTTAGCAAGTGCGTTCGTCTGCGCCGCAAATCCCACCGACAATATTCAAGAACGAGCAAGACGTCGTTGTTATGTATGTCTATTAACTTCGCCAACAACATACCCTGGTTATATGGTTAAGTAGATTTGTTTATTTAGAGAACGATGCAATATTTGCTTTTCGTGGAAACAGTTACTTCCGATTGGTTTTCGACGGCACAAAACTTCTCATACTAAATAAAATCAATTCTAATTGAGCTAGAATTACTATTAAGGTTTTCTTTTTTTTTCAGCAAGTTACCTGGATAACCTGGCACATCTTTGAGTAAGATATTTTAAAAATACGACTTATTTAAAATCAACGGATGTAAATATCTGTTTGTTGCTGTACTAATTGTAGCTAAGTCGCTCGTGCGTGACGCAGATTAGGGAGCGAGCCTGTCACATTTAATTTCAGCTCGTGGTAATTTTGGTGTTTCATAGTTTGTTTTACCTGTGTAGACAATATTTAACATTGACATATATTTTTAAAACGCTTCAAACCGCTAAAAAAGCAAAACCCTTATGTTTTATGTACAAACTTTGGCCGAGGAGTTAATTTATTCAATAGTGCTTTGTTATGTAGAGTTGTAGATTTCAAAGACGCTCAATTGGAATTTTATCGAATTTTGATCGGCGTTCATGCAAAAGTGCTACTAGATCCTAAAGATTTAAAACCGTAGACCTAAAAATCAATGACTGAACTGTCTTTGGTTATAATATCAGAAGATTTGAAGAACTACCGGTCAGCTTTTTTCGTCGCTGAGTTTGGATTACTTTACATCTTCGCGTAAATGAGAAAAGTGTGTCTTCTTAATCGGGTCTCAGTTCGCTCACAAATAAGCAGAGATAAAAATAATTCCCATGGTTTGACTAAGGAAGAATCAATGTATTCAATTATACTTAATAAAGATTCACAGCTATGTAAACGTCTGTGTAGCGAGAAGCTAAAAAGTGTAAAATTTCGAGTTTCTGCCAGGTGAAATCCGAGCTTCCGGTAGGGTGACCGTTTTTCGTGGTTTTCTGCCGTTATATGGAATATTTCAAAAAACTAACCTCATATCCTTCAGTTACTTACCTAGGCCTTCAAACTGACAAAGTATGAGCGAAATCGATTTTTTGACCGTGGCCACGTTTTTTGAATTTTCCTTGATTTTTACTGACATTTACTCTTAATATTGCTATGACAACATAACGGTTATATCTTGATAAACATAATTAAAACATTGAACTTAGTTGCATTCAGGTCAGCCTGCTATGGCCGTTATGCAATTCTAGCCTACAGTTTGGCATTCTCTTACTCAAAAAAGCGCCGGTTATCCTGGAAAAATGAAAATTTGGTGTACGACGCGAAGAAACTAGCCTTAAAGGATGGTAACCAGTTGATAATTTCTTAAATTCCTTTAATTTGCCTTTCTCGCCGACGGTATTTGTTTGCAATGTAGTGAGAAAGCCGATTCTGATTACCATTGCTGTTATAAATAAGGGAGAGTAATGGATACATTTTGCTCGATAAACATGCAAGGAAGCAAATGAAATAGTTGGACAGTTTTAACATTTCCATGAACGAAATCATTTGGATCAAGATGATTATTACTCTTGTTGAACCTACAACATGAAGCTGATTTTTTCCTTTATTCGCTACCTTCTCAATCCGTCACCTTCACTTTGTTCTGGTTTATTTTTTCCATCTGAGATGTCCTCTAAACCAGCAAACTCTTCGTTAAAAATTTTACTCGTCCCATTTTATTCCAGACTGTAATCGAAATGTTATTTAGTAACATCAACTGAGTTGATAATACTAAATTACGTTTCGTGACGTTTCAAACGTTAGCCCTTCGTCAGAGCGATCGACGAAGGGCTAATGCTCAAACGTCAGCTTTTAAACTCTTTACGGTGGTCAACTCTCCCATCTACACAGCACCACAGTTTCTTTCGATACTTGCCCCCTTTATTCATGTATCGACGAAATGATCTGATCACCCATGCAAATCAAACGATATCTATTGGCTGATACTTTTCTCTTCTTTTATTTTATCGCCTATCTTTGCGGTGATGTATTGATATTTCACAGAGGAATTACTCATTTCAAAAGCATACTCAAGAGTGGAAGAGTTAATGAGGCAGCTTTCGATGTCTACACAATCATGCACTTTATCATCCTTGTAAACACGGCCAAATTAGTGAAATGTTTATGAAAAAGCCCTCCTAGCAAAATTTGGAACGGCTACAGCACCAATTTCAATGCTCTTACATAATCGTGGATCAATGAAACTTACTAAACCACAAATACGTAGTCCGTTTGTCTTGAAAAGACTTCAGTCGTAGCTCGTGCGTGACCATATGTCATAATCACTTTCTTTAAATGTGAAGTACTCCACGCAGCAATCTGGAATCTTCTTCAGGTAATCATTGAATATTTTTTCTTGTTCACTTTCACTGCCACACCCCAAAATACTTTCATGTCCTTCGCTCAGGAACCCAGTGACTAACTTTTGAAGATTTTTACGCTTAATTTGCTTTTTCTCTTGGAATTCGGCGGTGCGTGGTCTTTCATTTTGTCGATAGACTTTCCTTGTCAGTTTACTGATCCGACCAGAATATTTCCAATCTTCATCAAGCTGTACAAACGTTTCTTTCTTAGAGGTTAATCCGCTACTCGCAGGGGTTTTACTTTTGTTTAATCCATGGATAGTAGGGGCTTTTGTGCTCTTTCCTTTCGATGCAGCAGATGGCATGCTAACTGTTCCCGTAGGCAATTTTTTTTCTTGTTTAACTGGTCTTGTTTGTAAAGTGCAGATTGCCACAGTCATGCATTCAGGATATATGAGGGTTGCCCTCTTAGTAATAGGTTTCATTTCATTGTCTTCCTCCCTAGTCGCCTCGTTGCTGTTCCTTGTGTTAAAACTAAATCGGAAAGGTGTTGTTTGTCGGCGATACTCGAGCGGCTCTTTTCCGAGATACCAACCTCGAACAAGCCTTGGTGTTCGATGCAATATTTGTTCAGCGTCAAACGATGGATCGGACAGAAGTTCTCGTTGTGTTGCTGTTTTCTCGAAAGGAACTAACTTCAGTTTCGGAATGCTGCTTTTCCATCGAGGATATATTGTTTCCTTACCAATATCGCGAATGTCTTGCCGATGCAAGTTGCAAAATGTTGGACTTCCGTTGTTCCTTATGGTAGAATATTTCACCTTTGGAGAACTACAAACACGTGCCATTTTAAAAAAGTTTCTACTTTGGACAAATACTCGAGTTCGTTTTGAATCTGACTGATGATTTTCGTCAGGTTCAACTGCACTTTTTCATCATTTCATTTCAAAGTTTAATTAAAGTTTTCATGTCTCTTGTAGCAATCTTGCAGTATTTACTTTTGGTGACATATAATTTGTTCGCGAGAAAGTCTAAATAATTTCCGTTCTATTTTCATCTTATTTATTCTTTTACGGTTTTTTTTCTTATATACCCAACATCGTGTGGGATGAGGCCACTTTCTGGGAACTTGGAAAAGCAGATGTTCCTCGTTTGTTTTTCAGGACGTTTGCTTTCGAAACTTGGAAAGTAAAAAGAATGAAGTTACTCTTCTTTTAGCAGGTTATGTTTGACACAAAACAATATTTGAAAAATGTTACGTCAGCACATTGTATGCATAAGCATTGCAGGTTTAAGTATCCTTTTTATTAAGGTGAAAAAATGAGCAATATTATTGAAATACTATCTGTTGAAGTGGTTTTTGTGCGTAATCCACGCGACACTATCATGAATTATGTCAAAGTAATGGATAAAAGGTTTCGTTGTTAATCATTTTGCTCTGTTTGGCGAGTTTACGCCAAACAGCGTTTTCAATAATTGATTTCATTAGTGTAAAAGAGGCTAGTTTGGTGGTAAAGACAAATAGTTTGTAATCTTAAATCTAAGGACAACATTTAAGACGAGGTGTCTTTTCAAGCAAACGAAACACATATGTTCTGTTTATGTTTTCTGTGAAAAGAACTTTTTCCTTTATTTTTTTGTAATATTGTTTCATTTTGAGTAAAAAGATATTGCATTTTGCGTTACTATTGTCTTTTTATTCATTCTACGCTTTCTTATGGCACAACAGCCATCATCTGTTTATACCACCAATTAATTTTCGCGCGAACTTACATTACATCACGTGGTACAAAATCACCGGACAGTTATCACGCAATAACCCCCGTTAACGTGGATATTTGTCCTCCGATCATTTCCGTGGAAGAGAAAATATCTAGTGAAAAAAAAGGCAGCTCAAGAGTTTCATCTTTCTTATTCACAAATCGCACCATGTTCTAAATCACATCTTTTTCCTAGCCAATAAGACAGCTTTACCAAAACAGAACAACCGATCAAATTTGAAGGCTTGTATAAAGAAATCAATCAAATTGCATGAAAATGAGAAACAGCATTAAAAATTTTCTTACAAACCAGCTCAATATACTGGATAAATAAAACATTTGTACAGACTAAAAAAACTTGTATTGAGCGAAATGAACTTCGCGTCGTGCGATTTTAATTTGAAATAATATTTATGATTTTGAAATCACGCGTATGATTCCAGACCAAATTTCAATCCACTCAGTTCAATTGCTATTATGAACTAGAGTTGCCTATATCCATAGACGAAGCAAGTAGATCTGCGCTGTATATAGGTTTCGCGCGAGTTTCAAAGCGTCGTCAGAAAGGAGGGCTAACGCTCGAAACTTTGCGGGGTGTATAGTGAAATTCGTCTTCTGTATGCACTGCAGGCGACTAGTTAGGGTGTGCAAGACATCGTCACATACTCACGATAGTTTGCCGTGCTGCCATGTTTTAGCTGTGTAAACGCTGGGTAAAAACAAGAATACTTATGATTATTCTTTTGTAATCAGGTCTTGCACGAGACAAATTTTACAGGAAGACGATAGAAAAGAAGCTCTCTTTTGGAAGGTTCGTCCTCATTATCTTTGGCAATATAATAGCTCTATTGACGGCTCATTGATTGGCTGTGAGTGCAATATTGTCCACGCTTGTGACTCACAAGGAAAACCGCACAATAACTGAGCAGAGTACCTGCCAAAAGGCGTGGAGCACTTCGGCTATAAAGTTCAATCGATGATAAACCTGGCTCATGTTTGTGAAGATGGTGTGGTAACAATCTTGTTTGATCATAACGGCGAAATTCCACTGTACTCAGCTACTAGCATGACGGGGCAACAGCTATTGGTCGGAAGCTCCGGCGGCCGGCCTACTAAATATTTCCGAGAGAGCAAGGCAATACTGAGAAAAGATCAACAGAGAAAAAAGGACTACAAGTTATCGCTTCATCGAAAACTTTGTGTTAAAACGAATGGCAAGAAAGCTCTTGTTGTTGATAAGAAATGGGCTAAGGTTCGCAAGTCTGTGGCAAAGAAGGCCATCGATGTCAAGGTTTCCAACCCCGCACTGTTAGAATCAGAAATTCACAAAGGGCACTTGGTTGCATCAAACTACGGCAGAGGTAACAAGGAGGGGATGCTAGCAACATTTACCTACACAAACGTTGTTCGTCAGTTTGGACGTTTCAATTCTGGTCCATGGCAAGAGTGTGAAACCAAACTTGTAGAGTGGGGAAAAACAATTGTGCCTTTAACGGTGCCCAGAATGTGAAAATGTACATCGTGGTTGGTGCAGTTCCCTCTACAGTAGGTGGAGACTCCGAGGCACGATGGTTCGGCGAAGAAGGTTTCAGTGATTATAAGGTTGAGAATGGTTTCCCTGTGAACTTTCCAAAATACCTATGGACCGCAGCCTGCTGTACTTATGAGCGCAAGGATGACCGAGGGAACTTGTTGCATGAGATAATAAACACGACCTTCGATAGAATAAATGACCCTGGAGATTCTCCATGTGAAAAGAGGAATATATCTGTACTGAATCAATATTTGTCCGAAAATATTAAGGGGATTGTAGACCTATTTCCAAACAATCCTCAGTGCTACAGTAAGAAAAACTACATCCCTTTACAATGTTAGGGAGCCAATGTTGAGATGTCGATCTTCCACCCCAGTTAACCAGGCTCCTTGAGCACGGTTGAAAAAACTTCAAACATATTCTCAGAAATACAATGTGATGTTTTTCGTGGACGACGAATTGTAATTTACAGGCCATTCAATTTTGTCGAGGCGCTACTCTTGGGCTGATAAATATGCTAATCAGAGGTCATGGGTTCAAATCCCGTACAGGCCTAATTTTTTTTCAGGCCTTATTTTCACTACTGCTTAAGTAGTGTTCATTATTGCGAAGATCGCTTTCATAATTAAATATGCTAATGTCGTTAATAGATCTTTTGTACGGAACCATTAGTTAGAGCGCATTTCTAACGAGTGACGTCAAACCAAAACCACGTACGATAATCACAGTGGCCCATCAGAGATTAGGAAAATATGGGAACTCAAAAAAAAAACTTGAGAAAATTTTCACTCATTCATTGGGATGAATTTTAAAGTTGTACTCATTTTCCAGCCTCCGGAGACGATATTCACTTTGATCGAGATCCTGACCCGATCGAATAAATTCTTGACTCGCTTCTGTGTAAAGAAGTGTTAACTAAGTCTGGTATCGAATGTAAGGTGGTTAAACTGTAACCCCAAGGAAGTTATAATATTCACTGTTATTAAGGGGCGGAAATGCTCGAGCACACGCTCCTACGCAGCCGTTTTTGGGTTGTGACGCCATACTCTCCCACAAAATTAGCTTATTTTGGGAGGATTATGACTCAACCATCGCGTGACATTCCACAACTGTTGCTTTGGAGACCATAGACGCCTCGGTCGCAAGGGTCTTTATTCTTGTCTTTTTTTCACCAGTGATAATACAACATAGAGACTGGGTCTGGCTGAATATGCTGCTATAATTAACTTAGCTGAAATATCCTCTAGAAAATGAAATACAACTTGAAGGTTTCATCTTCTGAAAAGTGATGTAATGTCCACTAATAATCGTGTCTTCATTTAACGGTTGTTACGCGACTGGTGCTTAAACAGTTGTGTACAGGCGTCTCTGAATACTTGTTCCATTTGTTACAGGATGAATGCGAGGACGTTCTTTGAAATTCTAGTTGGACTATGGTTGATTGTGGTCTTTATCATCAACACAGGTAGGTCTTCACTGTGTTCATTGTCATTCTTGGCTGAAAATGGTGAGACATTTTATCAGTCTATTAAGGTTTTCGTTCTAAACAGCAAATCAGAGTGGCCACTTATGGTCCCTCTCCCGTATCACCTAAAACATTTAATCACACGATGATTGGCGCTCGTCAAAACGGGGATCATGGAAGAAATTTTGGTCAATTTCCATAAATTAAGAACTTAGACATAATTATGACATTCAACTTCTTATTTTTGAACGTGGAAGAAAAGTTCGACTCCAAAATCGACTGACTTAGGGATTCGTTAAAGAGTCAATGGATTATTTTTCGAGCTATAATGGTTTAAAGCGATTGATAATATACTGAGTCGGTTACAAGTTGTCGCTAGAAATCGGAAGTCATTAAACTGGTGCTCATAAGCATTTTGTTCCTTCTATCTAAACGATCAGTCAACATTTTTGAGTCGAGTTAGCAATCAATGATGTGAAACTCATCGAATTATGCTGTTCTTAAGCGTTAGGAACGAGAAGAGGGCCCTGAAGAAGAACGTCAGAACACGAGTTAAGAGTATGTTCATAAGGCTCGTCCTTTCTCCAAGAATATTACCGAATTATGTTTATGTTATTCGACACCGCGGAATGAAATAATCCAACATGCTCTATAAAATCGATCGAAACACAAATTTTTGTTTCGCTTTCTGAGAAGAGACTAAAATATGTGATGATTTAAAAGCCACTGAGATACTATGAAGAGCTTGACATCTTCAGAACTCGGAAATCATCTCTGATCAAAAACCAAAAATTTTTCCAGAGGAACGATGTCATATGTTGAGAACCATAACAGAAACAGGAGCTTCTCTCTATGAAAGAAACTAGGAGAAATTTTTATCCCTCGCGGATTGCAGGGGCGTGTTTCATCGGAGCACCGAAAGTTATCTGTATTTGTATGCTGTGAATTCAACGACTTTCTCAGTAAACACATTTTTTTACGAGAGAATGGCTGATTTAAAGCTTTTTTTCAGTTATGAACTAATATCGGACACAACTGAAAGCAGAACGGAATTCTCATAGCTTAATACGGAATTATGGCATAATTTTTTTTTCGTGTTCGTTGCTACATGTAGAGTTGCAAAAAAAGACATCCATGTTGAAAAATTAAGTGTAGCCTTACAAAAACGAACACAATGATCTTTAATTGCGAACAAGATTACTCGTTTCGTTTGGAGCTATCGAAAAGGAGTGACACCAAGCGGCATACGTCACGCGACAACAACAATAACAACTTTTGTAGACGCCAGGAGTACATGTTAGAGAGTCTTAATGGGGTAATGACTTTTACGGCTAACGGTTAAAATTTTGGCCAATTAACGGCTAACGGTTAATACCTTTCCATCGCTTCCACTAGACATATTTTTTACGGTTAACTCTTTTTACGACTAATGCTTAAAATTTGTCAATTTTTACGCCTTACGGCTAAATTTTTTGATCGTTTTACGGCTAACGGTTAACCCCATTGAGACCCTCATGTTACTGCGTATTTGTCTTTTTTTTTTGCTTAGCTTAGTTTTAGCGTCTTCGTAGCTTTTGTTACCTTTGTTAATCAGTCTTATTACCGTGAGCCAAACGTTTCCTGATCCGATGAAGTATTTGTAGCAGAGTGTTAGAGCGCCTTCCGAAGGGTCTCGATATTAGTTTATTTTTGGTGTTTCGTCAGAGCAACCCTATAGTTAGGCCCTGCTTATACTTATGTGATGAATCGAGCTAGTGACTAAAGAATCCTTTCAATTTTCTTTCAGCAGAGGCGATCAAGGTTAGAAGGAAAAACGTTTATGTTTCAAGCTCTGAAGGCATTGATTCTGCGAAATGCGGTCCGAAAATTTTACCATGTAGGACGCTTGCGCGCGGAATCGAGAGCGCTGACCGAAATGCTCATATATTCTTGGACGGAACATTTAGCAGCCATACTTGCGGAAGGATACGCAATCGTAAAAAGAATATAAAAAGAGGGGAGGATTACAGAACAGTTAATGGAATTTGGGAATTTGTTGCCTATCGTCCTCGTGCTCTTGTGAACTGCGGCGATTATCTTTGGTTTGCAGCCATTTCGTTGAACAGACAGAAGTTTAAAGTGAAGTTCACCGGCATCGTCTTCTTCAATACCTCCATGACTTTTATCGACACCTCTGTAGAATTTGACAATTGCACCTTTTCTCGAAGCATTCATCCGTTAAATTTATGGCTTTCGCCAGGAGCTAATGTGACACTGGTCGTCAAAAATTCGTATTTTTTCAACAACTTGGGAGGAATTCATTTGCGACAACTTCAGTTGGATACACTTGCCAAGTATGAATCCTTAGGCTTTGCCAAACACCACGAAAATCCCCCACCCCGAATGGATAACCGAGGGAGATATTTGCCTCTTCCTGTTGGAATAGATATATTTTGCAGTGATACGATATTTTCAAAAAATACAGGTCCTCTATTCGAAAATACTATTAATTCATCACAGACAAACGAACTCTATCACCGAATTACGCTAGTAAAGAATTCAGCTCCCTCAAACAGTTTGTACATTTCAAAAGCAAAGTTCCACAAGGCTTTGTTTGATGGTCTGGTCTGCACCGACAACATAGATACTCAATGTATTAATATAAATTCCAAGGAGGTTTCGCTGGGAATTTCTCGTTCTAATATAGGTGGTAACACCGCCAATGATGACCAGGATGCAGATCTCCGCGGTCAAAGCCACAGTCTCGTTTCGCCTTGGGCCAGTGTTTTCATAATTGCAGTCTCAGGTCAAGTTAACGTGTTTGACACAGCGTGGAAAAATGATGCAAGTTGCTTTTACCTGAAATGTACTTGCAATGTTAATTTCACTAAGGTGAACACTACCGGCTCGACCTCAAAAAATGCAGTAATTATTTTGTCTGGTGACGAAGCAATGAACGATGACTTCGGCTCGACTGAAATGAAGATACATCTTGAACGGTGTATATTCCGGTTAAACGAGAAAAATCATATAAAAGTCGTCTCGAAACTTCCCTTTTTGCATCTTGTTTTAAATGATGTAAAAATAAACGGAGAGCAAATGGAAAAAAGCGGCACAAATTCTGTGTTAGACGTCCAAATAGAGAAAACTGCACTAGGATCGTCAATACGGCTGCACGATTTCGAGGTCACGAATGCTGTTTGCTCGACATCAGTCGTATTTAGGATTTACTCAAATAATCCTAACAACGTAGAGATCGTAAACAGCGTTTTTCGTAAGATAAGGAGTGCCTTCACGAACGGATACCTCTCAAGTCCATTGTCAATATTTATGCCCAAGGATATACTGATAAAAGGCAAGGACTGTAATAATTCATATCTACGTTTCTCGTACATCAACACAATTACGATTTTAAATACAACATTTAAGGATAATATCGGACGGTCAACGGGTGGTGTCCTTCTTTATTCAGGTAACGTGACCATTCGCGGCTGTTACTTTGAAAATAACTACGCGATAAAAAGTGGAGGGCACGTTCGCGTTGAAGATCAGCACGCGATGCTCAAAATTGAAAATTCAATTTTGAAGCAAACTTCAACTGAAACAATATTCAACGGGGAAACGTTTACACACCATGCATCCGTGTATTCTGAAAGCCTTGGCTCACTTCAACTTAGGAAGACATTGATAGTTGCAGAGTTGGACAAAGATTCTTATCGGTTATTGTCAGTGGTAAGGGCGGGTCTGGTAGAGTTTGATAATTTCAGCAAAATACAGTGCGCAATAGGAAGTGTTTTGAGAGTGGACAACTTTTCGCATTTCATGTTCGTACCCAGTTCGTCTGAGAACCCAGAGTGTTGGTTAAAAATAGCGGTAATGACGATATCATGCCATCAGTGCCTTGCAGGTTTTTATAGTCTCCAGCGAGGGGAAATACAGGGCCTTCCTAAGAAAGAAGTGTTGGCGAGCTCTGACTTATTTTGTTCACCATGTCCTTATGGCGCGAACTGCTCTCGCAACATTGAAGCCAAACCGAACTTTTGGGGGTATCCCGAATTAGATGACCCGAACTCGCTGAAGTTTGTTCATTGTCCAGCACAGTATTGCAGACCAGGTGGCAAAGAAGACAAAACTGACTCATCCGTTTATAATAGTTGCCGTGGCAACCGAGATGGCGTGATGTGCGGAAGATGCAAGATTGGGTATACAGAAACTTTGTTTTCCAAGAAATGCAAGCGGATTGACAAATGTAAAGATCACTGGATTTGGCCTCTGGCTATAATTTATGGTGTGGTGATGGCATTGCTGTTTATTCACAAACCACCTATAATACGATTTCTCGTCAAAAACATCCTCTGGTTTGCGAACTCGTCTAGAAATCGAACGGAATATACATCTCTTGAGGAGGCCGATCATTACAACAAAGGCTACAAAAAGATCATATTTCATTTCTATCAGATTTCCAGCTACCTGAATATTGAACCAATCTCTGATGCGATCAAAAACACTGCAGATGTTGTCAAAGAGGCTGCTCCTCTTGTTACTTTTTTCTCCGGCATCTTTAATTTTATTCCAACAGTTTCCAGTGAAGGCTTTGGCTGTCCTTTTCCAGGACTGAATGTAGTTACGAAAGAGTTGATTCTCTCCTCAGGCGTATTTGCCACGTTAATCAGTGTACAGGCAATACTGATTTTAAATTTTACTTGGAACAGATTGCGGGGCCGACCAGACCCACCCTTGGCGCCTTACGTTGCTGCAACCTTGGAGACATTATTGCTTGGTTGTGCAACATTGGCCAACACAGCCTTGAAGCTACTAACATGTGTTCCTGTTTTGGGTGAGAGAAGATTGTATTATGACGGTAACATCAAGTGCTGGCAGTGGTGGCATTGCTTTTTTTTGTTCTACGTCGTTATATTTCTTCTCCCATTCATTGCAGTTATCTACTGGGGCGCGATGAAGCTACAAAGAGGTTTAATTTCTGTGGGACACTTCATTGGGGCGTGTTTTTTCCCGCTTGGCTTCATTTCTTTATGGATCATTCAAAAACTATTTTACCCTAGAAACCAACGACAGTGCCAGGAAGTGAGCTTAAGCGAGACGCGTGTTGAGGTATTGAAAGTCCTCCACAATTCATTTCGCCCACCAAGTCGCCGTAAGGGAGGCTCTTTGCATTGGGAGAGCGTTCTAATTGGCCGCAGATTTCTGCTCCTTTCTTACCAAGTCTTCTTCCCCGATCCTCTCATCCGTCTGTTTTTCATGGACATCACGTGTCTGTTCGTCTTCGCCTGGCACCTGACAGTGAAGCCGTTTCGTGACAGAAAAGCAAACGTCATAGAGGCTATCTCTCTTGCTTTCTTGGTTGTCATAGCGACCATAAATTTAATTCAAGCTAATTTTCTATCGGCTGGTGTGAACCCCCAAGGACCCGTGAAAAGGCACGTGATCATGTTGCAACAGGTCGAAATCTTCCTGTTGGCAATCGTGCCCCTTTTGTTGGGATTCCTTTGTATGTTCGCTGTTGTCTCTCAGTTGGCTAGGATCTTAGTCCTTCTCATTGGAATTGTACGCTTCGTCTTCCGTCGTGTTATAACCCTCATTTTTATCCGGAGGGTGACATCTCGGCGATATCGCTATTAAGGAACCGTCCTCAGGAAGTCTTAAAGGTTACGCCGGCGATATTGCTGATAAAAAGGAATTATATTTGCGTGTGTTTTACAAACTCTGAAGTTATCTAGTAGAGATTTGCTTTAGTTGTATCTACTGCTGGGCTAGAGGAAAATAATGTCTACGATTCACATCCCAGAAAAGAAATTAGCTTTTTCGTGATTTGAGTCAGTGATTACATCTTCGTTAATAGACACAGAAAGCATATGAATTTTCAAGAACACCTGTGCAGCAGATCATCGCTCACTAAACCCTTTGCTCTGTAATTGACTTCCTCGTGAACATCAAAGACATCACCGTTGCAGTTCCCTAGAGGAACCGATTAACCTTCTTTCGTTAAGTTGACGACTTATTTATATTAAGCTGACAATTTATATTTTACTGATCATTATTTATTTCCATGGCTTTCATCTTAGAGTTCGAGAAGGACTTTTTCTTGTAGCATTTTTAAGCGTAACTATTTAATAAACTAATTGTGGAAACTATGATGACAGAGAAAAGGGTTCTGTTCATGATTCCGTTTGTTGTTTCATTCACATAAACTTGTTGTTAGCTACCTGTTCGAATGTGAGTTATGTACTATAAAGTAATTATGAAAATCATCTATTTTTTCCAACATTCATATTCAGTAGACTGGATGGAATACGGATATTGCTGTTATAAAATTATGGGCTCACGAAAAATTCAATTTAATCCTTTTACGTGTCTCCGGTAACCGTAGAATCTACTTTGAGTCAAATGACTCTACAGAGTCCTTTTGTGATAATTGGAGTATATTGTATATCTGTCTTGAGTTGATATTTGTCAAAAAATATAAATGCAAGACGATTATCGACCCATTTCCAAATAATCCTCAGTACTACAATAAGAAAACTTTATCTCTTTCCAATGTCAGAGTCATTAATTTTCCGAAGGCCGTATTGATTGCCCTCTGAACAAGTCTCCTGCGTCGTAAGTACAGCAGGCTGCTGTACATAAGTATTATGAAAACTTAAAGGCAACCATTCTCACCCCTTGCCCCACGGTCACTCTCAATAGATTAAAATAGAAAAGGGGCATTATAGCTTTGCTACCCCCCCCCCCTCATCCTGAACGGAGGAGGGGGTGGGGAGAAGTAAAGTTATAATGCCCATTATCTTTCCTTAGTTTCCGTTGGAAAAGTCATGTCTTTTCACTCTTTCTTTGTCAGCTCGATCATTAGCCCTGAAGTTTACTCTTTCTGATAATTAACCGTTTTCCGTATATGAAAACCAAATTTTTAAACCATTTTCTTGGTAAACCCCTGTCCACAACTGTGGCTCATTTGACTCATCGTTAGCCGTCTGTAGGAAAAGCTCTCAATCTCTACCGAAAGCTAAAAAGATTCATTTAAATAATACACCCTTAAATAACTGCATCTCGGGCCGAATTGCTCAGTAAAGTTCAGTAAACAGTAAATGGACTGGAGCGAGGTATTTTCTACCTCTCTGCACTATATTAAGTTTCCTTTCACTGAGTCATACCTAGCCTCTGACAAAACATGTCTTTATGACTCAGGGAATGAAAGTTTTAAACAGCGCGCAGGTGAAAAAACACCACGCATCAGTCCATTGACATTTCATTAAACTTTATTGACATATCAAGCCCGAAATGCGTTGAAATAATCATTGCTCAGTGTTTCAATCATAATCGCCATGTATTACTTCAATCATACAATGCCGTGGCCCTGTGGCCCAGCCTGAAAGTCCGCTAGTTGTATCTCTTGCAGTTGTCATGTCGGTGGGAACGCATTGCGTGACAGGGAGATTACGCGAGTTTGGAACTCGAGTGCTTTTCTCTGGACCGCCAAAGAGAGGCAGTTTTGACAACTCCACAGGTTACTGGAACTATATGCCTCCCAGCCTCATGTACCAGAGTGACTTTTCAAACAGTGGTAGTTTCTCCTCAAGGGGAAAGAAAGGCAGCCATTTGGTGGCGAGTGGACGTTGCGTGACTTCTAACCCGGTGTGAAGTGCTCCCAGTCCGGGATGACCCGGGATGAGATAGAATCGATGGTGATTTACACCACGATGTTATCCGCTGTCCAAACAAGACTGCAGTGAACAGATTTATAAATACCAATATGTTTCTTGGTCATCGCCGGATATATTTATTGTGTTAATTGTTTCAACGCAGGTCTACCTGATTTAAAAACAGCCGATTTTTCTCTCGCGATTGTGCGTTATTTTAAGGGGGATGATGCAGTGAAATAGGTGAGTTGGTTTAATGAATCATCATTAGCGCTACATCCTGCAGGTATCGATATAGACAAAATAAACAGCCGGAAAACTCAGGAAAAGCGTAAAACTAAGGAAAGCAAAAGTAGAAAACGTAAGATCTCGACCTTTTGGCAGTCGCAGGAAGTCTGTATGACTCGAACCATTATAGTTGTAAGGGAAAAGAAAAAGCTCGCCTTATACGCAACCATAAAGTTATTAGTTCTTCAGTTGAGAGGGGGCGTAATGAGGAGTTGATATGTTCAAGTAGCGAACGCACAATTTAAATTTTTCTTCCGGAAATCAGAAGGGACGAAGAAGCTAAGGTCGCCCTGGAGTCAATTGACCGAAGACTCCGTTTTCGCGTTATCTATAAATTGCCAGCATTAACTCCTACGGTTAATAACATAAAACTCTCCGGCTACGTGGTGTTTTGCATAATTAATTACATATTTAATATATTTACAGCCGAACGCGAAATTTAGGCGGAATTAGATTGCATCAGTACTCACTCTCTCTTTGGAATGACTTTAAATGCTTTTCAATAGATAAACATAATTTGGGCGAGATTTCTGCACAGTCCCATACTTCATTTTTGCATACAGCTCCTGGATAAGTCATGGGAAAATCATGGTGGAAATAGATTGCCTTTTGGACTAAGACTTGGTTTTAGAATATTATGGGGATCCATAATTTCTCATGATTGCTATTTGAGATGATAACGTTACAAGGTTTCTAAACTGAATTACTGAGTACAATCCCAATATTGTTCAATTTGTATTGGGAAGAAGTAACGTGGAAATATTTAACATGTCAGTTCCCTTGTAAACAAAATTTTTTTATTTTAAAATAATAAACATTCCGATTTTCGTTTCTTTCATTCTTAATTAAAGATCATCATCACATTAAATGATTTGATCCTAATATATAATTTGAAAGGGAGATGCAGGACATTAGCACAAATGTGCTTGACTTTGAGAATGGGTGTTTGGCTGGGTTCTTGTCTCAGGCCATCCCAGTAACTCTCACAGTACCTGCGCCAACCAAAGTGTTTGAGGTATTGTAGAGCAAGGTGTTGTGTGAGTAAACAGAAGTGTCCACCCATGGCTGGCTGAGCCTTGTATCTGGACCCTTTTGATTGACCAGGCACAAACCATTAGTGCACATTATTGTTGCCAATTCATTCAGGAAAAATAGACCATGCAGACTACTCTAAGAATCTTCCATTCTCAAGACAGCAACCTTAAATAACAGGATCCATCAACTGAGAGGGTGTCTGTTTGTATAAACAATAATTAATTATGCAGCACTGTTTTAATTTTTTTTGAGACTTGGCATACTTTAAGTGTTACAATTTTCCAGAGCCTGAAGGCATGTTCCTCTATGCAGGTCTATGCCAGAGTAACACTAACTGCCTTGAAAAATAAAGTTCATATTTTTTAAGATATATTTCTCTAGATTATGGGGTAATTGAAAAATTATCATTAGTGCGATCGCTTTATCTCTCACCTACAGATCCTGAAGTCAGAATTCCATTGATGTTACTCCAACTGAACCCTTACTTCCACCCTGTGAAAATCCTGGATAGTGTACTGAATGATACACACTCTTAGCCAGAATGGCCAGTATGGTAAATCAAAACAACAAGACATCTTTCTCACATGCAGATAGTAATGTGGCTGCTGAAGAAGACATATTGGTTAAGGTGTCTGATGATGACACTTTAGCAGTACCCAACCAAAATAATTTTGCAGGTACAATAATGACAGATTAAATAGAAGAGCCTGTCCTGCTCAAGTACTGTGTTCATTACTACAAAGTGATTAGGGATATTTCTACTCTTCCTTGTTCTCTGACGGTCACTGAACCTTCAGCATTTTATCCGACAGTTATTCACAAACCTGGGAAAAGATTTTTTTTTAAAAATAGTCTCAAGCTTCTTTTGAACTCAAAGTACTGTCTCGTAAATTTACTCTAACATCAGCTGTTGGTCTAAAACCACTTTATTGGAATGATGAAACATGACTGTGAAGAATACAAAAAGGATTGAATTGGAGACACAATCCCTTAAACTAAATGGATCATTAGCTCTAGTGTATAATAACTGCTGAATCAGTAGCTGGACTGTATATCACAAGTACTAACAATTAATCTGAGTTCCATTTTTAAGAATTAAAATTGTGGAGTAACTATGTCCTTTTTTCTCATCTACTGTAACTTAGACTCTGGCTCAGTGTGTATCGGTGTAGGCAATGAAGAGGATGATGTCTTTGATGGTAGCATGACTTCTATTTTTCAAGATGACAAGAAGGGAGTGTTTCTTCCTGGTCTTAAAGTTACTGCCAAAATCATTGATGTTCAACGTGCACCAAGAACTCATCCTTTTAACCCTAACTTGTAAGATTTTACTTTTTCCTCCTCCGTAATAGTACATATATGTTGTAGCTGACAATAACAGCCTTAATTTCAGATCAGAGTGTGAATAAAGTTGTAAGTTATATTGTAAGTTATACCCTTAATGTGACAAATGCATAGACAGATTAACCCCTTTTACACCCTAACATGGGAATGTAACCATAGATATATTCTCTATACTGTTTTCTATGCATTTCCAAAGTTGCTGAAAAGGAGAATTTCTTGAACAATCAAGGAACATGTTTAGTTGGTGATCATTTCATTTATTCTCATGGCCTCAGTGTGTAATATAATTAGGAGAAATTAAATGTGAATCACTCGCAGTTGTTAAAGGGTTGATGTACCTCTGGAGGGACAAACTCAACCAATATGAAGTGTAAACCTGTGTCTGCTAAAAGGGTGTTGCTTTTGAGAAAATGGAATTTATGTACGTGTTTAATCTCTGAAAATGTGTTGAAATCAATGACATCCTACATTCATTCAGTAATGTTATCGACTTCTCCATTGACCCCCAAGATACACTATAGAACTAAGACATGGCAGCTTCACTTGGATCATCAGACGACGTTACAAGCATTTTGTAAAACTTGATGCAGAACTGTTTTTTCACAAAGTTAATGTTCGCCAACAAAGCATCAGAAGGGATCTTAGAGGTGATCACAGTGGAGAGGGTCATGCTTATCTGCCAAGTCGTCACTTGCCCAAGCGACCAGACATGTTTGCTACAACACCCAATATGGAAAAAAGAATAAAGTCTCTGGAGAAGTACCTTCAGAGGATTTTGGACAGTCAAAGCTATTGTACTCACAAAGAGACTCTGAATTTTTTGGAGGTCAGCCATCTCTCATTTCATTTTGATTTAGGAGATAAGGGAAGGTAAGTACTGTAGGTCACTTCACTGTTGTCAGTAAGAATGATTACCCTCCTGGCTAATCTCCTTGCCATGAAATTTTCCAACTACAGCTCTTTCTTATTTAGGTAGTTACTTGCAACAATGGATTAATTGACTGATTGTCTAAAGTATTTAATTTTCTAGGGAAGGTATTCTCAGAAAGCGGGCAGGAGGTCATCGATTTCCTGCAGGGTGCTGCAGTTGTTGCAGTGGTCTTTCATGGGGAATATGGGACAAAAGGTTTGTTTTCTCCTTGGTCATTTTACCAACTTGTATACCATATGGTATATGACAAGAACCAAGATTTTACTTTTCAACTTATGGCCCCAATGAATGAAGATTTTACTGTTCCCCCCAAAAAATCAGATCATTCCATTATTCTCAATAAACTGTGATTCTGTTCTTTGAATTATGTTATCTGTGTTTGCTTTAAATTTACTTATATAACTGTGCCATAATACCACCTGTTAAGTGTTTTAATTGTTCTAGACCAGGATGATATGCACAGTGTCCTAACATAGCCTCCCATTTGTTACTTTCTGGGAGCAAATGAATGACTCATTGCTACTGCTTGGTGGACTGTATGTAAATTTTTTAGCTGCTTCTATGCATGATTGGGTGTACGTACATGAAACTTAGCAAAAGTCAGCTCCTTGGAGGAAACCCCAGTTATGAAATAAATGCTATTGGTAGCATTTGACTGAAATGTTATGGGTGCTCAGTTGACTGAGGGTGTAACAAGTGGTTTAACAAACAATTTGTAAATCAGAAAGTAATCAATCAATCCCTTTTTTGTTCGTTTCTTTGTTTGTGGCAGGTGGCTTCTTGTAAAAGATAGTTTTATTGCCTATGTCAGGTGAGGAAAGCCCTGAGAATCAGGAAATTGACGTTATGATGCACAAATTTAGCCAAACCAAGGAGTAGATGGAGCTTAATTTGGGGAATTTTAACTCTAAAGGGAAATGAAAAAAGTTTTGTGCAGCAGAGTTACATACATTGCTGCTAGTACAACCATCTTGTGAGAACCAATTTTTTATGGCTGCATGGGTTACCATATTTTTATAGGTGATATAATGAGGCTCTCCTTGCATGCATGTATATTGACATACTTCTTAGTCAGTGATCACAAGTCATAATTTCCACTTTTGCCTCTATGTACTGCCGAGCCTTGTGTACCCTAAGGCTGAGAGTGTTTTGGTTTCAATTCTAGTCCCAAGGATAAACAACTAAGAGGAGTAGTGTTAATGGACAAAGAATTTACCTTCAAGTATGGAAGGAAACAGACTGGTGTGCGGAATGGCTTGCTGATCCATAACCAGGCAAGGTGTGGAATTTTTATGCAATGGAATTCTTGTGTTTTAGTACACATTTACACTTTCAAATTTTGATTGATGGAAAATTTTCTTGTCAGGGATTTGTATTGAAATTTAAGAAGCTGCAGGTGACAATGAAGAAATTGACAGTTGCAGTAACAATGATGATGATGTAAAATACTTCTTACAAGCCAAGTTTTTAGTTGTTTAAAGTTTTTTTTGTTTTTCTTAAGTTTCAAGTCTGCACTGTAAGTTATGGTCTAAGTGGGCATGCCATAAATCCCAGTGTACAGGCCATGCAGTGAAATATGGCCTGCTAAATTGACCAATCATAATGCACATACTTTCTGAGAGATGTAATGATGATAATGATGATGTTGGTAATGATCAGAAGATGGTTTTGAAAATGGGGATGTGATGTTGGTAATGCCAGCTATGGCAGCAGTGATCTTAGCTAAGCCACCTGTAGTCCCAGTAGAAACATGGATAAGAAGGATGTTTCATGTTTGTCAGGCAAACAATGACCAATGTCAGTCAGTAACAGTGGTAATGACAATGATGGAAAATCTAGGAAAACAACATTCTAATTACTAATTTTCTTTTATTCTGTTGCAGGCAGCTTCTGTTATCCTGTTGGACTGAAAGAAAGGCAAGGTATGACCAGAAAGAGTTTCCTATTTGTGTTTTGTTAATCTTAAGTTACATCCATCAGCAATAGCCCTGATGCAGGATCACTTCATTTGCTGAGAAATCTTCCCTAAGCCTCGGTTACACCTTTGATCTGTTTTTCTTTTTGATATGGGTGTTTTAGAAATACTTTGTTAACAAAATTTACCATTATTCATCTTGATAGAGAAAGAGCTTTGGGTGAAACTGTCCGAAATATATTGAAAGACCATAGAGTTTAGCTCAAACAACATTGTGCTTCGAGAAGGAAAACAGCTTTTTTTTAGCAGAACACATTACTTAAGACTAATCAATGAGCTTTTGATGACACAGTGATTGAAATTAGTCATTAAGAACTAGAATTTCTATCTTGTGATAGTATATAAGGGTAAGGCCCAAATCAAGTATCGTGCATAGAAATCTCGAGCAGACAATCTAATAGTTTGTCTTCAAATCCGTCAGTAGTCCAAAACTCAACAAGAAGATAGATTTTTGATTAATTTTCTTCAAAACCGCACCATGTTAGTTTTCACGCTTTATTCACCGTCCAATTAACAAGTAGATTCCATGTTGTCGCACGTCAGACCCACAGTAACAAGGAATCTATTTGTTTTATACGATAAAAAGGCAAAATGTAGGTAATGGTGACGTCATCTATATTATAGACAGCTTAGTCAATCAAATTGCATAACCAATCAAATTGGAGCATTTGTGATAGAACGCTGGTAGATTTTGGCCACTGAAAGCTTCATGTATAGTTCTGTATAGTTCATCAAGGTTGAATAATCTGATACAGTTAGTGTTAGTTACAGAAGGGGTTTCAACAAAAGCTGGTTACCAGTCTACCGCCGTCTGTTTAGTCTGCGAGTGACTTGTGCGTGGGTTTCGCCTTTTCCGGGCACAGCCGCTTATTACGGCATCGGTAGCCGCTTATGGAAAAAGTTATTGAAACTCCCGGTTATGGTCTACATTTTACTTCTAAGAAAACTTGGTATTCATCTGATGAGATCAGCGCCCACTTTCTGTCTGTAATTTAACTTATTTTATTATTAATTTTTTTGACTAATTGAACAGTGAATGGATGAAATCAATTGTTCATGTTATGGCAACTACTGGTGCTGACTGGATTAAGGAACATCCTCACAGCTCGTATGCTCCAATCAGGGAGAACTGTTATGCTCAGTGGTGGGTGTGATGTTAGACTTATCATCAGTTTTATGTCTTTGGTATACAAGTCATTGTACTAGTTGCTCTGCTAGAATACAGTCGGTCGTTCCTTTTTGACGAAGTCCTTTGCGCGAGATCTTGGGAAATGGTTAAGGCGGCGGGAAAATGGCTCTGAAAAATCAATGAAATTCAATTGAATCTAACCTTTTTGCGTCTATTGGTTTCGTTTTTAGGTTTGTTGACGGTGAAGCATATTTTGATGCAGTTGCTGATGCTTTAGAGTCTGCAGAAGAGGAAATTCTCATAACAGGCTGGTGGTGAGTTTTCCGAGTCTCTTTTGACTGACTTTGAGACTTTTTCAGCACCTTTGGGACGAAGTGTGAGGGTGTTGAGCGCATGTTCATGTTGTTTCAAGATAATGGCATAAGAATGGCATAAGAATGGCATAAGAATGGCATGAGATGAAAACAAAACAAAATGTATAATTTGTCCTATGTTTATTTCAGTTTTGTTGGCCCCTGAATCCGATTGTCCTTTATTGTCAGTAATGCAAATGTACTGAACTTGAGTATTGTTTCATTAAATGGTAAGTAAGTGTAAATAAGACGAGGCTTTTGTCATTTTCAGGGTCAGCCCAGAAATATACCTCCGTCGGCCAGTCACTGCCGGCCATGAATGGCGACTGGATATGACGCTGAAGAGAAAAGCGGTAATTGTGAAATTTCAAATTTTTCTGAACAGTATTGAAAGCGGGTTGTCACTCAACACTATACCTTTATATGAAAGTTTGAGTTTAGTCGGCTCTCTGTTCACTTTTTTCCAGATCGAGGTTTGAAGTTTAGTTGTTGGTTTTTCTTGTGGGAGGAAAAGCTGGAGAAAACATTTTTGGAGCAATTACGAGAACCAGCAAAAATACTTAAAAGGAAAAACTGTGACGTCAGACTCATGAATCGAACCTAGGCCACAGAGGTCTCACCACTGCGTTATACATGCGCCATACCTGCTTAGTGCTCACCATGTAGCTTACCGGGAAGAGTTAATTCACAAATTTCTTCCAAAACGAGATCCTTCCTTACAAAAAAAATGTTTCCTTGCTCTAAACGTTTTTTTTTCTGGGCTGCAACTGTGACTCTTGATTTGAAAATGGCCCCCTCATCTTGTATAATGTGACATGAACTTTGTGGGCAAACTGTAACAATTCTTTGGACTGTTTAATTTTTAAGATTTGCAAATCAAAATATATCAGTTTTGAAATTTATTTTTAATTTTTGCATCTATGATTTTTTAGGAGAGTGGTGTAAAAGTTTATGTTCTAATCTACAAAGAAGTTGAGCTGGCTCTAACGCTGAACAGTGCGTACACTAAAACTACTCTGATGGGTTTACACCCAAACATCAAGGTAGATTCGTTGGTACTTCACTGTGAAAATCATTTAAATCGACTTTGAAAGAATATCGTTTGTTAACATAATAAATTCGTGGACGCCCTGGGAAGGGAAAAAGGGTTAAAAAGGACTAACGAACGCATCACATAACTTTGTTTACCTTCGTATGATAGGATGGACCGTTCTTCAAAATGACTGAAATCGCCCGATACCAAGATACGCAGGATACTTATGTCAGCACCATAATAAAAAATTTTCAATTTTGTTTTTGAATTGATAAATTCACAAAGCTTCTATTAACTACGGGTTTACTTAGAAAATGAACTTTCTTACCAAGAGCATTATTTTTCCTTGCGATCAGTTTTATTTTGGTAGCCATTTGGTAGGCATAGCCGTTCTGACGTGTACGTGCATTAATTAAGAATTAGAACTTGCCATGTTGGCGAGGGGAGAAAAATCAGAGGTTACAATCTTTTTTTGAGGAACATGGTAATAGAAGGCAGGGAAATCTTATTTCATGTCTCCGATTTAGGTGTTGCGGCATCCAGACCACCTTCCTGGGGCAGGTGTAATATATTGGGCTCATCATGAAAAGTTGGTGGCCATTGACCAGAAGGTGGCCTTTATTGGAGGTAACTAGAACCTTACGTTGACGTAATACGAAAAATAACTAAGGACTGTCAGACGCTTTTTAAAATGCCTATTGTTGCTGACAGTCTTTCCTAGCGATAAATACAAATTGGAAATTGGATTCTCAAACTAGTCTGCCAATTAGTGTTGGTCAAATTACCATATTACATGGTTTTGAATTCATTTTTCACGATCATGGAATAAGGAAAAGATTTTGTCTACGGAATTAAGATTCCACAAGAGATTTTAAGTTTATGATCTCTTGGATTCCGATCTTCGACATCGGATGTTCATTCCCCCGAGCTGCTGAGACCTGGTGCTGAGTTTTTCGTCAGACCTGTTTCATTATTGACCAGATTTGACACGCGCACTCTACACTAGCGGCTGAAATTAGCAAAGCGTTCTGAAAAAGCAAAGATGGTCAAGTTTGTGGAAAAATTCATTTGAAATTCTTTTCTCGGAGTTAATACAATCAGTTGTGTTTTTAGGTCTCGACCTTTGTTTTGGTCGCTGGGACAATCATTTGCACCGTCTGACCGACTTTGGATCTGCGGTTCGGCCTCCAACGCTGAACAAAACGGTAACCTCACCTTGTTTTCATTCACTTATTCGTTTGCAAACGACTGAAGGCGTTTCATGTGTGGTCTTGTTTTTGCTAACAGGAGGAACAGATCAGAAAAATTGGCGCTCTGTTTGTAGAAGGAACGCTGGAGGGATTTGACGTGCCGAAATGTTCCGACTTCACAGACAACGTCAAAGTGGAGATAGAACCCGGAACATCAGGAGGAAACAAACTTTGGCTGGGAAAGGATTACTCAAATCCAATCACCAGAGATTTCTTTGACGTCCATAGACCATATGAAGGTATGTTGTACCTAAAAGCTGTTTTCAATGACTGTCATTGGACCTCTCTGATTGGTCAAAAAACACGTCAGGTTTGATCTCACCAATGATAGTAAAGTCACCTATATTTCGACCAATTGGAAGTTAAATCAAAACGAATGTCATCAAATCTCAGCATTATCACAAGTGTAATTGTATTGTACCACTTATAAGTTCAATATAAGTAGTCCTGAGCGAAGGAAAACCAAGTGCACAACGGATTTTTTCCATACTTGAACAATTTTCAATCGAGTGTCGAAAGAAAACTGGAGTTGCTTTGATTTTGTTCTACTGCGTTCTGCGATTGGTCCGGACAATTTTCGCCACCCTTACAACCAATGAGATTCAACACCAAAACTATAGCCAACTGGTGATTCACGTTTTCCTGCGCCTTTCAGGCAGTTGACTTGGTCTTTTTGTGAGCTCTCATTAGCATAGTGATATTTTGATCGGCCTTTGTGATTACCTTGGTACTGGTTTGACCGAATCCGGCTCGAACTTCGAGCGCTCTGTTTGTGGACAATATGGAATTTTTGCACTTACGTGTCGTTGTTGTTGATCAAACAGCTGTTGTGCTGCTCTTCTTTAAACTTTCGTAAAGTGAGTATGGCTTGTAGAAAGTTTTGTCGCCTTTTTTCTCTTTTGAAATAGGAATCATGGCAACAGAATTTAGCTAACGACTCCCCCATGTACTGACTCGATACTTAATCGTAAGCCTCTTTTTGTCGTATCGGTTTTTTAGATTCCGTGGACAGAGGCCATGTTCCTCGGATGCCTTGGCATGATGTGGGCATGCGTGTGTTTGGTTTTCCCGCGAGGGACATCGCTCGACATTTCATTCTGAGATGGAATGCTACCAAGGTGATGATAAAACGATTGAAGATCATAATTGTTAAATAAGCATCCACAGGTGATGTAAATATGAGCACAGGCATTGTAAATATAAATATTTTTCATTCTTTTCAGATTGAAAAGGTTAAAATGTATCATGACATCCCTTACCTTCTCCCGAAGTCGTACTCCAAACTTTCTAATGAAAGGCCAGCAACATTAGACGACTTTAACGTGGTGGATTGCCAAGTGAGTAAAAGACTTCTTTATTTTCTCCATCATCAACAAATGTTCATCATTTCCTATTAGTGCTCAAGGATACATTCATATAGGATGAAGGAAGGTGGGCTTTGCATTTGGCTTTCAGACCTGGCTACTCCTTCCCCACATGAAAAAACTCGATGAATCAGTCTGTTGTTCAGTCAGTCAGTCAGTCAGTCAGTCAGTCAGTCAGTCAATCCGTCAGTCAGGCATTCAGTTAGTCATTCAGTCAGTCAGTCAGTCAATCTGTCAGTTGGTCAGTCGGTCATTCAGTCTTCAGTCGGTCATTCAGACAGTCAACCATTCAGTCGGTCAGTCAGTCAATCTGTCAGTCAACCATTCAGTCAGTCAGTCAGTTGGTCAGTCGGTCAGTCAGTCAGTTATTCAGTCTTCAGTCAGTCATTCAGTCAGTCAGTTAGTCATTCGGTCAGGCAGTCAGTCGGTCACTCAGTCAGTCAGGCAGTCAATCTGTTAGTCAGTTGGTCAGTCAGTCAGTCAATCCGTCAGTCAGCTATTCAGCCAGTCATTCAGTCAGTCAGTCAGTCATTCAGTCAGTCAGTCAGTCAGTCAGTCAGTCAGTCAGTCACTTGGCCATTCAGTCAGTTCAGTCAGACAGTCTGTCAGGCAGTCAGCAGTCTTCAGTCAGTCAATCAGGATGTCAGTCAGTCAATCAGTCTGCCCCGGTTTTTTCGGCGAGTTGATTGCCCAAGTGTGTGCCGCCGGGTGCACAGGTATAGTTGATGAAGGAGAAATGAAAGTGTTTGTACCAACAAATATTGATGTCTATTAGATACTCCGTTCCCTCTGTTCGTGGTCAGGCGGTGTTCCTCCAGAAAACTCCATTCATGAGGCATACATAAAGGCGATTGAAGCATCTCAACATTTCATTTACATTGAGGTAATAAAAAAAAAAATCTGAGGTAAATTTCAAGGTTTGTTCAGAGTCTATAATTCTGAAGGTATATACATAAAAATCTGAAAAGTCTATTGGTTTTTTCCCACTATCAAAAAGCATTTAATTACACATTGAATGTTTTCGGGTAAGTAGAATTTTTGATGAGTTTTCTACTGGTTTACTGGTCAATTAGAATATGTTATCTTAATGTAACACCAATTCCATCGACTAATTTACGTAGAAGTAGATAACTGTTCTTTTTCCTTTTTTCTTGCAGAACCAATTCTTTATCACTTCTCTTTTCATTGACAATGTTAAGAATGAGATTGGACAGAACCTTTTGTGGAGAATAGAGAGAGCACACAGGTGTGATGTATATTTCCTTTTATCACTTCCAAGTCTATTTGAATTTTATAGGATTAATGAAAAGCAGTGTAACATGCAGGTGGATACCTCCAGGTGATACCCATAGTAAATTTCATACTTGCAGAAAAAATACTGCAACAATGATAAAGTGGTTCTGCTCTATTTTGCTTTTCTTCCCTTGTTGTAATTTCTTTACTGTTGCCTATGGTATCTATTTCCTGGAGATAGCACAAGCGAAATGCGTCTGTTGTTTTGTTGTACTGCTGTAGATCATGTGACACTAATCGGTGGAATATTTTCTTTTAAAATTGGTCAAATTTCCATTTCCAATTGGTCAAGCTTCGTATACGACCTCCATCTTATTAAGAGAGAAATCCAAATGCCTCTGAGGATTTCACATAATCTGTGATAGGCAACTGATAACGGCAGATTCATTGATCTGTTTTAATAGTGTTTATATAAGCACAAATGGGATCAAAGTCCATAAGTACAAATGTAAGAAAAAACCACGACAACGAACAGAAGCAGCATACGGAGGTCACGTAAATGGAAACGGAAATGTCGTATGAGTAATGCAAAGAAAAAAAAAATTCAGTGGCAAGTGAGTCATTGACGCCCTAAAAGAAGCTGGGATGTTTCCCTCATTATTGGCTATCATTCTCAAAGAGAAGGATTGAATTAACATGATTGAGAATATCTCTTGACAGTTAGTATCACTGATAACATTTTTCCCGTTTTCGACAGAGAGGGTGAAAATTTCAAAGTTATAGTCGTCATGCCACTCCTACCAGCCTTTGAAGGTAAGAGTGTATGAGAACATAGTTAGCCAGTAAGTTGCCGGTTTTTGTTGGAAGTTTTAACCCCCAGCTGTAAATTTTACGGCATTTTTTTTCTCTCAAAAGAACGTTTTTCATTTTATCCAGATCCAGCCAACTGCGAAACTGAAAGGAAAACATGTTTTCTTATTTCTCTGCTATATCAAAGACATGTTTTATATGTGGAGTAATGGGGAAGTAAGATTCTGGTGGCAGTCTTCCTCATTGTTACCTTTGATATTTTTCTCTTTGTCAGGGGAGATTGGTACAGCCACTGGTCGATCGATTGGCGCCATTACTCACTGGAACTACAGGTCAATTTGTCGAGGATCGCATTCTCTCTTGCAGAGATTAACAGAACTTGGTATAAACTTCTTGTTGCTTGCTTATACTCTCAAGAATCTGTATTGTTTGTGCGTGTATATTTTGCTTTTGGTATTCATGGTTTTCATCTTTCCTTCACTTTAGTTGGTGATCCTTCCAAGTTCATAACATTTTATGGTCTGAGAACTCACTCAGAAATTCGTGGAAAACCCGTGAGTGAATTCAGTGTTGATTCAGTTGAGCACAATCCCATTTTACTTTCGAGTTTCTTGTTAACTGGTCAGCCATTTTTTTGTTTGCAGGTCACAGAGCTTGTATATGTTCATAGCAAGATGATGATTGTCGATGACAATACAGTAATCATTGGCTCAGGTATGAAAACGCAGTTGTGATATGTGGTTGTAACCTTACGACTGCAAAGAAAAGCTGAAGTTGACTATCTGAGTATTAGTCCTTTTTTTCTATGTTAAATATCGCGAGTACTTGAATCACGTTCTGTTCTCGTCCTAACTTTGTGAAATCCCAAGTGTTTCGTGTTTGACAATTTCTTCCTTGTTTGTGTCTAAGTCGTGCTCCAGCCATAGAAAAAGCCTTTGGAATAACTGGATCTTTACAGGAAAGAAAACAACCCTGTCAAAGACGTCTTTTTTTTTATTGTCATTTTTTTTCAGCTTCACTGTTAGTTTTTTTCGAGAACAGACTTAAAGGTTACCTTTAACATAACTCGGTTCGTCTCATATTCAGAGGCTTTTTGCCCTCTCGTACCTTATGCATCTGTATTTATCTTTGACAGTACTGCGCTCTTTTCTATTTTTAGCAAACATCAATGACCGCAGCATGCTGGGAAAGAGAGATTCAGAAATAGCCTCTATCATGAAGGACAAGGAATTTGTAAGTCTTATTTCCACTTCGCAAATATGGTTCGGTAAATCGAACATTTGCTGACAAGGAAATCGTTCAGCCAAGAACTACAGGATGTTCTAACTGAAAGTTGGCTTTAGGGGGTCCTAAGGATTTCACCCACATCACCTCAAAAATGATCGTAAGAAACGAAAAAAAAAGTTATTGTTTCTGAATATGCAAGACTGACAAACATCCGAATTGAATAAAAAAAAATTGTCCCAATGCGAACCCTCTCCCTTAATATCAAGTCTCCTCGTTGTTCCCCAGATATTGCTTATGAGTTTAGTGCTGAGACTTTGTTGTTTGACAAAACAATATCCTTTGGGACCAATATTCTTCTTTCTTCACGTCACCTTTGTGGTTGTAAGTGTATTGATATTAGAAGGAGATGAAGTGTGAAGGGTGAAGTGTGAAGGGTGAAGTGTGAAGGGTGAAGTGTGAAGTGTGAAGTGTGAAGGGTGAAGTGTGAAGGGTGAACAAGTTGTAGGCCAATGTAGTTTTTCAATGACTACACGCTATATACAAGGAAAAAACAAATCATATCCCCTGATAAATTATCATTTAACAGCAGTGAGAACACTTCTTCTTACTTTTATGGGAGTAAGTATGATGGAGGAAGTTTGAAATATCGATGGTCATTCCTTTTTATGCTTTGCTCATCAGGTTCCGTCCGTTATGGATGGCAAGGAATATCAAGCTGGCAAGTTTGCGTTCAACTTAAGATCAAGACTCTTCAGGTAGGAGAGTGATCCTGATAAATATCTATATCCTGGAAGAGAGCAGAGAATCTGAACAACTTTAAGTAACTGGTTGAAGTTTGATCTATTTTGTATTTTTCACTCTCATGATGAATTCCTCTTATTTTTTCGAGGCGTCAGTCGTCGTTATTGACAACGGTCCATTTCATGACTCCTATTACGTGGACGGTCAAAATACACATCGCTATTATTAAACTAAAATGATTACTTACTGCTTGACTTATTGCTATTGTGAACGGAACTTCGAAAAATACCTTTTACTATCACAGCCTAGTATGCACTTCCTATGAACAGTAAAACCGCACTCAAAGACTTAGTACCTTCCTAGAGACTCGTGATGTGCTATAGTCTACACGAGGAAAGGTGCAATGAGTGTTTTTCTTTATTTTCTTTTTTCGTTTCTTTTCGTGAGATGAGTTAGTTACAGTTACGAAGATTTTTTAGTCATTCGTTTTACAATTTTTTAGGGAACATCTGGGTTTATTAGATTCTCCTTCAGACGTAGACATCAGAGATGTTGTCTCAAAAAGTTTCTATGAGGTGAGCCTTGGTTGATATGGATACTGAAAATCCAGTTTCTATGCAGTGAAATTATATAATCAATAACTGGTAATGTTAATCAGGCTATTCATGATGTTTTTGTGTCTGTCTTTGTTTTTGATTGTAAAAATGTTTCAATTTTAGGATGTGTGGATGGCCACGGCGAAGAAAAACACTGAAATTTACGAGGAGGTACGATGGAAGCAGCAAAATTTTTCGACGGTGCATTTTCGCGAGAAGGCTGAAAATTATTTTAGTAAGGTTTCGTCGGAGCTCCCTTGCGGTTGAACGTGTTGTGCGTAAACAACAATATCGTTCTTAAAATTGTCAGCTTTGCTCTAGACTCGCTCACATGTGAGTAATAATTCAAGGAGGATTGGTGTTTCCTGGTACTTAGCTGGATCTCCTCCCATCAAAAATCCAGAACACGGGACACCATACCACACGAGAACTGAAATTAACTTCGACAGGCAACTCACTGTATGGAACCTGAGATCAATGTAGAAAGACGAAACCATCCCATAATAGCTAGTTTGTTGTTTTCAATACATGAACCATTTCATCAACTGTACATCTCAAAAGTTTTCCTTTTTTCTAGGTACGGTGACCTTGTTAACAGCCATACGCTGTGATAATAAACATTACTACCCTTTTTCTTCAAGGTGTTTCACTGCATGCCAACAGACCAAGTTCGTTCACTAAGCGACATGGCTGCTTATAAGGTGAGAAACTGTTATGAGACCGAGTCGTTTGACTGTTAAAGCATGTTGAAATGATGAAGTCCGTTAGTGTTCAAGCCCGCGCAAAGGAGCTAACCTCAGATGCTTAAAATAGGATTTCCGCTTTCGCAAAGCCTCGTGCACAGTCTAATGTTATCGCGTCAAATTAAACGAAGGACGATACCTGTTAGGTCTGATCCACTCTCGTTTAAAGTCACTGAGAACCCTCGATGAGTGGTTTACAGTTACATTTTTCGTTTTTCTTTGGTACAGAAATTTTATGAGTGCTAATGAATGTGGTGAAACCGCAGTATGACACACAGGATGAAGAAGCGAATTTACAGTTTTTACTAGTTCTTGTCCTTTCTTCAGATTTTGACATATGTTTATCATAATTCTTTTGTTTGCATCAATATTCTTTCTAGAGTCTTAAAAACCTCGACAAAGAGGACCCTGGACAGGCACGTGCTCGTCTGCGAGGCGTCAGAGGGTATCTCGTTAAATTGCCCCTCCACTTTTTAGAAAAAGAAGACCTTAGACCGCCCGTTGGTAGTTCAGAGTTCTTTGTGTCAGAAGGAGTTTTTACGTGATTAGATGCATTGTAGGATAGCCTGTTTAATCAGTTCCTTTGCGATAAAAAATTGAATTGAAATGATAAGTTGCTTTACGATGATTATTACGATTACAATGAGGGGAGGTCGGTGATTACCCACTTCAAGTTACTAAGTCGGATAATTTAATTATTTTATTAAAAATATATCGAATTTAAATTATATGATTGGTTAAATTGACTTTCATTTGAGGGAGATCCTACTCTATTGTATTTTACAGAATTTACTCTAGTTTGACATGTCATAATATTTTGGATTGAAACAAGGTACTAGATTGTTTAGAGGTCATTTATTAAGAAAAACGCTTAGTTTACCTTATTATTTATAAATTGCAAATGGCGCAATAACGGCTTTGAGAGAGGAAATATATTTTGGAAAGCTTATTAAATCACCGTTTGAAATAAATATGAGATTTTGCTGGATTAGTGTAACGCCATGTTAGCCGCCTAGCCTCGATTTGAACTTTTCCTTGATTGTTCTGTTGTTTGGAAGAATTTACGAAAATTTGTAAAATATGTTGGCAGTGCCAGAAATTCGCTGAAACCATAAAATATTTTTATATTTGCATACTCCTATATCCTATTTAATTAGTCTGGAAGAAAATGCCATGAGGAAGATGTTGGACCTTTGCGCACAGCCGAGATTAGAAGTTACATAGGGAGAAAGAGTTCTTTAAAATTTTGTTGGACTATTCACCATGGGATTATGCGAGAGTCAACGAATGAAGGTTGAAGTTGCGTTCACACTTTGGAGGAAGACAAATGGGTGATCTTTTATCGTTTGCACGGAACTGCTTCTTTCATTTTCCACGTCACATTAGCCCTCTCCTTCCACCCTGAAACAAACTGCATAGCAATGCATTAGTATAACTTTGTTATTGATTGGAGTAGCTGGGATGGGAAATTAATACTTTATTACCAAATAACCCTGCAAAGAAGACGACATGACTTTTCCCACCTTTTGTTAATTTACCAGAACAAGAGAGGTTCACCCCACCCCTCTCAGGAAAAATTCTCATTTTTCAGTGGTAGCCCTTCATCCCTCGCATTGTTATTACAGAAATCTAGTCTAGTACTTTGACTTTACTAACAGACTTGTATCACATTTTGCGTTATTACGTAATGCGTTTGGAAAGTACTACATTTTGCGTTAAAAAATTACTACATTTTGCGTTCTTGAATTATGCATTAGAAAAGTTTTTAAATTTTGTAATACTACAATTTGCATTTGCACATTATGCGTTAAAAAATTACTGTTTGTGTCATTACATTTTGCGTTAGAAAGGTATCAAATTTTGCGTTATACATTATGCTTTAGAAAAGTTACTACATTTTGCGTTAAAAAAAACTTTTCAAACAAGAATAATTCAAATACCTAAATTTTACACCTCAATTTTACGGGTTTTTTTTCTTCGATATTATCGAACTGTTGTAATATGCGCTCCCAACTATCCGCCAGCTTGCAATTGCAGAGGTAACTAAAAGCAACGGTTTACGAACAAGATTTAGTTATTAATTTTTATCCAGTATTTGATTGGCTGGATTCAGACAAGTTGTAAATTGCCTTCAAGTTTTTCAGCTTAGCCCATTGGTCAGTTGTCACTGACTTAATTGATTCTGTCTCTGAAAACTGATCGCTGTTTGCATCGAAGCGCAGGTTTAAATCAAAATACTCAAACTCTTAAAGCTACTCACACTTGCCCTTAGCTTGTCGGAACGGTAACACAATACACACAGACAGTACCTTTTTAAATTACCCGATTCACCTGACATCTAACCTATCTTAGTTGAATTCAAATCTTTTTTCGAAATAGTTCGGCAACTAGCTTCTATCTTACGGAAGGATGTTCGAGAAACTCAGGAATTTCTTCTTCTTAATCCCGGCCTTCGTGATAATGAGTTTTTACACCACGAAGTTTGCTTACTACGATCGATTACCCAGGACTGAATTATACACATGCAAGGTTATACGAATTCTTTGTTTTGGTGATTCCTTAACGACAGGCCTCGTGGACGTAAAAACATTTGAAAGCTACCCTTATTCCATCAAACTACAAGAATATTTTGATTTGCACAATCACACAGTACTGGATGTGTCAAAGCGATCTTTCTTCCAAGTTCACAACGCGGGAATGCCTGGTGCTAGAGCAAAAGGTCAAATGTTGCCACATTTGACTCAAATATTGCAACATTCAAGAATAAAATACAGCTGGGTGATCATTCTTGCTGGGACTAACGACTTGAATTCCGTGCGTACACTCGGAGAAGGCAATCTTTCATACAATTCAAGATCCATATTTAATGCGATAGTAACGCTTCACAATGTTACACACATGTTTGGTGCGAGATCTCTGGCAGTTTCCATTCCGGATAGAGAATGTGAAGGATTGGGAACATGTACTAAGCTGAAACACACCCATAAAAAGATAAACCAACTTCTTCGCGATTTCGCAGCCAAGAGCAAGGAGAAAATGCTTCTTGCTGATTTATCTAAACATGTTTATCTTCCTCGTGACCGTAAATTGTGGCGTGATCCGCTTCATTTTACAAAACAGGGTTATGAAAAGATGGCAGAAATTATTTATAACGCAATGAAAGAACATGTTTGACGTGAATGAATAGTGAAATGGGACGAAAGTGCGAGGTTGTTTCAAAAGGTGATAGCATAATGATATAAATCAGTATAACTTGACGTTAATTTTTGTCCATGTGTTTTTGTTTTTTCTTTTTTTAAGATTCGATAAACAACTAACTTCAAGAGTTTCGCGACCAATGTTATTTGGAATTCAGTAAGTGATGAGTAGAGTTGAAATATTAGATAAAGACAGGATATTGTTTTCGTGCACAATGTTACAGGAAAATTATAATTACTTCAGTCTCACTATTATTTCCTAAGCTGCTCTACCCACAGCCGGCCCAAGCTCCAGCTGTGAGATGATCATCTTGCTGATGCACAGGGATATGATCTTTGTATATTTCTCGCCACTGCGGTACGTTTTGGCGCATCGGTTTCCCTGAAAACTTTATCTCTTTGGTTCCCATCTCAGTCCCTATTCAAATGTGAGGCTGCATCTGAGAGATGACGCTACATATATAGCGTCCCTAGGCAAGATTTAGTATGTACTAGATGTATGGTTGTAATTTGAAGGTTGCATGGCAATTTGGCTTAAGTTGAAATCTTTATTAAAAATGATTTTCCAAGCCTTTTGATATATGAAATCAGGGGGCCAGCCTTTTTCGCCTTCTTTGGGTGCGCGAAGAACAAAAAATGTCCTTTCTGTTCGGCTTTTCAGAATAGTCAAGAGAGTAAAAACTGTGATCTCTTGGAACAGTTCAGTAGTGTTGTTATTTTTTCAATCAGTGGCATGATCGATGGAGAACTATCTCGTGTTATTTACACAGCGTAAGGCTTTTTTTTAAGTACTTAGAAAACCTCGAAATGGAAAACTAGCTAAAATGGGTTCTTTTCATCAAAGTATGTGGTCAGATAACAAGCGATACGCTGTGGAAGTAAGGTGTGGTATTTTTATTGAGAATTTGACGTTTTTTTTTTATTCCTTGAAGCGGTCGTAAATATTCTCATACAAACTCTTATAATTCCGCCATGACTGTTTTTGCGCAAGATGATCATCTCACAGCTGGAGCTTGGGCCGCCTGTGATTACATCCGTCTCTTAGTTTTGAAATTCTTTCTGAACAGATGGAATATTTAAATGAAATCGCTCAACTATAAAGAGACATTTTCTGCTTCTTTTGTTATACTGTTCAAGTAGCGTAAATTTAGAGAACAGAACCACGCGCTCGATAGTACTTATGGAAATATATTGTAAAGCTTTTTCGATTACATTGCTTACGAAGTTGAGTACACTAGAGGTCATGTCGGTTGTCGACATAAGCTAGAATAAAGTTATTGTGGAACCAAACGTTGTCTAATCCTTGAAGTTCGTAGCAAGCTCGCTCGAAGCAGGTCTCCGTGTATCAGGAAACCGCGACGAGTTTCCGTTCCCGCTGCAAGTGGTCTCTACCGAGCTATTTCCCTCCGTTATTGTCACGTTTCCCGCAAAAGTCTAGTTAGCACGCAAAAACCTATCATTACAACAAATAAGAAAAAGGTGAGGTTATCCAATCAAAGTAATCAGGGTATGTTTCTTCGCAACACTCTTGATTGTCAAAGCGTCCCTAAAAACCAAACAATTGTTTATTTTCTTTGTGATCAGTAAATAACACGATAGTTCTCCATCATGCTACTGATTAAAAAAACACACTACTGAACTGTTCCAAGAGATCACAGTTTTTACTCTCTTGACTGTTCTGAAAAACCGAACAGAAAGGACTTTTTTTGTTCTTCGCGCACCCAAAGAAGGCGAAAAAGGCTGGCCCCCTGATTTCATATATCAAAAGGCTTGGAAAATCATTTTTAATAAAGATTTCAACTTAAGCCAAATTGCCATGCAACCTTCAAATTACAACCATACATTTGTTTTTAATTACGCCTTAAGATAAATACTGTATTCAGTTTCTCGGTTTAACTTTGAGTCCCGATCAAACCGCAGGCCTCGTTTTTAAGCCTTAATGATTGCTCGAAATGGTTTCGTTATATCTTAACACCATGCAGTTGTTTGATGATGATTAAGCACTATGTTTATTCCCTTGTAAATGGTGTAAAAAAAATGTCTCTTTTTAGCAATATTTCTGAGTAAAAAAAAGACTACTGCACCGTAAACCTACGGCCCTGTATCCATATTTGAGCAGCCTCTCTAATCTACAGAAAGCCCTTACCTTTTGCTTGATTGATTTTAGTTGACTAACATGCAACATGATTTTTCTGCTGCTGTGCCGCCGTAAATCTTACCAAGGGACGCTTTATATTTAGCGTCGTCTCTCAGATGTAGCCTCACATTTGAATAGTGACTGATAGGAACCAAAGAGACGAAGTTTTCGGGGAAACCGATTCGCCAAAACGTATCGCAGTGACGAGAAATATGCAAAGACCATATCCCCCTTAGCGTGACCCGGAAAGTCTGTGCATCAGCATAAAGCCTGTAATGTGAGAACAACGAGTGACAGCGCTGACTCAGCAAAGCCTAAGCGTTCAGCGGCCATCATCTGCAGGGAATGAGAAAAACCACGGATTGACATTTGTGCACTCAGCGAATTGCGCAGTCCATGTTCTGTGAACATTGGTGAAAGAAGTCATACTCAATCTTCCGGAGGAGTAGTCAACAAAGAAAGGCTGGAGTAGGTTTTGATATTACTAACAGATTAGCTGCCTAAGGCACTCACCCAAAACCAAGAGATTATAATCTCTTGCCCAAAATCCATCGATGGCAGACTCATGACACTGCGGATCTAAATCAACTCAGGATCCAACCCATGTCTACGCCGCCTTAAATGCAGTTTATAGTCCCACAATCAAAACTCCACTCCCTGTAAGATCAAAAGAAGTTGAGTTAATAACATTTTCAGAGAAAATCAAGGACAGATAAGTGGAGCATTTCAGGCAGCCTCTAAATTAACCGACAGAAGTGGATTTCCGTGTTACAGAGAACGGCTTCATTCTGCTAAGACTTAAACATCCATCTGGCAGAAAACGGTTATCCACAATCACAGTCAGGGAAATGTAACAGGAGGAGAACTAAGAAAATTGACTGATTGAAACTTCTTGATTTGCTGGAGACAATGGGTTTACAACAGCGTGTTATAACACCAACTCACGAGTCAGGCAACACATTGGACGTAATCATAACACGACAGTTCGGGGACTTGGTCAGGGAAACTCCCGTATCGGACTACCACATTTCCGATCGCTGGTCTGTTATATGCCGGATAAACCTTGACAAGCCTAGGGTAACAAAGAAAACAGTGACCTTTAGGAGGAATAAAGGCGTGAATTTGGATGTGCTATCTGATGAAATTTCATTAAAGATATATGGAATTGGCTTATTGAAGGACGGCTGTTACTCAATGATGATAAAATTGAATTTCTAGTTATTGGAGCTCGCCAGCGGTTAAATAAATTAAATCCACCAGTGCTTCATATAGGTCATCATACGATTGATCCTTCGGTCAACGTTAGGAATTTGGGAACGATATTTGACAATTCAATTAGTATGGATACTTACATAAATCAAGTTTGTAAGACCGCTTTTTACTATATTCACAATATTCGTATGATTTCTAAATACCTTTCACAGGAATCCCTTAAAACATTAGTTCATGCTTTCGTTACGTCCGGACTCGATTATTGTAATAGCCTACTTTATGGCCTTCTCAAATATCATATACGTAAACTACAACGTGTACAGAATGCTGCAGCCAGATTAATAACGAATACTAGAATGTATGATCATATCACACCAGCTTTATATAACCTTCACTGGCTACCTGAGTTTTACCGCATTTATTTAAAAATTTTAATTATTACATTTAAGACTATATATGATATGTCACCAAACTACATTAGTAACTTAGAGTTATTTAATCAAAGTTTAGCCATCGTTTAATAAAACCGCGTTCTAAGCCTTCTTCAATTTAGCCGAACCCTTTATCTAAGAATCAATTTTTTGTGAACAGTGTCAACAGGCCGATACCTAAAAGTAGACGGACATCTATTTAAATGAAATCAACCCTCTTAAAGAGAATCACCGAGGCCCACTGCTTGCGGAAACCACGGTTTGAGTTAGATCTCGTTTAAATAAGCAGCCCCTAGTGTCCATTAAGTCGTGTTCTGTTTATTCCCTAGATCGAATTCTTCATTATTTTTGGACCGTCCCAAGGAGCGCATGCCATCTACATTAAGAGCACGTTCACTTTATATTTCTGCCCCCACACTGTGGAACAGCCTTCCAGCAACTATTCGGGAAATAACATCACTCAACATTTTTAAGAAAAAAACTTACGACACATCATTTTAATTTAGCATACAACGAGTAATTTTTCTTGGGGGTGGTCAATTGTGTATTTTTAGTATTAGGTTTCATAGATATTTCTTATAATTCATCATAGTTACTGTATTTTTATATATATTTCTGAATTCATGTAAAGCGCTTTTGATCATTTTAATGTTAAAAGGCGCTATATAAGTAGGAAAAAAAACGATAGAATCGCTAACTAAGTCAGTGTAGGCGGTATTCACGGAAATCACGCCTTTGGTTAGTGAATAATTTGGTAGTACATACACTGTGGTAAGCTGTTTCTTATGTCAACATTAATTCCTCTGTACATATATATATATATATAAATTTTTTAATGTATTCCATAGCCTGAGTAAGCTTAGTGAAGACAGTATTGAGATTCTGAAGGTCATACGAAGAGGTGAGATCTGGGCAAGAAGCTAGAAGCGCGATAAAAAATTCATGTTTCCATTGTGAACTAGTTCTTGTGCATTTTCTTCATCCAAAAATGCAACTTTGAGCACAAAGTAATATGGAAATGGATGAATTCCCAAGCGAATACTACATAAGTCAAGAGGATTTGAAAATGTTTCGTGGAGATTGCCTTCAGAACCAAGTTACTCCCAATCCTTCACAGAGTTCCGAGTACGTAAACGTCAGGATAGTGGATGGTCCGACTATAAGGCCATATACAGACGAACAACAAGACTAAACATTTTTTTTCTCGACATAAAAGGAAAATGTTTTACAACGAAACCAGTTGTTATCGCAGGTATCGCCGCTAAAACTGAAAAGAACTGTTTTGATTATCTTTGATGACGTGTTTTTGCCGGAAGGTTTCCAGAGTCTTAAAAATGAAACGATAAAAATTTTATAGAAGGGTTCCTTAAAAATTATCCGACGACAAAGAGTACATTCATTGAATTCGGTAATCTAGAGTGGAGAGCTTAGGAATATACAACTAATATGTAACCAAATTACTTTGAAGAAGGTGAACAATTTCATCTCAAGATGTTTGGTATGACTAACTTTCAATGGGCTTCACTTGGATTTTGTGTTCTTCTGTTATCACCACTAACTACTCTGTACGTACTCGTTTCAAGAAATGCTAAACGAGGGAAATTAATACGAATCTTGTGTTTCGGTGATTCACTGACTTTCGGTCTCACAAACGGAGAGCCGCATCCATACACGGTAAGATTACAAGAGTATTTTCGAAGTAAACTCAGGAGTCATTCAAGGTCGAGCCATGTTGAACTCTACAATGCCGGACGATCAGGCGAGCAAGTTCAAATCGAGATGCTCCCTCGACTTGAAAATTTATTGCAGGCTGCTAAATACAACTGGGTTATCATTTTGGGAGGGACAAATGACTTGTTTGGAATGAAGAGTATCTGGACAGACAATAACATTGGCAAGGAACAAGATCAAATTACCATTTTCAATGCCCTAGTTCAGCTGCACAAGGTCGCTCACATGGCTGGAGCGAAAACTGTTGCCGTAACGATTCCTGCGTTACAATGTGAGGTGAACAAGAAGCGAATGATCAGCGTGATTATGGAAGTGAGACTGAAAGTGAACGAAATGATTCGGAATTTCGTCAAAAATTCAAAGGGAAAGGTGCTTCTGGCTGACATTGATAAGGATATGCATTTTTCTCGAGATCAAATGCTCTGCGGTGACGGAATTCATTTAACTGTTTCAGCTTATGACAGAATGGCCTACATCATATTTAATTCGATAAAGAATTTTATATAGGGCTTTCAAATAAAAGGAATAATAAAACTCAATACTCAAATAAAATCAGAATTTCTAAGATCTACCAACACAACATACACCGATTGAATTCGGTCAATTTGTTTACGGAGAATTATGCTTGAGACCCTCTAGTAGTTTTCTCCGCTACTAAAGATATATAAGATATTATGACACTAAGTACGTTTTGAGATTCTTAAGAGTAACCTAAGCTTTCGAAAATTGTCTTCAAACCAGACGGTGTGCACACTCTGATTGCATTGCATCATGGTCGTAAAACGAATAGGGAGTCATCTGCATCCTGCCGAAATGTACTTAAATATTCGACTATGGAGGCCTCCACTTTCTATTATACTCAGTAACCTGGCCGCTGAGCTGTGAGGCACTCACGCCTCACTACTCTTTTCAATTTTTAAGCGACTTATGTCAACTACAACAAAAAAGCGTTCTTATTTAAGTCTGCTTTGCTTATTTCTTCCTTTTTATTTAATGATCAAAGCACCAACTGGTTGTGAACCGCGCGATGTAGTTTTGCTCTCATAAGGCAACATTCATAGTCGGTATTTTCGCGAAATTTAAGACAAATTTCGAGCAGAGTAGTCACACTTTGAAGTCTCTAGTCACGCTTAAATTTCATATTTTCTATTCAGTTACAGTAACAAGAATTAAATGTTTTCTAGTGCATACCTCGCCTGAGCTTTTGACGCCCCGTGGGCCAAGGTGCCGTGCAGGAGAAACCGAATTACAATGACAACTCAGGAGCTGATCTGTTCGCTTACATGAAAGAAGGCCTTAAAGAGCTGTTGACCTGGCTGTAAGAAATACTTTGTTGGGGATTGTAGTGAATAAGTTTACATCGATGAGGCTGGACCGGTGAACCTAAGAAAGGCAAAACATCTCTTCCAGACCGCCACCGCTAAACAACACCCACGTGTGATGTAGTTGCGAAATAGCCGAACCTCGTCCTAGAAATAAGCAGCGGAATGCGCCTATCAAAGCTTTAAGTTCAAACTAAGTGTAAACTAAGCAGCGGAATGCGCCTATCAAAGCTTTAAGTTCAAACTAAGTGTAACGGATCATCGTGCTTACTGGGTGACTAACTGGCGGAGATAGAAGGGGCAGGGATTAACCCCCCAATTTCATCCTGGTTTAGACCACCCCCTCCCCCACCATGAACCATACAAACTCATTATCTGAGGACGCGACACAAAGTTAAATCGTGGTGTTTTCTCAGGTAACTTCAATGTAGTTTAATGCTGAGCGAGGAGTATGTCTATTTTTTGTTGAGTAGACACAAAAGATGGTTGAGCCACAAACACATAAAATGAATGGAAAGATATTTGCATTGGATTGAAAAATAGTATTAACAACAATTAAAATCCACGAGTTCCCAATGATGCTGATATAGGTAGAATAAAAAGCAATTATCTCTTGCCATATTTTAATAATCTCGGCTAAAATAAAATTACACGACTAAGGATATGTTCTTTAACTATTGACAGTGTAAAGTTACATTCATTGGTCAAATTACTTTAGATAACCATCCTTACATACTGGAGAAATGAAGTGTTAACCTGTGACAAGAGTATGACTACAAGAAACCTTAATTAATTATCACTGAGAACAAATCCAGCAACAGCAAGAAGACATTACTGCTGAAGTCATAGACTTACCAAAGGTTAACAAAACTCAGATCATGAAGAGTAATCAAGGCTTTACTTTGATTTTGTAAGCCCTCTGAACGTAATCTTAGGACCAGCAGTTGTTACACATCCCACTCTGCCCATGAGATGACCTCCTTTGTAGAGAAGAGGGAGGAAGACATACCACATATGCATCCCTGTGTAAGCAGCAGTCCTAAGGACAGTATCATGGATTTCCCTCTTCTGATTGGGCATATTTGAAATCAGAAAAGTGACACATTTGCTGAAATAGTGAAATCTGGTGGTCATATTCGATATGTTAAGATGGCAACCACAGAAGGTAGGCTGAGTGCATCATGCCAAGGCTCACTGGTAAACTTAATAAATAGAAAAGGAAAAAAAGGTTATCTTTCATTGCCTGGCTTGTTCTTTTTGAGTACTCTGAATCTTTTATATGGTCTTCCTAAAAAGTTCTTGCATTATGAGATGGGACTTCCACAGAAAAATCATACCAAAAAGACAATTTTGTCTTTTCAATTACTTTTTTTCCAGAACATTTACCAGCAAGACTTGAATTTGTGCATTAGAGCCAGTTTTCCTGATTGCACTCAAGCATCATGGCCTCTTAAAAATACTGATGTTCTTGTATGCTGCACGATAATTGATTTTCTTACAATATACAAAGTATATTTGCCATGACATTAAAGTAAAGCTGACTTGATCCTTAGTTAGAATAACCCTCCATGGCATTTACAAGTTATGATGAGATTACATCTGGAAAGGTCATGTTTAAAACAAATTAACATAACCTGAAAGACAATGATATGGATTTCTTTAAAAAAAAAATTGCCACCAAAGCAATAAGTTCCCCTGGGAAGCATCCCCAAATATGCACTTGGACCCTAAAAAAGGACAACATGCCATGAAAGGTTTACAAGGTCTCAAAGTAATTTCTCATCACAAAAAGTAGTCAGGTGTTCTGCGAGTGACATGTGGCTCTCCTCGTCTAGGTGCTGGGTCAAACTGAAGGCTGCAAAGACAAAATAAAGTGATAGATCAGCCATCAATAAAAATGAACATCACAAAATACTTGTGGGTGGTTTCATCTCATGTCAACAACGACAACCCTTGTTTTCCCATGACAGCATTTTGAGCACTGCACCCAATAGCTTATCACAACTGTGTTCCTGAATTTCAAAAGTATTTGCAGCTACAAGTTCAAAAGGTTGCCATCTCTTTCCTAATAGATGCAGAGATGAAGGTTTCCTAATCAGAGTTTATATTACTACCTCATCTAAGAAACACTCATGATCACTGTTTGTTTGAGTTACAGCATTGGGAAAACACCATTGACCAACAACAAAATGGAATTATCATCATCATCAATCCAAAGTTTTTATAGGAAATATCCTTATTCACCTGTATCTACAGACTGGAAAGACTATAAAGACAGGTGACCTAAGTTTACCAATAGAACAAAGGTGAAAACAGTTCACAAAACCTGGCTAAGAGACTATGAGCAAGATACTATTTCTACTCACAATGAATACTTCAGTGCATCATCAAGTTCCATGATTGCAGCTTGATTTCCACATCTGTAGCAGTAGTTTGGAGCACTAAATATCGTAACTACATTCCTATCATGACACCAGTTGTAACCCTGTAAAACAAAATGGGATACCAATACATTACAACCATTGAAACAACTTCAGTGGCAACTTAGTCTTTACATATACACATACAGTGTAATTTTCAGTACAACATGCAATAGTCGAAGAATAGCTTGGAATAACGTGGGCATATTCTCCACTTATGAATAGAAATAAAACAGTATGGGCCATCAAAATATAGCCTGTGAATTTACCTATCTCCAATATCTGATGAAAACTCAAGCAGGCTAAGTTGAGGACTTTAGAGTTTACATGTATTTATGAAAGGTTTTCAATGAAACAACAACAATAATAATAATAGTTGCAGCAATAACAATGATACTAATAACAACCCTAACAACAACAACAACAACATTAAAGCACAACAAATGGCAAACATTACTTATCTCTAACCTCCATAACAAGTTGATGAGCTCTTGCAATAAGAGTCAGGCCATTTGTGTGATTAAAAGTTTCTGATATATCTTGTCCAAAGGTGTATCCAGCACCACGCGGTGAAATACCCCAACCACCCCTATCATCTGGGTCACTCCATAACAAGTCACACATTGGACCCTAAAAATAAAACGTCAAACACCAAAAAGTTACAGAAAATATAGACACTGCTTGGAATGGTATTGATTATAGCGTGTCCTCATCATTGCAGAATTATATCACTTTGACATCATAAGATTGTGTGATTTCTTAAAATCACTGGACACAGCAGCAGTTTCACAATGAATGTCCACTTTGAAACAGTTTCTACTTCAAGAGGAAAACAAAACATGTGGAGGCAAGTACTGGTTGCAGTAAGTAAAAAAAGAGAGGAAAGAAGTTATTAAGATAAAGAATGGAAAGGAGTTCTACAGGATTGTGAAAAAAATATTAACAAACCTCGTGAGGGACTTCCTGGATACGATCAAGAGCCCTAATGTGATCCAGTGTGTCAATGGAAGGTGACAAACCACCATGTAGGCAAAATATCTGCAACAGCAAAAGAATGTTTTATTTTCAACAAAGAGGAATGCAAATTTACATCCCAAAAATAACACTTTCCCTGTATTGCTCTGCTCAGGGACTTACTTTACTTTATTACACATTCACATTCATTATTCACATTCCTTAACCTAGATAGATATGTTCCTCATTTCATACCCTTGTGCAGTGTATAACTACTGTGAATAAAGCTCAAAGTTTCAGTGAAGACCAAATACTAAAGAGTGAACTTACCTGTGAATCTACTAATGCAGTCAGAGGAAGGTAGTCAAATAAATCTGTGAAATACTTCCAAACATTTGCATTCCCATATTTCCTGAGGCATTCATCATAAAATCCATATACTTGGGTGATCTGACGACTTTCATGGTTTCCACGTAAAATGGTTATTCTATGAGGAAAACGAACCTAGAAAAAGGAACATACATTTGAATCAACAAAGACAACCTCCTTGTCACATGAGGGCCCAGAAAAAAAAAGATAAAAAGAGAACTAAGGCAAGTGGAGAAACTGCCCTTTCACTAACCTTCAGTGTGACTAAAAGGGTTACAGTTTCGACAGAATAGTATCCTCTATCAACATAGTCACCCATGAATAGGTAATTGGTGTCAGGAGACCTTCCTCCTATTTTAAATAGTTCCATGAGATCATGAAACTGGCCATGTACATCTCCACAAACTGTGACTGGACACTTCACATCTTGCACATTTGATTCTTTGCTAAGAATTTCTTTAGCCTGAGAATAAAATAAATAAAACAGTCCAAAATTGCATGATTCTACTAGTGGTCAAAGCCAACAAATTTCAAATGGGTACAATGAACATTGTTTAAGGGAACATACCCAGTAAATGCTATCCCACAATACATTTACAAGTAATTGCAATCACATTGTCAGATAAATATGCAAAAGCAAAAAAGAAAAGATACCAAGGCAGGGGTTTAACTTCAGTTGCTTATCAAACTGATTTGCCATAAGTTGATATTCAAACATTTCCTTTCCTCTACTTTTTTTCCAATCAACAGTCAGAAAAGCAAGCCATATTTTACATAACATTTTTACAGTCAAAGATATATTTATGCAGAAGTACCACTTTTTAGTCAAATTCAAGCTGATATTTTTGAGATATTGAGAACAGTTTTGCAAGAGGTAAAGCAGGATCACTGGGGAAGATGTTCATCACTATAATCCATACTGATTAATGGGGGATACTAGGGAAAAAGAGAAGCTAGATAATTTGTTATCTTCCCAAATTACAGGAAGGCTGAACACTTGGGGGATTCTGAACAGCTAGCCATTTGTGTGATGACTCTTCCCCTGCAGACCATTCCACTCAAACTACATGTATTCTACATGTTCTTTCTCTGGTGGAAAGATGGCTATGTGCTGCTTGAATCAATCATGCTTAAAACACCATGACACTCACCACTTCCTTAAGGACACTTTGCAAATTTAAGAAAGAAGCCACTGTTTTGTTGACAACCACACTGTCAATTGACTCATTCTATTTATGTTCACTTCTAGACTAGTGTAGCCAATGTGAGAACACTATTCATGAAAAAAAAACCTAATGCATTTCAGGTTATTGGGGTTGAGCTCTCACTTAAACTTAGAATCTTAATTAGGTTAAGAGATCAATCACAGGCAGGATCTTGTAGAGTTTTGTCATTCTTTGCAGACCAGCATGGATAGGGGTTTCATTGACTTCCATCAATTGTTTTCGAGTCAAACTAATTCTTACTCAAATAACTCGCCAACTCCTCTCTGATACTATTGTTAATGATTGCAATAATCTGTGAGATGGTACACGGTCTGCCAAACGCAAAAAAAACTATAGCAGTGAAAAGGGTAAGAATCAGAGTGAAAAATTACACCAGTTGGAATTGAAACTCGAATTTTGTTTTAAAATAGTTTATTCAAAAATCAATTGATCAAATTTGAGTTTTGATTAGAAGAAAAACAAGGGAGTTGACCAAAGGTTGAACCATAATATTATTTCATCCACGAAATTGATAAATTACGGCAGGGCCAGAAATAAACTCGAATGCATGCATACGCACTATGAAGTTGACGTTTCAAAAACGTTAAGCTGATTCGATCTCTCATAAAATTGACACCTGTGGGCCACGAGGTATGATCAAAGTTAAACAAGAAAACAAAATTACGCGCAATTTTACAATATTCGACGAAATGACAAGCTGAGCTTGATCTACCTCTCTATGTAATATATTAACGATGGAACATACATGTTAGTCTAATCACAGATTTCTTTCTTATGATTCTACCAAAAATTTTTTTGAAACACTTGAACAAGAGAATTAATTCTGCAATAATAAAATCGCAGCTATAGAAACAAGAAATCCAAGTTTACCTTGTCACAGAGCGTTTTCACTTGAGCTTCGCTGAGCTGTTTGCATTCCATTAACTGCTCAATCCATGATTCTAAATCTTTTGCTGTCGCCTTGTCGTCCACCATAGTTATCGAATATTTCTGGTAAAGCAGAAAAAATATTCACTTATTTATTTTCGTATGTTCTGATACCCCAAAGTAATGTAAAATAATTAAAGTTGCTCAATAATGACGACTACCTCCGTAATTCAAACGTCCAAAAGTGACTATGGCGGTCGACAAAATTGACACCGGCTATGGCACATGTACGTAATATACCAAATATGGGCAATCTATCCATATTTGTTACTGCCTCTCCCCCTGGGTTCCAGTGCTTCAGTGACCAACATTTGTGTTGTCCTTCAAAGACGCGGAAAATAGTTCCACTTTAGAGGTTTACTCTTATTGCCTGGATTTCCTGGTGAGTATTTTTCAGCTGATCGAAAAAACCTTATTTAAATTAGCGATAATTCTTAGTTTTTTCTTATCTTTATCACTTGTCAGTGATTTCACCTGTCTTCAAGGTACATAGCGTAATATGGAGTTTGGCATTGCAAAGCGGATATGTTGTGGTTGGGGGGCCGGGATTCGAACATATTGAAGGTGGACTCATATCAATACCATCTGGGTTCAGGCAACCAGTTTAGCATATCGTTAAATTTTAGAAATGTTTAGTTCAATGTGTCTTACGTATGGAAAGTAATTCTCAAGTTTCCTTGCTAGGAACGTGAGGAAATGTTCGATGCTTCTGCAATCAGCAGCTTGTTGTTTGGAAACTAAATGCTCAGTAGGAAAACACGAAACTAGAAAATTGAAACAGCTGAGAACGTTTGATCATTATTTCTGTGAAAATGTGTTAAATGCTTCCAAAGAGATTGTTGTGCTCGGATGTTCATGTACGCCGCTTATGTGCAATGCTGTTTAATTGACTATCGGCCATAACACGGATTACGACACGTACAGGTGTCGAGGAACGGCGGCAAGAAGATCATTTTAAGTTATAAACAGCAAATTTCCTACTCTTGTAAATGGAAGCCCTAGCTGTCACTACCTGTCATTGGGAAAGGAATGTGGTGTGGAGTTTAGCAGCTGGTACTTTGGGAGGGGTGAGGGGTGGGAACATTGAATCTTATCCCAAAAGGCTTCTAAGGAGTCTCAGTTAACTACGCAACATGTTTTCCTTGATAGTGGGAGACAAACACCATTACTTTGTTCCCTGTGCTAAGTATTACAGTCATATACTGTACTTTTCTTGTGTTCCTTTTGCAGGCTTTATTTGACGAACTGTATAATGTCCTATCCTCCATATGGTGGTGGACCTGGATACCCTCCTGGCGGGGTAATTGTTGTGATGCATGCACTACATACCTCTGTGAAGCAATAGATTGTCTTAGCATTTACTTGCATGGAACACCAGCTATGACCTAATGAGCCTTTAGTATTCCAGTTCTAGGTTTATTAAAGCCTTTGATGACCAATTTTTGGTTCATTTAAGCAAGGTTCATAGCTTACAGCTTTCCTATATGGAGTCTAAAACTGTCATGTAAATCATGAGGCCCATCTGGTTATTTTTGTCCCCTTTCCAATGTTATGCATACAACATATGACCAAGAGCATCTGCCTTAATCCATGTTGCATACTTTTATCCAATTGGCTCAAATCAATAGTGGTGCACATGCATGGTGACCAATAGGATATTTTTTCCTTATAACCTTTAAGTAACCTGGTAGAGACAAAGTTCTCCTTCACCAAAAGGAGAATGTTTACTATCTACACTCTGCACACTACTAGACAAGCTTCACATGGCCCTATGGTGACAAGATGATTGCTTACAGAAAAGAATACATGCTCTCACACCTTGAGCCATGTAACCCTCTGACCCCCAAAGAACAACTGGCATACAATTTCTCTTTATAATATCATACCTGAATCACAAGATTACAAGAATAGAGGAAATGATCTCCAACTAAAAAAGGTCTTTATTGTTAATTGAATTCTCCTTGTCAGCACCCTAGAAAATGTATAAAGAACAGTATAGAGATTATACATACTGATATTGGGGTGTAAAGGGTTAATGTTTCTTTCTCTTTGTCATATTTTGTCAGGGATATCCAGGATATCCTCCAACTGGTGGATATCCCCCTGATCCTGGTTATCCTCCTGCTCCCGGTGCAGGCTACCCTCCTGCTCCTGGTGGGGGATATCCCCCTGCTCCTGGAGGCTACCCCCCTGTTCCAGGTTACCCACCTGCTGGTGGCTACCCTGCTCCCCCTGGTGGAGGCTATCCACCACCTCCAGGTAAGTTTCAATAAACAGTGATTTCTTTTAACTGTTTGACACAATGATAGAATTGAAAACATACATAGATTTTGTCTATTAGCAGATGGAAATTCTTTTGCCAATAGTATACATATATATTCAGTGTCGATTGGGGAATTGTGGGTTGTGTGTGTCTATATACAGAAAATGGAGCTTTGCTGTCGGTAAGAACATGGTGACAAAAAAAAAAAACAAGAATAAATTAGAATGAAAAGTGTTTGTTAATACTGCAGGGATTGCAAGTGCCAATTTGAAAGATGAATTTTTGTTCTAGAGTTTTGAGGCTTTCTGAACTGCCTAGATATAAGGAAAGGCAGCAGACTGCCATTGGCTGCCTATAGTGAGTAGGGAGATCACAATGCCTTGCAACTGGTTTTTCTGTCATACCTTTGTACATTGTACAGGTTTCTTGAAATCAGTCACCTAGTTGTCTTCCTGTTTCACCAACGTATATTGTTTTGCAATAAGTGCAAGTTATGTAATAGAAGACATTAGGGGAGTTGTATGTGAAGTGATCTGTAATTTTGATGTATCATTTGGGTCCTGATTTTGTCTCAGCATTATGACTGAAAGGACAAGCTTTGCATCTTTCCGGAATGCATTTGAAAGTTCCGAGTTGGCCATTGGTTTTAATGAACTTCTGACTAAAAAGTTGCCCATGTTTGGTCCTTTGGTTATTAGCATACTCTTAGTATAGAAGATTTTTTATTCCTTATTATAAAAATAGTATTTATACATTACTGACCAGCATAACAACTGCTACTACCATGTGGATGTAGTAATTTTGTTTATATGTGCAGTAATAATCATTGTTTTTTATATCCAGACTGTACCATCCAAAACACTCCAATTCCTCTTATTTTTCTGAATAAAAGTTTTACAAAGTTAGGTTATAAATTTACAAACACTGTTTTTGTACTGAGGGCTCTATAGTAATCTGCCCACAGATTCTCAATCCACTGGTTCATATATGAAAATTTTTCCTGTGTCCTTGCTGTTGGTCATTTTGCCAAATTTTTTAATTAAATAATAGGTTAGAAATGACCAGAGGGCTACAGTATAATACTGATCTGGTATTAAGGTGTTTCCAGAACTAACAATAAACCTTTTGCAAATTGTTTTCCATTGTCTCAGGAGTTTCCCCAGGGATTGTTCCTGGGGGACCCTATGGTGTTCCTCCTCCCTCTGGGGGTTATGGCTCACAACCATATGGTCAAGCACCTCCTCAAGGTGGTTATGGAGCTCCACCTCCTGCAGGTGGCTATGGAGGGCCTCCTCCTACTGGTGGTTATGGTGCGCCTCCTGGTGGTTATGGAGGTCCGCCTCCTACAGGAGGATATGGAGGGCATCCTCCTGCAAGTGGATATGGGGCACAACCTCCCCCAGCTGGATATGGATCCCACCCTGGACATCAGCCCCCACAACAGAACTATAGCTCACAAGGTACATGTATTTCCTCAAAAAGTTTTCATACACTTAATATTTGATGGCATAACAATAATGTGATTACTATAAGGGAAACATAGAAAGATCTTTCTTTGCTTTGCAATTATGTGGGATGAAGAAACAATTTTGATTCCTTGTGACCTTTGGATTTCATGCTCTGATGCTCCAAAACTAGACCTCAGAGCCTCTTCAGTAAGCTAGGCTATTGCTACATTCATAAATGAATTAAATTACTGTAATTTCTTTTATAGCTCCTACTACACACAGTGCCCCTCCGCCAACAGCCCCCTCCTCTGCTCCTCAACAGAAACCAGCAAAGCCTCCTGCTCCCTCTGGCGGGGTAAGTATTCAAAAGAAATTCATTTAGGGGTAGACAAGGGCATTGATTTGTAGTCAGTATTGGTTGAAAACAAGGTTTTTACTCATTTGATAATATAGAAATACGCCATTGGTTTTTCATGTCTGTTTGGTAAAAAATAAGGATTACAGTGGAAGTATTGAAATAAAATTTTATCTCACATTATAGTCTTGTTGGATGTGCATTAGGTCAGAATTAATTTGGGAGAGTGATTTATTTCACAAAATCTACAGATAAGTTAATGTGGTCAAAACTACAGTCTACAGGTCTATCACTTTGCTATGGTAATCATTGCTTTTTACAAAATTATCTCCACTTTAGCCAACTCTGTAGAAATCCCCAAAATTCCCCTCTTCCTCCTTTGGATTCACCCTTTCTGTCTTTAGTGGGGTAATGGAAATGACTATTCTATTCTTATACAGGCTTGTGAACAAACAAAATTAATAAAATTTTTTTGTTGCTTATCAGGGTGGTCCTCCAACTGCCCAGATGGCTTCAATGTCTTTAAAAGCAGTAAGTTCATATTCTGTTACACTGTGAGATGATATTATTAAATGTATTGGTGGTAAAGTTACCATTTTGGACAAAAAAAAGTATATATGTGTACTTGTACGTGTGAACAATATAATTCTTTCAATATTTGTGGAGTCTTCAAATGATATGGCCTTTGACATGTAGCACTACTTGACTGTGTAACTAGAGAAGATAATTCTGAAGCTACTAGTTGTTTAAAAAGTTTATGTGCCTTTGATTAAAAAAAAAATACAAAAAAACAAATAAGGCACACACCAACAAATTAAAAAATCACAAGTTGTCAGATAATTTTTCTGCAATTTTAGTTACCAAAATTTTTGACCAATAAAATTGCATCTTGGAATGATGTAATGACTTTTTAATGTATCAGTTTATAATCATTCAATTTTTTTAAATTACTTAATATATTATTGCTGGGTAAACCCAAACTTTTCTCTCTTCTTGACCTGACCCAAATCCCCTTCATCTTTGCACTTACTAGATACTCTTGCTCTGTTCACAATCATACTTTGTTTTACAAACTGTGCTCCTGGAACAGGTACATGTACCTGGTAAGAGTTTTTGGTAAGCCCTTTACTGAAGTGTTACTGATGTGTGGTTATTTTCTTTTAAGAAATATGGTCATGGTACCATTGTTTCAGTCTCTCCATTTGATGCAGAAGCTGATTGTGAATTGTTACGGAAGGCCATGAGAGGAGCAGGTGAGTTTCCACTTACTTATTCTGTACAAAAGGGACCATTTGTTTACAAATCTTTCTCTCCCATCATCAAGCTATCAATTTTGTGCTCTGTATGTGAAGCATTTCTTATAATTTTGCTCTGAAAATATGTTTTTTTTGGTTTGCTATAGGGACTGATGAGGCTGCCCTCATTGATATCCTTGTGAAGCGTAGCAATGCTCAAAGAGTAGAAATTAGAAAGAGGTACAAGACCATGTTTGGAAAGGTAGGTCAATTTAAAGTGCTTCTCCCAAAAAGATCTGCAGTAACTGCTCATCATCCTTCTGATTGCTGCATGATTTTCATTTAGGGTGAATATACATAGTAACTGATTTCATATGCGGCAGCTTGACAGCATTAAAGCCTGTTTCAGGCATTCATTAAAATGGTGCCCGATACGTAACTATGAGGAAGTAGCATTGGGGTGAAAAAAAGGAGGGAGTTGTGTGTTGCAGCTGCTATTGTACTTTTTATTATTATGCCCCATTTTCAACTCGTGCAAAGAAGTTTTTATGGGGACTCTGTTATGCAAATAAGTCACTCACTCACTCACTCACTAAGACGTAAACATTGTGGTAATAAGTCGTTCAGAACAGGCCCAAGCATGAAACCATATTGGAGTACTAACCACATATACAACAATAGAGAAGCTTTGTTACTGTCTATACTAAGCATCATTGATTTAAATACCACCTTCTAAGTGAACAAAAATTTAATGAGTTCAGGCACAAACCTAATACTACGAATTACTTCAACTGTTTATGATCTGATGTAAAACAAGAACCGTGATTGAATTCAATTATCTTTTCTAAACATTGGCAACTGGATTGATCAGAAGCAAGTAAAAATAATCCTGTGCTTTTCTAACACAATAAAACTTGTGGAATTTGTTGCTGCATATCTTAAATTCCAATTAATTTAAAAAAACTTGCAGTTACACACAATGCGTTCTGAGGTATTTTCATTCCAAAGCAGAAAACTTGAAGGTTTGTTATCAGATGCAAGCAGGACAAAACCCATTAAACAAAGAACATTGTGTTACAATGCAAATAGTTATTGAGCAACTATAAGGCAAAATGTTATATAGGAATGGAAAATAGTGGAATTTGGCTTGTGCAGGCAAAGAAAGATTTTGATTGCAGTGTCTAAATTTGATTAATTTTGCAAATGGAAATTTGATAAATACAAGATACCATAAACGTCCATGTATAAGCTGCATCCGTAGATAAGCTGCGCCCCCGATTTGGAAGCGCAGAATTTGGAAAAAAATAAAAACAATACAGTTTGAAGTTTCAGTAGAGTTGTATTGCTACAAACAATCAAGGTTTTGAAACACCAACATAGAAGTTGTAGCTATCTTTCACACTTATCAAGTCTAAAGAAAGCGAAACAGAAAAGAAAACAAACAAGTGCTTAGTAGCCAAGCTTTAAATGTTGGGAGGAGTCTGGGCCAGGGCCTGGCCATCGTCGACTCAGCTGTTTGGGGATACCACGGGTATAAAGATGTTTGGAAACCCGCAATAGGCGACAATGAGAGATTCCTTGTATGTTGGTGCTTAGTTGTACGCGTAAAGCAAAAATTAATAGCTTGAAAGAACTGTTGGAGAACAAGAGTCGCCGATAAACACTCGAAGACACAAACGGCTCCTTTAGGAGCCACCACTCAATGAAAAAGTCAATGAACTACTGCAACACGCTCTCAGTTTATTTTATGTTTTCTTCTTGGCCTCTTAAGAAGTTTTCTGAATATTAATTAGGTTTTTGAGAACTCCAAACACAGATGTATCCATGGATAAGCCGCACCCCTGATTTTTGGCTTCAATTTTGTGAAAAAAAGTTCGGCTTATACATGGATGTTTATGGTACTATTTTGTGCTGTTTATGTAGATTTTACATGAGTTTATTATTCTGTGGAGTTGAATGGGTACCGTAATTGTGGATCTCTCCGTGATTTTCTGGAAGCTTAACTTTTTGACAAAAGAGCAACCTTGCATTGCTGCAAGACCAATAATTACAAGTCCACAACCATGTTCCATCTCTAGATTAAGTATGTTATGCACAAGTTGACAATAGGTATTCTTTGATTTAACTGAATGCCTAGTGCAGGTCAACCAAATGTTACTCTTAGTAGCTTATTGTAGTTTGTCAATCAACCTAAGTATTAAAAGATCTTAGTTGGAGTGCCGATGAATGGGGCCAAGAATTCTTTACTGTTGCAAACCCTTCAACTGCCAAAAATGACTAACATCTAATTTTTGCCCCACAGTATCACCCTTACATCAAACAATAAGGTGATGCAAAAAAAGCAGATGATTGCCAACTTAATTGTAAAACAAATTCTCCTTGCCAGTACCAAAGAAAATTTTTTGAGAAAGTATGGAGAAATGGATGTGGATGCTAGGCTGTAAGGGGTTGAGCATGCCATTCCTTTTTTTTATCTTGCCTTTTAAGGTTGCAGAAGTATGTGTGACTGTTAGAATTTATGCCTCAGGAACATTGAAAGAAATAAAATGTTGCTTTTCAATCTTATTGTTAGGATCTAATGAACGATCTGAAGTCAGAGCTTAGTGGTAACCTTGAAGATTGTTTGTTGGCATTGATGGAACCATCTTCTTTGTATGATGCCAAGTGTCTGAGGCGTGCCATGAGGGTGAGTAAGCACCAAATCTGTGTGCTTGTTAGCTGTTAGAAATTGTTTGAATAAATGAAATTAAGGGTGTCTGGAGTAGGGAGACTCAAGGCAATAAGTCTTGTTGACAAGGCTCTATAAAAGGTTACAAAGACAAGTACAGGTGTGCATTGTGTAGCTATGTGTGATGTCGTGGAGTCTCTGCAAGTCTGAGTCAGAGATAAGGACTGGTTGTCTCGTCACTGTTGGTCACATAGTAATGAGAGGGCATCAATCAAATTCCAAACGGTAGATTAAGGTGAAATTGGGTGCAGAGTTAAAACGATGAAGCTGAAGGAGAACAATTCAAGTGCAATGAAATTATTTCTTCACAAATTGTATTCAAAATCATTTGATTACTAAATCTAAGTGATGAGAGGTTTCTCACTGTACTTTACATGATAATGGCTTGTATAAACCTCTCCCCCAGTTTGCATTGGATTTGGTAGTTTATTATTTCTTATTTCTCCTCATCTGTTTGCTTGATGATTTATTACAGCTGTTAAGAAATTTGTCAATGAAGTTCAATCCAGGGAGTCAAAGGGTTTAATGTTGTTCCTAAAGACAGTGGAACAAGCTTAACGTGCAAATAGAACCCAGAGTGGCTTTTGGAACAAAGTTGTTCCTAAGCTCTGCATAACTCCTTGATCACCTTAGATTGATTATTTTTTATCCCATGATTTCAGGGTGCTGGAACAGATGAAGAGGCTTTGATTGACATCATGTGCACTCGCTCTAACAAGGTATGTCTACCCATTTTTTTAAAAAGAATGCGAAATCAATCAGATTAAGATTTAACTGAAGTTCCAGACAAAATAACTTCAGTAATTTTTTGTGCCATATAAAACTACCTTTAACTCAAGGAACACTACAAGAAGTTACTTCTTTATGATGGAAAAACACGAAAGAGACAGGAAATCATTTTCTTTCATCCGCGCACGCAAAAGAATCTAATATGCGCGTCTGACCATCCTGCGTCTGAGCGTATGAAATGTGTCTGCGCATTTATCATATATCTGAGTGGTACTGTACTAAGCTTCCAATAGCAAGTATGGTTAGAGGTGGAGAAGAACAAGAAAGGGAATGCAAGTGACAAACTGGAACACTTCAGGCTAATATTTTATTTATTTATTTATTTATTTAATCAATATTTAAACAGGGGCATCACATTTAGCGTAGCTAGTTTAAAGAGAGCCCTGCAAAAACAAAATTTGACAATACAAAGTTACACATAAAATTGACAGACAAAAGTAAAACTCATCAGAGAAAATATATACAAAGTCTACATAACTAATTAAATTTGTTTAAAAAACTGCTTTCACTCAGTTTTAAAAGTTTCAAGGCTTTCCAGAGATCTTATTGCTTTGGGCAGATTATTAAAAGTGCACCCAATATTATATCTAAAACTGCCTTGATATTTAGTGCTTTTGGCCAAAGGAAGACGAATCAAATCCCTGTGCCTGGTATTATATGTATGACATTTCTTAGCTTGAGTAAAATCACTCAATAGGTAGGAGGGTGCTAAGCCGTTCATAGATTTGAAAGCCAGCATGCATTTAAGGTAGTCTCTACGAGACTGAAGGCTAGGCTAGGCCAACCAAGAATACGAACAATATCTGTTTGTTTAAAGGTGCACAGTGGATGACAGATGTCCTTTTAAGGATATTTGTAAGTTCGCACCAATGTGTTTATCGAGGGTTTCTTTTGTGTGTTTACAGTACAATTTTGATTGGGTGATGTGAAACTAACACCAAAATAATTGCTATGGCCAATTAGAGGAAAGGGAAATATCTCGAAGAGCTAATAACAACGCAAAATAAAAGCAAGCATGCTGCTTGAGACACAGGAAAACGCAAGTGACTAAGTCGTGATTGGGTTTAGTTTTGAATCAGATCAGTTAACATGGTGGCAATAATTTAGTTTTGTAGACAAACCCAAAGCAATCCTGGGTTCCTGTGACACTCAATTGCAAATCCCTCAACTACAAACTGACTTTGGTTTTTGTACATTTTGAAGGAAATTGCTGAAATAAAGAGTTCCTACACAGAGTGTAAGTATGAAGATAGAAATTTGGCAAAATGCTGCGAGATTACTGTGTAAATATATGCCTGGAATTCAAGTCACACGAGGTTACTCAAATAGCTTTGCTATGATAGAGCACTTGGAATTGTTGACCATATGTACAGTACCATATATCCAGTACATAGTTTCATTAAAAAATGTTAACGGTAATGGAGCCTCTTTCCCACCTCCCCTTGGCATTGATCTTTTGAAACTAAAAGCAATTTGTCGTTTTGACATTCTTCTGTTTCTGCACAGACTATAAGCGTGACCTTGAGAAGGATTGTGTGAGCGAGACAAGCGGCCATTTCAAGCGGCTTTTAGTCTCAATGTGTCAGGTAACACTAATGGTTTTACCTGTGGTCAGTGAAGTTTTCTCTCTTGAACATGATAACTTATTGTAAAGGATTTACCGCGCTTAGCTTTATCATACTTCCATGTATACTTATGCTGTCAATTAATTTGCCCTTGGTTCAAAATGTCATTTTCTAGTTTTGATTTGGTTCATTTGTTCGTTTTGTTTTTGGAAGGGTAAATGTTAGACAGCAAATTACAAAAAGAAAAAAGAGTAGAAAAAAAAGGATTCTCCAACCAGCCTTGCTCTCGATTACTGCAAGAGCTTTCGCTGATTGCGGGGAATAGGCTGGGCTTTGGACTTCAATTCACTTCGACAGTCAGGGTGAATTTGATGACGATTGCAATAAAGTTATTCAAATTTCAGACTTTTTGAGTACGCTAAACTTTAATAATTTCGGAGTGGTTGTCGCATGGGAAAGGGATTTAATATCAGGGAAGGTGTAAGTCAAATGCAAGCTCCAGATCCTTTTTGTTTCGTATTACACAGGGTAATCGAGACGAGACCAACACTGTTGACATGGCTAAGGCAACAAAGGAGGCTCAAGACTTGTTCCAGGTGACACAGACGTTTTGTAGGAAGTCGTATACTTGTAACGCGATAGAAGATGACCGTTACAAAGGCATTTTGAATAGCTTGATACTTTTCACATGACGTTGTGTTTTGTATTACAGGCGGGTGAGAAGAAGTGGGGAACAGACGAGTCTCGATTTAATGTTGTTTTAGCGTCCAGGAGCTTTCCACAGCTGAGAGCAACGTTTGATGAATATGTTAAGGTACGAACGCTTTCATCGGCTCGTTTTTTGCTGCCTTCTAGCATCTGCTTTTCGTTCTTCCTTGGTCCTTTCTTTGGGGCCGGAGCGTGGGCTCATGTTCCGTACAGCAGTTTGTTATCGAGCCTTAAAACTTTTAATTAGTGCCATTCGTATTTTGCGGGTTTCTAGGAGGAGGAAACATTTTAATTACTCTGAACGTTGCTTTTTGATTTCAGATTGCTCAACGTGACATTCTGAATTCTATCGATCGCGAGATGTCTGGTGATTTAAAGGCGGGTTTCAAATGTATTGGTAAGTCGCCAATTCGGCTATGTTTTTGACTAGGTTTGACTAGTGAAGCCAAAGTGCGTGGATGAATGTTGCACCAAATCTTTAAATGTTACTGAAACTGTTTCATTTCAGTGCTGTGTTCAAGAAATCCTGCTGAATACTTTGCGGATCGACTGTGGAAATCCATGAAGGGTGCTGGAACTGATGATGCGACGTTGATTCGCTGTGTTGTTTCTCGTTCTGAGGTGAGCACTTTTCTTCCCATGTTGTTGTTGTTTTTCCTTGACGATGTCATGGGTGTTGCTGTGGTTTTCGATGTTTTATCTGTACATCTAAGCACACCTAGTTATGTCATCAATGGATAGTGTCCCATCAGTAGTTAGTCTGCCGAAAGCTTCTGGAGGAATCATATCTACCTATCTCCCCTCGAGACGATAGCGGTAACCACCGGTACAAATTCTTTTCCAGGACGATAAATCTGTTAATCTCACTGATTGCAAATTTCCTTTGTTTTTACCTAGCGCGACCTCGTTGAAATCAAGCAAACATTTTTGCAGAAGTATCACAAAACCTTGTTCAAGATGATTGAGGGAGATTGCAGCGGAGACTACAAGAAACTCTTGCTAGCCGTTGTTGGCAGGAACTAAAAGCAGTTTCATAGTAAACAAAACATGAACTTCCAGTATCATTTTTTTAAATTTCGATTAATTACTCAGATGTTGAAACGACAAGATATTCAATAATGATTTAATGACCTTGTAGTTCTTAGATACTCAGACCGTATTGGCGCCGTACGCTTATTGCCCACTTTCTTATCAGTTGATCTCGTGAAATTGAGGTAGTTTGTTGAATTTTCCTTTTTTGGAAATCAAGGAAGACGACCAGTCGTTGAAAAGAGATAAACAAAGGAAGCCCTTTAGGTCTTTTGCAGAGAAAGCAACATAATGTGGAACTTGGTCTTCTTTTCTAGCTTTCACCCAACTTCATTCTCATGGTCTCTCTTCCGAATCTCACCTCTCACAAATCTTACCACTGCTCACACTCACTATCTTACCTTTGAGAACTTAGAGGCCGGGAGGAAGAGGGACCCTGGGCATGAGTTGGTTGTCGTATCGACAAAGGCTAAAATCCTACTTCTTTCTTAACTACCTCTGGCTGTTGAAAACTTAGGCGAAGCCAATTTTTTTTTTATTTGAATGGTTTGGGCAAATGAGACACATTGTATTCCCCATGCAATATAATCTAGCCAAGGATGGAACAAAATGATTCTCAGATCATATTGTTAGGATTCTAATTTTCTACGCACTAAATATTATAAAGTACAAATGCAACGACTTTGCAACCTTAAATTACGTAGGTAGTCTTTTTAAACTAAAAGATAGACAGAAGATATTATCTAATCTAAGTTATTTCAAATAGTTTAGTACCATTTCTTTTACTACAATTTGATGTTTCACGCTAAGAAGAGCTCTTGGAGGCGAAAACGCAGAAATGCGATTTTAAAAATTACAAACCTACAAGGTTTGAAATATAAATTTTGCTCATCGTTTAAGAGGCTGTTACTTTCACGAGTGACGTAGAACAAAGAAAACAAAGCAGTCGAAATATTGGAGCTTATCAAGATATTGGTGACAACACAGAAATAACTTCACATGTTCTAACAGGCCCAGGTAATCCGAAACATTCGATCAGGAGGAATATTTTTGCACGCGCACAGCAGGTTTCCCACGCTTTAGGTATATAATGCGTCTTATTTTACAAATTTTACCCTAACGTTGATCCAAGTGGCTTATTGTCAAGCAAATGTGCTATTAAATGGAATACTGGCAGAAATGACGCATGTGGGTTTCTTCTCTTTAATCCGCAAGTGATAAAAACTCGAAGGTAATTGAACACCTTACATTTTGATAACAGAACTCGTTAGAGGCGATGAGCTTGAGGAATAATCTGGAATTGCTTCAAAGGTTACAAGCTAATATCAATACTACTCTCTTCAAAAGAATAGCTCACCCCTGTACAATAATTCTACCCAACCCCTTCGACTCGAAAGAGTATTGTCCGCGTAAAACTCACCAATCAACTACTTCTTCTGGAATCTGCAGTCAACATCCGCTTCATCTAGGTAACCACCCTTATATGTCACGAGAGCCATCGCTGCTGTTTTCGAGAGCTGAGGCGATTAGTCGTCACTTCACGCATTTTTTGGCACAGAAACTTGTAAACATGTACGGTCAGTCGACGATCTCACAGCGAGAACAAGACTATCATAACCTTAGAAGACAAGTGGATCAACTCAGGAGAGAAAGTAAAATATCCAGAAAGAAGATCTCGGTTTGTTCCGAAGAGTAAGTAAAAGTTCGCGCTTGAGTACATTTAACTGAAGCTTATTGCCAGGTTTTTTAAAGTTCTGATTATTAATTAATTGCTCTTTTTGCTGGCATTGTTCGTGTTCAAATAGAACGATCCATGATTTAAAAGGGTCGAAGCCATTTTGCATGGGAGGCTTTTTTTTCTAGAACAGTGACGTTCGTGCAGAAATATCCTTCTGTAATCGCGCGGATGAAAGTCGCCACACTTCTGGCGTAATACCCCTATCGTATCGTAGGTGAATTCAAATTGAATTTTATTTGTATTTTCCTTCAAAACGTTAAACGCTCATGACATTTTACCTTAAGTTCTTAAAATGTGATATTTGGTTGCGTAAATTTCAGAACTAAATGCGATATTGATGGCTGGAGTTTGTTCCGCTGGAAACCCTATTTGACAAGTTACGCTTTCGATATTGGTTGAAAAAATAACTTAAGCCAGTTATAGTTCTTACTAGATCCTTCTTATTTACTTTGCCGATCATTTGTTTGGTAGACTACATTATGCTCCGCGGTTGTTTAGTTCAACTGGAGACTTAACGTGCAAAAATACTCTTAAATATTTCACAGGAAATGCGTTGTTTCAAACGTAAATTTTCGATTAACTCGGTTTTTTTAAAGATGGACCTAGATTATCAATTGACTCCCAATCACTTAGTGAATGGGGACAATAACTGAAGTATAGACCACAAACGTGCTATGGGGATAGTTAAACAAACGAAAGCAGCTGGTTACATGATTAGCCTATTCACCTGTTTATATTGCAGTTTATTAAATTGTCACCAGACAGGTCATGTGTGTTGACTTGCTGGGGGATTGTAGAGACTGACTGAGAGGGTTTCAATAATGATGATGGTGAAGTTTACTGTTGTATTTCTCCTAAGATCCCATTGATAATTCTCCTTACTGTTTGCCATACAATTCCTACAATGTTAGTTCAGAGAATTTGATATCAGATCAACTTATAATAGCATGATTTTAAAATTCCTTGGAGATTCTGGATAGGTGCTCTGCCAATAATTTGAAAGAGTATTCCTTCCATACTTGATGCCAGCTATGATAGCATGATGAAGATGAGCCATCTCGGGTATAAACTCCATGTCACACATTACCAGGACAAGTCAAAGTTTGTTTGAAGAAGAATTCCTATGAAAATCTGCACATCACTGCAACTGAATTTTGTGGCTACAGCATGTCATATGAATTCCAACTGGTCTGAGTTTAAGTAAAGATCAAAGACTGCAATTGGTTTAAAGTGACTTAACAGCACACCCAAAGTAACTGGTCCGCTAGGAGGCAATGAGAGGCTTCTTCTTGTATGGTTTAAAAGGAACTGGCAAAGCAGAATTTGTTTATTAGTCAAAAGCTTCTTTAGTCAGAGATTAGTTCCTTCATTCTCATATGGTAAATGTTTGATTCAGCAGTGATACTGTAGGGAGATATTAGATGCCAATCATACTTATCAAACCAGAAATTTAGAAATGATTTAATTGGAAAAAGTACCCCTATCAAGTGTATCTTTCTTATGTACCAGTACAATTTGAATTTTTTCACTTATTACACGTATCTAATACTTTTTTTATTTTTATTTGTATCAAAACCTTTCTAATTGTTTTTCAATGTTTTCTTTATAGCCTTTCTCGATTCTGCCAAGAGAAGAGATCTGATGACCCTCTACTGGGAAAAATTCCAAATGCAAACAATCCTTACAGAGAGATGGGAGTGCGATGCTCTTTGCTATGATGAAATTTGCTTTAGTGGAAGAAAATTAATCTAATACATGGAGCTCAGAGGAAGATAACTGCATTGGAGCAGCAAATTAAATGATGCTAAATGTGGACTTACAGAGATGTTTGTAATAGTGATAATAGCTAAATATAATGCGGTGAATTATTTTTGTAATAATATCTCTTTAAATATAAAAGTAATTCTTCATAGAACAACAATCTTATTTTTATTTAATTTTAGAAAATATGTTTTGTTGTAATATGTAAAGCAGGTTAGAGTTTTCTATATTGTTGAAATTTTTTTAAAGTAGTATCTATTTTAGTTAGTGCCTAGGTTTGATTTCAGACATATCCCTTTCTTAAACTTAGCACATCTGAGCTTACATTACACAAGAGGAGTAACATAGAGAAATGGTTTTCTCAAACAAAAAGCTTTGGAAAAATCAATAACACTTGAACATTGCTTTTAACATTTTTTTTTAGCCAATGATTGATTTAATGGATGACAGTATCGTAGCCTGTGTATTTAGTCAGTATACCTTTGCCCCCAGCAAGTAAAATTTTCAAAGCAGGTGACTGTACACAGTTTTGTGAACTGTCATTGATCAATAGGTGAAAGTCATAACTGGTTACACTTGTTGTGGGTAGGCTTGTTGTCTGTGATCTGCAAGCCTGCTTTTTCCCATTTTATGCACAAACCTTATCTTGAATTTTCCCAGGTAGCACCCTTAACAGTGCAAATAAAACTGTAATGCCTCTAGTATTTTTTTTATCATCAAAAGTAATAATCCTCTCTTTATTCAACAAACAATATATTAATCTTACAATGTCAGTGATGAATGCTACAGAACTTATCCCCAATTGTAAAGAATTGAACATTATATCTTTAGTTGATACATGTTTAATACAGATAGAATTACATCTCATTTACTAAATATTTTTAGACTTTGTTTAGCTAGGGTTTAGATGCTGTTATATTGACATTTTTTCCTACCAATTGTCATTTGCATAAATTGGTTCAGAGAAAATATATATATCTATGGAAGAAGACAAAAGGTTGTGGGCTTGTATCACTTAAACTGCATACAGAAAAATATAATTTTATTAAAAGTTATTAAAATATAACTACAACTGTTGCATCTAAGCTGCCTCTTAAACATCACAAAATGCAAACTAGGAGCAATTTCAGTAAAATTTTGCTCTGCAAAATTATAGAAGTTTTGAATGTACTCATGTGCAATTTGTGATTCTTCTCTTTGGTATACATATGGCAAAAAGTGTCAGAAACCTAGTGTATATTTCCACAGCTACTCTTATGCAAATATTTTTTCTGATATCCTGAACATTTTCCATGCATTTTTCATCCAAAAAAAACCTTTCTTTCATTTTGATAAAAAGTATCCAAAATATATGCTTGGCTTCCTTTTTCAAACTTTACCAATATGATAGATATTTGGATAAAATCTGTGATACACAGCACAAATTATCTTTCATGAGAGAAATGAAAATAGCTCCTAAAAATAATGCTAATGACAATTATCAAACATCTGTGAAGAGTTCCAGGTAATTATAACCACCTTATTGAAACCCCACTTTAAGTAGAATTTGTCTTTGGTTATTCCTGTACCCAGCCAGCATCAGTCAACAATTCTTCCCTTAACTGCCCATCATCTGTAAGTATGATTTCAAAAATGTTTCTCATTCAGAAGACTTTTTTTATGCAAACTACACCCAACCTTACTTTCTGGGATTTCAAGTCAATTAGAATTCTCCTTCATCCTTTTTCTATTACACATCTTTTTTAGTTGTACATTGATCATTTCCTGAACAGTTTTGTAGACACTGTACTCATCTCTCACATTGAAAATACCATAGAACAGAAATCCTGAGGCAAGAAAAGTCCCAATGATGCGAATCAGATATAAAATCTTGCCAAATACATGGTGCAGTGAAAAGCGAGAGTGTTCTGCAGCAGGAAACATGACAGGATAAACTGCGAAGAGCAACAGAGCACAAGCAACAAACACTTGTAAGTTTTGTCGTCTGGACAATGCATCAATTGCACCGGCAATGATTTTTTGTGTTTCAGATAAGGCTTCTCGTCCCTTGCTGCTGATAGAAACTGCAGCTTGAAATGAATCTTGAAAAAAAAAAAGAGATGAATTTTATGAAAATTATACACAAGTTTAAAAAAAACTTCTTTAACAACTGAAATATATATAGGGTTTCTTCTCAAATGGCAGGGAAGGGGGAGTATCCACCCACTTCAGCTACCCTACCCTTTTCAGCATCCTTAAATCCTCCCTCCCACCCTCAATTAAAAAAAAATGCAGATTCACAATTTTTTGCATTTTGCATTTCACCTTTTCTACTTCCCACCTTCTCTTCTCTCATCTTTGGTATATCACAATCACTCTTAATTCCCAACCCCTTATTCTCAGGGGTTTCTGTCCCCTGCACCTTAAAATCAATAAGGCATGAGTTCTCAGGTTAAAATCATTCTCAATGGCTGTTGCCTAGCATGACAAGATAGCGTAATAAAAATAAAGAACTGATGATCAGGTACATACCCCAATACCTATGCAGAGAGAAAATAATTACTAGGAACCTTCATTAGAAAGGGTAAATTTCTTAACAGTTTCCCATGGAACAAATCAGGCATCAAGAGGCAGACTTTGAGTTGGCTGACCGCTAGCCAACATCCTGAAGTTGTAAACTTGGTCAAGAGAAATTAGACAAGCAAAAGTGCAAGCCGGCTGTGAACCAATGGTTGCCTAGCGAGGTGACTGACAGTTGATTATTAGAACATCTATGATAGTAGTACTTGCACATTTACATAATGCTACTGAGACTGTCACACCTTCGATAGTTATCTCTTCAAACTGTGCTGGATTTATGTGACAGACTGGAAGAGGAGGTCTTTACTTCAAAGTTTAGAAGGTAGTTATGAGTAATCTGTTGGCCAATAACTAATCAAAAGCTGGTGGAGGGGAGCTGTTCCACACACTTACCCACTAAGTATGGTTATTAGTACTAATGATTTTACCTGTCTCATCAGCCATTGCGTCTGTCACCACAAAGCTTGCAGCCACACCTTCATGGTCTGAAAATGAGAATGTCTTTCCTGGGACATGTCCCATGGTAACCGTGCAATGCGTACATTCTAAACTTCTTTGACTGCTCTGATAAAAAATGTAATCAATGCGCTTTCCATCCTCAGGTCCACCTTCTTGAGAAACAGTAGCATCACTTCTATCTCCTGAAAACGTATTTGAACTGACATCTGATGTGTTACCATAGCAACCAGGCTGTGAAAGAAAAAAGTTTGTCAAAAAGGTTACTTTCTCAATTTTTTGGAAATTTAATTACTGTAGAAAGAGAAAGTCATATATTCAAAGGTGACATAATCATTTGAAGATATTAAGTATTCCCTTGTAAAGTTCATGAGCAAAACATTGCCCAGTATTATGATATTTGTCATTTGTATATAACATGAACCATAACTGTATTTTTTTTACCAACAATCAGTACAGTTGTAGAATGTTTCTCATCAAAACAAGCCTATTGATAGGCAACATTTTTTTGCCAAACAAAGTAAAAATCAATTACATGCAAGAGTGCATGAACATGGATTTGAAAATAATGATTAAGAGGACTGCATAAGAAAAAAATTTATTTGAAGGAAGAAAATACAAAACTGACTATAAGAAAAATGAAAAGCAGTTACCTTGTCTCTTCTACATTAAAGTTTATAATGGTAGAGAACCTCTCACCTTGATTGTTCCATGTTTATCCCAAGCATCAATAAGTCCAGTAACATCTTTGATAATCCTATAAAACAGCTGGGATGGCTCACAATTCATGTCACCACAAACTAACACTGCGTCAGAAGGCTTTGTCAAGTGATGAACAAACTGAGAGAGTTGGTATGCTTGGACTGCTCTGTGGGGGGCATACTCTCCACTTTCATTGTATTCTGCATGTGTCTTAAAGAAGGAACAGAATATTAATCATAAATTATCAAAGAGACAAATGCATGCAAATCAAGTAGAGCAAAATAACTCAACTTCCAACACCTCAATAGTGTTTTTCAAGAGGATAACTAGGTAATTAATGAAAGGTAACTCAGATAAACTCAGGTAAGTTACAATACAATTCCAATAACCCCTATCTCAGTTCTAACAGTGCAAACTGTAAAGGGAACAGCAAATATTGAAGCTCAGATTGCAGAGTCAGCAATTTCTTGACACTGTGTGGAGTATTTTTTTGCAGTTGAAAAAAAAAAGAAAAAAAGGAAACAGAAACAATCAAATGAAGTTTGCAGTACGGGGTCAAAATGTTGCAAATTCATAACTGCAGTGACTACATCCTGAGGTAAATGCTAAAAATTGATCTCAAAGTGTACCAACATTCACCTCAATGAGCTCACACCCTTTTATAGTATTTATTAAGTGCAAATTAAAATCATAATATTATCATGTACTTACATGAGTGGCAAAGAAATGAATTAGTTGCTTGGGATGATCAATCAAACAGTATCCCACACCTTTTCCACCAAACCAGTCTGCATGGGTAATCTTGTACATGTAGCCATTAAGAGAATACCGGTAAAAATATGCATCGATGATTGGATACCGAGAGAACACACAAACTCCACTTCCAATCACACCGCTATAAGAAAATTGAATAAAATGTTTTATGTTGAGATCACATCAACACGTAGCATTAAATTATGTATACTCATCATCTGATTGCACAAGATTGATAACTTCTTTTATTGCTTTTTCATACCTGTAAAAATAGTGTGAGTATGGAAGAACTTCATTAACTATTTGACCAATCAGTTCATAATCACTTCTACTCCAAATCTGTGAAAGAAAAGTTTGAATAGGATCAAGAGGCTCATAAAAAAATTGAAATTTATTGAAGGAATTAAAACTTTCAAGACATTAACCAATAAATTACAGGCCCTTCTCTGAGCATTTGAGACTTAACACTTCACAAGAAAGGTTTGTGGTAACTGCCATGGGAAGGAACTCTCAACTTCTTACTGATATCTGCATCACAGAAATCCTCATTTCACGCTCCTAAGTGTGTAAATAATAACCTCAGGGAAAAAAACAACAAAACAAAACACAAAAGAGAAACATGTCATAGTGAAACATGGCAAAGTGCACTGTGCTGTCTGGCTGGCAAGAATGTATTTATCCCCTGTCTCATGATCATTCAGGCAGAACAGTATCTGATATGCTTGGTGAAGCTGAGTTGATCACATGAACATTTTACCACTATCATGCATTCATGCTTGTGTAGATATACAGATTGTGGAAAAGAAAAAAAGATCCATAATAAAAATAATTTGTATACCAAAATACAAAAGAACATTCCATATTTTGGCTCTATACTCCCAGCTAAATCATTTCTTTACTATATCAGACATTTAGGGGCAGAGTATCCAACCCCACCAAGCTTTGCATGTTAAAACCTGAAATTCACTGTTACCAATGCATTCTCAGGCTTCATCTTTCAGTTAATGCCTATCATTTAAAGGGTTAGAAAAATACTGCCCAGGTTGGAAAAAATTATCCTAGATCTTAGAGAAATTAGCTTTTGAGCTAGCTCTCTTAGGTCTTACCCAAATTGAAGGATTAGAACCCATGCAGCCCACTCCTCTATCTAAAACTTCCTTCAAGAGAGTTTGCTTTAATTCCAGGGTACACAAATTCTTTCATCAACATTTAAAAATTATACCACAATTGAAAACATAATCATCACAGTGAAAATAACAATGAAAAGAAGGCAATGTACAACATCCATAATCACCTGGGTCAAGTTGATCACAGGGCCAATAATGCTATCCTACGAAAATATCACTATCCAGTGGATAAGTGTCAAGTAAACGTACTGCACTATACACCAGATAGAGATTTATCCGGTGGATAGCGTTTTCCGCCCTCCAAACAACCGGGGCCTGCACAGTGACTGAGAATTACTAAAAATTTAAGTCGTTCAAGTACCTCTTGAAGTGTTACTACATCATGATGACCTTTGGCAAGTTCCTCAGCAATCAGCACTTTACGTTCTTCCCACATTTTGGACACATGAGGTATACCCCTTATAGAAATTGAACATAGAAGAAGTCATCACCGGAAGTCTACCAAGTGCATGTATATCACGAGCTTAAACGAGAACCTTCTCAAAATTCATTACCAGTCAGAGTAAAAAGAGTGTAAAACGATATTTAGGAATTGTATCAATCTAAAGCTAATTAAAACTGTTTAAAAAACTTTGAATAAACAGATAATACCAACGGGGTAGCAGCAGTAAAATTTTTTCCAGCGAGCCGACGGCAATTCAGATCCCACTGTTTGCCTAGGCAGGTTAATTTTTCGATGTTTTTAAAAGAACGACAATAGAAACTAACTACCCTAATTGAAACAAATGTTGAACATTTGAAAACGAGCAATGATTTTTTCAATCAAACAGGATCGAATATAAGGGAAACGATCAAAACACTTCCTTACCAGCAATTCAAGGTCAAGACGTGTAAGTTGGGCTCTCGCTCTTCGTCCGCCATGTTTAGAAATGAGTCTGGAGAAAACATTATCACTGTCAGCAAGCACTTCAAAAACAGTAGGATCTTCATGTAAATCAGGTCTTAAAACTTAACTTCAATTCTAACCCAGTCCTTTATGTCAAAGGTAATCCTACCGACCGATAAAATTCTGGGCACGAGGTAGGAGTCACGCTAAGGAAAGTAAAAATTATTATTCCAAGACAAGACTATACATAAAAGCTAAGTTTTTTCGTTTGTCTCACGATGTAGTCACGTGTGATGTAGATCACATCACCACGATGAATAACCATGAGCACGCTTTCTGCAGGAAAGTCGAGAAGTGTTATGATAAAGTAAAATAGTCTGAAATCTCATGTGGTAGTTCCTCGATGTGAAAAGAAATATTTGACAGCTACGTTGGACCACTTGGTGAGAAATATGCAAATGAGGAAAACTGTCATAACAGCTTGTCATATCATGGAATTAAACAGATAATAACAGAACATTCATCATAAAATGAAACACAATTTTCATTGTTGACGCTATTGACGCTAACATCGCATGCAACCAAAAAAAGGCTAAAAAAAAATACTTCTGTACGGTCTCGACCGCAGGAGTAGTCGGTACCAAATCAGCACTATTAATTTTTGTTTCGCATTTGGTAGGTCGAGATGACTGCAGGAGTCTTATTGAATAATCACAATTTAAGGAGCCGCAAAAAAAGATCAGATCGATCCGGGATACTTCCGATAATGAGTTCAACGTGTCTATAACACCTTTCATGCAGTTTGGATTTTTTATTTATAAAGATTACAGGTTCTCGCCTTCGGCAAGCATTTATTGATTCTCAAATCAAGTTAATAAAAGTTTGTTTCTTTATTTATTACTTTCCTTCATTGCTAAAATTTCAAATTTTTTATTACAATATTTATATGTCATTTTTAAGTTGCTATCTAGGTTGCTAACAATCAAGACCGAGAAAAGGAAAACATTTTGCTCAAACCACGTTTAGGTTTAAATAACATGACGCAGTTTTCAATATTTCCGTCAGCTCAGTTTCAGAGTCAAAGTTCTGTTACAAAATTTAGGCGGCTTACATGCCCTAAATGTAAATTGTGTATAAACAAGTTATAGAGCGCATTTCAATTGAGTGTTGTAAAACAAAAACCGAAGTGATTACAAAAGCCAATCAGAACGGAAAAGATCATAACGAGCCAATTAAAATTCAAAGAAAAACGAGTAATACATAACCAATTCGCCACTGACTTTAGTTCTCCATCTGATGGCCATTGGTGCTGTGAATTTTCTCGAACAATCAGTAACGCAAAACCAACGCAATTCCAAATTATGTTGGACACTCAATTGAAAAATGCAGTAAACAGAACTTTTTAAGCAGACCATTAACTGTTATAATGTAATAAAATGTAGTGAAAGGAAAAGGAACTGCAGTAGTCCCTTACCTAGGGAGCCTACCTACCTTGGCTGTTAAAGTTATGTTCTTTGAGGTTCAGGAGAAGAAAATTTACAAAATGGAAAGCCGCAACAGTATAAATTGTAATAGCTTTATTAGACCTCATGCAAGTAGTTACAATAAGAATTTTGCATCTTAATACATTGTATCAAAGAAAACATTATTAATGCTTTCGCACAAATTCTGTTGTGGATTTTTGATGGTGACGGTCACTGGTTGTACTAAGTGTTTCTTTAAGATTACTCTTATTTGACCACAAAAGTGTTTCTGCTGATCTGTCAATTTAAGCAACACTGCACCTATTTACGATAAGACACTTAAAATATGTAACTTAATCTCTTGTTGAAGTCCTTTAATATGCTATAAAGAACGTATCAATAACTAACTCTGTCTTAAACATACGTCGATGCGTCGTTATTTCTCTTCTAGCGAGGCACAAATGAAAAATATTCAAAAAAAGGGACCGAAAACGTTATCAAAAAGTGCAAGATTGCTCCATACCTACAACACATTAGCGTCAATGGAGCTCAATGGAGAAATATGGCAATTGCCAAGCGAACGAAAGCTGCTTTCTATAGCAATATAGTTTTTATATCCATTTAAAAGAACTTAAACTAACCCCTGCGTAAATGGCCTAAAAAATAAAGTTAATTAGGTTTCTCAACTCTCTCCGAAAAGGTCGATTGACCAAACAATAGATAAACACCTTACTCGATGAGGCGACCACAGTGGAAAAGAATGCAATCCTTGCTGCGATCAGAGTAATATGTAGTGAAAAAAGCTGATCAACAACGAGCAAGATTGCTGCAGGACAATAGCAAGTAATAGATACTATTGAGACGATCAAGAAAGTTTTTGTGAGGCGATACATTTTACTGGTAAACATTTGGCGAGCATTTACCCGAGGGTCAACTTCACATTTTCGCCCGCGGATGATGCGGAAAATGATCCGATAACAATTGAATGTTAAAAACGCAGGAATTACAATTCCTACAAATAGCATGCTTACATTCCAAATTGATCGTTGAAGGTCCCATTTGAATGTGACATAACATCCCAGATACTCGGAATGGAACTTATATTCAGCCCAGGATACCATGACGGGAAACCCAGAAGATAAACCCGAAACGACCCAGATTATCATCAATATGATCACAGAATACCCAGGGGTAAATGTTTTTTCATATTCCTGGGGCTTGACGATCCTGTAATACCGCTGAATGGCAACAAATGCCAGAGTAAAAATAGAAGCCATTTTAGGGAAATCGTTGAAAACCCCATAAATGGAACAAGTTGTGTCGCTGTAGAACTGAGCCGAGTCCATTATCATAGCACCGATTGTAAGAGGTACTGGAATAACCACCATGAGGATATCTGACAATGCTAAGCTAATAACAAAGTCATTCGTTGGATGCAAGACCCAACTATGTTTATATACCATGAGACATATTACAATGTTACCTAGCAAGGCGGCTGTTGCAAGAACAGCCATGACACACGCTTGTGCAAAGTCGGAGGTCATTTTCAGAGAATTTAAGTTTACAGTTGAATCACACAAGGTTGCGCCACGGTTTTTAAGAATAAATTGCTAGCATGGAGAAGGCTATTATTTTAACATTAAACATTGCAAAAAAAAAAAAACGTCTGTTGCCTGTCAGTTCTGCTTCGTAATATGAATTTGTAATGATTCACCGTACTTCCAACTATATTGTCAGCCCTTCTTTCCTCTATCTTCTCTGTTTTTTTCGCTGTCTTCTGACGCTCACTTCCAATTTAAACCTTTGTGAGTTCCATGTACATTTGGATTATTCACGGGGAGTTTATACAGGATTCAGGAGGCCTGAAAATACGATAAAAAAAGTGGTAAGAATATCTGGCTGAGCTAATTATTTCTTACAAGCAGGCATTGGCGTCATAATCCATTACTGTTTGACGCGTTTAACGTTTATTCATGATCATTATCTGCTCAAGACTACTAACATATTTATTTATTTATTTATTTTTTTTACGAAAAAGATCATATTTAATTTTAATATATTTTTTTTTTCTTTCGTTTTTGCATTTTCTTACTACTGTGGGACTTAAAATTGCCGTGAAATGCCTCTTTTGTTTGTTTTTGACTACGGCAGCGCAAGGCAGATATCTTAAAGCTACTTCAATATTGTTGAATGTTTGCCAAAATTACCTTTTGAAAAACTGTTGTCAATTAAGGTCAGGCCATTCTAAATTTAGGTGATAATCTATTGTCATTAACCGCTCGAAAGAAAATGATGCTTAAAAAGATGAATAGAAAAGTTTGCATTTTGTGGATCTACATTTTCAAATATTGTTTCTTGCTAACTTTTTTTATTTAACTCTAAGCGTGCAGCACACAAGAGGATTTTCATCTTGGAAAAAGATAACTTACTAAAGAGGATACACATTGAAAAATGTGAAAATTTCAAGTTGCCATCTCTGATCTCTTGAAATACATTAAAATTAACTTTTCGATTGTCTTAAATTAGCTTTAGCTGCTTTTTGCCCGCTAATAGGACTCTCTTATTCACCTATGCTTTTCAAAGTAATCTTCACCTGAGAAGCTACACCGGGCGCAATGTACCCTTCTCTTCGTATATCGTGCAGCAACAGCTTTCTCATACAAGTGGACTTTTATCTGTCTTTGAAGCAATGTTTTATCACTCTTGGCTTTGTTACCGGTTTTCGTCACTTGGTGAAGTATTTATAGAACAGAGAAACCGTTTCCAACTAGTCGCAAACAAATGCAGGACTTAGTCGTTCGCCGCGGTATATTATGTCCGCTTTGCTCTTCGAGACTTCCTCATCAAGTTCGCCACTGGAAGCTGGCGGCAGGTGCAGCCTGTCATGATGCTTAATTTTTTTTGATCTGATGACGCCATTTAAGAATTTTGAGGGCCAATAAGTGTCGTTGATCGCCGTTCAAAGAATTAGTTCATTGTCCTTTTTAGCGCTCATCTTTCATAGACGCGACAAGTTGTTCCAGCTTTGGATCTGCACGGCTTGCAAAGCGCAGTTCTTGCGCTCCTTGATATGTGTGGTCTCATTAATTTTGTCTTTCTCTCTGATATCAATTCCAATATCAGTCATTGATTTTGCAGTATTCATCTCACCGTACCGGCCTAGTTTTTCATTAGCCTATCTGACGTGACTTTTGAACTGGGAAAACTAAACAAGCTACAAGAACGGTATCATCACATAAAATGTTCCTACTACAAGGCGGGGGCACCTGCAAGCTAAGACATACTTACTGGAATAACTTACAGAAACCGATGTTCTTAAAACACAAAAAAGTTATTACTGCCTCTTAGGACATGGATATCTTCTGGGTAACTTTGACTTCTTCCACTTATAAACGCCGTCACGTGAACGAAGAAAAATCCTATTCTAATCAGTATTCCGTGAAAAATGTTTTGCAAATATTATTAGTTTCTCCTTACATGATATTTACCAATGATATTTCGTATCAATCAACTTCATCGCTGGTTTTTCTTAAATTCTATTCCGTTTTACATGAATTAAGATTTGTGTAAGATTTTCTCGAGTTTCACTTCAACAGGAGGGTAGGTCCCTAGGTTCAGGGCAGTCGGGAGTTCAGGATGTCGAAAGATGTTCCAGAACTCTTTGAATTAATATTCTGTCTGGGAAGCAAGTCTGAATAAATTTAAAGCTGTCGTCCGATCTGTTTACACATAAGACTCAGCGCAGCCTTACGATTCTTTTTTTAGAAAGTCTTCTGCTATTTTTCATCTTATCTACTCGTTTATTTACTTATTTTTTTGATAAAAGTTATTTCCTTTATTCTTCACGGACAAAGAGGATTGCTCTTGAAAATCAAAGGCAAAATTTTCGGGATTATTCAGCCATGTGAGAGGGCGGGAATGATGTATGACGTTTTGCTAACGATATACTGTCAGAAAGCCTGTGGGAGATCAATTTAATACATTTAGAAAACATTACTGAATTTCTATAAAGCGCCACGCCAAAAATTAGCCCTAGGTACTTGTTACATCTCTCTTGGTTACTGATCAAACTTAATTTTTTGGGAGCTGTACGTATGCCTGGACTCAGATCAAAAGGTCGAGGTTTGATCGTACAAACCGGAAGACAGAGAATCCATTTTGGAAAACTAAAACACAAAAATTAATTCCTGACCAAATGTTTATATCATCTGCTGCCTATATTAGTCGAAAATAAACGCAATTACAAAGCAGCTGTGCGGATACGTTGAGCGCATTTACATGTTAACAGCATGCTTCCAATGCTGATTATTCCCATGTAAACTTTTACGGTTTTTATTTAACCCATATCTTCTTCAATTTAAATGTTTCATATGTAGCTTGACAGTTTTCCGGCGTTCCTTGTTCCATACAACCTCTCTCGGCAGCACAAAAGTAACTTCCTTTTCAAGATGAATACTTACAGCGACAAAAGACAGGAAAAACTCAGTTGGAATCTACATTATTTATCTATGTCCATAATACGCGGCAGTTATTGTCTGCGAAAAATTTTAACGTATTTGGTTTCGAATCCTGAAAATGGACTTAAAACCAAGTCTTTTTAAAGTTAATAATAGTGTGTTTTCAAGTATTTTAGCGAAACCTTTGATAAAACATATCATCATCATCATATTTTTATTCGCCTTATTTACACAATACAAAAAAATTTATTTACAGCGGTTATAGCTAGAAGGCGAGGAGACCTAGGAAGCCACCGGGCTTATGGGAGAGCCACCTCACTTACATTAATAAATAAAGTAAAGAAAAAGTGCTGCAAATGTGCGGCTAGGCCAATTCAAGGATTATTTAAGTAAAAACTCTTGCATTTTCGTCTTAAAACTAAGAAGGTTTGACGAACGAGTGACTGAAACAGGAAGAGAGTTCCAAATTTTAGGACCTTGGTAAAGAATTGTAAATTGCTTGAGATTTGTACGGCACAAATGCGTTCGATAATTACTGGCTGTTCTGGTACCATAGTTGTGAAAAGTAGCTTTTGAACCACGGCAGAGCCACGTCACGGATACCATAGTGCTCCAATTTTGCAAACAAGATATGATGGTCGAAAGTGTCAAATGCTTTGGAAAGATCTAGGAAAACACCCACCATGTTTTCGTGTTGATCGATTGCAGAAGCTATTTTATTTACCAAATGAATTAGTGCGTGCGATGTCGATTGATTTTTCCGAAATCCAAACTGACAGCGGTAAAGTATATCGTGTTTTTCGGCAAATTCTACCAAGAGATTGTACATGACTTTTTCGAAAAATTTGGAAAAATTAGACAACAAAGAAATAGGTCTGTAGTTTACAAAAAAAGTTAGGATCCTCTGCTTTGAAGATGGGAATAATTTTAGCGATTTTAAGTTTGTCCGGGAAAATGCCTTTTAGCAGAAATAGATTGATAATATCTGCCAATGGAGCAGAAATAAGTTGAAAATGAATATTTAATGACATGCATTGGGATACTGCCATAGCTAGGAGCCTTCTTTGAAGCGAACATGTCACAAATGCTTTCCAGTTCACTTGTTGTGGTGGGCTTTAAGTTTATGGAGGGACGGATATTATCACCAAGATAAGAACGAAAAGAAGGATTCACCCTGGGTATAGATTTAGCTAGGTTGGGACCAATGTTTGTAAAGTATTTACAGAATCTGTCAGCGATCTCCATTGGATCCGTTAATGTTCTGCCTTTAGATTTGAATGATGTGGGAAGAGATGACTTACTTTTACGCTTGTTAATAACTTCATTTAACAATTTCCAAGTTGTTTTGAGGTCATTTCGGGCATTCTCAGATTTGGAGTCGTAGTATTTACGTTTGGCAATGCGAATAAGATGGGTGAGTTTGTTTTTTTAGGCTTTATACTTCGTCTCAGAAGATGTGGAAGATGATGTGACGAACTTTTTGTAGAGTCTGTTCTTCTTGTTAACGGATTTCAGAAGTCCACGGCTAAGCCATGGAGAAAAGAACTTGTTTACCTGCTTACCTTTAAGAACCTTTAAAGGGAAACAAGTGTTATAGATTCTGGAGTATCCTTCAATAAAATCATTATAGGCTTCATTGGGATCTTCCATGTGGTGAAATAAGGACCATTTTGCGTTTAAAAAGTTCTCGTTGAATTTATGCAAATTATGTAATGTTTAAAAAACGAGCAGGAGTGTTTTATCGGGTTTAAAACCACGAGGCGTAGCCGAATGGTTTTTGACCCGATAAAATACGTGTTGCGAGTTTTTTGAACGGCTTCAAAAACATTCTTGGAAAAGCGTGTGTCAAGAGAGTTCATAACAATTATGCTTTTGTGAACGTTAGAAATTAGCATACGAGAAAAACATTAGGGATTAAATTAGTATGCAGAGGTTAGCGAAAACGAGTTGGAGTCACTTCTGCCAACTGATCTTGAATTCGAAGTTTCAGATGATGTATTGTCTAATATGCCTTTACCAGATTACTGTACTAATGGAATAGAGAATTTTTCCAGATGAGTATTTTACAACTGTACTATTAATTTGGTGCAAAAATAAATTTACTGTGTGAAATTTGTTGAAAGAACATTAAATATGTTCCCACCATTTGTTGTGTCAGTTTCTGTGTTGATAATTAATTGATATTCATAAGTCACGTGCAGTGTCTTTATATCTGATAAAACACCGCATACTAATAAGGATGAGGTTTATCGATATAAAGTCACTGCACGTGATGTATTATCTACCATTTGATAGGTTAATGGGCTTATGAATTATGAATGAGTTTTTGAACGTCATCGAATGGCGCATCACAATTTTTCTTTCTGTGCTGCGCTTTAGAGTTGCGTCGTCAAAACATGCAAAAGCGGGTAAGTGGTCAGATAAATCATTTAGAATAATGCCGCTAAAAACACTAGGGACAAGGTTGTTGGTGAATATGTTGTCAATTCGCTACTTGAAGGCAGAGAAATGTTTTATTACCATCGATCAGGTAATTTAAAATGACAAGAAGCTATATTTCTTGAGTAAAAAGAGCAAAATAAAAAATAAAGCCTGTCCTTATGCTGATTACTCTATTATCACTACAAAAAGTTTCTACGGATTCGTTCCAGCATCTGAGCGTATGGTTACAGAAGAGTACACTTGGAATGATTTTCTGCACTTCTTGTGTTTTCAGATCATTACTAATTGTCCCAGTAGGAACTAGACGACTAAACTCGGTTATAGCCCGGTAATTTTACCGCTTCCGAGGTCATAAATTCAATTTTTAAGTCTTGAGTGTCACGAAGACAAGATTTAGCACTTACAGTGCATGCCGAGCTTCTTTCGCTATTTTAATCCAACCCAACCTTTTCGACGGGGGAAAGGACTACATTACAAAATTGAAAAATACGTCATGGAGAGAAAAATCCTGTTTTCACTCCAGAACTAAACTGTCTTATCCGAAAAAAGAAGTTTTTCCCGTCAAAAGACGTCCCACGCATTTGATTCACTCTTTGTCTTAATTCTATATCTTTGTTGTTCATATCAGTTCATTAGCATGAGGAATTATCCCCTATCAAAAATATTTAGTTAAATTTAACGTTACAGTAAGAATAATTAAGTCTATCATCATTTTCCGCAGAACTTTCTTAACTCCAAATTTGTCTGGCATTTTTTAAGAGAACTGAAGAAATGTTGTGAACAGAGAAAAAAATTTAACTGTCCATGGTATTAACTGAAAATTCTAAATTAAATACGTCGGAAGAGTGTCGACTGACGCCAAAACACAACAACCACAGAACCTGCTGGGATTGAAATAAATCTTCTCAGTTAGAAGGGAAAGATAACAACCGTGTATCGGAAAAACCTGTCGTGGTGGACTGTGCGATTTAGCCAAAAATGGGTTAATTCATTAATGACTGGTTAAATGAAGAGGAAAAAACCTCTTGCGCCAAACAATATGAACTAATCAGCGATGACGCAAATGTGCCCGTTTAATAAAGGCGATTAGCTTTCTAGAACAATGAAACCGTCATTTGGCAAAATCGATGAGAGTATTGGAGACGCTATGAGGCAAACCCCCATTAAGCTAAGTAATTGATCTCGGTATTCTTAACTGAAAGGATTACTGAAGAACGGCTCTACAAGGATATCAATCTTAAACGGGCGCTGTTCCTGGTAAGACACCATACTATCCAAGTATAGAAAAAGGTTTATTAGGGAGATACAGAGTTAGAAGATGTTCAACAACAGCAACATTTTTGTTGCGGAAGAAAACCAAACGGATCACGCTCAATACTCGTCGGAAAGCCAATTTTGTTCTTTTTAAAACAAGTGCAAAAGGGAAATGACATCTCTTTTCCAGACTTCAGAGCAATCTATATCTTCATCGCGATTGCAAATGCTCTTCTGGCGTTGTTCGTTATACTTGGAAACATCGTGATCATCGCAGCTTTTTATCGATATGCGCAGCTAAAAACACCATCTAACTTACTCTTGCTTGGTTTATCAGTTTGTGACTTGTTGGTTGGTTTAGTTACTCAGCCTGTTTTTACCGCCGAAGTCGCTTTAGTCGCCGCAAACTCAGACTTGGCTTGCCAGCTAAAAGATCTTTATGTTATTTTCCTTTTCTCCTTTTCATCCTCCTCAGTGATGCACGTTTGCTTGATCAGCGTCGAACGTTCCTTTGCCATAATGTTCCCTTTTAAACATGAACATCTTGTGACGACCAAGAGAGTTTCTGTCTTGGTGGTAGTGTTTCGGATTTTTTGGGCTTTGCTAACCGTGTCCACCAGACGCAATCATGGCGGAGGTGTCATTGGCTACTCACGCATAACATTTGTTGTTTTTAGCGCTCTGGTAGTGCTTCTTTTGAACATTCGACTTTGGATAGAAGCTCGAAGACATTCTAGGAATATTGCGAGCTTTACAGGAAACCCTAATTCCGCTACCAATGAAGAGAATGGCACACAAACACGAAGAAAATCCCCGCGCGACGGCAAGGCAGCTAAAACAGTTTTGTTAATCATTGGTTTGATGGTTTTATGCAATTTACCACTTATAGCAACATTCACTGCACGTAAGTTTTACAACGTACGCGGACGAGTAATGACTTTACTTTGGTTCGCTTCAAACACAGTCGTATTAATGCCTGCCACACTAAACCCAATAACTTATTTCTGGCGCAAAAAGGACTTCAGGATTTCTGTAAAGAGAATGCTCGGTTGGCAGAATGCTGTTGAAGCGCCACATTGAGAAATATATCGGCATTATTCCAGATGAAAGACAAAGAAAAAAAAGAAAAAAAAGACATTTGTAGCCTAAGGGGTGTTCAATCCCCATCTTAAGTGTAAACAGATAATCTGTATTAATCCGTAGCTCTTTAATAACTAGATCTAAGCACAAAGTGTTTTAAGCCCCTTAGCGTAACACATCAGTCTCAAAAAGCTGGGGAAATGACTTAATTCACCCGTTGCGTGAACAGCTTCCTTGCTGATCGCATTTTACTAAAGAAAATAGGAGCATGGAGAGTATGGACTCGATAATTCCTTTCTGGATAGAGAAAACAGTTGAAAATGAGAAATTATGACTACAAATCCCCATTTCGGTTTAGCTTTATTTTGTAGGTAGGGGTAGTAGCGGTGACCTGGCACATGCGTACAACGAGAGACAGCGTGTTGCATCTTACATGACCTGATATAATATATTAATGAGATAGGGTGAAAAACATTTAATCTCGCTGGATTAGAAAAAGCTCAACATTGAGACTTATTCCCTAAAAATTGAGAAAATAGCTCAAAACAAAAACCCATGGTGCGCAAAGCTGTATGTATGTACTTCAGTGGAAAAATAAAAGTGTTATCACTTGATTCGAGTGAATTTTGCTAGTGCTGCGTGTGGAAACATGCCAAAAGATTTTTTTTGTCGGAACAAGGCAGTGCTCGATCCTTGTGTATAAGTTTTGGCTGGTTTCTCTTTCGTGCACGTGCTACATTACATGTACAGCTCTTAGAAGTTGATTTACTTCTTATCGATAAATTGAGCGCAGAGTGCTGTTCTGAAGACAGATCAGTATACGGAAACAATCATGAATCATATATGATTCCAAACTTGTTAAGACAAATCGGGCTTTTTTTTTTGATACCATTTTCAGGGCAACACATGAAAAAGTGTCGAACGTCGATCCAAGAAGAAATTAGAATCTAAAAAGGATGAAACCACTTTGAGTCAAGTTAAAACCGAGTTACGAAAAAACAGCGACACAATCAAGTCTCAATTTCTCCAAACTGCATTTATCAAATGTCTTTTTTCCATGCTATTTCCTTGAAGCAGGCACAAATTAGTTTAAAAAACTTACAGGTGTTGCAAAACAGTCCTATTGTAAGTTTTGTTTAGTTAAATGCGGTAAAAGGTTGAGGTAGGGATTTGAAAGGGCTTTTTTGAGTAGGAATCCGAAATTATCTGGAAAAAGTTTATTTTTCAAAACCGTCTTAGCCAGATTGATGTAGTCGACTCCTAGACGGTAAGTTTTGTTTAGTTAAATGCGGTTAAAGGTTGGGGTAGGGATTTGAAAGGGCTTTTTTGAGTAGGAATCCGAAATTATCTGGAAAAAGTTTATTTTCAAAACCGTCTTAGCCAGATTGATGTAGTCGATCCCTAGACGGTTTTCACTGGTTTCTTGAACTTGATTTCATTGTACATTAAGAACTTTTGACGAGAGCAGATTAAATAAGACGATTAGAGATTGAGAACAAATAATAATTTGCGTGCCTCGTACCAAATCCCCCCCTGCCATTCATGCATTGCACGTAGATCAGTAAGAGAAAATGATGAAAAGCAACACTACTTTTCAGGTTTTTGTAACTTTTTTCGAATTCTTCCAATCCCCTTGCGTTTGTATGAGGCGATGACAGAAAGAGAAAAGTCTCCTTCTAATGCAAAAAGTATGCCGTGAGTAAAGGATTGTTTAAAAGGATATTTAGTCAGAAAGGTAGACAAATAAACTAATTAAGTTACATTTATTGAAAAAAAGGCAAATGATGAGAACAGCAAATCATTTACGAACATACAACATAAAAGAATCCAGAAAATGAGCTATTTTAGAACGCTTAAGATATTCCTCAGAAACAAAATTATTATTTTGAAACTTTCCTTGAACGTTCCCTACCAGCCTCTTTTTAAAAAACTACATTAAGAAAGATAGTTCACTGTTCTTGCTAAAGAGATATGATTGCTTGGCCAATCTTTTATGCCTGAGCTGGTACTGGCCATTCGTTACATTTCATCGGTTCACGATACATTTTGCGGTTGGAAACATTTGATATGTAGAAAGTTCGAGCGCATTGAATTATGCACAATGTAATTTATGTCAAAATCACGCACTATTGAACGACGTTAAATTTTTGATGCAAACAGCCAAAAATAAAACGCATTAAGGAAAGGGTTGCGTCAGGGTTGCACTCCGACAGCATTATGTAAATTAAACATCCTTCTCACAGAGACCCTGAACTCTTTTTTGCGCCAGAAATAAACAACTGGGTTTAGTATGGCAGGCATTAATACGACTGTGTTTGAAGCGAACCAAAGCAAAGTCACTACTCTTCCGCGCACATTGTAAAACTTACGTGCAGTGAATGTTGCTATGAGTGGTAAATTGCATAAAACCATAAAACCGATGATAAGTAAAACTGTCTTAGCTGCCTTAGCATCTCGCATGGATTTTCTTCGTATGTTAGTCTCTGCATATTCGGTCTCTTGCGATGCCGAGCAACTTTGTAAAGACATCTGCAACGAATGTTGAAGCAGCCTTGAAATCACTTTGGAATGTCTCCGAGCTTCTATCCACAGTCGAATGTTTATGAAAAACACCACCACAGCGCTAAAAATAACGAACCCCATGCGTGAGTAACCAATAATACCTCCGCCATGCTCGCGTCGAGTGAACACTGTCAGCAATGTCCAACAAATCCAAAAAGCGAGGAAAAATGTTGCAACTCTATTTTTGTTTAAAAACCGGTGGTGTTTAAACGGATGGATTATGGCAAAGGTACGTTCGACGCTAATCAAACAAACATGTAACATCGATGCAAATGAGAACGAAAACAAAAATATTACGTAGAAATCTTTGAACCGACAAGCCACGTCTGAATTTGCGGCGACTAAAGCGACTTCGGTGGTAAAAACAGGCTGAGTAACTGAGCCAACTAAAAAGTCACAAACTGATAAACCAAGCAAGAGTAAGTTAGATGGTGTTCTCAACGATTCGGAGCGATAAAAAGCTGAAATAATCATACTGTTTCCAAGTATAGCAATGACGGCCATGAGAGCGTTTGTAAATGCAATGAAAGCACACACTGAACGAAATTCCTCATATGAGATGTCGTTCCCTTTCTGGACTTGTATCAACAGCGAACACAACTGATTTTCTGAGGACATTTCGGACTCTGTTAAATTCTTTGACGATGAGTTGTTGTTCAACATTTTCCGCCTTTGAGTTTACACTGATTTGACGTCTTTTAGCCTCGTCTCATCGTGTTGCTGACTGTGGAATGCTCAGGTTACCCAGAGCTGTGTGACTCCTCTCCCCTCCATTGGGAGAAAACAACGTGATAAGTCAAGCTTACCTCGCCGTCATTCCATTTCACATAAGTCCAGATATTTATATTACGCTGAACAATGTACCGATTTGTAAAAACATAAACAAATCCTACCTCGTGGAAGTCACGGATGTGCCCGAGGTAACAAATTTTAAAACGTATACACTTTTGATGAGATGTTGACAGTATCTTTTAGTAACCACTGACCCTCATCTTAACCTTGCTTGTCATTGCTTGTTTGTAAATAGACTTTATTCTACTCAGCAGGGGAGCTTATATTGTCTTTTTTTAAGGTTCGGGAGGGGGCATTCAAGCATGGAATATCTCGTTAGGCGAAAGGAGCTATTTACAAATGCAGTCATTACTTCTTGAAACAAAAAAGAACGAAGTATGTTCCAAAATCATTGTATTCACAATCAATGATAGATTTTAGCTAATTTAGAGATTGTTGTTAACGACCTAAATTTTCGAAATGGAAATGTTCAATTCAATCGATTGAGGCAGAATTCACTTCATAAAAAACTAATACCAAACATGGACAACAACTTCTTCGAGTTGTTCATTTTACAGCAAGAGCGAAATGTGGTATCGTAAAGTTCTGTGTTATGAAAAAAAGGAAAGGAAAAAACACGAAAATATTACGAAAACAAAATAGCTTTAGTTTCACGCGCCAATGACGTCTGAGCCCTGTCGTGCAATTTTATCTCCCCCACCCCCCCCCACGACTTCTGATTAATATAACATTCCAAATAAATTGCGCTTTCAACTGTTTGATAATGACGTTCCATCGTAGAGACATCGAGTCTAATGAGAGGTGAATGAATTACTTGAAACCTGCTGGAGTTAAACAAAATAAGACGAGAAATCAATAACAAAACACGTGAAGCTGTTGTTATAAAATAAGTATATTTCTGACGCCTGAGAAAGTTCTAAATGGCAATTTTTTAAAGCTGTTTTTCGAGTACCTTCAATTTAGCTTTAAGCAGATTTTAAAGCCAACATGGAAGTGAGTTCTAACGTTTGTTTTCCGAGCTTTTTTCAGAAGTCTTTGTATGGAAAACCCCGGTGTACTTTGTAGTTAATGGAGTCTATGTCTATGCAAGAGTATCCACTAATCTAGCCAGTAGATTGCATTTGTCTTTCTCTGCGGTCAAATCACTTTTCAGTATTGATTCAGGAAGCGAAAAGGCGGCTTGGCCCGTTAAAACACATGATAGTACCTAAAGTACTCAAGCACTTAAGAAACGTGTCGCTATTTACCCCGGGGGGCAGAGGAGACCTTACTAACAAAGTAGACATCTCGTTTAATCTGAATTAACTTCATACCAGTTTCTATTACGGTACGGCTGTTTAACCCAACAGGAGGCCGAATTAATAATCAAGAAAAGGCGGGAAAACGGTTGATGAAGGATTCTGCATCACGCGGTCGAACACTAACTAGAAACTTACGTAACTCTTCTTGACATTTTCCTCTTTTTCCGCTGCTAGCAAAATTTCTGCACCCGAAATATAGCCATTGTTGAGGATGGAATTTACTACTAAGTGCCGTTCCGCTTCGGAGACTCAGTGAGTATGTTGACCAACGATATTTCCCGACTAAAACATGCATATCTGGATCTAGCATGTGCCTATTACATGTACATAATATTGTGACATGCTTAAAATCATGGGTGGAGTCAAGAACACTCATTTTAAAGAGAAATAAAAGCATTCAAGATTCACTCTATTCTACGCAGAAATTCAAATTACGCCGTTTAATATTATCCAAGGGATAAAATGGGAAAATCCCTGAGGCCATCCAAAAGATTTTTGGATCACTTGCAACATTAAAACTTCAGCTGCACGAAACGTGCCATATGTCTTTATTCGACTTAGGGCCCCTTTCAAATTCAGTTTGTTTTCTTTTAATGGTAAATATTTACAAGTGCTGATAACAAATTCATTCGCGATACAGAAACATTCCGAGCCACTTATTTCTTCCGTTACAGAGAGTGAGCAAATCCATTCTCTATTGTGAAGAGAAATTCTTATTAATTTGTTGATTCACGCAGTCTTGCAATTGTTTCGATGATTGTTATACTGCTTCACCTTGAGAATTCACTAACCTTCGCCGTGCACGTGCTTGCCATATAAAAGTCGACCCAGGTGGTCATGTTTATAAATAGGGCAGGTGGTGTGGGTTGTCTCGGCCCGCGAGATGAGTTTGCCAGTTTCATGTACACGGTTTGTTAAAATTTTTCAAAGAAGTGAGTGGAAAGTCAGTGCGGCCACGCTAACTCAGGTGGAGGGTTACCTTGGATACCCTGGACCATATATATAGCGCCCACAGCCAACTTTGCTACAACCTTAACCCTTTAATTCCCAGAAGTAACTTCTTCTTATCATATCCATACATTATCCAGAAAAAAGTAATGAAAATTCTCAAACTTATCAGGTTGAAGTTGTTGTCTTGATCCAACACCAAGTTCTCTGAACTAATTCACAAAGAAATGTGTAGCAGCTAGAGGGGAGAATTAACAATCTGGTCTTGTGAGTCATAAGATTAAGTTTAGCCCAAAACCTCCCACAGGGGGGTTTGCACAGTTTTTCATAAAAAAGACTGTGAAATGGAAAACTGGTACAATGGAAAATAAACTAAAGATTCCCAGTTTGGGCCTACTTAAACTAAATAACTTCATAGAGAGTAACTGAATTGTTATCAAACCTTGAGAACGTTTTGTGAGCGAATCTGTGATCATTTATGATGTAAATTGTTTAACATTTTTTGTACACAATAATGTAACAGAACAATGTAAAAATAGTTATATCATTCATAAGATTTAAAAACCTAACACTAAGATCCTAGAACAAAAATTTGCGGATCTAGAGGCTGGCCCAAATAATTTGCAAGTATAATCATGAAAGGTTTTTATCCACATTAAATTTTTTCGGCTTCACAAAGAATGTTCTGTTTCCAGTTCCTTAGGGTACTGTAATTGTCTATGTAAAGCTGGTGCCTGATCGATTATCACCAGTTGATTGATTCATTAGTGTTAGCTATGGCTACTGAACTGAATGGAAAAAGTCATCAGCCTGTCACAAACCATGGAAGTCCTGGAAATCTTTGAGCCACCAGTGACGGCGACATGAAATGAACAGCAAGTATGACAGGGTTTAGTGGGTTTTGCAGTCTGACGTTATGGTACCTGGTGCTCTTATACCAAAGCGGAGATTAAAAGCAAATCAACCAGGACGAATTTCATTTTAACCACCACTACATATGTGATAGTATAACCAACACTACCCAGAGCTGCATATCAAATATCATCTTCCACTGACTGAGGTGAAAACCTAGTGGTAATAATAAACAGTGAACACACTCAGGATTTAAGCAAAGACAATGACATTGAACAACAGATTTCAGGGTAGAAACAGGAATAAAACAAAACATTTCTAGGCCATCAGCCTACATGGAATATTTTTCCTTTTAATAGTTTTACCTTCCTCAATAGATCTTTACTGAGTGACTTCCCTACGTCTTTTTCGGTGGATTTCCCAGGGTTGATCTCTGTCATTTTCTGATCTTCAACAACTTGATGCTGCCTGAAAGTTCTCAACCTCTTCTCTACAGGTCTCTGTAATGGAAATGAAAATCATATTTTTAATATATGTATGTTCATACATGTTTGAATAAAGGCTGCATTATAAAAGAACCCTTGTGACACAAGTAAATAACTCTTTTCTCAAAAACAGTACTAGTGTGTTTTGCTTTGAGGGGCATCCCTTTTCATTCATGAAATCCTTCAAGAACAAATGATAAACATTTCTTTGATAAGAGCATTTAGCCCCAGAGCTATACTTATGAGAGCATAACTTACTGGTTTTTTTTCCAAAAAATGGATAAATTAGACTCCTCACAGTCTTCAACTACTGGAAAGGTCTTAACCCATTTAATATTCCATCTATTTTTCATGTTCCAATATAAATGTAGACTTTCAAAAAATTTCTTAATAGAGAACCATACAAACTAATATCATTCTTTTCAAAAACACTAACTGTATATTACATTATGTATATGTTTGGCATGCCTGATACAGTCCTACCTGATCAGCTCTCTTTCTTTTACGAGTTTTCATTGCATCTATGGCTTTTCCTTTCTCTACATTTTGTATATAAAAGTTGGCTTCCTTTTTAGCCTGGGATATTTCAGTTCTCATTCTTTGTTCTTTTGTAGCTTTCTCGTATGCTAAAAGAAAATAATCAAACACAATTTCCAAGGTGTTTTTGTTCCATGAATGAAATATAAATGTGATATAAATGCAAATAAATTCTGAGTGCAATTAGAAATGAAAAAGGTCACTTGAAACCAAACAACAGCAAATAGAATGAATTATTAAGGTCCAAGAAGGTCACTTACCGATTTTTTCACTCAAATGTCCCCAAAGAAATTTTGGAAGATATTTTATATTCCATATATCATCATGGTAATATCCTCCTTTCTTTCCCCCTGTGTGTAAGGAAATAATACAGTTTACAAAAATCCAACAGGCCACTGGTTCTTTGACAGATTTTTTGGTTTGTTTGTGGGTTAATTGCCCTGAGGTTTCTTAGCTGGTCCATAGATCAACCCATCATTTATAAGTTTGTTTGTTTTAAAATTGTCTGGTACCTTGATTTATCAGCCTACTGAATGTAATGCAAGCCTACTGAATGTAAATGTTGGTCCACCAGGACTTAGATTGTTTCTTTCACTATCAAATCATCAATTAGAGAGGTATGAGAGAGTGTGAAGTGGTCATTCATTCGGTTAGTCACAGGCAGTCAGTCATTCTGTGCATAAGTCAATCAGTCATAGTGAGTCAATCAATCAGTTAATTAGTCAGTCAATCACTTATGAATTAAGTTTGTCAGTCAATTTATTGGTCATTTCATCAATCAATAATTGGCAATCTATCCTGCTAATGATTCAGTAATGGATCTATTAGTGCCACTGACAAAATTTAGCATATTATTCTTCTTACTTTTGTAACTCATACAAAACATTGTAAGAGTATCATCAGAGTCACTCTCATCCTATGGTATTCATCAGGGACTGCCAACTTAACCCTTTAACTCCCAAGATCTGATTGTTAATTCTTCCCTCTGGCTACTACACATTTCCTTGTTAACTAGTTGTGAGAATTTGGTATTAGATCAAGATAACAATTCCTATCTGACTAGTTTGGGTATTCTCACAACCTAATATGGGGATATTAAAGGGAGAAATTACATGCTCATCATTTCTGGGAGTTAAAGGGTTAAACAAAAAAGTTCACATCAGAAGAAGAAAACTTTAGGACTTTATTTACCAATAGGTGTGTTATTCAAACTTAAAGCAACAGCTTTTGCTATTCGTTTGTCTTTAAACTCGATCCATCCTTCTGTAAATAACTTTCTTCCACTCCCACCATATTTCTTTCTCTTTTTCCTCACAGCAGCATCTGCAAAGCGAGGAAAACAATATTCATTGAGATAAAAATATTAAAAATGTTAGAATTTTTAGATTAAAGGTAAGAGGAACTCATATTCTTAATATAAAGACAAAAGGAAGTTATGGGTGGTATTTTAATAAGCTAATTCAAATTCTAATTGCTCGGAGAACGGCCTGCAGCCGATTTATCATGAAGTTCTCCTTCTTTCGCTAGAAAGTTAAATTATCATAGGGAATCACTTACCTCTAAGTTTTTCATTTTATAGGAAAATTTAAAAGAACCTATAAACGATAATAAAATACCTGATATTCTAACCCACTTGTATCAACACAGGTTTTCAATTTAGTGGTTGGAATTTGTAGACAGCACATGTTCAAATTAACATCATATTCTTTCTCTGTCTTTCCTTGAATTCTTACCTTCTGGCTGCAAGAATAGTCGTCCTACTTCTCCATATTGTGAAAATATGTTTCTTATTTTAGCTGGTTTCATGAATGGGGGTAATCGACTCATATAAACTACACCAGGAATGGTTTCTTTCCTCTTCTTCTTACGCGCATTTCCCTCTAGTTCGTCGGCCATGTTGAACGAGTTTGATAGAAGAGGCCTGAGCACCAATTCAGCGGTGTCTCAGTCGAAGGATGTAATTTATATAAGCCTCATTTAAACTTTCGTAACCTTTTTACCAACACGGTGCATGGGTCTGTTGACGACACGTGCGGGTGAGAGGTCTTTGAAGTTATTTCGTTGAAGAACATCTTGTAGTAAAATGGCGGACGAAGGGAGCATTGAGGGTGTGTATATCAATACGAAATTCCTCTCTTGTTGACCTTGAAATATATTGTAAAGAGAACAGCGACAAAGATTCAAGCTAACCAATGACGTAGTAATCAGTCATTTCCATTTTTTATTTCATTTAACTCTTTAACTCCTGGAAGTGATTAACATGAAACTGCGCCCTAAAATATCCATATATATATATCTAGCAAACAGTAGTGATGATATTCAAATTTTTTCAGATAAAAGTTGTTATCCTGATCTGACACCAAATTCTTGTACCTGATTTAATTTGCAAGGACATGTGTAGCAGCTAGATGGGAGAATTAACATTACGATCTTGGGACTTAAAGGGTTAAAAAAATTAGTAATATCAGTTATGATCAGTTGATTGATATTGATTGTATCAATTATTAGATAAAAATAATAAATCAACCATCAGAAGTTCTTTACTGTTGCAAATGTCAATAATCTCTGAGGAAAAAACAATTGAAAATTGAGCAAGGGCTGAGCTGATGAAGTCTACTTCTAAGGAAACTTAACAGGCTTGCAGACTCATCTATAAATAATAAAACAGTGTGATGTAGAGAATAAAACCATTTATAGCTGTTCAGGGAGCCAATCAGTATAAAAGTAAACATGATTTTCCATAAAAAACCCCAAGTGCTTTGGCGAATGCTGCTGAAAAGTAAGACCAGTGTTCTTGCTGTTAATATAATTATGGTTAAATAATTAAAAGCAATTTATGTTGTTTCCAATCAGGTTCTGCTGAGGAGGAGATGGAACTTTATGATGATGATGATGATGAGGGAGGTGGTGATGATGGTGATGATGCTATTGAAGTTGAAGATGATGAGCAATTTGAAGAATCCATACCATCAGCTAATGGTGATGAATCCAGTATTGTACTTATGTTTAACTGGGCCTTTTATATTAATTATTCTTCTTGATTGGGTCTTTGTTTTTCTTCACATACCCAAATTTTAATGGGTAAAAGCATATCATTTAGCAATTTTAAGTTGAGTGTCAAATACATGTACCATCAGGGATTAATTTGATTTTGCTCTACCTAGCCTTTTGTTTGGTCCAGAGAAATCAAAACAGTCTCTAAACCAATCAGATTCAAAACTGAGAGCAATCATGCCTTAGTCACTTGCACTTTTCCATACAGAAGTAGTTAGCAAGTTTATCCTTTGACTCTTATTAGCTGCTCATGTCATTTTCCTTTCATCTGATTGGTTGTTTTGATTGTTTTGGTTTTGGTTTTATAACATTCAAATAGAAAGCGCTCTATAGCCAAATGGATTAGATATTTGTTTAATAGCTTCAGGGTGAGAACTCCATTTGTTTGGTGGTTGGATTGCTAAGCTAGAGAAAGAAAGATCCATGCTCAGGCCCCAGTTGGGTCCACTATGATGTGTTCTTGTGCAATAATGCCTACTCAAACAGTACCTCTTATTGCTCAGATTTTTAAATGGGTGCATATGTACTCTTTCATTCTCCTTAGTAAACTGCCAACTGGCATAATACTCAGAAAGTAAACCTGCAGTACACTGCTATCATGTTCAGGGGGGAGAAGCAGCACTCCTTCATACAACTCATATTAGGAAAAACTCCAGTAAGACAGGCTCTCTGGTTTATGAGCAGATTTTACCTTTTCCTTGTGTAACCCCAGGTGATTCCTCTGGCACTAGTTCAGAGCAGGATCAAGCACAAGCCAAATAATTAAACTTTTCTTTTAGAGGTATATATTTTGAAGATCAAGCTTGTACCACACTTTATTGAAGATCATCTTGTACCTCTGATGTGCAATACAATAACTTCTTAACAGGAGTAATTTGTAGTGGTATTTAACTTAATGAATTTTAAACTCAGGAAAAAAGAAAATGTCTAAATCAAAGAGCAAGGAAATGGGAGAAACGACAAAGGTAAGTATGTCACTATTTAAATCCCTTGAATAGTGCTGACTGTTTCTATCTGCAGACAATTTTATTTTTATTTTATTTTTTTTTTTTGGTTTTTTTTTTTCAAGAAGGCAAGTCACTTAGGTGCATGCAAATTTCCATGTGATGATAGACACCAGAACTGGGTCAAAGCAGGAACAAAATGTCACTAAATTATTAATATCTGACTTGGGATTTTTAATTACATTAATAAGGAAAAGAGTATATCAGACACAAATACACAAAAGAGTATTTCATACTTTCATACATGCATGTGTTTACCCAAATTAATTGAAAACCTAAGAAGGAAGTTTTTCAAAGAACATCTGAAAATGAAACTTCAGAATAAATTACCACTTATTTACCTCTCAACAACATGAAACAATTATATGTTATTCGTGTATTTTTGTTTGACTATCTACAAAATAGTTTACAATCGTTTTAACTTAAATTCATTGTAGAATAGAATGTATGCACGCCTTTAGCATTTTGTGTTTCCTCCTCTTTCAACTGTGTTAGGTATTTCTTCCTGGTGATAAGATGGAAGACGGAGATGAATTGACATACGACAGTTCTGCTTATGAAATGTACCATGCTGTAAGTGACCTGTGTCCTTTGAATGTGTGTAGTAGAATGACAGTCTGGCTATTGCAGGAGACTGTTACAGTGTAGATTTCAACAGCTGTAATTTATGCCTCTTCACTGTTTGCATACATTTAAATATCTTCTCTCTCCAATGTACATGAATTTCTCATTCAGAATTTTAAGATAGTAATGTCCGGACAAGAAGTGATAGAATAATGTTCTCCTCATTCAAATAAGAAATTTAGTAGCTCCTGCCATCAAAATTTAGCCAGGAAATTCAGATGCCTGATGAAAACCTTCCTAGAATTAAGCCTTCACAGCTGAAAGACGAAACTGCCAGAGCCTTGGGGCAGAAGATACTTATTAGCATACACAATGCCATAAAGGCCCATAAAACTGCCAGCTGTGTAGGCCAAGCCGGTACAATGTAGCTGTACAAGCCAGGTCAAGTAAAATACTCGTATCTTGGCATTTTGTACCAGTGGGTGTGATAAATGGGTGCAAGTGAGACAAATGATGATAAAATTATTGCTAAATCTAAATGAAAGGATTTTGATATAATGCAGTTCTTGGATTTTGCTCAGTAGATGTTGCCAACACCAACATTTTGTTATCATGGTTTTTTTTTTATTGATCGTTTCTTTGATGTAGGCTCAAACAAATGCTCCTTGTCTAAGTTTCGATGTAATACCAGATAGCCTTGGAGACTCCAGAACAGAGGTAAGAATCACATCATGTATAGAAGGGAATATTTTCTGCCGCAAACTTGGTCCAATGACCACATCTGACCTGACATGGAGGTGAAGCATTATGAACAGAGGGTTTTGTACCCAGATTTCAAATTTAGTCTTCTTATGCTATCTTAGTTATGGTTTATTCTATTAATGGCAGAAAAAACCTATTATGTGCACTTCATGAACCCTCTGGTTCATGAAAAGTGAAACAAACTTTTGCATAAGTTTAAAATCAAGCTCTTCCATATTGGAATGGAATAGAAACAAAAACTTTGTATACTTATTATAATGATTTTTTTTTATCTTGTTTTGATTTTTGGTTGTGATTGCTTTCACATTAATCTTGCACTTTCTGTTTTCAAGTTTCCAATGACAGCATACATTGTGGCTGGAACACAGGCACCACCAGGGAAACAAAATCATGTTATAGTCATGAAGATGTCACAGTTGGACAAAACTTCCCCAAGTGATGATGAAAGTAAGTTGATGTGGGTGCAAATATAAGTTGTGCTAAAGAACTGACAGTGAAGCAATAGAATAAGAGAAGCCTTTATTTAATATAGGGCTTCAGTTTATTAAGAGAGCTTTTCTCATTGAATTCTTAACCAAGTTTTTTTTTTTTTTTAAATATAGGGAATATTCAGATGAAATGTAGGTGTAAGATGCATTTACCCACTATAATCTACTTCTTCATATTTTGTTTACTTGTTTGTGAGTGACCTATTATTGATAGCAGTCAATTCAGGTTTTTATTGGCTGATGGACGAACTTTCCTGGAAAATTGATGAATTATAGAGTATTTATTTTTGGCAGGTGATTCTGATGATGAGCTTTTGGATGAAGAACCAGATCTAGACACAGCAATGTTTAACCACACTGGTGGAGTTAATAGAATCAGAGTAAGAATTTTAACTATTTATGAACAAATTAACTATGAATCTGATTCTGTGACTAAAAAGGAACAAGCAAGAAGCCAAATGAACATTCTTGACTCATCAAAAACACTTGATGTACTTAAAAATTCAATCAAAATGTGATTAATTGTATTTAACTGAAACATCAACTGAACTTCAATCAAAGTGCAAAATTATGTCTAACTAAACAAAAGAAACTTAAAGACCATGCTACAGAGATTTCTCAGTATTTTGGGCAGTTTGCTTTATCCTAGGGGAGAACCTTCTTCTCCAAAATGATATAACTTGCCTAATACAGACACTCCACCATTATTTCAGACCCTGTCATTTGTTTCCTTGTTGTCTGTTCAAGTAAATCTTACCATCTGTAAGGAAAGAAGTCACAAGCATACAAGAGTCTCTTAGGGGGATTCAAACCTTAGACCTTCCAATTCTGAATTTGGGTTGTCTGCCAACTGCGTTGTAAGGACCATGTTAGTGAATAAGACCTTCCTGTTCATGTAGGTTCATACTTGATAAATTTCATGCACAGAATCATGTTTGCTTGCATAGAAAGTGGAGGTTGAGTAAGGGGAGGTTTGAGTGTTAATGTAGTAGTGGTTCTGAGGTGATAGATCATGGTTTTAACCAGGGGTGCAAAAGGTTAATTAGTACTTAACTTTCCTTCACATTCATGCATAGGAGGTACATGTAGATGTGCTCTCTTTTGGAATGAACTTAGTCACTTCATTTCTTGCCTTTGAACAACAGTTGTAGTCAGTCTTTGCTATGGATAACTTGAATACACCACTTACTTTCTATGTTCAGTGAGTTTAATAATATGTATATTGGGCAATAACATGATTTTGAGTGCAATTTGGTCTTTATAAGCATGAGCAAATTTTTCAAAGACAACAAAATTGCATGAGCCCATAGGGCAAGTACAATTAATTTTTATTCTTTGAAAAATTTATAAGTGCTTATTACACCAAATTGCAAGAGAAATAATGTTATTACCTGTTAATAATGTACTTGAAAAAACATTGCAGAAAGTCAGGACAGACAAAATTTGAAAGTGTGCGCACACTATTTGAAATTTGAACCTGTTTTACAACTTTTCACTCACGTTACAGAGAATGCACTCATTTTCAGCCAATCAGAAACACATAATTTTTTCATGTACATTATTACCAAGTTTATCATCTGGCAAGTTTTTGGGCTACATGATGGTTTTCATGTTGGTTTTTCTTTTTCGCCAACAGTATCTATGATATATTTCATTTCAGCATTCACCAATTCCTAACCGACATATTGTAGCCACATGGTCTGAGAGGGGCAAGGTTCACATCTGGGATATATCACAGCAGGTTATTTCAGTTGATAATCCATCCATATCTGCTGAAGCATCCCACTCAAAAGATATCAAGGCACTGTTTACATTTGATGGTCATCAGGTTAGTTTGACTGAAGATCTGTTTATTATTATAAATTGTACAATTTTGTATGTGGCCTTTAATTAATCATGAACAAAATATTTTTCATTGGTGTCAAGATTCACTCAATCAATTTGACTGTTTCTATTCTGTGATTGTACAATCTTCATTGCACAAGTTTTTGCAAAATTAATTTAAATCTCAATGCCTTTATTGATAAAAAAATCTGTATACCTCCTCTTTTGTTGAAGTATGTAGTCAGCTTCAGATATGGACACCTTTCCTGCTTTTTGAGTGTATGTAGGGTTTAGGGACCTAATGATACGTTATTTATCAAGTGTCCAGGGTAATATAGATAGCTGCAAGTCGTGTGTGATATCTTTAGGGTTTGTTGTTTAATATAGCTTACTTCACTTTTTTCCAGGTTGAAGGGTTTGCTCTGGACTGGTCCAAAACAGTTCCTGGAAGGTATGGCCAGGAAGCATTGCAATAACTCACTGACCTTGAAGGTTTTTTTTTTGTCATTGTAGCAAACAAATATGATCATTTGCAATATGAAACGGGAAAGTAGCAGCTTGTTCTCTGCTCAGTAAAGCCTCTGGGATATTTTATTATGCATGCCTGCCTTAAAGTATCCAAACCTAGACCATAAACAATTAGTCAAGAGCAACCTTGATCTCCCAAGGCCGGAGTTAGTCACATTAAAAGTATAGTCTTTACTAAGCAGTAACAATGTGTGGCTGTACACAGGCTAATTAAAAGCACGATACAATAATGTTTCAACGAAAATTGCTGGCAATTTTAAAATTCACCGGAGAGCTTATCAGAGTATTTACGATCTTACTTTCTTGCGTTAAATTTACATTCAATTGTTGATAATCTGTCTCCTCAAACAGACTAGCAACAGGAGATTGTAGGAAGAATATCCATCTTTGGTCACCTGTGGAGGGCGGTTCATGGCATGTTGACCAGAGACCTTACAGTGCGCATACAGACTCTGTTGAAGATATACAATGGAGTCCCAATGAACAGAATGTAAGACTTAACTGTGTGACTTACCGTAATTAGCTGAGATCAGGGAGCGCTTTTCGGTGTATTCATGTAAAACCAAAAGCTGTTAGCAGTTATCACAGCTTTCGACTAAAAGCTGTTTATGACGTAATATATCAAAAACGTGGGGGAGCGCTTCGTCACGGGTTACAAGGACCAGGAAATAGGAGGTGTTTGGTGTTTGGAACTCGTGATTAAGCACGAAGCCCGAGTTTTTGAGTTGTCTTCTTAAATGAAACAATAAGTATCATCAAACCAAAAATGATTTAAACATTAAGATCTAATCATTCGTATGATACAAGTTTCATTAGATTTAATTACGAACTTTTGCGTTTATAAGAACGAAACTCTTGTTTAGGGTCACGCCGACATTCTTTGTGCTTAACACAAAGAAAGGACGCCAAGTCCGTTTTCTGTAAACTTGGCTGTATTTTATTTGTATGCACTTGTAATGTCGTAATACACTGCTACTTCTTAGTTTTCATTTGATGTAATTTTCATGAGGTTTTCTTAAACATCGGCGAAAATCAAATCACTCTGGTTTCCCCGTGCGTAGACTGGTCAATCCTCGTGATATCAACATGTTTTATTTAATTTAACGGTTAACATAACGTTTGAGTTCCTTTTGCCGTATTCGTTCGCACTTCTAAGTTTCCAATAAACTACTGCAACTTAGTTTTCATTTGATGTAAGTTTCAAACGAGAGGCTAAACGTAGCGCCTGAGTCATATCGCCACTGGTGGCGATTTGACTCTCGGTGGTGGCGAGTTTGGTGGTGACGAATTTGTTGTGGTGGCAAATTTACCAAACCGAAGAAATAGTATAGAAAATACTACAAGAGGGCAATGGAGACTTGAAGTAAGAAAAGTATACCGCTTGAAGCGCAGGAATGCAGACTTTACTAATCATTATAGGTTGCCACTTCCCTAACCAATTAGCCTGCGAGCAAGCTGTCCAGAGGCTTCCGCCCGCATCCCACGAGAGAGCTTGCAAACAGGCTATGACCATTAAGGGAGCGCTTACTGACTTTTGTTAACGATTGCTAATTGCTCTAGCACGAAGTTAAATCCTAAAAGGAACCATAATATGTAGACGATAGGAAATACTGATAACCAAGTCGCAATTAATCGCGATTGGTCTGAGTTTTGTTTCTGATCGGTCATGAAGGTGGTGCTATTTTTTTCGTTTTTTTACCATATCAGAGCGTAGTGAGGTGAAGCTTATGCATTCCCATTATAATATGCGACACCAAACTGAAAGTTGCATTACACTGTATATTCGATGGGATACCTTGAGTTTTCATTTGATGTAAGTTTCAAAACGAGAGGCTTGACTTCTCTATTTTTGTTCTCTTATTTTTCGATTTTTTAGGTGTTTGCCTCATGTTCAGTGGACAAGACGGTAAGAATATGGGACGCAAGAGCAAAACCCACCAAAGCCTGCATGCTGACCACGCAGGCACATGACGCTGATGTGAATGTGATCTCTTGGAACAGGTCAGAGTCGACGCAATTGTCCTGGCTAAGCAAAAGGCACCAAACAAAACAAAGTACCAATAAGAACGCTAGTCTGAAGCACGTGACCCCGGTATTGTTTGTAATAAATTATACAGCGATCATTTCTGGCTTACTTTGCACACACAATTGATTATTGTTCAAAGAGTCAGTAGCCAATGAGTATTTTTTTACGACGTAGAGGGCAATGTCTTGTCGAGTAGAGATCTTTTCTTCATTGATAACAAATTATAATTGGTCGCTACGGCAACCTATAGAACAAAAAGGTGTTGTGATAAGTTCAAAAGCATGAAAGCTTTAAGTACCGAAAACTAGAGAAAATTGTTTGGAACTCATGCCTTTTGTCGTTGTTTACTCATTCTGAAAGTTGATAATACAAAGCGCGTACCGTTGTAAAACCAAAACAGGAAAAATAAAGACTTGTTAAAGATTCCTATCTGTATATTTTCTTTTCAGGAATGAACCGTTTATTGCTTCGGGAGGTGATGACGGTGTTTTAAAAGTTTGGGATCTCCGACAGTTCCAGAGGTAAAATTAACTTTACTCTAAAAGATTTTGTTCAATTACTCGCAAGATCTCCACGATCATTATTCAAATAAATTGCTCTAAATGCAATGAGTATGGTTATGAGGGTTTGGTCACTCAGCTCGTATAGGTCTGTCTATTACATGTGTCTGTTAATCACGTAGTTCAGCTGATCCAGGCGTTCAGTTGGTAAACCGAACCTCTCTCGTCTTTTCTCTCCTCTGCCACCATCACGCTGTTTAAGTTCGTTTACTATATTGCTCCGTTTTACTAAATGAACGCTTGATACCGACTATCCGCTTACTGTGAGATAATTTCCCTCAAAGGACTACTGTTGTGGAAAGATGTTTGTGACTGACGTTTTAAAAACCAAAAAACCAAAGAGAAAGTAATTATCCGAGAAAGTGACTTGACAGGTGTACGTTTCCTGTGTTACTGACATGGGGAACTTGTTTAACGATCTGGAGCCTCTTTATGTGGTGATCGTTTCCTTTATTCTCCTGAGCTTAATGTTTTATTCAGTGGTGATACTGTGAGGGGAAAGTAGATGCTTTAGTCACTCTTAGGAATTAAATGGTGAACAAGTCAACCATAACCCGGACGACCCTGTGTACGATCGAGTGTTTCTTTTGAACTAAAATCGTTTATTGCATTTTTCTTCATGTGTTTGTGTCTCCTCAGCGGTGTATCGGTAGCAATGTTCAAGCATCACACAGGTGCTATCACCTCAGTGGAATGGCATCCTACAGACAGTTCAGTGTTTGTGGCATCTGGCTCTGACGATCAGGTCACGCTATGGGACTTAGCTGTAGAAAGAGACAGCGAGGCTGACGGAAAAGGAAGGCAGTTAGATGTTCCACCGCAACTACTATTCATTCATATGGTAAGTGATGATGAGTGAAGTGTAAATTACTGAGGCTTGTTTTCTCCGTGCAAGCAGAATAATAATTGATCTTCATGCATGAGTATTATTCATTTTATTACGTCCATTTTGAAATCACTAGTGATCCTTGTAATTTGATTGGCTCTTATCGATGCAATTTATTCACGAATCGCACCATTATAAGCAGTAAATCGCATCTTTTTCCCAGCCCATGAGGATACTTTAATAAAATACAACAACCAATCGTTTATCTAGAGAAGCCAAATAATCAAATTTCAGGACAATGAAAAAAAACAACAAAAAAAAACTGTTGCAACTTTCTACAAACCAGCTCACCACTGGATTAACAAAATATTTGTCTGATTGACTGAGTTTTGTGATTTCAAAATGCATGTAATGAAGTGGTAATTGAACTTCGTGTCGTGCAATAGAGCCCTTCTGTCGTGCAATAGAGCCCTTCTGTCGTTTTACAATACTGTAAACTGCTGCTTATTACCCCTGGGCTTATACAACTTCGTAAACCTCTCATGACGGGTTTTAGGAGGGCTTATGGTTGAATGGGTATATACCCGATGGGGCTTATAACCTGAAAAGAATAGGGCTTCGAAACAAGCTATAGTAGTACTGATCAAAGTACGCTTTTCATTAACCCGGTGATGATAAATCAACTTCATTCCAATACATTTCGAACAGAAATAAAACTAAAAACACGAACAAAACTTTCCGACTTTTCCCTTGAAGTTCATTTGTGCTCTCCCATTATTAAAATTTAGGGTCTCGTTCACAGAAGAGTTCCCATCCCTCAAGACGAGGGGAGTTTACATCGAGGGTGGGGGGAAGGCTTAATATGTTCAGATGTTTTTTTTTTTTTTTGACAGGTAGATAGGCCTTTAACCGGAGGGGGGTTTAAGCGGTAGTTGTCGGTAGAGCACTCTTCAGTTGAGCGTCGCAAAGCCAGTTTCAAAACCAAACCAAAACAGTCACAAAAACTGATCGGAATAAAAAGAACGAGACGTATGAAAAAGCTTATGGGAACTTAAACTGAATTTGATACGTTTGTTTGGCGTCGAAAACGGATAACGCCCATAACTGAATAGCGATTGGCTAGTTGAGTGAAAGACATGATTTGTTAATGAAAGTGGCGCAATTCTACCAAACTAATCAACATCGTAATAAAGGGGGTTCTGTGGTGCTGCGTCGGTGGGAGAGTAAACAGGGTAATTAAGTATGGGCAACTGAGTTGTTAACGTAAATTGGCCACCGTAGAGAGTTTCCAAAGCTGACGTTTCGGGCGTCAGCTCTTCGCCAGAGCGAATGACAAAGGGCTAACGCTCGAAACGTCCGCTTTTTAAACTCTTTGCGGTGGCCAATTTGTTATCAACTCCATTGATAATACTCAATTACCTCAATCAACTTCGTACTCAGAGTGAAGCAAAGCCAATGCAGGCATGAATTACTTGCGAGAGACTTACCTTAGGGGAAAGGTATATCACAGATGTTCCTGGTAGCAGTGATTAGTGCCCTTAGGTTTTTTACTATTTAAATTTCAGGGCCAAAAGGATATTAAAGAGGTGCATTGGCATCACCAGCTTCCAGGTGTGTTAATAAGTACGGCTGAAAGTGGCTTCAATATCTTCAAGACCATTAGTGTCTAAAGCTAGCACGATCTCGTGTCCTTTGCTGTACTGTTGTGAACGAAAGGAACCTGTCTTAGTTTATGAGGATTGCTGGAAACTTACTTCCTGTTCAGACGAGGTATTCGGGCTGGGCTTTGTTCTGACTGAAAACTGGAACTTCCTTCAATATCAGTGATAGAACCACCTTTGTCAATGGAACTAGCATTTGCAGGGTTGTCAATAACTTTTTCCATAAGCGGCTGACGATGGTTTTATGGGCTGCTGTGCCCGAATAGGGGTCGTAAGGCAAAACCCAAGTACGAGCCAGCTCACAGGCTCAACAGATGGCGGTAAGGTCTGATGGGCGGCGGTAGACCAGCGGTAACCCGCTTTTGATGAAAGCTCTGTTTATGTCCACTTTATCAGAGTCTACAAGCTTCGATCTCTATTTGGACAGGCTGTCAAAATCGTAAGGCAATTTTTAAGGGACCTACAGAGGTTTCCTTGTTTGGATACATAATCAATGAAAACTTCCACAGGAGATTGACGTGTCTGTGAGAGGGCATCCAAATTTTTTTATAATTTTTTTAGCTTAGTTGAAACTTCTTGTAGGTTTCTCGTAGTTAAGGTTTCACGACGTCAAGCATAGATAAACCAGTCGCAAAGTGCAAACCTGCCGTGAATTGCATTTGATTTTTTACCAACTTAAGTGCTATTTTGAAGAAAGGACTTCACAATTGCCAGCTCTCATCAACAGTTTTAAGATGTGTATGAAGTTTTTTCTTATAATTTGCTTGTCTCATTATGAATACAAAACTGCTGTATAGAATGACACAAATTAAAAATATTGAAATTGATTAAGAGATATTTGTGATTTTTGCATTTTTATACCAAGGGCAAAGAGAAAAGAATGGGGTAAAATTCCAGTGACTAAATACCTTGAAATATATATCATACATTAACTGGCTACCAGGCTGGTTTCTAGAGTGTGAACTTAATTATTCCTTGAGAAGGCATTGGATATGAGATGGTAAATAGTGCCAAGGTGGCTGTAAACAGTTTCATATCCAACAAGTGAGAATGGAATAATTGTTTTTTAACTGAATTTCATTACTTGTAAATCCTGAATGTTTGGATATTTGGAGCCCTTTTACAGCTGCACAACAGTTGGCACAATGTATTTCCATATGAGGTGACTTGGAATATGAGCTGGTAACTGGAGTTGAGAGAACCAATCAAAACATAGAAATTTGATATTTGGAGTTGAAAATTCAATGAAAAAGGTTATCCTGTTCTTGAGATGAATAGAAACAACAAATTGTTATTTAATATAAATTATGACTCTTCAATACAAAAAAGAGGACAAAATTACTGGGGTGATTTTACAGCAAGCAATGACAAAATCATCAGACAAAGAAAGCATGCACAACTTAATAATAATTTCTCAGTAAAAACTCCAAGCTCAGAATTACAAAGTAACTTAACTTGCATTCTCCATGATGTAATTTTCATTTTTACAAAACTTCACACCATCAGACTACCAAAATATTACCACTTGTGCAATCTTTGCTGAAATATTGTATTCATATACATTCCTCACATAAGCTTGGAAAACATTTACCTCATAAAAAAAATTTTAAAAAAAACTAGAGAGACCCACTAGACAGCAAACAGAGCAGAGCTGGCTGTAAGTTTTGAAGCAGCCATTACCTGAGGATTTTCACCCACAGCAGTGTAAAATGTGGTGAGGTGTAACATGACGGCAATTGACGTAACATTAACAGTAACATTAAGGGTACAGCCCTTATTGACAGTCCTGCCAAGTATAACAACTTTCAAAATCTCAAATCACTGGCATACATTCATGAAGAGAGATGAGAGCCTGTTCTTTGATTCCAGTTATATCCAAAAAAGGACTTTTCCAATCCAGATCTGATCTCACCACTAACGAGTCAGCTGCATTTGGCATAATTTATCTTTTAGAAGTGCAAAATATGCAACTGAACATCACTCATGATTGACACAATCTAGTTAATGTGGTTTTTTGTTATGAATGTACAATACACTGAAAGTGATAAGGAGGCTATAGCTGCAGGCTTACCACTTGTTATCAAAACCACTATATGTCAACTAAGTTACCACAAGTTACATAGCTATAAAATAGAAAAGATTGTCCTATTACTACATTTAGACGCAGCTTAGGAGTATATTGTCAGAACAAAATCACTTTTATTTTTAATTAATAAGTGAGCCCATTAAGCTAAAAACAAGGTAAATGCACCTTTTTGGGTCATACACCCTCTTACAATTTCATGGCGAGATATGACATGGTTCAGGAGGTCATCTCATCTTTTCACGTTTGAAAAAGCCAGATTCACTATCCTCTCAGAATACAAATGTATTTGACAGCTTAAATCATTTGAGAAAACAGGCCATTTAACAGTTTGTCAGTCTAATTCTTCAACCCCTTAGGCACTTCATTACTCAACTTGATTAATATTTATTGCTTGTCAATTTACACCTGCACCTGTAGTACAGTATTCAAATACCAAATACCCCAAAGAAGTTTGGGGTAAATATAATAGAACTATTGCCAAATTATAACTACCAGCTTTAAAAGAAGTGACAGGCAATTAGTTACTGAGAAAGACAAAATAATTGATACAAGGAATACTTATATTAAATTGTCCTTTTCCGCACTAAACATTATAAAGATCTATGGCATTATAAAGATCTATGGTTCTCAGGACTATCAAACTTGGGGTCAGACCACTTCCTCCTTGCAAAACATTATCTCCACACTATTAGCTGTTGATAAACTATCGTTTACCTTATCTAAAGCTCTATATTACAGAGACAAGAGAGAGAACTGATTGATAATGCAAACCACAGTTTGCACATGATAAACTCTATGATCCCCCTCCACCACAACAACCACTACTGCTCTGTCGCTGGGGTTGTTCATCAACTATTACCACATTCTTCCGCCTGCCATTTCCTCTGTCAGGTATTCCATCACGATTGCCCTCATTTTTTTCTTGTCTCTCCAACATTTCTTTGAGGAAAAAACCGTAACAAATACCACTTGCAATGTGCGCATGATGCAATCACTCAAGTTAAGTTAACTGTTCATTAACAGTCTACAACCACAGGTATGGTGCAAGAACTTTTTTCCCCAGGCATTTGACAAACTCATGACAAATTCCAATTCCACTAAACTTTACGTATTTCTTTTTTTAAAGTGGGTAACATTAAAGGAGAGGTTTTCATGTTTTTAGTAAGGATAAATACCAGGGAGGCAAGAATTAACCAAAATGGAACAAAAAAAGGTGACAGATGGAGAAGAACAACACATTTTTTTGGTTACAATTTTCCAGATACACAAACCACCTGAAAAAGTAGCAAACTATATGTGAATATTTTTAGGGAGGAATTCATCATATGGCTAGAAATTAAAGTACAAAATAACACTTACGCTTTGCAAGCTCAAAGAACATTTCTTCTACACCTTTGTTAAGTTTTGCTGATGTATGGAAGTGCTTTGCCCCTACTGTCTTGGCATACCTGGAATTATAATGATTGAAGATCTGTGATTTACAATATACCTGTTTATCATGATCTAAGACAAAATTATTACAAGCTCACTTTCAGTTTCTTTGATTACTCTCCTGTTCTTGGCTATTTTTTTAAAGTTACAAAGGGTTTCCACCCCCTTCATGTGCATTTTGAAGGTGCTGATATATTAATAATATTGTGTAGCATCCTTGAGTAGCTAAAAGTTACTGACAAGGAACCTTGCTGTGTGTTGCCATGAACATTTTATGTTTCAGAAGCTAGTTGTGTCTAGTATCCCTTCCCCTGATCAAATGCTTGGCAACTAAGCTATAAGAAACCCAAGGAACCAAAAAATATTTTCTGCTTTTTTCTTTACCACTTGATTTAAAATCTGACAGGAATGAAAAAAGTACTGGTTGAACAATACCAGTCTGAGAGTTTAAAAAAAAAAACTAAAGTCTAAGTCAGTGGACATGATGTCCCTACTAATACAGCTAAAGTTATAAGCTATGATACAAAGTGTTATCTGTGTTCAATGTTAGTGATGTAACCCAAATAAAAAGCAACCCTCTTAAAACTCCACCTTCCAAACATGGGGTGTGGCTTATCTGCTGGTGCAGCTTATATACTGGTGTCTACAGTATCCTAAATTTTGACTCTTAGAAGGTAACAAAAGCAGTAAAGAGTTTTAAGATAACAGACTTACGCTTCTGCCTCTGATGCCTCCACATGTCTGTCTTTTTCGAGGTCAATTTTGTTTCCTATTGTAAAGATAATGATCAAATATCAATATAGGGTACATCAAGAGAGGTGATATCTATCTCAACACACAAAACTACAAGTAGACATTATTACCTGCTATGCAGAGTGCAATATCTTCTCCCAACATTTTCTTAAGTTCCTTGACCCAGTTTTTCACCTGTTTATCATACAAAAGATATACAACTGAATTATTAATTTATAAATGCTACAACATTCATTACACTGTGCATTTGTAACAGTCAAGTAACATCATAACTTTTATTACCTTGAAAAAGGAATCTTCATCTGTTATATCATAAACTAGAATTGCACCATTGCTGCAAAAATGAAAAAAAAAACCAACTTAGAAATAATCAGTTCAGATCAGCCCAATTATAGCTTTACGATGATATAACGGTCTGAGTTATATATGCATTCCAATTTGTTCTTATGATCTATTAAAGGAAATACACATAAATGATTTTGACATGCTCTGTGGTCTACTTGACACCAGACACCTCACAACAATACTTGGTAGCTACTTTTATATAAAGCACACAACAGAAAACTCCAAAAGTATGTTGACTCCCTACCTATCTCTGTAATAAATTGGTCCTAAAGCATGAAATCTTTCCTGGCCTGCTGTGTCCTATAGATAGATAAATATATGAATGAGAAATTGATTTAAGATAACAGGGCATTATGTTATGACATTCCAACACTCAAAAATTATAAAATATTGTAGTCTGAAGCCTATTCTTGTCTAGGACTCAGTCTCTACTTTTAAGTTTTCTCTGGAGTTTTGGAATAACTGGAAATTTCCTTATAAACTTACAACAATTAAATCAATTGAATCAATTCATAGCTATGCCAACTCCTTTTATCAACAGGTAGTGTGTTAACTTTGAATCAATATACTCACCCATATTGCAATGTTCACTCTTTGCCCATCTATATTTAATCTTTTATTCAAGAATGATGCCTTGAAAGAAACAATGAGACAATATTTCACTTCAGTTATTAATATGCATACCAACAAAAAGGTTTATCACATGTGCCAAGTTTTGTTCTGAAGATGAAAGCATTTAATAACTATTATAACATGGTCTTGATAGTCTCATTATCTAGGTGAGAGAAGGCTTTATTGTAAATCAGCTCTAATTTTTTGGTTTTGATCCGTGAGTAATGTTAGGTCCTTCAGTTTGGTAAGTTTGAGTAAATGTTGTGAACTGGTTGGACATAAGTTGAGGGGGGTTGGTTTTAAGTTAATGAACGTGCTTTCAAAAGTAAGACGTTTTAAAGTTCCCCATTGTATAGGTGAAACATTGTCCAACAACCCAGTCTGTGGTGTGGTTTGTGACTCAATGGTGTTCAGCAATTTGGTTGCTCATGTTGCAATTTTAAGGGAACAATAAATAGTGATGTCAACAAGCAGTGAATAATCACTGCGCCCTAGACCCACAATGTGTCCAAACAGCATGGTACCTCCTGTGTCCTGGTTTTTCATTGCTCACCCCTTTAAATAAGCTACATGTACTTCTACTGTCCAAATTAAAAGGACTGTAAGTTGAAAGTGTGACATCTGCTCAAAGACTTGCTTTAATTATTCAAAATTTTTTCACAAATGTTTACATGTCTGAAGTGTTTTAAGAGGTTAGCCTCTGTCTGCAGAGAAAATTCCAGAAGTTTTCAAACATGTTTACAACATACATATTCAAATACTCTCAAAATGAAGTTGTTCACAGTTATTTCCCAATGGTTTTATTATCAAAGAGAAAGTAAAGGAAATCACCTATTGGTGCAAAATATCCCTTACATTCCTAAATGAAGAATACTAAGGTAGCCAGGTAAATTAGTAGTCTCTTGTTCTGTCCTAACTCGATGTAAGTCTATACATAACATGCACATTCACATCCGGTTGTTTTTCGGTTTTGTTGTTGCAATTTCTTTTGAATAGATCAAAGCAAGCTCCAACATATAAATCCCTTAGTTGTAACTAAATTAACTTTTGGTTGGAATGTTTTATGAAATGTAAGGAACTAATCGCATTTACGTAAGCATCTGTTTTAGAATTATACGTTTTGTACGAAGTAATAAAGGAGTAACTTCAGCACAAAGTTGTCGATCATCCTTTATTTCACACAAATTTCAATTTCATGATATGTCCAAATAATCTAATACTCTCAATTACCTAAATATTTCTTAAACTGATACATCAACACCTTAACTCATCATAAACACAGAAGACATTGTCCATTCAGTACTGATATCGGGAATCGTATGAAGAAATGGGCCGGTCTCCAGTCTGACTGGAAAGAGCTATGATATGATAAGTTAAGTAACTCTTTAATTTATGCCCTTTTTCCAAATCTTATATACTGTATCATGTGATGGCTCTGGGCCAGGTTTACGACTCACGTAACACAAAAAGTTACCTACTTGTAAGGTAGTTAAATGCTTATCGTTGAACTTGTCTTGTACGTATCGGAGCATAAGGGACGTCTTACCAACGCAGCCCTCCCCTAGCAAAACCACTTTGAATTGGTTTTTACGCGACGCTGAAGCCATTCCCACGATCTGTGATCTCGTTGAAACCTAAATCTTGATCAGAAGTAAGAAAAAACGGTATTTTATGCTCCTCTACTTGGATTTACAGTTAAGTTCCGGACTCCATTTTCAATCTTACAACACCGACAAGTACCGAAATTATCCTCGTGACACTGACGTCAACTAATCGTAGTTTGCGGAAGTATCGTCGGAAAAACTCGGGGACACTCCGTAACTCTTCGGGGCCTCGTTGGTACACTCCAATTCAGCCTAAGTGAAGAAAAATGTAAATGCAACTGTTCGCTTGTTTAACGCAGGCTCAACAGCGTTGGAAACTTCAAATTTTTACAGAAGCCACACGTGCTTGTGTAAAATTGTACAAAAATGGTAATTCTCTTTTATTTCATTGACTCTCATCTGCACTCAAAGTGAGGAAATTTAATTGATTATTCTTGTGCACGACTTTTTATATTTCAGGTCTCCCTCAACCCAGTTCAGATTCTTAACCAAGGTGCCGAAGAGGAAAGAGCCGAAACAGCTCGTCTTGTAAGCACAGAAAACATTTTAATTTATGATTTGTCTTTCTTGTTTTAAATTATTCGCCAAACGTACTCAAGTTTTTCTATGTGGCTGCTAATTTGCTGTCCAGTGTATATATATTTGTTTTAAATCACAAATCTTACAAGATTGCGTTTGATAATTGTTTCCTCTCGCATGAAGCCAGAAATCTGTCAAATCAAATGTGTTGGCACACCCAGCGTTTGATGACTTACAATCGTGTTGACTAGTGGATGCAGTAGCACATTGTATACATTTTCTTTGATTATTTTCAGTCGTCATTTGTTGGTGCTATAGCTATTGGAGATCTCGTCAAGAGCACTCTTGGTCCGAAAGGAATGGTAGAGTATACTACATGCTTTTGCAATCTGTGTTCTCTCATGCTTATAACTTGATCATAGAGTTATTCTCTTCTTGTTACCACAAGTTGTAAATTTGCTCCATCTCATTGTAATGAACAAACTTTTAAACAGAGACGAACAGTTGTGACATGCGATCTTGTGAAAATATTATCCATAAGTGAGCGCCCTAAAGCCTGGAAATCTTTCACTTTTGTATTGGTTGCTTTTCCAGTTCCACTCTTTGTATTTCGGCATTAACCTCTAAAAAAACCCTCTCAATTTTCAGGTTAAAAATGTATTACAATAAAGGATGTTGTTATTTCTCTGTTGGTTGGTGTTAATCAGTTTGGAGCTCACAAATTATTTGTGAGACAATTAATGTGACATTTCAGCTTAAATGGTTGGAAAGAAACACTATGTTACGTCCTTTGTACCATACATGCTATGTTTTGTGGATTTTGCTAGTTATTCTTGGCTTTAATTGTGTTTGATTTACTTCTCAGGACAAAATTCTACAGTCGTTTAGCAAGGCTGAAGAAATTCAGGTTACAAATGATGGAGCAACAATCCTAAAATCCATTGGAGTTGATAATCCAGCTGCAAAAATTCTTGTGGGTAAGTGAGGTAGTTCTATAATAAACTTATTCAAGAAGGTTGTAGCTTTAAAAATTTATATGATATCATAAGACAGAAACAACTGTCTGACCCCTTGCATGGCAAACACTCAATTGGGCATAATAGCGGAGCTCGCAGAGCATAGCCCCATAATTATACAAAATAGTAGTAACCCATCAAGCCAAAAAGATTCGGATGTACAACCATACGACCGTAAGACCTTACAACTGCACAAGATGCTACTTTTAACATGTGTGGTCAACTGTACCATGGGCACGCTAATGCCACAGCTTTGTTCAGTAGTTCAGTGGTCAGTGCACTGGGCTCCAAGTTGGACGACCCGGGTTCTAGTCCTGGCCGGGGCAAGGTGTTGTGTCCTTGAGATGTGTGGGAAAAAAAATGCGAGCTCTGCTTTTAGGTTTGGCTAAATCTATATATTACTGAATTTGAATATAAAGAGTGGCTCATCTGTTCAGAGAAGACAAGTGACCTGACCCAAACCCACAACTAAGGAGGAATGAGGGGTTCTACTATTGCCAGATGATAGAATACCTTTCCACAGCATTGCAATCCAGACAGTGTACTTTTTGCAAGTAGTCTTTCTTGTTTCCTTTGTTCTCCATTTAATTAGAGTTATCAAAAGTTCAAGACAATGAAGTTGGGGATGGCACAACAAGTGTGACAGTACTAGCTTGTGAATTGCTGCGGGTATGGTGTGCAAGTATTAAATGTTATAAGTAACTGAGGTCTTGAATCAGATAAGGTGATCTAAATTAAAATAATTGTGAACAGAGACAACATTATGCCCTGTTAGATTGACTCTTGTCATTACATTGTAACAAAGATGGTATGAATGACCAACTATCTTACAAACAAGTTTATGAGCACTGCCCTTATAGATTGAAGTTTTAGAATTACTATTCTTTGTTTCCAACAAATATATGTTTTGATATATTTGATTAGAAAAATACAAAAACAACAATAGTAATGATGACAAAGACTATTCAGTTTTCTTCTCACATTGGTGTCACTGAAATGTAAATTTTGCAACATTGTACTAATATTTGGCCTGTGTTCTATATCAGGAGGCTGAAAAACTTGTGTCATGTAAAGTACATCCCCAGATTATTGTGTCTGGTTGGCGGAAAGCTGTACAAGTTGCTCAGAAGGCCTTGGAGGCTGCAGCTGTTGATCACAGCAGTGATGAGCAAAAATTTAAAGAGGACTTGATGAATATTGCAAGAACAACACTTAGCTCAAAAATTTTGGTGCAACATCGAGATCATTTTGCAACTCTTGCTGTTGAGGCAGTGTTAAGACTTAAGGTAAAATCAATTCTACAGATATGTCGCAATGAATTCATAGATGTAGCTGGTACTTCCAATTTTGATTAAGGCATTTTTGTCATTGATTGGGTCATCACTTTAACATGAAGTTGTAAGTATATCTGTGTGAAATGAAAACTCTGTGTAAACTTCAATCAAATTGAATGGTTAGGATTAACCCTTAACTCCCATGGGTGACCAAGACAGATTTTCTCCTTACAATAACAATACAATCTCAATCAAACAGGTGAGGAGAATAAAGAAAAATTTAAAATTTTGAGGATTTCTAGTTGATCCAGTACCAAATTCTCAGGACTAGCATCATAAGAATTGCATGGCACACAGTAAGGAGTATTACTAATGAGATCTTGGGTGTTAATGGGTTAAGAGTTCCAAATGGTAGGAAGTTAAAAAGCTGGCAATGACCAGTCAACCAATCAGATGCCTTAATGGTTTTTGCCAGGGGATACCAGATTGTAGGGATGCCAGATTGTAACAGTTGTTACGTGTCATGTTTCATAATTTATACTAGTAAAGTATATTGAGTGACAAGCATAGTTAACTTGTACTGGGACTGTAGTAAATTGGTTGGTCATGATAAGATAATTGTTAATGATTTGTCTAGGATTTCTTGTCAGTGTTCATTGATTAGTGATAAAATTTGAAACATATGGTTTGATGTAGACAGAAGTCTGGTTTTTCTCTAAATTTCAGGGCAGTGGAAACTTGGATGCCATTCAGATCATCAAAAAACTTGGTGGAAACCTGGTTGACTCATACTTGGATGAAGGTATGTAGTAGTCAATAGCATGCCAATCTTGATAAGTGATGATAATTTTTTGAATGAATCAAAGGTTTTTGAAAATAAAAATTCACGCTTTTTACTATCATAACAGGATTTTTGCTTGACAAGAAGATTGGTGTAAATCAACCAAAAAGAATAGAAAATGCAAAGATCCTCATTGCAAACACTTCAATGGATGCAGATAAAATCAAGGTGAGTTATGGAACAATGTATGCTCGATGACCTTTTATAGAGAGGTTTTTCTTTGGTTGGGCCAATCTCTTATGTGAATATTATAGTTTCTAGATGCATAGACTAACTTTTAGTTGTCTTTCAAAAGGTATTTGGTTCCCGAGTGAGGGTAGAATCAACTGCAAAGCTAGAAGAACTAGAGCTTGCAGAAAAGGTTAGTTTTTTCGTTTGGTGGTTCAGTTTTAGCATGGAAGACTTACGTAGTCTTTCTGTGTGCTATGTACTCTCTTTTTTCAAAGTTTATTACATTTTGTCAAAATATTTATAAAAATAAATTTAATTGGGAATTGATTAGTTGTCATGTTGCAATTTTCTCCTCAGCATAAGATGAAAGAAAAAGTGGACATGATTCTTAAGCACGATATTTCTTGTTTTATTAATAGGTGAGTGTTGAAGTTTTTGCATGCATGGGTATACACATGTACAAAATTACATGTATGGGTGGTTTTTTTTTTTTGGATCGTTAATTCAAGTAAAATGCAAAACTGTTACTAACAGTTGATAAGTGGTATGGGAGATGAACTTACTGAGTTTTCTTTTTCTTAGACAACTTATCTATAACTATCCAGAGCAGTTATTTGCTGATGCTGGTGTCATGGCAATTGAACATGCTGATTTTGAAGGTGTTGAGAGATTAGCTTTGGTATTAGGTAGGTAAACCTTAATAATTTTCTTCATTAAACTTATACTGCTTCACTTGTGCTGTACCTGAAAACTGTAGAGGTCAATTCATAAATTGTTGATAAAATTCAATCAGCTATTTATATTTTTAGGTGGAGAAATTGTATCAACATTTGGCCGTCCAGAGCTTGTGAAACTTGGGGAATGTAAAGTGATTGAAGAGGTTATGATCGGTGAAGACCAGGTAAGATTTCACTGTTTGGTTTTTAGTTGGAAGGATTCACTTTTTACTGCAGTCTTCTGAAATATATCAAGTGATGTTGATCATTTACTTCTGGAAAAAATAAGGCAAATGGATGTCACCCATGATGCCAGAACTAAATGGACCATTAGCACTCACTACAAATAATTAACCCGTAGCATATATTGAGTAATCCACTAACTGTTGTGATACATCTTGCCTTTAAACTCACCAACTTGCTCATCAAACTAACTACTGTACATTTGACTATGAAAAACACATTTTTACTCAACCACTCATTTGATTCCTTTGGGTTTTTTTATAACTATTTTTGCCAGCTAGTAAAAGAACCTTCTTTAGGTTCCTCTGTACCCAACCAATTAAAATGAACCTCTCTGTAGTTGGAGAAATGAGTATGTCAATCAAGGCTGACAAAAGGTGGACTCTACAGTTAGTAGTTTTGTTCAGGAAAAAAAAAAGGAAGAAGATGATTAGCATTATGCCTGAGATCTGTTCTCTCTACTAAATTATTTTGATATTGTATGTTTATTGTAGTTGCTTCATTTTTCTGGCTGTAAGCTTAATGAGGCCTGCACCATAGTAATCAGAGGTGCCACACAGCAGATCCTGGATGAAGCAGATCGGTCACTTCATGATGCACTGTGTGTTCTCACTCAAACTGTCAAGGAAACAAGAACAGTGTGTGGAGGAGGTAGGATTAGTCAAGTCCTACATCTTCAGTGGAAGCTCTTTGTTACAATGGCTTCTTACCAGTGTAAACTAGTCAGTCCCATCAATGTTAATTTATAATTGTAATAGGACCCAGTGGAGTATAATTTATGATTACAGACAGAATTGGACGACATGAAGTCCTGTTACCAATTAATCAAAACTATGACAAAATTTGAGGAAGAAACTAGACACCAGTTTCATAAAACAACAGTTAACTCGGCAAAATGTGAGACAATAGTGCGCACACATGACACGTTCTGTCCACTTACACAAGCATGACGTGTTAATTGTCCCTTTAACTGTCATTTTACACGGTCCAATTACAAGCATGATGCCTACACTGTCTTATTGGTGCAGAAATTGGGCTGATGAACAATCACGTTCAAGAATTTTGTTATAGTTTTGATTGTATTAATAATAGCAACATCTTGAAATGCTGAAAATAGAGATGGTTACCCTTCACTGTTTTTGCTTATGGTAATGGTTGTGTTTCTTAGCAGAGCTAACTTGTAAATGTCCATCTTGGTTTGTGTATCTTGAAAAATACTAGCCATATATTCAGTCTTTACAATTAATTGTTGACCCCTCTCCTGCCTGACCTGTTAGGTGCCTCAGAAATGTTGATGGCCAATGCAGTTTCACAGCTTGCTGCAAAGACTCCTGGTAAAGAAGCTGCGGCTATGGAAGCTTTTGCAGCTGCATTGAGACAGGTACATTAGATATACTTGAGTATAGGTTAATAAAAACTGTACAAGCTGCAAAATAATTCAAAATATACACACTCCACAATGAAGTCTATTCAAGGTACTCAGGTAGAAAGGGGTGCAAGTAAGGGAATTACGTGGGGGTGGGGGGAACAAAGGGACGCTTCTGTTCTATAGACTGTTAGGGTGTCACATAGAATTATTAATTACTTTCTTGAAAACAAAAAGCGATCCGAGATCCAACAAGATTCAATGGTGCTATTTAGTGCTATGGATGAAAGCATGCCAGCAATTATGTTAAAGAATGGCGAAGCAATCACTAGTGTCTTGTCATCAAAGCGCTTCAAAAAGCAATGTATGACCGTTATAAAAGTGATATAGATGTCATTGTTATCAAATTGGTCATTTTACATTACCTCGGTAGGTGTAGTCGCCCTGTAATATCACATCTAATTACATTAATGTAATGGGCAATGTGATCTTTACATTAAGTGATTTGTAGAATCAAGATGTATTGTTCTGTTTAACATATTAGCTGCCCACCGTGATAGCTGACAATGCAGGCTATGACAGTGCTGATTTGGTGGCAAAACTTCGAGCAGCTCACACAGAAGGAAAGAAAACCTATGGTTTGGGTAAGTATTACTTGCTTCTCTTGAAACGCTCGATAATACTTGTATTTTTCCTCTCAGTATTGCAATCTCCATATATGTCAAGTGCCTTATTTTTGTTCAAGTTCCCTTATCCACCTATGGTGGGCCAGTCATTGAACTCCCTTCAGTAATATTTACTCTTTCCCCTTTGTAGTTGGACTCAACTGACTGATTGGTAACCTGAAGATTCAAGTTCCTACTAATTTAGCTATAGAGATGGAAGGGTTTTTTTCTTCTAAGCATGATAGTGATGACTGAAAATATTATTGTAGAATTAGGATGTTTGAAATAACAGATATCGCCTTAATGTATGTTTGGTGCCTTAATAAGTTAAAAAAAACACCGCGGATTGCGGAATAATCATGTTGCGAACGTAACCTTAGCTTCGTCATTTGAAAATGACAAACAACAACCAGTAATTTCATTAACTCATACTTAAACTGGGATGCATTTCATCTCGAGTGGAGCAGAATTGTTGAAGAACGAAAGAACAGAGTTTAAGAAACTTACTTTTATTGTGTTCAGACATGACTCAGGGCAGTATTGGGGACATGGCTGAGATGGGTATCACTGAGTCCTACCAGGTCAAGAAACAAGTCCTGGCGTCAGCAGCAGAAGCAGCCGAAATGATTGTTAGGGTTGACAACATCGTCAAAGCCGCTCCACGGTAATAACCTGTCCCATTTCTCCGTTTTTACCTCATTAGTAATAACTGAATACTATCGATATGTTTCCAGGTCATGCAAATTTGTGACCGAGCTGACGTTTTCTGTCTTCCTAAGCTTGAACTGTCACGTTTAGCGCTGACTACGGATTACCTCAATTAACGTAACATCATGAGTTCGATCATTTCAGTTAGTGAATTGTTGGATTTAAAGTGTTGGGACATAACGATGACTTGGGCGAGTAACAGACGGTACATCTGAGTTTATCACGTTTTCATGTGGATTTTCTTTCTTTATTCACAGACCCAGGAGAGATGACCACCCTCACCCATAGATATTGCGCTAACGAAGCGTTTAAATTCCCCTTGACAGTGATGGACTAAACTATACTTGTTTGAGCACACGATGATTCTGTTTTTAAATGGTGTCAGTTTGCGACAATGCTGCATCACCATGTTGAATGTGGGCACAAATGCTCACTACTCGAAACGAACGGCATGGAAAGGAGAGACATTTTTAGTGGATTGAGTTTCTTTAATATTATTTCTCCTTCTGTGTGAAAGATTCTTTTTTTACCATATATGAATCATATCACAACATAACCAGCTCACTTTCAAATTAGCATGCTCCCTGGTTGCCTCTTCACAAAGCAAAATAGAATACAAAGCAATAAAAGAAAAATAAAAGAATATTCAGTGTGTCTAATGGTGGAGATTGTTGTAGTAAATGACCCTCCACCACCATACTGTGGGCATGCGGTGCCTTAAAACAGCCGGTTTTTTTTTTTTTTTTTTTTTTTTTTTTCAAAAGTTTGGCTTGCTTCCTGCGAGTCAGCGTAGTGACCGACAGCTGTGGAGCACGCATTTTGTACAGTGCGGTGAAAAATCCGCATAATCCTTTCATAGTCCGTCCATGTTTGACTCGTTGGATAATTAATCACAAAAATGGAGGTAAATATCACTGACTCTGAGGTGAATAATTGATTCAGTTTAGACTACATGGAGACCAAACGATTAGTGTCTGTTGGTCATAACATTGAAGCATATTCGGAAATTGACTGTTAAACCCATAAGAGTGATAAGCATCTAGTTTCTCCATACACCACCACTCCTGAATCAAATGTAAAGGTCTCGAGAATGAAGGTAACGATCGCGATCTCGGGAAGCTCTTGACCGTTAGACGAATTCTCGAGAGTACCTCGGGTAACTTGCATTCTGATGTTAAGATGCAATGGGTAACACACTTGACCCAAGATTTTGTTTTCGGTTGCTCTGAGGGTGAACGGTCCTTGCCAATCACTTACGAATAAGCCAATCAGCGAGCGCAAAAAGTACTATTCACTGACAAAGTTTAGACATATCTAAGGGCCTGTTTACATGGAGGTGGGGGACCCCAGGTAGGTGAGGTAACCCTGTCCATATAATTTCTTATTTTATCCTGATCTCATTTACATGATAGGTGGGGTGACCCGCTTAGGCGGGTTGCCCGGTCTACCAGGTAGGGTAACCTATCAGCCGGGGTGACAATTTGCCATGTAAACGTCTCAAGGTGGGGTAACCCGCCTAGCCGGGGTCGCGCTCATGGCAAAAAGCTCAAAAGCGAAACATGTATGTTCTAAAACTTTGTACATTTCGTAGCCGTCTCATAGCAGAAATCACCATAAACTGCAACGGACACACAAGGAGTGTAAAATGTTCACATTTCGGAATATTTAGCGTTGTAAATCGACCATATTTGGTTTCCCAAACTATTCCGTATAACGTATTAAGTCAACGGTTCCTCGCGAAACCAAACACCGCGTAACACACCACATTTGAACATTTTACACTCCTTGTGTGTCCGTTGCGGTTTCTGGTGATTTCTGCTATGAGACGGCTAGGAAATGCACATTTTTAAAATATACGTGTTTAGCTTTTGAGCTTTTTGCCATGAATGCGACCCCGGCTAGGCGGGTTACCCCACCTTGAGACGTTTACATGGCAAATTGTCACCCCGGTTGACAGGGTTACCCCACCTGGCAGACCGGGTAACCCGCCAAGGCGGGTTACCCCACCTATCATGTAAACGTGATCAAGATAAAATAAGAAATTATATGGAAAGGCGGGTTACCCCACCTAAGCGGGTTACCTCACCTACCTGGGGTCCTCCGCCTCCGTGTAAACAGGCCCTTAATTGCAAGCGCAACAACAACCTCAAGAAACCTTACCCCAGCACCCCGGGGTTGTAAGATTGCATGTAAACGCTTTTTTATTTTTCGAACACGGCTAGGCGGGTTACCTCACCTACCTTGGGTCCCCCACCTCCATGTTAACAGGCCCTAAGATGTATTGCGGCACCAGCTCGGTTTTAGGGGGCATAGCCCCGAGCTCTATCGCTGGTTCTTTTTAAAACGAAGTGTATCGAAACTTCACTTAGCCCTTCAAATTATTTCTCCTCTCTCAGCTAAACTTTTCAGATGAGATGTCTTAAAACAAAAGAAGAGAAGAAACTTACACTGAGAGCTGGACTGTAAAGTTGCCGGTTTCAATTGAGATACAGACTTTGATGTTTGACCCTATTTACATTTTAATTTAAATGTGATATAGAGTATATATAATTTAATACATTGGTAATATCTTGATAAAATTCTCGAATTTCAAAATCTGTGTTTGAGACATGAAGGGGAGACTAAGATTTTTAAGCGTTAACTGAACATGCGTGGATATGTCAACTGTAGGCCAGGTGCAGTCTCGATGATTCCGTACTGCTTAGATATATTCTCGTCCTTTGCATGACAATAGGCCAACAAAGATTGTGCATTAAGTTTGCACTGATGGCTTTGATGGTCAAGTATTTCATTTTCCTCTTGACAATTCAGAATATGACCTACTTCCTCGCTTGTTTTTCGAATTCCCTGAGTAAGAAGCTCCCTCTAGACGAGGAATTTGCGCGAGGCCAGCTATCTGCTAAAGAATTCCTGTGATTTAAAGTTGAATGTTGTCCTTTTTACTTTATTGTTCCTCATTAATCCTTCAAGTTTGTTTTGTTATTCCTTCTGAGATGATGTTTCGCCGCTTTCGTCTTCGATCTTTGAAGAATTCTTTTTGTCAAGAGCTTTGATTGTCTACTGTTCGCACACTTGCTACATTTTTTGTGGTTCTTGTACCAGCATCTGTGTTGTCGAGAAATAGACGACTTCTTTAATTAAAATTATTGCAACGCGTTTTCAAAATACAAAGGACTTCGACGAAGTTGATTTTAAATCAGCCGGCACCACAACTTGTAGTACAAGGGCTGAGTCACTCAAATAGTGGTGAACATTTTAGAACGAGACCGTCCTCGACCAAAGAGAAAATTCTTATTCTAAAGAAACGTGATAACAATAATAATAATAATAATAATAATAGTAATAATAATAGTAATAATAATGAGAGTCGACACTATGTGAATGGAGCGCTGTCCGAAACGAAAATGCCACAATCCCAATTTTTTTTCCTCGGCGTGTTTGGATTTGCTTTATTAAGCGGGAGGGAGGGGAGGGTATGAAGAAGCTGTTGAAGTATAATTCAAACTCCGCGATAGCCAAATTACATTGTTTTAGATACTTACGGTGGTGTGTGACAGCACGTTTGACAGAACTCCCTTCGATTGTAGTGAATATGTGTTGATTTTGTCTCAGTTATTAAAGTAGAATTCCCTGTCTGTGAGATGTTCTTCTTATGTTTGGGTGCAGTCTCTCGTGGGTTTTGTACATGTTCCGTAGCAATCTCTGTATTATCTGAGGAAAACATAGAGAGCCAGTCGGAGTAAATATCAGTTAATTTGGGGTCTAGAGGGAAAGATAAACCAATAAAAAAATTCTTGCCGTTATTTCCCCATCCAAATGGGCTTCATTGAATTTTTTCACTCAACTCATACTTAGCTGACTCACAGGAATGTGGAGTCAATCAAAACTGGTGTTGCTAATTCACCTCTCTGTGTCCCAACAAAAACTGAATTTATGGTCAAACTGACAACGCCGGCAAAATACTCTTGTTTGATAAATAAACAGAAAAAAAACTACCCTGGAGAGTATTTTGTTCCTATTTTTAGAGGAGGCTGCATAAAAAACCCGTGGCTCCTCTACTCGATCTGCGTTCCAAACGAGTGGCAACACGAAATCATTTCGACTTAGCGAATGAACATTAATGAGCTTCTGAAATAAATGTCCAATGTAAACCTATGAAGCCTTGTGCAGTTAAAGTATTTCGCCATTTGAAATAAGGTCGCTGGATACAACAGAGATGAACTACTGTCTAAGGTGATCATCGCGTTTTTTTTTCTCTTTTTTTTTTGTTTGATATTTTTTACAGTTCAAGTAAAATTGATGGATTTTTCATTACTGATAAGTGAAATCTTAATTATCCACTTCTCATCATAAAAATGACATTATTACCACGTAATCTATCTGAGTCACGTACGGCTACAACTTCCCTTCACAATTTGCAAAATAGCTAGCGAATTTTGATAAAACTGAATAACTACTTAAATTAACATGTCAATTGCTCACCAGGCCATCAATTAAAAGGATACAACTGAAACGACATGGTACTGTATTAGACTGAACTACGTGAAATGAACTGTGATGTGCAAAACGCTCAACGAGAAAGCAAAAGAAAAAAAACCCTAAAATCGTGCATCAGGCTTGTTCAATACAGGACAAAAATTGTTTTGATCTTAGTTTATACTAATTAAACTAATAAATCCTGTTTCTGAATAAATTGGTTCAGTTTCCTTATAAACAACAAGGAGGTGATTGACTTCTAAACCTTGTTGACACGAAATAGTTTTTCCTTGTACTTGAGATTTGGGTAGCAATTTCTAATTTCTTAATAAAGAGCAAAATGTAAAGAACGAAACCGATTTCACGAGAGTAGTTCTCATTCACCAATGATCCACGAGGTTCTTTGCGTGATCGGTCGAAAATAAATGGGAGGAGTTGGGCCGGAAACGTTCAATTTTTCAATTGTAGCCTAGAGCTCTTCTACACACGGTATATCGGCGGAGAGAAAAAGACTGAAGCAAGATAAGCACGTTTGAAGTATGCATTATAAACTCTCCTTGATGATTACCTACCGAGGAAGAGTGGACGCAAGTTTTCGTAACAGATACACTAAGTAGAATACCCTAAATTTATTTTGACGTGATTGATTGCGAATGATAAAGAATGAATTGGTATAATTGAGAACAGAGAAGTCCTACATGATTGAAGAAGTTTACTTATCAAATCAGCACTTGAAGTATGATTATTAACCACGCGAAGACTGCGAAGTCACGTTCAAAGTCTTCTTTGCGAAAGGTTTTAAGTTGAAATAAAATTGCCGAGAGAAATGTCACCTGTTTACCCAGATTTAATTTACATTTGAAATATTTCATCATAGTAGTCACTCCTTACCGCGCTTTACAATCCCGTTTCTATATTTTAAAATTTTGTAAGTTAAAGGGCAGTATGAATCTGTTGAAATGGATGGAAAGAAAAATCGCTCTTAAGCGACTAAACCGGCTAATCGAGAAGTCTCTCCATTCTCATAAATCAACTTCTCAGTCACAGAGAGTGGCGATTAATCTTTGGTTTGATGATATTATGGTTGTTGATATTTTTTTCAAATGAATAAAGTTCAATTAATGATAAAATCACTTGCCTCTATTAAGAATAACAAGAAGACAGGCCACAACCACTAACAAGGCGATGGAAACTCCTGTACAGAGTGGAAAATAGCCTTTTTCCTTGGCCATGAATGCTCGATTTAGTAATCACAACCTCGAAAATACTCGATCTCCTCACACGACAAACTTCACTGTGGCACTGAACCGTTTCGGGTTGACGCGCGTTTTTAAATTGTCTGTTATCAACATTGCCGTGTGATCGGATGGGAGCGTACGGACTGTCTAGCGTGATGACACTGAGATAGCCTTTGTCTCATTTGAACTATTGAATTCAAAAGGTGGAGTCATTAAAGAATGTTTGAGCATCGTGCCGGCGGACATCACGAAAAAACAAAACACTGCTGAGAGGTTCCTAACCAACTTATGCGTGTTGCTAATGGCCCGCACGCAAAGTGGATACTACAACGTCTTCCATTCAAATGAACTAATTCTAAAATTTTAAGTTTCGACGATAGAGAACGCTCGTCCAAAGAGACTGCGACTTCTCAATTCAATGACGTAAATCATCCTTATTCTAAAAATAGTGCTCACTATTGAAAGACGGTTATGAGAAATAGGGAATTAGCGGAGTTTGATTCATTCCTGAAACAGAACAATAAAACCATAGGAGATGTTATTTAGTGGAAGTTTCAATAAAAACCGATTATCTGTCTCCCGAGCCCGCTCTCGAGTTTGGATTTCACCTTTCGCCCCAGCCGCCCATTACATCGATGTAATGTAATCATCAGTAGCCGCTTATGGAAATAGTCATTGAAAGTGAGAAAATTATAATTTTGTTTTCGAGTTGATTTAGTTCATTTCCTTTCAAATATTTTCTGAGCAAGTTGGGTGGTTTGTTCAGTCGTTCCAAGAGAATATAATCTCTTGTTCGTTCTTATTGCTGAGTTTGCTCAATTGTGTAAATGCTGATGACTAAATAGATTTTTTTAAGTGTCTTGCTTTGCTAGCCTCGGGCTAGGCTGCTCCTTTTTTATGGCCTTGAAACATACTTGGATAGCTTAAGATGCGAGATTATCACCCTTAACAGCCTTTGTGAGGCAATTTTTTGGCTGTTGTTGTAGTTGTTTTTTTTTTAGTTCTGGGCAAGAAGAATGTAGATTGCTAGTCTTTTTCGCAGCTGTTGTCTCGGTGGGTATGTATAGGCTAGGCTGTCCGTGACTCGTACTACAGTCATACACATTTGTCAGTTCTCTTTTGACTTATTTGTAGAAGAGTAAATGACACTTGGAAGTAAGTACAGGCAACATTACTTAAAACTGTCAAAGTTTTATTACACGGGTTTTGTTTTGACTTTTCATTTATTTTTCTTTGTACTGCATGTTTGTTAGGAACAAGGAATTTAGGTTAATTGAATGAGCCTTAGTTATTTTTGTTAGGATTTTCTTAAAGATAAGGTAAAGCTACTTTGGCGTAAAAACAATTAGCTAGTCGGATGTGTTGACAGATATCCCAAATATTGTTTACTTCTATTCATTCGAGAAGTATCGTTGTTTACCTAAAACCGCATGAACCGTGAGCTAGACGACATTCCAAAGTCGAGTCTGTTCCATGATCAAATATCGCAAATACTCGAATGAGCCTTACCCCAGCGACTCGGTGAATTAAGAAAAAAGTGGAATGAAAAAAGTAGTTTCTGGGAGATTTCACTTGAGAGGTTATCTTATTCACATGTTGCTACACGGAAGCATACTTGTGTTCACTCGAATATTGTATAGCGATCAACTGACGAGTTCTTGGTCGAAACTTGTTTTGTAACTCGCGTTGGTAATATTTGTGTATCGAAATTACAGCAAATGAGGATTTTCCTGAATAAGGTATTAAAAAATATTTGTCCACAAAATATTTGTCCAAAGAGGTTCCTTAATGGATGGGTTTTTTCCTACTCAGGGAAGGTTTCTTGATTTCTATTTTTTTGTCCGGAACAGGGTCATAGTCGGTGAGAAGCCTTCAACACCATCCCTGTTCCCAAAAATTGATCGATTACTCCCATTGAAGTACCCATCTCCGGGAAAAATCATTGGAGGAATCTTTACGATAAACTTGGCATGCATGTTCTTGATTGCAGAGTCTACGTTGATTTGACGTACAACATGATAAGTGCAGGAATATTTAAGATTTTGTAATCGACCTCGAGCTTTTAGTATTTAACACAGCCAGAATATCAGGTAACTCACTGATGCAGTTCGAAGTCTACCGACTGCTGTTGATTATAATGGTCGCGAGTATATCCTCCTCATTCATTTACTCTCGAGTGAAAACTTGAAATCTCTGAGAGATCATTTCTCTGAAAGTCAAGTGCAGGTTTTTAAAATTGTATATTATTTCATCCGTAAGAGATGATGTTAAAGAGAGATCCTGTTCTTTTGCAAACGTTATGAAACATCTGTAAAACACTTGGCAAATGTTGCGTTTTCTGGACGTGATTGCTTCTTTTGAAGACATGGTCCAATTAATCAAAAGTTGTCTTGACCCGGTGTCGTGGAAGTTGACCAGCGCTGCATTAGAAAAATCGAACTTGCAACGCATTTGTTTCTCGATTTTAGCCCATATTCGCATTTAATATTGATGTCATGATTTCAATGTGTGAAATGAACGGCTTAGCTTTAGTGATTGATTCGACATGTTCGATCTGTAGGTATATCAGACCCCCAACTGAGAATTGTGAGAGATCGGAGGAATGCAAGCAAAAAACGTGACTTTCGCTACGTAGGTTTTATTCCCTATAAGCAAACAGTTTCTCGAATACTCGCTGAACTTTTCGATTGTTCACTTCAGACCCCTTTTTGTGGAAAACAAGACCCGTCAATCATAGATTCATAACTGAGTTTGGAATGGGTCATTCTGGGGCCAAAAGTTCTGTCTAAGTGTTACTCGGTCATCAACTAAAGGCCAACTGGGCATTGAAGTTACGACATAATGAACTTAATTATAACTGACCTGATGTTTCCCTTTTGCTCCACAGCATTACGCTGCCAGCCATTACAGTAACCAGAATAACAGATGTAGCAATCCACAAAGCGTTAGAAGACTTCGCCATGATGTAGAGCTCGAATTTGAACAGCAGAACGAAAGGCTAACTTAAATAATAAAAGCTGGTCCGTAACAAGCTTAGGTTTCAGTAAATTCTGTAAATAATACTTAATGACTCGTTTATAATACAACTGACTGTAACTACTAGTCTATAATGGGATGGGATGTATTCAGTATCAAGTTAAGGCATGAAAAAGTAAACCTCTAGGTAATTAAATTAAATTACACCATCGATGAGACGCTATCACCAATTTGAGCTTTGACGATTACAATCTTTAGTATTGCTCAACTTCTATCTTTTCCATCGAGTTGAAGGAACTTTCTATCTAGTTCGATGGGTATATTTTTAGAATGTTAAAGTCAACAGCCGTCTTCAGTTTGTGGGACAAGACACGTAATGTTTCAATCAAATCCCGTATCAAATCAACAACTCTAAGTAATACTACTCTTGCACCCATTGAGGGACTATTAGCCACAGTAGAAGGGTTGGCGGGGATGAGGGCGGTAATTGAACAAAGGGGAAATAGCGCAAAAGAGATTCATGTCAAGCGTGCAACCCAGATAAAATGCTCTGACAGATCTCCAAGCTGAACAAATAAATGGAAAAGAAAAATCGTGTAGAAATTTTTGGTCAAATTTTAAAACGTTTTCCGCCATTTAATTAACCCAAGCTGGGGTTTTACATTGTCAACTTAATAAGATCATCCACCTGGATTAACTCGACAAGAATTATAACGACTAGCACAGCTGTTTTATGTATGCCATTAAATCATGAATATAACTTCTTCAATAGAATGAAAGAGCAAATAAATAACAAATAAAAAGAAAAGAAAAAACAGATAAACACGTGTCAGGTTAGTTTGAGTCAGAACCACGTTCCTTGTCTTCCTTACAATCAATAAGAGATGAGGGTTTGTGTTGTGTTCACGGGAAAGACTCTTACCCTCATCGTTCCCTTCCCGAAATAAGTACATGACTAAAAGGGAACTACCGGAAAACCTGAAGAAATCCTGGGGTAACCTGTAATGCTCCGCAAACTTAGCGGAAAGAGAAACGTGAACCGAGGAGCTCCTGTATTCACCCAAATCTGTCTCTTTGGGACATAATTGTCTCATCACGTCGAAGTCATCAAAACAATGGTGCAGTTCATTTTAACATCAAGACCATGACCTTTAATCAATGCACTTATGGATGCCCTACACCAAATGCAATCCTTTTAACTTTATAACCATTTTTAAAATTAACTATTAAACATTAGCTAGAGAGCGATCGCGCACATTACCGTGTTCGACATGCAGTGGTAAATTGCTTTTTACAAAATTGTTTAAACTATCTTTCGCTTGAATATCCGTTGAATAACTTGGAATGAATCTGGAGTGTAAATTCCGATCAACCGAGGGCCAGATATTAATGTTACGAGGTGCACAGATTTAGAGCCCTATTCAAACTTCTCCATAGTGTACAAAATCTTGGGATACAAAATTTTTGCTGCGTCTATCCCGTATAGAAAGTCCAAGTGATTCCAGCCGGGAATAACTTCATAGTGTATTAAGTTAGAGATTTGCGGCTCAAGTGCTGCCGCATCCGCTGGGTCACCGAGAACATCGTGGGCCCCTACAAACAGCACAGTTGGGGTAGTCATGTCTTTCACGTTATAGAGAGGAGCGGTGGCCTGGAGAGAAAAGAGAAAAAAATTAAAACTGACGACAAAACCAGGGCCGACGTCTTGGCAACCCTCTTCTGAACCAGCCGAAAATGTCACGATTCTGCTTATCCACAGAAATATCAACGTAGGTAGGTTCTCAGAACGCTCTGAAAACAACTTCCCGACACCAGCATGGCATCATGTGATTAGGCATACTAATTTCAAGTGACGGTCACTTATGCAACTATTTGTATTCGTTTTGTTATTCTGTTTCAGTAAAACTGATGGAAACCTTACATAACATGAACACAAACTCAAACTGGTATAATGCGTTACCTGATTGTAGTGTTTCATGTTCCCAGCTTCACCGTAATCAAACTTCTGACACTTTTTGTTCACAATCAACTACAAAAGTAAACAAGTAAAGTAGGATTAAGGTAAAAGCTCCAGTTTGCAGCAGAGGAGAGCATCGAGGAAAGAGATATTGTTTCAAATTTAATGCATTAGACTAAGTGAAAAGGCGTTACATACGACCTTTGTTAGATTACATTACCGTTTTTTTATTCAATTATTTAATTTTGGACAATTCGTGCACCATCTGATGTCAAAAATTAAAAATGTTTAACACTCTTAACAAACCCACCGATTACGTATTATACACTCATCATTTTGTTTACTCGAAAGCTGAGAGTGTTAGGCTGCGAGGGGAGGGGGGGAAAGGGAGAACTGAGCCACCATCACAAGCTAGAAAAGAGGCCGGAGTCGCTAAAGCAGAGCTTTTCTTTATAACTTGTTTTTTTCTTTTCCAACAACTTTTACCACAGATACTGCCAGCACTTCTGCTACTGATTGGCTACCACTACAGCGACTTCGATTGCCGGCAATAGCAATGTATCTGTATAACACGTGCACGTGATTTCCTATCCTATTGATCACTGGTTTGCTGATATCTCCCCAGTCTCCCAGGAGCCTGTAGAATACACACCTGTGCGAAATGCACAACGTCCTTGAAAGATGTCCCCTCTGCAAAGTGACCCAGGTACACAGGTACTCTCGACTGTCAAGACGTGAAAAAAACAGGTCAGCGAAAATCAAAGTTTGTGACTATGGAGTAAAAGATTTTCATTAAAAAATTGTCCTTCAGGAACCAGTCATATTTATCGCCTGAGGGGGTGGGAGGGGGATGGACTTTTTTTTGTGGGATCAGTCGTTGCAACAGAGTATAAAGGAAGGTGAACAAAAGAAATCGACTGCCAACGAGGGAAAGATCATAATAATATTCTAGAGCCTTCGGGGGAAGTCATGTAAATTTAATATCGTGACACACCAAAAATCCTTAACCCCCCCCTCAGGCGATAAATAACAAACGGTTTCTTAAATTGTCTTTTGCTGTCAACATCTTACCTTATTGATATTTTCGCTATCCATACCAATCGTCAACTCCATGAAATCATAGCAAACTCGCTCAGAGATAGGATTTGCGCAGAAACCCAGATTGACCAGAGCTCTCAAGAAGTTTCCGGGAAGAAGATCAAAGGTCATACCAGGAAACAATTTCTAAAGAGAAGAGGAAAAGCAAATCTGTCTAACTCACTTCTTTTTTCCAAAATGAGATTTGGGATCCTAGAGCAGTAAATTTCGTCATGCCGAATAACAGAGAGACGATACGCCATCATCTCCAGCATCTGAGAAACTGCGCACCTACCCTTACCCCCCACCCTGAAACAGTCAACTGGTAACAAGTCAGCGTTAATGTTGGTCTAGGGGAGGGAGGGGGGGGGAGGGCAGATCCGCAGTTTCTCAGATGCTGACATTGATCCCAGAATCCTTGCCATTATGAAAAAGAAACTTTCACCTCCGAGCTTCCACCGTGAAGATCATTCTGATGAGAGCTTGGGGTCCGGTTTTCGGAACCCTTACCCAAATTTGTTCCGCGCAGTGCGAGGTACATACTTAATATGTGTAATAGATATCTCCTGTCCTCTTCGTCAAATATGATAAATCTTAAGGTTTTCTCCTTACCTTGACAAGTGGATATATGAGCTTTGCTGCGCCTTTTGCAATGTCTGTACAATGATTCAAAGTATAGACAGGTGCTAAAGCGAAGAATATCTTGATTTTTTCTCCCAGAGCTGGATTTTCAGAGAATCCTGTAAAACCAATCAGTGTCCCTTGCGAATGGCCGACATAATACAGCTGCTCTTCACCCGTGACTTTCAGTACATAATTGATCATGGTGGGAAGATCGTACTTAGCCATTTCTTGCCAACTGCGAAATTAAAAATCCGGAGTGAAACACACCCAGGGAGGTAATAGGCATGAAAAGTAAAGAATTGTCAAGACATTAACAGTGACTTAGAGGGTCAAGAAAGGCACTGGTAAAAACTCGTACAATATTTAGTCGAAGAGGGTTCCTTTTCCAACTCCTTCCTACTTCTAGTTGTCTCGCATCGATTTTCCTTACTAACGCGCACCGATCTAAAGAGGGTTTATCCCAAAAACGATTGACAACCTATGACACACCTACTGCACGAGGCTTTCATGCATGCACATGCAGCGTGCAAACCGAACTCGTACCCAAGGTCACTCTTTTTGCCATCCTTACTGAGGTCCTTTCGCGCTGGTGGGTGAGAAGGAACTAGGAACAAGGTCGGGCGCAATGTATGTAGTCAACACAAGTAACAACGCAAAATGACCAATGAGTTAGAGAATATCAACTGCTGATATTCTCTTGCCGATAAGTTAAAACAGCTCACAAAGTATCATATCACCATGAAATGACTAACAAGGTTTTCGCTCACGAGGAAATCAAGTAAACTTTCACTTTCAGTAGGTTTTTAAACAAAGGGTATCATAACTGTCAGATCTCAGTGAATTCACTTAATGTCAGAGAACATATGAAAAGTAATTTGAAACACTGAAAATGCTTTACAAGTCACGGTTTTATGTTCTTTGAAGAAATATCCACCTTTCTAAAACAGTACATATTGAGGGTTCCAGTGGGGCTAACCGTTGGCCTTCAAACGGCCAAAAAATTTGGCTGCTGGGCGTAAAAATTGACAAATTTTAACTGTTAGTCGTAAAAAAGGATAACCGTAATAAAAATTTCTGGTGACAGCAATGGAAAGATATCAGATAGCTGTAAATCGGCCAAAATTTTAACCTTTAACCGAAAAAGCTATCACCCCGCCCGCGAAAATGGTTATTCAAGTAACTAATGCGCTCGCGCTAAGACACCAACAGGAATTCAAGTGGGTATTTTTGAAACCTATCTTCAAAACAAGATCACAAACTCGCCTCCAATTCCAGAATTTTGATTGATGTGGAGAGTACTTCACGTGACGCCTTGAATAATCATTTCCCCGGATGTTTCCAAGCCACACGTCGTAGCCGCTGTCCGCGAGCATGTAGCCTAAGCTTCTGGTTGGAGTATCTATGATCCAGTTCGTCGCGTCTGCAAGAAGGCCATGCTGTAAGAATACTACCTCTTTACGAGAAGAACTTTCCTTTTCGTTCCTTCCGCGAGGAATCCTTTGCAAGGCAAGAATAAAGCCATCTTCTGTCGTCACGTGATGCTCTTCGACGGGGTATCCTCTGCTGGCAATTATTTGAGTCTAGAGGGAAAAAATTCAACTAAGTAGATAATTTCAATCCTTCCTCGTGGACGTCGTTCGACTTAGTTTTATCTTACGTAGATATATACACTTTAATTTTTGTTCTGCCTTGGCAGTTTTTATGCCAGCAAGCGTGATCTTAGCCGGTCGAAGGTCGATTGTTGTTTTAAGTGGTGTTAAAAATCCGAAAAAACAAACTGACAGCAGGAGCATACATACAAAATACAGTGTTTTGACACACAAAGGAAGAATGCTATCTCAGAAAGAGACTAAATTCAGTGAAAACTATGGTTTGTCTGAATTTCATTTATTTTTTGAAGTAAAATCGTTTAACTTTGATATACAACCTGCGTGTGGCATGGACACGCACGTCAGGCTTGTGTGCTCTAAGAGCTCTTTGTACTTCGTACAGAGCAACTTTGCTTGATTAAAAAGCTGCTTGCCACTTCTTTATCTAAACAACGTAAATCAGTTGTTTTTCTCGCTGTCACGGAAAGTCAGGTATCGGTTTCAAATCGTACACATCACAAGATGAACACTGAACATCATTGTAAGTCTTATGAACCGCACAATTTCTGGAAAAGTAGGTTTTATTCACCTCTAATCGTATAATTTAACCATTGCTGTGCGTATTTAAGTCTTCCTTTTTTTGTTTTTTTTTCTTATTTAAAATACTGATGAAAATAGCATTTCTTAAGTGGATTCATTCGATCATAGTTCAATACATCACTCTATACTAAGGGCTTATTTACATGGAGGTGGGGGACCCCAGGTAGGTAAGGTAACACGCCTAGCCATGGTGAAAAAATATTTACTTACAATCTTACAACCCCGGGATGCCGAGGTGAAGATTCTCGGGGTTGTTGTCGCGCTCGCAGGAGTTAAAATGTCACTACGGCGACGTGTGGTAAAACGTTGCCGAATAAACGCAACTTATTTTCCTCTAAGATTTTCGCCAATAGCTCGAAGCGTTCACTGTTTCTAACGGTACGACGTCCTCACTTCGGCATAACATGTTAATGTAGTGTTAGGTTCAAGGTAAAAACGTGAGTAATCATGAATTGATGTCGAGGTTAAAATTGGTGTTACCTCTATGTAACCAGTTTTAGTTCTGTTTGTTTTAAAAACAAACAAAAGTAAATTTTAAAGTAAGTTTTGAAACACTCGTGTTTGGCTCATTTGATTCTTTGGTAACATGAACGCAACTCCGGCTAAGTAGGCTACCCCACCTTGAGACGTTTACATGGCAAATTGTCACCCCAGCTGACTGGGTAACCCCACCCAGCAGACCGGGCAACCCAACTTTAGCGGGTAACCCCACCTATCATTTAAACTTGATCAAAATAAAATAAGAGATCATATGGACAGGCGGGTTACCTCACCTAGTCGGGTTACCTCACTTACCTGACGTCCCCCACCTCTATGTAACCAGGCCCTAAGTGGCAATCTGCACTCATAACTCGTGTTCACTTCCCCGTCGGTGGTCCTTCAGTAGGTTGTCACGTGCCTATTTCATATCGCCAGCATGTGACGGATTACTCAATACACGTACTATAATGAACGTGCTTTGCTAATATTATCGATCGTCTATAGGTACCATACTTGTACTATCCCAAGTAACGCGTAAAAACAAACGATCTAATTACATTTGTCGAGCCATGTTAAGTAAAGAACGTACAAATCAATAAAGACCGTTTAAAAATTTAAAGGTCGGGTGCATTAACATTTGTAATTGCTCTTGATATGTTGAAGCATGTTGACGTCGTTGATGTCCATCTAGATCACTAACCATTACAAGTACGATTGCGGCTAGATTTTTTGCCTCCATTTCCTTATCGGAGGCAACGCGCAATCGATGTCGCGTGGCACCTCAGGCAATTTTTTGTTTGCTCCGTCACACGCAGGAAAAGATTGAGTTAACTCACCACATTTCTCAAGACATCCGGATCAGTATGATGAAGTCCCAAATGTTTAAAAGGAATAAATTCTCCCCCACAAAATATCACAAAACAGGACACGATGATGATCTGAAAGATCCACTGCATGTTCTCCATAAAGTCAGCGCCTTCGTAGTGAGACAATCGAACTTAAAGAGAGCGCTTCTGATCCCGTTAGGCCAAATACGATGATTTAAGAGGAACTTCGCTTGCGTCGCGAAGGTCTTAAACGTGTCAAATAAATGTGTATCGTATTACTGTTTACGCAATGCGCTATTCCCAGAGCACACGTGCTCACAGAATCCTGTGATGAGAAATGTCACGCAACGACGACTCCTTCAACCAAAACGGCGTTGAGAAAAGTAAATTATGAAGCGTAATCACTAGCGGGAAAATGACACTTTCTGTGGTAGCCTGTCTATAAATGCACCCCATGACTCGATCTTGACGCACGATAAGAGATGGCTGTATTCGCAGACTATCCGACTCGTGATTTATTTTGTATGAGTTTCGTAAATGATTAATTAACTGTCCACATAGAGTATTTTTACAAGCCGGGTTCGATTTTCCTAAGATCGTGTTCTCAATCCTTTTTTTTTCCTATTTTTCTGAAACAAACTACCTTTTTCTCCTGATTCCTCTTTGCTATAGGTTAAATTATTTGTTTATTCTTATTTTGATCATAGGAGTCCTTCAAAGTCCGTTCGTGTGATCATGATTGTCCCAACTCTCAGCAATTTTTTCATGCTTCCTTTAATTAAACCTACAAATAGGTAAACATGAAGCTACCCCAACATTGGTGTGACTGGGGTTGATTGGGGTAAACTGGGGCACAGTTTTGAAGGGAGACTGCACTTTCTTGACCAGCGGATGTTCTGAGACTCAAGATGGCGGCCAAAAACGTTGTCAGTTGTGCAAATTTATTACGATCATCTTTTACTCGAAACCTGAGGAAAACTTCAGTAGCTGGTGAGATTACATAACTGGTTTAATTCCTGTTTTTTTTTATTTATTACGGTGTATATAGGGCTTACCGACGAGTGAATATCTCCAACTTTCGCAACATATGAACCTGAACGGGTTGTTATAAAATTGCTCCTGGAATATAGTCATCAATCTTAGCTTGCAATGCGTCATTAAGTTTTTAAGGGTAATATGAACGCCGTGGAAAATTTTTCAAGGCTGATGATTCGTATATATCAAAGGGTTAACGCTCGAAACGTCAGCTTTTCTAAAGTTGCCAAGGCGGTTTTATGCTTTGTTCTTCAAACAACACGAACGCGCAAAGGAAGCGGCGTGTTTCTACAGTTATACTAATTTTGGCAAGTCTGTTGGATAAAACAACTAGAGTGCATTCATTGTGGGTTCTAACAGTAAAAATCTTTGACGTGGGTTTTGAATCTGATGGTTCAGCAACGCGAGTAATGGCATTTATATATGAAAAAGGTCTAAAAGTTGGATATTGTTTCTGTGTGTAGAGTTAATATATAGCCCAGTTATGTAATCGTAGTAATCTTTATCAACTTGAGGTGGTACCTGAGGCTATCTTGACCTTTTCGGAATTCTTTATTTTCTCACGTATGAAAGATTGTAGTTTAACAATTGGAAAACATTTTGAAATATGTGTGATAGAAGTTTTGTTTGAGAGGACAAATCTCCTGGAAAATAGAGATATGATCCTGGTGGCAACCATAAGCAAGCAAATAATAAGATGTTATATTTTGTCACACCATGTTTGATCAATTGAAATCTTTGACTTTCACGTCATAATTTTGTGGTTCCTGATGATGCACTTTCCTTCTTTTCACTTCCTAACCAAGTGAGTAAGTAAGAGAAGATGTAGAACATTTACTGAAAACTCTACTTTTGTGTTGCTTTTTCATCTCCCACTAATGTCCAAGATTGTCTTAACACCCCAGGAAAGGTGTCATTGCTACAGATGGTGTGAATGTTTTAAGTCTCATATTCTGATTGGTTTTTTGGGAAAAATAACAGACGAATATAGCAATTATGACCATCTATATTGCACTATTTTGTATTTTACTGCTGCAGCGAAATATCACTGGATTATTAAAGATGGCTTTCAAAAGGAAGGAAAGTAAACATGGGTTCTCTGACAAATTCTGTCAAAGATATTGCTGCTTTTCCCAAAGTAATTAGTGCAGCTACAACGTGTCATGCTGCTGCAACGACATTATCTCAGGGAAAATTTTTTATTTTGATAGAAAACTTGGCAAACCAAAGCTACCTGCAATGACGAAAATTCACAGAGCAGGCTGCTACAGTCTGCCACGAATTGGCCAAATGAGAAGATATTGGATCACAACCTTAATTTTTGTTCATTTCATTGAGGACAAAATCGTCAAAATGTAATATAATTTGATGGACTGTGCTCAAAATCTCTATTCCCATTATCTTCAAGCATGTGCCAAACCATCTTGGGTAACATTTAATTGTTTCAGATTAGAGAAGTAATTATCCAAAATGGCCTTTTCAACACACTTCTTAATTCCATGAAATTCCACAAGTTCCTTGACACCTGGCAAAATAATTTTAGTCACATATTATGCATATAATCATTCAAGTCATTGCAACAAATCTGTTATGAGATATTTTATTCCCAAGATTGTCAAAAATTCATCAAATTAGCATGCAGTACCACCTTAAGTTTCACTTGATTTTCGAGTTGTAAGACTCACTCTCACAGTCTCTAACTTTTATGCAGCAAAATACAATGTTTTTTGTCCTTTGTTTTCTTTGTCCAAGAACTGGGATCACAACAAAGTATAGGACTGTCCACAAATTGTGGGTAAAATATTCCTCAATAACTGCCACTTGTCAGGTGCTAGATGTTGAATTTTGATATGCCCATTTCATTTCTTCAGCATATGAATTATCAAGAGTGCTTCCTCTGGTAAATCAACAATGTAAATTCTAATGTTCTGATATATATTTGTATTTCCAGGGTTATGTGTTGCTGTGAAAAATCACAAGTATCAAGGTGCCAATAGCAATGTGCTTGCAAGTAATAACCTTGTCAAAAATAGGTACTAAATTTTTTTCTTTTTGTAATGAGATTTCAGTCCCTCTGTGGAGAATTCTCATGGTGACTGATTCATTTCTGAGTTCATTTTGAATTTTGAGACTCAGGAGTGAAAAATATAGCTTGTTAAAACTGTCCCTGAAATCCCTATGGTCTTATAAAATCCCAATGCAATAACTATTTGTTTTCAATGCATTAACGGGCTCATAGTCTGTATTTCATCACCTGTGTACTTTCCCTAGGATGTTAAATTGTAGGTCATGTGTACCTTTTAAAATCTTAAAATGAGTCTGACTTCCAAAGAAACCCCCGTATGTAGCACAGTTTCTATGGGGACAGTGCTCCCAGCAAAGTGCAAGTTTTAGTCAATGGGAATGATCTGATCAGAGTTTTGTGCAATTATTTCTCTCTTGGAAGGGTGGAAAGAAAGGAAACAATTTTCATAACAATGGCCTTTGCAATCTTACCTGGAGGGATATGATTTTTTGGACAGTGTCATCATCTGTGAACTTTTGGAGAGACCAAATTTTCACTAACAAATCAGATCATGTCCCACACTTGTGTTATTCTTTGTCCCACATTCATTCTCAGTCTGTTATTGTATTCATCCCAACAGCCTCACCATGTTTACAAAATCTGCTGCAGCAGTATCTCAGTTTTCAATAACAAACCCTGTTAGTCTGCTTGGAAATGTTGATATCCGTAGTCTCAGTACAGGATCAAGTTCTCTGACAGAAGCTAGTGGAGAAGATGAGGATGAACAAAATTGTCCACCGTATTCATCAGGTACATGTCTTATTGAACCTATATTGAATAGTGACAGAACTTTTCGTTAATTCCGGGCTCCAACTCAACCTCCTTGAGTGATGCCATTTAGCAAACTAAAATTGTGACATGCATTCCAGAAAAAATTAAAAATAAATATACAGGTGAATAAAAAGACAAATAAATAAACGTACAAAACTGGGTCATATCGTGTGAAATGGATATCCTCACTTACTGTATGCACAAGACCATGAATACTGTGTGATTAAAACTTAATAACTAACTGTTTCATGAACAGTGAACAGAGGTTGTTCAATTGGAACTTAAATTGCCAATCTAGTTGCTAAAATTCTTCCCAACCCAATATGGCAACTGAAATGGTCACAGCTTGCAGTGATGTAATAGCCTATTTTAATGTCAATTCTCATTCTTTTCCCAAGCTTGTATTCTTTATCAGAAAGCTGGAGGTGCTGTGGAGCAGTATGGTTCATTTTTTGAAGCAGTCTGTATTGTTGTAATGCACCTATTCATATCATTTGTCCAAAAGAAGACTTAAATTAAGGCTTCTTGCTCATATAAATATTATAATTTTAATTGTAGATGTCATGAAAAATGTGCAAGATGAAATGTTAAAGGGTGAATCAAGTGGTCAGATATTTGCTGTGGTTCATTTAGGTCAGTATGTAGAGTTGGCCATGTAGTATTTAGTGCTACATGTAATGCATGAACATTCGTGTAACTCTTTTAGAGAACAAACAGATTGAGGAATATGGTACATTTTGAGCTCACTATGGGAATAACTTAAGATTTTGTTTGCTTTGTCAAGATGAGTAATCATCTTTTGTGTTTACTTCTGGAGATTGATCATCTTAATCCTGCAACTCCCATGAGAGACCAAGACAGAATTTTTCCTTACTTTATCTATACAATATCATGAAGACAAGTGATGAGAATGAAGAAAATTCTCAATTATGGGATTACTAATTGATCTGATATTAAATTCTCCAAACTAACATAATGAGAAACATTTGGCAGACAGCAAGGACAATAATTATTACTAATGAGATCTTGGGAGTTAAAAGGTTAACAGTTTCTTTGTATTTAATGTGATGTGCCTTCTCTCTTATCAGGGGGGAGCCAATTTAAGATCACTGTGAATGACACTATAATTATCAACAGAATTGATGTAGAAACTGGAGATAGAATACGTATTGAAAAGGCAAGTTTGATTTGATGTTATGTTGGGGGGAGGGGGTTAGATGAAATGGATGACCTGAGCATAGTGGCTGGCAAGTCTGGGACATCAGAACAAAAGAGGGCAACTAAAAAAAGTAAAGGACATTTTTTTCACATTTTGCAACAGTGGTCTATTCCCAATAGACACTTGCTTCACAAAGGCCTAAGAGTTCTGTTCACAGACAGGGAGGTAGAGGATTAGACAAAAACTGGGGATGGAGGGGATGATCTTCAATCTAAACAACATTGCCTTTCCATCTTGTCCCCATCCAGGGGCTTGACTTTGCCAGAAACCACTTCTTTACTTAACTGACTGCACCTTTTTGGGGGATATTGAATTGTTTATGGATTCTGCTATAGGAGCATGCACTTAGAAAAGTTCAACATCTAAGTCACAAAGAGGTGTAAACCACTAGAAGCAGTGGGAATTAAATGGACAGAGAACAGTGGCTGGTCTTCACTATGGACTTTAATGTTTCTTCTCTGCCCTTACTTCCTTGTGATAAAAGTGTGCAAAGGTGAAGTCAGTTTACAAGCCGGTAGGCCTGACAAATGTGCTAGCTGAAATCCCAGGGTTAGTTGCATAAAGTGACTAGACAGAATGCCAGACAATGTGGGGGTAACTTATCAGATTTAAGATTTTTGAAGATAGAATGAAGATTTTCAGAGTCATCTAGTAACAATCTAATTATAAACATGAAGAAGTGGATTAGGTTGAGAATTAATTAAATTTGAGCTAATGGTCTGAACTTGATCCTTATTTACAGTATTTAAGTTTTCTAATATTTCAGGTTTTATTAGTGGGCGGAGAAAATTTTACCGTAATAGGAACCCCACTGCTTGCGTAAGTACTTCGTTCTCACCTTAAACACAAACATGTAATGTAACGGCATAAAGTTCTGAAAATAACGACTTTTGTTACTTTCTTTCAGAAGATAATTACTTTTAGGGAGTGTAATTTTTACCATCCACTGTTTATGGGTTGTTCAAGACTGATAGAATCTCACAAAAGTTTCACAAAAGTTTTTTTTCCACATACTTTTTAAATCAAGAACAAAACGAACTTAAGCGGTCAACTGCTTATGCACTTTCAGTCTCTGTTATTTGGTTATTTAACAACTGTTCACTGAAGTGGAGGTGAATAGCGTTATAAGCCGGGAGTCTCCTCGCCCACCCATACTGTCGAATGTGTATGAATATTACTTCTGAAGTGACTAGTATTTATCGAGCTGCGAAGCTTATAGATGGCTTTTCTCACCCAGCCTGGTAACAGTAGCTCTTACGTTTTCTTCCATAGACGAGACCTTGTGAAGATTGAAGCAACAGTCTTGGAAAAAACAAAGGGCCCTAAGAAGATAGTGTTTAAAATGAAACGGAGAAAGGGTTATAGGAGATGGAAAGGTAAATTTCACATACCCAGTGACAATTTTATATGTGCTGAATTTACCCGTGTATCAGTTTTTTTTCCTGCAAGTATGTTTACAATGTATTAGTTGAGAAGACAGGCGTATGGTTGACACCATTGTTCATCTTTGTTTTTTTTTTTTTTATGTTCTGTTCCTTTATGCCGGTGTTCAGTTCAATTAGAAAACGCAGAAAACGTCTTAAATGTAATGAGAACATTAGTAACATGTTCGCTTGTGGCTCACGAGCATTTTTTTCTCTGGAGGGGAGGGTTGGGGGGTTAAACCACGGTTTAATGTAATCTCTGAGTATTCAAGCCATCAGTGATATCATTTTGTTCTCTTATTTCCTAGAACACTTTCAAGATCTAACAGTTCTGAGAATAAACAGCATTCAAGTGCAGCCTTCACTTTTATCGTCTGCTCAATAAACGCTCTACCATTTGTTATCTCATTGAGGGAGGATTTTAACAAAGATCCACAAGCAAAACATGGAATCATCTCCATTGTAAAGTCCATGCATGTAACGGAACTTGAGCTTGTGATTTGGTTCTTTTTGTAGAAAATAAAGTAAAAGACGACGAATGATCCATTGTCAACAATGAGTAGTCTTAAGTCAACACTTCAGTTCTCAACAACTTTGTTATTGGCCAGAATATAGTTTCACAGGCTGTGTAATAAAAAACTACTAAGGAGTTTGGAGAACAGTATTGAAGAGATCACCTGCTTCAGTTTGCTTTTTCTTCGCTTTGTTCATCTTGTGACCTTTCGACCCCTAAGAGTGACCAGCATCTAATTTCTTCGTGCAATATCACCCTTGAATCAAACATTAAGGTCATGAGAATAAAGGAAATGATCAACGACTGAAGAAGTTCTTGACTGTTAATCAAATTCTCCTTGTCAGCACCTCAGGAACATAAAGAGAACTAGGCTAAACGGTATGGAGAATGTGCATATTGATGTTAGGGTGTAAAGGGTTAATTAGTTAGGGGAAACAAGGTCGGCGCCGCTTTTTCTGGATTGAATAATTTAGTTTGTTGGGCCACATGACTTCCTTTGTTGTTGATTATACGAATTAGTATTAAGATGAGTTTACTTGGATCAGGGTTGGCGTGGTGAAATATTCCGGTGGGAGAGGGCATGAGGCTGTGACAATAGAGAGACATCATCTCTAACTCTTCTTTAAAATCTCACATGTAATTCGGTAGATGGTGGGCAGGTATTTCTAAGTCAATAGTGACAGCTCTAGACGAAAAAAAGCATTAGAATTTCTCCAGGCCAATGCAATATATACCAACGGAGTGTTGAATGTCGATAAATATTTTTTTTAGAACTGAAAGCATACGGTTTAAAAGAAAAGCTTTCCTACGAGTTCCTTTGTTTTATCAACGATTACTTTATACGCAGGAGTATGTCTCATGTTCCGAGCTAAAAGACTTCAATAAAATTTTTGTTTAAATTTCTCTTCTTTGTTATCAACATTAAAAAACGATTTTTTTTTCACAAAACTTAAAAGCAATTATATTTTTCAGCAAACCGGAAATTTTGATGCGTGTGGTTTTACCTGATTGGCTTTAAACTGTTCACTTCATCTGACTTGGACTGCGCAATAAAACATGTAATGGGTGCTTTCAATCAACAATCCTCAACGCCTGAAAGAAATCTAATAATTTAAGGGAGGTGTGCTGCGTCGATGTGAACTGAAATATTTTAAAGAATTTATTGGTTTCAAGACGTGATTCTCCATTCACTAACATCGATCTGATTTGAGGCATTGAAAGGATACATAATGACTCGACGTTAAAAACTTTTAGTTCATAAATCATATGCTTTTGGTTTACGATACGTAGTCTGTGCGAGTAATTTGCTGAACACTGAGATGGCCAAATTTTGAATTCCAAAATTTATTTGAAATCTGAAATGCCATTCATCAGCGTTAAATACCTCTGTGAGAAAATTTTTTTAGCATAATTTACCAAGAAGAGCAAAAAATTTTACAATTATTATTTTTTTCTATCTTGCTAACGACATCAGCTGCCGTAAGAAACAGTTTGATCTTAGCAGCCGTTCTCAAGGACATATTGATTTATCTGCCCTCCAAACCACTCCTTCGTTCCCTGGAAGTCACTCATTTATGTCACATAAATGAGTGACGGTGTTGGTATCCTTGCTCGGCCACTGGTCACAAGTTTGTTTTATTTCATGTTAAACAGAAACACTGAGCAGTGAACGATATTTGAAATTTCTACGAGTGTTGTCTTCACAACTTCAAGTACACTTAACCCTGTCTTTTTCTGTTGGAAGGTGAAGGAAGTGAAACAATCTGTGACGAAGTTAGTCGTACACTTTTACTGTTACTTTACGATTTAAACCACGAAAAGATTCCAATTATAACTTATCGTCTCCATTACAGAGATGTCGCATTTCCTAGAATAAGTGCCCGGGCCTTAATTTAAAATCATGGCTCAAAGGAGGAGGCAAATTGGAAGAGAGCGCTTAATCGAAGGGGGCGCTTATTCCTACTGAAGAAACAGAACTATTCTCCTGTACTGATTCCACAGCTGTCTAAACTTAAAAAGTTATAAAATAAAGCGGCGATAGACATAGGTTTTCTTTGTATCCCTATTATTTAAGAAAGTGAGGAAAGAGGGAAGGGTGTTTATTCGATAGGGGCGCTTGTTTGATATTATGGCCGAGGGACGTAGGCGCATATTCGGCGCATATTCGGGGGAAAGAGGGGGCGTCTAATCGAGGAACTACGGTAAGTACCTCTCTCCCCTAGTTGAAATACTGTATAATGGTTATTTCAAAAGATGAGTAGATGATCATTTATTTAGAATCATCTTGCTTGAACAATGCAAAAAAAAAATGTCGCATGCCTGGTAGGCTAAGCATTGAACTGAATTTAATAGTATACGTCACCGACAATTTCATATCATTTCCAAGTATTAGTTGTAATAAGAAGGTTTTCATGGTCGTGTTTCCACCTCCTTTTAAATCATCTGAATTGTGAATAATCCAGAAAGAAAGAGAGAGAGAGATCGTTGAATTTACATCACTAATTTGCCGCGAGTTTACGGATTTTTTCTTTAACACAGTTTAAATTATTTCATATCGAATGTAAGAAAGACATCACCGAATGACAGCATTTATTAATTTCAATTTATTTATTCAGTTCTGCGTAAATCTGACACTTAATAAGGAAATACCATATTAAAAAAAACAAATTTGACACAATCTTTTAGGAGAATATTTTAAAATTAGTTTTAGTTTGTAAACTGACAGTCAAGCTGTTAAGTTTTCTACGTCTTATCTTGATGAAAAGAGAAAAGAATGGCAAACACTTTTTACTTAAAAAACATCATCATTAATGTTAAACAAAACACATTAACTCAGCTGTTTCGAGACCGGAAAAAGCAATTACAGATTTAGACTTTCATTAATTCGGCAAGAGACTAACGCAATAAAACTGCAGTTTTTTCAGTTTATTCAATTCACCTCAGGCTCGTTTATATCTTGAACGCGACTTCCTCTCAGTTGTGATGGCAGGTGAAGATTTGTTTTGTAGCCGATATTGGGTCAGTAGAGTCAACGACCAAGAAAACTCTAATCTTTTCGTCTTTTACCAAGCTGTCGTCTCTTTGTTCATTTTGTTAACAATAACGGCTATCCTTGGAAATGGGCTGATATTGGCCGCCCTATGCAAGAACTCTTCTCTTCATCCGCCTACAAAATTACTTCTCCGTTCTCTGGCAATCACTGATCTCTGCGTCGGCGTCATTTCACAGCCAGCTATTGTCACTATGTACTACTCGTTTCTTAGAGGAAACTCAGAGCTTTGTCGAATCAGCAAAGTAATTGTTTACACTACGACCACCATTTTCTCTGGAATTTCTTTGGCTACATTGACCACTATTAGCGTGGATCGACTTCTCGCAATATTATTGGGCTTACAATACAGATTAGTTGTAACTGTCATGCGAATTCGTGCCCTTGTTATCATGTTCTGGTTTTTAAGCACCTCTGTCGGAATTGTCTACGTCTGGAGTGCATATTTATATTTCATGGTGAGCACTGCGTCAGTACTGTTATTTGTTGCGATTTCAACATATTGTTACATAAGAATCTTCCACAACATTCGACGTCAACAAACACATGTGCAAGACGCTTTGGAATGCCCTAATACCGGACTAAACATAGCACGGTACAAACGAACCGTTTTCAATGCACTGTGGGTTCATACAAGTTTAGCCACTTGCTATCTTCCATTTGCTCTGACAACCGCAGTTATTGCCGTGCGTGGCCTAAGCACGTCTCTCATTGTTGTTGAAGCTATAACCTCGGTTTTGGTTTACCTCAACTCCTCACTCAATCCCGTTCTTTACTGCTGGAGGATTACGGAAGTTAGGAAAGCTGTGAAGGAAATAGTGGGCCACGTTTGCACTAATTCGGCTTGACACTTCCACGATTTGAAATGCAATTCTCCCATGTAGGTACTCTGAATTTTCTTAAGTAACCCAGGGTTGTTTTGGTTTTGCTTTATTTCGCTTCGTCATCCTCCCAGCCAATCAGCATCAAAACTAAAACCAATCGCGACTTGGTCTCTCGCGTTTTCCCGCGCTTTAAAAGTTTGCTTGTTTTTACCATGCATTCTCACTGGCTTCTGGAGGTATTTTCCTTTCCTCTGGTTGGTGGTGTAGTTACTATAGTTTAGTGCTTTACGACACTCAATCGAAATGCGCTTTATCCTGAGGTATAACCCGCCAGCTTGCTTGTAGGGAGAATTTAACTGTACCCTATTTCTGGGGGTGAAAGGATCATTTAGTGTAGAGCATTCAGACAGGGCAAGGCAAGAAGGCAGAGTAAGAGTGCCTTGGTACAACATTTCCATGAAAAGATTTTAAAGAAAAATAATTCATAATGAAACAAAAACCAAATGGTTAAACTTTTCTTAAATAACAGACGTTATACCACGCTCCCAGTTATTGAAAATATTGTCACTAAGAGATCACTTCAAACGGTTGTTATTTCTATGTTATTTGCACAGCTTGAGGAAACGTTATTCGGCATGATCTGCGAGGGATGATCATTACTCGTTCCCTGTGAAACGAAGGGCAAACTCAGTCACTTCCAACAGCAAACAGTTAAGTGACCTAAACCAAGATATCTACCGTTGCAACCGTTGTTTACTCGCGTCTCGTAACGCATTACTGGAAAAGGCGAAAGAGAGAACGCGTTGCGTGATAAGTCAAAACGATGGCTGAGGAGGATTCTAGAGCCAGTGACATGATCAAAAGTAATACAATAATGAACTTCGGTTCAAGGAAGAGTTGGGACAGGGTAACGCGTAGAATGTTCAAGTCTTTCCCCTTGCATTGCATCAGTCAAGTGTTCAAATTATTTAAGGATATCAAAATTAATTAAAAGCAAGGAAGTAGATGTAATCTCAAGGCCTAATTCGAGTCGGCTAAAATTCCAGGAAATAGTAAATGAACTCAAAACATAGTCATGCGACGAATAGCAATCTTTATTTATCAGATGGAGATTAATGCTCACTATTCACTGCTGCCTCCCCCTTCCACCTGCTCGCGTTCCTATTAACAGATGACCAGGTTACCAGAGGGTGCTGATCGTATCTCTTTGTCTACCTTGCTTAACAACAACTTGGGCAATTCCCGAAAAGTAATCAGAAGCGCATTGATTTTTCCTGAAATTCGATCTGTGATTGGTCCAGAGAGCTTGCATCATCCTTTAAACCAATTAGATGACAAAACTAAAACCAACCATGGCTTGGTAATTCACTTCTTTCGCACTTGAGGAAGTTCACACGCAGGGGTTTCAATAACTTGTTCCGTGCGCGCCTGTCAATGATAGGTGGCTGTGCTGGTAAGACCCCTTCTCCTCAGGAAGTCCGAGGCCGTGCTGAACAGACGGCTGTAAGAGGTCTCATAGGCGGCGGTCTAACCGGCTTTTTTAAAAAACACCTTGTTTGAACGTATCTAATTTACGTCCCATCAACTTCCTTTGTCATTGAACTTATTCTTAATGACCCCTGTGAATACTACGAGGTTACTTCGACAACACTCTTTTCTTCCCGTGCAAGGTTATCCAAACACATGCCACACAGGCCATTAACGATATAAACACCACACTGGAAACAATACTGTTATAGTACCTACTAAGCCAACACTCAATAATCTTGAATCTTTCAGTAAAATTACTTCACCCTCAAAATTAAGATTGCAAATTCCTCTAATGACCTGTTGCTGTCAAAAGTGAAATAACTCCAAAACAAGGCTCCTATCTTACGGTTTGAGAGGTATACACCTTTGTTTCACAAACAAAATTGTTAAGTTATATCTCTATTTACAGTTAACAGGGTGCTAGCTAACAGTCCCAACCGAGCTATCCGTTCCTACGTTAGAAGACACAGTCTTTTGTGTGGCTCCGTGCCCTTCAACTTCCATCGTTTCTTCACCATTCTCGTCATCCAGAGACATTCCATTGAGATCTCCATTAAAGTGCGTTTGATTGACAGAATCCATATCCATACACACAGAAGTAGCTTGAGATATGCTGGCTTCCACATTAAGGTCTGAAGGCTCCCCACAGTCAAACGCATGACTGAATATCTGCTGGCCCCAACCGCTGGTATATAGGGTGTCGTCCACTGGACTCCAAGCCAGGCCCCGCACAACCTCCGTATGTTCATCACTTCTGAGACTGAGGAACGGGGAGGGAGTTAGAAATACCTTGCCTTGCTTACTAAGTCTGGCACATTTAGATAGAGTAATCCTTTGATGACCTCAATTCCACAGGCTCTAGTTTTACAATTTCTATCACAAAAACAATACCTCTCATTGAGGCAAGAAAATTTGGATGCTGACCCATCTTTGCTCCCAGAATAAGCAGTTTCATGAGTCACACCTCACAGATATGCCTTGAGAGGCTCACTGTAAACGGTCTCCATATTTCACTTATACTTTGAATAGATCCATATAACAAACTCTGTTTCACATGTTGCTTTGATGAAGATATCAAACAGATTCCCATTCATCTTGAAATAATTTCAATTATGACCATTTCAATTTCCTTGAATGTGATTGGTGGATGAAGTAACATGGTTTTCACCCATGATTCTGTAGAGTTTTTTTTAAACTTTATAATAGTTAGAGTCTGAGAGTTCGTTTTAAAAGGATATCTTCAATTGGACAATTACATCAGCCAATCACTCTGAGTATACTCAAATGTATCCACCAATCACAGAGCATTATTTAAGAATGTTAAAAAGATGTTTCTTGAGCTTTTCATTGTGCTAGCAAATGGAAAACTCGCATCTTCTTTGTTTCCAAAAATAATACTACGTCAATAAAAAGTCCTCTTTACTTACACTTCCGTGTCATTAAGACAATCTTGCACATGTACCCACATGTCATCTGATACTGAAGCAAGCCATTCAGGACTAAACAAACAAAAGGCAGTTCCTTGTTATTAAGACTTGAACTTCGCATAACAGAAATCAACTACAGAAATGAACAACAGCTTAAAGGAAGAACTCATCAAACAAACCAACCTTCTTGGTGAGAAAGCCAATCTGTTGACAGCTCTTTCGTGAGGGCAAAAAGTTAGGACTGGTTGTTTAGGGTTTTGGATGTTACAGAGGCACACGCTACCATCTTCATAACCTAAAGGAGTTCAAAACATATCAATCAATACATGAAAAAGAAACAAACACAAATCTGTTACACTATGATAGGAACTATTTCAACTTGTTGCTTAAATATCCTGTTCAAACTGATGGCCTCTAAGGATCCTTCCATGCTTGGAGGTTGTACAAATATGGTCTGGAAGATTGCTCTTCACAGGGTTGTTGATTATCTCAGAAAATTGTGGTAATCAAAAGCAGTGTCAAAAGATATAAATTTACAGTCAAACGGCTACTGCCACATATTGTTTTTGCTATTCTAGAAATAAGCATAACTCCACTAACCAAGAGCAAGTAAGTGATGGTCTAATGGACTCCAGTCTGCACAACGTGGAATGCTGTTATACTGAGAGGAATCTAAGAACAGTAGAATATGTATTTTGAGAGACGTCACACCCTTTCTGAACTATTGTAGCTAAATGATGTATAATTACTGTAAAACAGATGGTAATACATGGCAAATGATTACCTCTAGATGGTTCGACCATAACCCTTTACACCCCAACAATAGTATGCTTATTCCCTCTAAATTTCTTAAGCTGCTTACGAGGAGAATTTTGATTGACAATCAGGATAGTTGGTGATCATTTTCTTCATTCTCATGACCTTAACTTGTGGTTTAGGGGTGATATTGTAAGGAGAAATTAGATGCTAGTCACTCTAAAGGGGTTCATTTAAAAGAGCCATGTGACATATAGAGGTACAGAATGCATGTACAAAGCTCCTGATAAAAAGAAGTGTACAGGAAATAAAAAAAAAAAGGAGTAAATTAGGCCTGGTAGTTTTCCTATTCTAATTTTCACTTTTTAAACAAAATCAAGTCCAGCTGCACATCTAGATCTCTACTTTCATTACGAATATTCGTAAGTAAAGGAAATCTTTTAGGGTTTTTAATGGTTTTATCATATTGTTTATAATTTCTGGCTCCATATTTTTACGTCTCTGTAGACACTCATGTTATTAGATACAAAGCTGCTATTATCATTTTATTTTGAAAATACTAAAAGGGACACAGAATTGAAAAAAAAGTAAGTGTTTCTATTCTTTTTGACCAATAATCTAATCAGATAACTTTATTAACCCTTTAGGTCCCATGCGTGACCAATATAGAATTTCTCCTTACAATATCAATACAATATCCACCAGATAAGTGATGAGAATAACAAAAAATATCAATTTGAGGATAATTACTTGACCCAATACTTAATTCTCTGAACTAACAGTATAAGAATTGTATGGTTGACAGTAAGGAGAATTACAAATTTGATCTGGGAGTTAAAGGGTTAAAAAAGGTCCTCTTCAGACAGATTATATGACGAAAATTATGTTGTACAACGCTGTAACAAATATATACCTGACAACCTGGACACACAGTTTGGTGTTCTGGTGTCCCATAGGATAACTCTCCCATCCTAAAATCAAACCAGAAAAATGCAATATTACTATCATCTACCCTACACAGTGTGAGTTACCAAAGTAAAGATAGAATGAGGACTAGTGTTAGTGTATATTTTCTGCTGTTGTTGCAATGTCCAAGGCTTGACTTATGCACTAACCTGGGCAGGACTAATAGAAGGTACATCTAGTGCAGAATTTAGGTTTGCAGTTGGCTTCAAAATAGCCAACTGGTTTGCATTCTACCAATTTGTGTTTCACATGAGTACATAGTTATTCTACCAGCCCACAAAGGATGAGTACTGTTGTCATGGACAAAACTGACTATCACCACAAAATGGATGCACTGATTCATGACAAACAAACCTATGAAGAACTCAAACATGACCTGACTCCCTCATTTTGACGTGAACTCAGCAGCAAACTACTTACACTCAAGAAGATGAAGGTTATTGACACTCAACCCTACTACTGATGAAGGTGCTCAGTACCACAGCCACTGAAACTTTACAATCTGTCAAAACTACACAAACCTGGTTTCCTAATGCAACCTATCGTTTCTTTCTGTGAGTCCCCTAAATACCAACTATCCAAGTACCTGAAACCAATACTACAACTGCTGACCAACATCAATATCATGATGGTGTTTTTGTGTGAAGTTAATCCAGTAGAGTGTCTGTAGAGTAGCTTGGGAGGAGACTAAGTGCTCACCTACTTCACCCCTTTAACTCCCAAGATCTGATTGTTAATTCTCCCTTCCAACTGCTACACATGTCAATGTAAATTAGTCATAAGAAATTGGTGTGAGATTAAGATAAAGATTCTCACAATCTGTTTGCTAGATAAAGTATGGATATTATAGGGAGAACTTATATGTTAATCATTTATGGAAGTCAAAGGTTTAAAATATAGCATTCATACTTTACACAAACCTGTGAGGCTGAAACAAAAACATCCTGCTCAGTTCTACTGTACACAACACTCCACACCATGTCCCTGTGACCTAAAATTAACAAACATTTATTTTTGTCAAGCAAATAATTCCTTAGAAGTTATTTCCTAAATGAGAAAAAAAAAGAACAGTACAATTTAAAACATACCTTTGTAAGACTTTATACATTTTTCCTGCTCTAAATCCCACACTTTGATGCTGACAGGGAAGAGAAGAGTAAACATACAGCTATGAATTCATGTGTGTGAACACAAAAATGTTTGCTCCAATAGAATTTATGGAGTGTATCTTAAACTCCCAGAGTTGATGACAAGTAACTACTTGCCTTTTCACAAATTTCAACTGGTAAGTTAGAGGAGATTTGTCAATTAGGTCATGAGAGTTTAAGGGTTAAATCTAATGGAAATATTTTCGTGTAACACCATACTATTCTAAAACAAAGCCGTAGTGCCAAGGGCAATCTACTGTTTTCGCCACTGTTTTCTTCATCCAAGAACCAAATGCATAATATGGAGCTGTGTGGAAATCTTGCCAAAATCAGTACATAGAAAATATCTCATTAACGTGTTGCAAAAATGAATATTAGGGTCTCAACATATTCAACAATAAAATAAGAGCGGGTTTTTTTCTCTGATTATCGCAAATTACATGTGGGCTTACAGCATAAGAAATAATCCTGGCAGCGACCAGTTCAGTTTAAAATATTCCTCTATGTCGTCTCAGAGGAAGTCCACGAGGTCGAGGACAAAGACTTAACATAAAAACTTCAGTGCTTACCTTCGATCCCAGCTACCGCTGACAATTTTACTCTTTACACAATCTACACTGACGGAAGAAACTGTATTGTCATGATCTGACAACGACGCCATATTTTCTAAACTTTGAAAGCTTCCACTCAGACACCAGATGTCCACAGTGCCTGTATCAGATCCAAGGACAAGTCTTCTAGAGTCGATCCACTTAATGTCTGTCGTCCCTGATTCTGTAGCACATCCAGCACTGCAGTAATGGACATCCGGTGCTTTAGCACGATCTTTAAACAACCACAAAGATCCGTTCCATGTTCGGCCGGTTAATGCTGAGGATGCTACGGCTAATGTACCGTCTGTGAGAAAAATGGGATGAATTAGAACTGAAAAAACTACAGTTTAATAAATTTGATATAAGAAAATTGCTGATCAGGAACCTTCTTCAATATCAATGGCATCAACATGTGGATGAAGCTCTGCAGGGAGAACCTCCATTTTGGAATTTTGTTCGGCACGTGCCAATCGGCCGTGTATCAGGGCGTCATGTAACATAACATGAAATGATTGTGCAAGCAATGTCGCAATCCATACATGATTCCATCAGTCCAATGGAACATGCATTGTTAAAAATTATAAGAGCCTCTCTTGTGCGCTTAAATATTTTAATAAAAAGCACGGTGGGCCCCACAGTACGAAGAGTATTTAGGGTGAAAAATGGAGGCCTAATAACTACGCCGCTGGAAAGAATTAAAGCCGCACGAGATTCAGTTGCCTGTTTTATTGGAGGCAGCAGCCTGGACCTAACGCGTGATCGGGATACGGGAACCCTGAATGGTCTTTGCTGGAGAAACCTAGCGATCATATTCTTAACCTAGCTGCTATTTTATGAATCTTTCTTCCACCTAGAGAATAGAGTTATTTACAGCAAGCTTCGTGGGAGGAAAGAGTACAGCTTCAATGATTAGTGAAGGATCTCCAACAAACACTCAATTCACTGAACACCCTTTTCCCTCGATACTTGGTTTTATTGAGATCTTTTACTCACTCTGGAAGTACTATTATGACTTTACTGAATACTTTAATTTACGCCGGTGAAATTCCTTACAATCAGTGCTCAAACGATAGATTAGATTTCATTGAGAGTCGTAAAATCCAAACCAAATTAATCACAACAGCCAATCAGAAGAAAAGAAAGCAAAGACTATAGACTATTCTAAAAGCGAAAAAAAAAGCCAGCTTTTCTTTTGCATCTAATTGGTCGAGAGAAAGGTGCAAGTTTTCTTAACCAATCACAGAGTGATGTAAAGCAAAACAAATCCAACAGCGGACGACTTTCGACGCAATTGAAAACTGCTCAATACACCGTTAACCATTAGGTGTACGCGACCTTGATTCTTTAAGGACAGAACAAAAATGCATTTCTCTAGAATATATTTCTGTAAATTCGAGCGAGGTAACACTAAAAACCAACTCGTTTCTGAGGAAAACATAATTTAACGCTCAGTCGTTGGAATCTGCTGTTTGGTACAAGGCTTACTCCTTGTGAGCGATGACACACAACTCGTTCGCACACGAAAGCTTAGCGCGGCTGGAAGGAAGGGAGGCACCCCCGACTCTGAAGAAAAACTTAAGAGTTACGGTCATAGGAAGAAAAGTGTTCAGTTTTACTGAAGCTGTTGTCTTAAAAAAGACGAGAGGTCTATTTTACTACAGAGCTGCATGTTCACTTCCAGCGTTTGTGCCTTTCATTTTAGCGAAGCGGTATTTTGACTGATTTTAAGTAGAGCAGCTTGCAACGATAAAATACAAGCGAATCTGTCTTGATTCGTGCACGGACACTGCTTGTAGTCTCACCTCCTTCTTCCCCAAGATGGGATTACGACAAAAAACGCCATAAAAAGTACATATTCAGAAAAAAATATTATTTCTCCTCTCCTGCTCTACAGTCAATCTTGACAGAAAAAAAGAACAATAAAATAATTGTCGACACTCTTCTTCGATTTTTCCAATTCGTTCCGGTAAAATTCTTAGTTAGTTTTCGTATGCCACATCGACTATTGGTATATTCCGAGTCTTCCATTCTTCTATCATCAGTTGCAAAAGTGTTCTCAGTGCACCTGAAGACTGGAATTCTTTCCAGGTGATAAAGCAATCTGTTCCAAGCATTGTATGGTGATTCAAACCAAGTCACACATTTGTACAAAAGCATTCGTTGCAAGCACTTTAAGAAAACCGAGTGGATAAAAGTTCTCTCGTTCTAATCTTCCATTCTAGTCTTTTTCGTTTATAAACAGTTTAAAATATTTCCCGAACTTGTTGACCCTGTACAATTCTCCGTTAATAAGCTTTAAGGGTCTTGGTTTTTTGGGTTTCTTTTTCAACTGCATTATTTCTTCCTCATCTTCGTCGTCGCTTTCTGCTTCTTCTTTATTCGCCTCAGCTTCCCATGGTTCGGTTTTCTGAAAAAAAGATGTCAACATTTTCGGTTTACAGTTCTTCGTTGTCAAGTTTTCCCCAATGTCAATAACTGCAAGAATCTATGGAGCTACGTCAGAATGCTTTTATTTTGAATCGTACGAAGTCGTCGTACAATTCAAGGAGGGCAAAAATTGTACGTTCTATAAGTTTGGAAATATCTTAAGAGACTTCAATTAATAAAAAAGGAACATGGAAGGTCAGAGATGATGATGATTGACGCAGATTACACATTGAAAAGCATAGTTCTTTGGAGTATTTCGTCAATGATAGCATTTTACAAGGTCAGGAGCTACTCGATGGAAGCAGCCTTTGGTTACAACTAAACTACAAGTAAAAGACAATAGTGTCAATATCTGGAGAAATTATCAAGCACGACTCACCCAAGACTCGTGATAAAGTACGCTTAGCAAATACATGGCATAATCCCGGTTCTGTTTCCTTGTTGGACATCTAGAAAAAAGAAACCATGATAAGTAAACAACAAACAGTATTATTTTTATCATAAAGTACTTTACTGGGCCTTTCAATGACGTATAAACTCCAAAGTTCGAAGCCAAACTTGCGAATTTCATGCTGCCACTATTCGTAGCCATAATGGCATCCAGGTGGAGAAAAATACCAAAATGTCGAAATTTTCCAATCGCAATGTTCATTTGAACTCTGATACAGTGTGCGTGTTTCCCGCGAGAGCCGCAACTTAACTTACAGAAGCCAACGTAAAACACATCTTCAATAATGCATCGAGAGCTCTCACGTTTGGATGTTCGTGAAAAACACAATATAAGTGAGAATTTAAAAAGATACATCTCTTTGATTGTTACCAGAAGTTCCACAGAATTCGTTAGCAACCACCCCTAACTAAGTTTAACTGTCAATCATCATCCATAACTGCTTCAAGAAATCAACATACAAAAAAAATCAGACTTCAGTCTCCTGAAGAGAAAGAAAGAAAGAGCACTCTACCTGTCTGTGACAATTGTAAGCTCATCAGTCTCTGGATCATAGCGATCCTCCACCAGTTCAATCAACTTCTTTCTGGCATGATCATCCAGAACCAGATCTCTCAAGTAAACCTGAAGATAACACATTGAATGGGTTATCCTAGACCTTAACATTCCAACATCAGTATGCATATTCTCCATACTGTTCTCTATACATAACTCAAGGTGCTAACAAGGAGAATTTGTTTAACGATCAAGAGCTTCTTTAGTTGGTGATCTTTTCCTTTATTTTCAAGTCCTTAATTCAGGGGTGGTATTGTGTGGAGATATTAGATGCTAGTTGCCCTTAGGGGTCAAAGGGTTGAAAAATAAAGTTCTTAATAATGTCGTACAATCGCAGGTTTTGTGTAATTTTCGACTGAAAGTAATGGATGCCTTCTGTTTTATTTTAATTCACTGTGTGAAAGAAAACCTGTGAATCCCTCTCAAGTACTAAGATACAAAACTAAAAACATTTGCAACTTGATCACACAAGATTCTCTAGGTTTTGGACGCTTTGCCTGTACTGTACTGATTGATTATTGTAATTACTTCAGTTTAAGTTTAACAACACCTGAAGTTTGACCACTCTTGATCCTGGATGATGAAGTGATGGTCCAGCAAATAAGTAATTTTTGGTTGTTACTCGCAATGGTACACTTGAGTGGTCAAGGTTGCTTGGCCATTCAGTACATAATGCTTAAAACAAAAATTGAAAGAATTCAATTATAACAAAATAAATAAATTGTAGCATCATCTGATCTTCCTTTGGCTACCTTAGGAATGGAAATGCTTTCTTTAATTAAGCTTATTAGAATTACAATCAACCTCAATGGGCCACTTAAAGGTATATAGCATCTCCAACAGGATTTTGAGGTGACAGAGTCTGATAGATAAAAATGAATTAAGAACAGATTTTGTTATTCCATCCTTTGTACAGCAAAATTTAAGTAATTTAAAGATCTGATCTCTGTTCAATCACAGCTCAATTGTACACTATGAATGATAAACTATTTTCAAAACAATTAAAAAAAAAAGACCAGCACCAAAAACAATGGTGTTGCTAAACAAAAATAAAGAACATTACGATGTAAATTCAGATGTATACCAGTCATGATCAGACAAAGGGAGAAAACTACAGGAAGCACCAAGTCATTGCTCAATCAGCCAAGATCAAGATGCTACTCACACTTTAGAGCCTGACAGTGTCTTTCAACAGCAGGAGGAGCTAAGTGAAAAAAGGTTGGTATCTAAAAGGAACAACCAATTTATATGTCATATATATTTCAGGGTTTTGCAAAAGCATCAGAGTAGGGTGAAATATTTTAAGAGTAGGAAGAAAATGGAGAACTTCTGTCAACTAAACCTAGAAGAGTTCAGGTAAACATATGACTGCTCAACACAAATGGAATAATTTAAGAAAGTGAAAGGGTTGTACATGTCTGAGGGTTTAAGACTTATATGACTATCTTCATAATATCTCACACCTGAAGTTACTTTAATTACCTTGGATAGTTCTATGTTTCCAATTGCTCCTTTGGGACGGTCTTGGCCATATTTGTTGTGTTTCATTCGTCCCATTCTGAAGAGAACAGGAATTGTAGCAGGATTATATGACTGGGGTCCAGTGAAAACAGATGGCCAATCTGTATACGTACTTCTTAGCTTCAAGTTTCCAGGGATGTTCTGTGAATTGTACACAGCAGATAACAATAATACTCTTCACTCTTTACCCCTGAGTTGTTGGAGGGTAGCAAAAGAGGGTTCTGATCCCATTTCAGACACAAATTTAAAACAGTATTTCATCAATTGCTAATTTTGGAGGAAAACTTCAAATCTCACCTTACCTTACCTTTCTGTACAATTATAGTTATCTCAATGCATGTTCAGAGCACTTAATTCAAATACTTGGGGGGTTAGTACAGGTCTCAACTTCTGATAATTTTTAAAAGCTTTCATCCTACAAATGGGAAGCTGTTTACAAGTATGAAAGGGGGTTAGAGTCTAATGTGGGTGATTTCATGGAAAATTAACACACTAACAGTCTGTAAGATGAATTTAAGGTTCTTCTCACAGAAATAGGTGTTGCCTTTCAGAATATAGTTCAATGTAAAGCATTCATGAGCAAAAGTGTCATTATTCATCAGCAGCTTCTGATTAGGGTCTTAATCAGTATGTCAGTAGGTTCCCCTTTAAAGAATAAAGGCTTTAAATAATATCTATGAATAAGGTTATCAGTTTTCGAAAATACTTTTGTGCTTTGTCAGCAGGCAAGTGAAACACTTAGTTGGTAACCAACCGTCAGAGGTAACAATAAATAAAAATGGCATAGTAAATTTTGAAAAGCTTTGTTTCATGAATCAACCCTCTGTTGAAGCAAATTTGTAACTTCAGTCAGACTATTTTTTTCTCACTAATGCTGTACTTCAGAATTTTCTAACCTTCATTGAGTTACAGCTGACAGCCAACTAGCCCTATTATATATTTTATAGATGAGAGCACAGTGCATTTTCCTACCTTATATATCCACTGATTTATTTTAGGTTTCTTTTTTTTATGGTCTCTTTTCCTTTTTCTCTCTGAAAAAACAGGAACAATGTGGAGGAAACTTTATCTAAATATCATTAATAGCTAACGTTTACAACATATACTTCGTAATTTACATCGTACTGTTTAAAGCTGTAGAATTCGACATACCCCGTTGTTGCATCAAAAAGGAAGCGGATTGAACAACACCTTGAGCGTATCGACGTTGCACCGTCGTGTTATGAAGATAATTCGACGCGCTTGAAGCTTTTATACAAAGTGAAGACCACGATCCGAAGCTCCTAAACGCCGCCATATTTGATCTCTCGCCTTGCCACACCAGATCCCTCTCGTCACGGCAAAAAGTTGCTCAAGTATGGCTAATGAAGTGTCGCTAATAAACTGTGGGAACTGCGACTTGAGATCTAGAGGGGAGCACTCACCAGGAAACAAACGATCTTCTATTCTTCAGGTCTATATGATGGGAGGGATTTGGAAATGCCGTTTTTCGCTTGAAGAGCAAAGGCGTTTATGAAAAAAGGGCAGCCCTTTGTTTGGGTTTACCGTTCCATGTTAGGCAAATTGACCTCAAGTTATAAGAAGACAAGGATATTGACCCTCAGTGGAGCCGGCGTGGAGGTGGTTTGTTTTGCAAAGTGGGGCGTTTTTGTGGGGAAGATTTCCATGCCACTTCCACTTAAACTGTGGAGAGAATTAACCAAAATTCCAAATTTTAAATGTCTCCTTCAAGAAATAAAAACACATCAATTCATTTTCGTGATATATTGTAATCAATTGCATGAAGAGTTAGAAAATAAAACATGGTACAAAAAAACTGCAACCCCCTTCCCATTGTTCCTCCATAATCAAGGTTTCCATTGCCACAGTGAGTAAGTTCTTTTAAAGAAAAATAAAAAATTCTTCTTCTGCTCCCTCAACACTTTATGCAAACTCTTGATTAAGAATAGGATAATATCAAATTTATCCTAAAACTTTCTCTTTTGCTAGTACAAAGCTATGCAAGCATGAACTAAGTTCCATTTTGACTTCAATTCTCAGCAGAACACTACTTTTTTCTTTATTTAGAAAAAAAAAAAAAGATTTTACATGTTCAAAGCACCTATATCTACTTTCTGCCTACATTTGATAGAGGCAATATTGAAAGAAGCAAGTGAAATAATACAGCGTATCTCAAAAGGTCATGTTACCAATTTAAATGTTTTCTCAGAAACATGCACACTGAATTATGGAAACACAAAAGGATTATCACATGTGTGAGAGGTTAGTCAGTCCAAAACAGTGGCAATTCAAATTGGATGCCAAATTTCAATTCGGTACATCAACTAGTTTTAACTCTGAAAAACATGCTTAGGATGAGTGAAATACTATCTGTGACTCTAACTTAAAATTTAACTGTTAACTACAGTGGGTGGATAATAATGTGATTATACACCTCTAATGAAAACTGCTGGCAATTCACATTGAAAAAGTATCTCTTCAACAATGTATACAATACACAGCTAGCTCACAAAAGATATTTACAAAGACAATTTGAAGCTTTCAGAGAAACAGCCACACAAGCTTAAAATGCCATGTTAATATGCATATGATACAAAACCCTCTTAAAATGCTGTCACAACCATTTCTCTGAGATCTCCACTTGTCCAGCAATGGCCAAAATGATCATGACTTTTCAAGAGGACTATTCAAGTTTCCAGTGCCTTATGTCAAATTGGAAGGTCTTTACCCAATTGGACTATTTACAAAGCATGCTTTTGACTTTAATGATGGGAAAACATTAAATCTTGTTTTACTTCTCCTTGTTTACAGAAAGTAAGGAGTTGTGGTTCTGGGAGGTATAATCCTCTCACAGTCTGGTACTGCTTTAAACAGCTTGGGATCTCTCGTATCAGGATCAGAGAAGGCCAATATTGATGCAATGTTTCCACAACGGTAACAGTAGTTTGGAGCTGACCAAACAGTGACTAATGTCTCATCGAACATGTACTTGTATCCTTCATGGACTAACTGGTGAGCACGGCATATCAGCTTCAAGCTGTTGATGTGTACAAACTGGAAAAATGAAAATGAAATTGTCTATTCAACTACACATTTTACATGATTTTATGCAATACACCAATCATTTCTGCCCAAACATTCCCACAACCTCAAACTTAAAGGGGCCCACATGTCTGTTACAATAATTGTTGTGTCAATGATGTGGAGCCTGATCCAAGTTTCCTCACCGATCTTCTTTCTTTCTTGAACAAATTATACCAAAATTAAGAGAAACTAATAGGGAAGAATTTTTTGTGATTATTTTTTCACATGCAAAAAAGAATATGAAAATTTTGGCCAAACAAGGAAAATTCAGCGCAACAGACATTTCTAGTGTACCCTGGTTTAAAAAAGGGTCCTTCAAAAATGACATTAAAATTGGCTCAAAGAGTCTCAAACAAATTTGGGCTTTTTGTTTTTTGCTGTGTTGTTACAGTAGTTGTTGCATGATCATAAATTAAAACAAAGCAAGCTTAACTTAAACTAGATTGGAAAATTTCAAGCAAAGGAAAATCTTAAACTAAAGCTCTAAAATATAGTTATACTTTTCAAAACAGTAACCTCATTAGTGACTTTAGCCCCAAACAGCCATCCTGCACCTCTAGGACTTATAGCCCAAGTATCAACATCTTCTGGATCAGACCACACCAGATGTACATAATGTCAAAGAGAGTAACACTGTACAAAGAACTAAAAGAACTACTTTTATAACAAGTTCCTTAGCCTGTGATTTTAACAGAAAGCTCCTCATATTTCAGACATTGTCTGGTGATCCAAGAGACCCATACCTACTGGTCAGGTAAGTTATTTTCTATTCTCTTCCTGGCTGGTCTTCTACTAAGGGTAATCCTAATCAAAGAAGACTGGTATTCCTAACAGGGAACCCTTGTATTTTTCATATTCCTCAATTTATGAGTCAGAACAATGGGCAAATAATACCAAGTCAACTACAAGAAAATTACCGTTAAGTTAAAATCGGTTGTTGCTGATAATGTTTACATGTAATTTCTGCATAACAAAACAGGGCAAAAGTAAGTATATTAATTTAAATGTTGATATTCTTAAGTGCTCTCACTGTGTCTCTGCATGGAACTAAAGGACCTTACTTTGTTCAACAGTAGAGAAATATTTTGTAGTGTGTAGGATGTATTTTAGTTTGTTGAAGTACATGCTCTCTTCTAGGCTTGTATGAGGTGTAAGTCTCCCTCTAATCTTCAAGGTGATTTTCATCATTTTTGGGATATTACATTAATTGTTCTGCTATGACTGCTGTCAGGGTCTACTCTTTAATCATTGGAACTTTTTCAAACAACACATTTCTACAGGTATTACCATGCATTCCTTCTGTAGTTTGATTTTTCCATGGTGTAATTTGAATTTCTTAACCATTCATCAATTGTGATATAATGTCAATTGTGTTATAAAGGTATTAGCTTTATTAAGCTATGTATGTGCGGAACAAGGAGCTTAAAATCATAGAAGGAAAATGTTTTTCTCTTTTCCTTAATGAAAAGTTGTTCCATACATGTGGTTCCATGTTTAATCAAAACAGAGTCTTTAACATCCCTGTAACTTAATATCATGCAAAAGGATATCACAAAAAGCTCCTTTGTGTGGGATTTCCATGTTACGATCTATAGTCCGTACCTGTAAATAAGTGACAATGACAATAGAGTTAATCAATACTCCTCACTTTGAACCTAGATAATGTTTATCAACTTACAGTAAATGCAACAGTGACAACAACAGTGGGAATATGTAGTAAATCACAAAGAAAAATTTCTGTGTTCACATACTTACCTGATCAAGAGTCCGAATATCTGGTGATAACCCACCATGGACACACAAAATTGATCCATCAATAACCTGTTGGAAAATTGACTCTATTATAAATACTTAGTAGAAAGTCATTATATTACAAAACAAATACAGGGAATCTCCAAGCTTCTTTTCTCTGTATGAACAAGCAGTCAGATGTGCAAACTTCCCATAGTTAATTAGGTGATTAAGTTAACTTCCCATGATTAATTAGGTGATTAAGACATTTAGTATATTCCACACAGGTAAATATTGCTTTTTTGACATGCTGATTGGCTTTTTCAGAGGTGATAAAAAAAGTACAGTATTCACCTCTAAGTAGCCAAGGAGACAATATCACAAGTCAAGAGCTTACTTTCCAACCAGTTTTCGGAATATTGACAGAACTCTACTAATTTTTGGTTCCTTCATGATATGTACTAACACAATTATTCACCTCCACATTCAATTGGTAAATAATTTTTAGGTAATTGTATGTAACAACATTTGTTCTTAAAAAACACTGGATAATTATGTAATGACTGTGACACAAACGTACAGCAGCCACAGTGAGGAGATCAAACACTTTACAGCAATATCTCCAGGCATTGGCATTTCCATACTTGGACTGACATTCATCTGAAAAACAAAATAAAAAGACATTGAATGTATCTGGACCACTTAAAAACAAAACCACCTCTGAAAAACAAAATAAAAAGACATCAAATGTATCTGGACCACTTAAGGTTCATTCAGCTCTTTCTTTAAAAATACAAGAGTTTGTTTCTTCAAATTATTGATCTTTCTCATGAATCATTTTTCATGTTGAGAACAACATCATGAGTATTAAAATATAGCACTTTTTTGTACTAAAACTGGGAAAAAAATCCCAGTTTAAATGAAAGACTAGTGACATGCTTCAAACTTACCATAAAAGCCATACACCTGAGTAATCTGCCTACTTTCGTGGTTTCCTCTCAGAAGTGTAATACGATCAGGCCATCTGGAACAGTTCAATGAATGGCAGTTTATTCAACAAAAAGTTGGGCAAAAATCAGCTCTCTCTTAGGTTTGAACCTCAAAGGTTTCTATTATCATATGAATTAAAAATGTTTCTGGTTATTGGAAACTTTTCACCCTTGAATAATGTTTCTTTGATAATTGTTGATTGCTGAAATTACATGCAAAAGAGCAAGCAGGAAGTCATAAGGTGAAGAAGGAGAAAAATGATGAAAGACAAGTTTGTTTGCTTCTGGTGACTAGGACTTTTCTCTACTTCATGTTTGCTCTCTCAAAGTACAGTATATACATTAGCTCAATTTCAAGTTAAAATAGAGAGGAACATCTTACTTGGCCTTCAAAGTCAATAACCTGGTAAATGTTTCCAAGCTATAATAGCCTCTGTCCACAAAGTCACCCTGTGAAACAAAAAAATTATATCACTAAAGGAAAGAGTATGTAACTCAATATATCAACAAAAAAAAATTCACTGCATGTCTGTTTTCAATGTAAATGTTAAATCACATAGACACTTTCAAGAAAACAAAATCAAAGAAAATAAAACTTTATGGGTAATAACTGATTTTTCATTAAGTATATTCACAAAACCTCAAATGGATCTCAGAATAATTATGGGAAAATCTGTGACATGAGATACAATTTCATTTTCAGTTTCATTCAAAACTCTGACAAGCTTTCTTTGTTCAGTGAATCCCATCTAACTTCTTTTTTTCTCATAACTTATTGTAAGAGCCAAACCTATAATTAGGGGGGGCATTCATCCAAATGATGATCAATACAAACAAATTTAGCCTACATGTACAGTGCTTTCAATAAGACCCGCCACCCTCCAGAGCTCTGGCGGGTCTTCTGTAGTGAATTGCCAGGTATGCTTTGGAAACTTTTAAGCAAACTCATGAAGTGAGACCTAACACACCTTGAGATCTTCTAGAGTTCTTTCAAGCAACTCTTACCTTTATAAACAAGTTTTGACAAAAATGATTGATATTTTCTATCACATATTCCACCATACATTTCATACATTTCCAGCGAAAAAAGATTTTGAGTTTCCAAGAACATACTGACTCAAATTTCAGAAACCAATGTGAAACTCAGGGAGCAGAAATGAAAGATTTTGATCAGAAATATAACAATCAGTATACAGGAAATGAATATTTAATGATCATCTACAAAAGTAACACCAAAAACTGTTTGAAGCCAATTTGTTCTGAATTGAAGTAACATGATAACAAGAGGGAAGTTGTTTTTCACATTATTCTCTGATTGGTGCTTTACCAAGTTGATCACCTTCTTCAAATCTTGTTAAAAGCACTGCATGACTTAATAATGCTGCATTACTAAATAAAACTCCAAGAGGTGAGATTCAACATGTGAATTCTCAATACAATAACAATACACTATCAAATTCTCAACTCTAAATATTGCATTTCAAGTGTTCTGATTGGTTCACTCAACTCCGTTTATCAGCTCAGATTCTGAGTCACCTTATATGGAAAAGAATTGCACCAACAGTTGCAATGCTAAAAAGAAAGCTTCAAATACTGTATCCAAACTTCAGGATTATGTTCCTTGTAGGCCATTTACCAACTCATATCCAGTGCCCACATGTTGTTAATTTTACAGCCAACAGGTGATAAGAAAAGACAGCCTAGTCAGCCACAAGGTATTTCCTTAATTCATCGTAAAATTTTCAGAATAAATTCATAATTAAGAGAGTAACCTCTGGAGGGGAAAATTACTGATAGGATCTCTAGATTTCAAGATTTGTGGATACATTAGGATACCTTTTAGGATTACAAAACTAGTTTTGGAATTTTTTAATTTGCATTCTTGAGGATGGATTTGTAATGAATTATTGATAAATAAGAAACCTAGATGTAGATAATATTAATTATGTAAAATGAAATGTTCTCACCATAAACACATATGATGTGTCTGGAACTTGTCCTCCAGTTTTAAACAATTCCTCCAAGTCATAAAACTATAAGAATTGACAAATCCAATAATTAAATATTGTTTATCACATATCTGAATGAAATTTCTATAACCATTTTCACAAAACCACATACACAGACTGGTTGTGCAATATACAAATTTACAGGAGTATTCAAATACCAGCTTATGTCGGCTATGACACTAATTAAGTCAAATTAATAGAATTAACAAAATGTATTTACACCAACATAGCAGGGACATAATGAAAAATCTTGACAACGTACGAGAAAAATTGCCATCTCTTCTCGTCTTTTTAAATCTTATATCATCAAAACAATAGATATTGACGAGACTTGAAAACAAAAAGGTACCTAACGTGAGTAGACTATCCCTGCATTGTAGAGCTAGTGTATTGCAAAATTTTTGATGAGTTGAATCTTCAAATATTGTATTCCATGAACAGACCGATGCACCTCCTTTTATTGATACAAATATCCTGAAAATTTCCATGTTGAATAAATACGTAAGGATACCTGTCCATGAATGTCTCCACAAACAGTAACTGGCGTGGAAACCGGTTGAACATTCGATTCTTCAAGCAGCAATTCGCAGACGTAGTCACAAAGTTTCTACCAACAAGAAGACAAGAATATATCCAATTGTGAAAAAAATTTTGACGTACCATGAGTATACCAAGACATTTTTATCAATTGAACTTACCTTTAGGTCATTTTCTGGAAGATATTTACATTGTTTTGCGATATCAATCCACTGGTCCACGTCCGCCATTTTGCTTTCTAAACGGAACTGAGCATGCGCATTGATCCTCGGCTGACTTGCCTCGTTCCCGATCAGACAAATTCCGGGGCATTAGACGTAAGGAAGCAGTTATCCTCATCGATTGAAACTGCACGACATCCCAAATACGTTACGTTGCATAAGGATTTATTAAAGGGGCTATGCATTATGCAAGCATGTCTTTCCTTCTTGCTAACAAACAGTCGTGCTGAAATTCCTGCAGTCGTGAGGAGTATTTTAGAGCAAACGCCCATTAATTTTAACTGGAAAGGAAAACTTTGTTTTGCGTTCTTGGACAAGACACTTGTCTTTCGCAGAGTAAACTAATGTAAACTTAGGAGCCCATTACCCGGAGCTTCCATCTTCCATACTTACCCTCTGAGTCAACCCTGTCTCGTATCATGCAGAGAAGGAATATAGGTCAGCCTTCGTCTTTGGCCGCCGTTTTTTTAGGGTGTTATGCGAACGTCAGCGTGTTTTCGCGGGAAATTAAAGAACCCCACAGCAGTTCTAAAAATAAAAAGACACGGGAAAGAGTTGACTCAAGGGTACAATTGGTATGGAGGCTCCGGGTAATGGGCTCCTGGTAGACTTCAATAATTATCGATCAATTGAACGACGAGCTGCAATCACCACGTGAATTTTCGTGTCACTGGAATAGAACCGTGAAAATTAAATTGTTGGGAAAGGTGTCAAGCCCCCGGACTAAAAAATTCATAGAATAATATACATATATAAACAACACTGGCATTCTCTCCAAACGGTATTTAATAAATGATTCAAAACAGTTAAAACTAAAGTACAATTCTTCAAAATCAACTAGCGGAAGTAAAACGAACGGAATAGATTTCGTTAAGTTGCATGTCTCTGCAGTAATGTTCCTTCTTCGTTTGATTTTACTATTTCGTGTAACGTTCTAGGTTGGAACCGAGCAATTCATACTTTTTTCCGTGCACGATCCAGAGTCGGCTCGGATTCGTCGTTGGGAAACTTTGGAATGTGTACTTTGACTTGCTTCCCTTTGACGGTCATCTGCATAGTAACATATCCTTTGCAAAGTGACTGATTCGGCCGCGCATCGTATGCGTATGTCACCGCGTCTCCTTTGGTATTTCGCACGGGCTGCCAAGTAAATACGGACCTTTTAGACTTGCGAACGTTCTTGCCCAGCGAAGGTATACTTAGCCTTTGAGAATCTCTTTTGCTTGCATCATGGTTTAGAGTGACATCATTTTGACTTGACACGGCGTGGAACTTCCCTGGAGGTAAGGTTGCTCTTCTCCTTATTTGTTCCTCTGCCAATTTTTGGTGGGATGATTGTTTAATTTCGGTGGACGTACTTTCAGAAAAATTTCGATTGTCACTATGGGATGGCTGTATATCTGTGTTATTTACACTGTTACTGTGCTGTAAGCCATGCACTTTCGGTTGTCGTAATTCAATCTCAGAATTAAAAGTACTTTGATTATTTGCATCTGGAGTTGAATCTGGTGAATCAACAAATGCCAACCGCGCCGGAGGCCTGGTGCTAGCATGTTTGCGCACTTTGTTGAGTTCTCTACTCGTGATTAACTTGTGATCATGATGTGGCTCACGGCTGCTGGCCACAATCACATTTTGTAGCAATGAAACTCCATTATCGAGACAGTCTGGAGGGCTGTCTGGAACACGAACTTCCGTTATGCTATCCAAGCTCTCGCACGACTTAGATATTAATTTCCTGTCATTTATTTGAAATCTGGACTCTAATTCTTTTGTGTTACCATCCTCAAAGATTTCAGTGTGAGCCTGTGTGTCCGAGTTAAACGACATTTCCCTTTGACGCTTTTCTTCAGTCTCTCTGTCTTCCCGTCCATTGCTTTTAATCGTTTCTGCATGTGATGTGTCGCGCAAAGATTTTACCAGTCTATGGGTCACAATAACACCCCTATGATCTAACTTTAGTCTTGGGTCAAGTAAAGTTTCTTTTGATTCTTTATCTTCTTTCTCTTTCAATTCCTTTAGTTTCTCGTCAGACAACTGGATAAAGTTTCTTCGCGATCCAGGTCGACATGGAGGTTCAATAACACGGAACTGTAGCCTCACTTTGGCCCGCGCCGAACCAGCAGGATCACTTTGTTGTTCTTTGTTTACAGCTGAGCTTTCTTCCTTTTTTCCTCTTTCATCTTGAAGGGTCATTTGAGAAAATGTCTTCATAGTAGGCTCGCTGTGACGCAAGTTCAAACCTCTGGGACGTCTACGACTACGAGAGTCTCTACCGTTCATATCAGGCATCGAAAATCTCTTGTAAGCCACCGGCATGTCTTCAGAACTAGCCAAGGCCGCGCGACCGTCGATAGCGTACCCTTGAGAGCGCAGAAGCTTTCTTCTTTCCGGGCTTATTCCTGGATTTTTCCGAACATTTTGTATTTCTCTAATCTTCTTCTGAAGCGAATATTTTTCCACTCTGTACTCAGCATTCTTTTGGGTTTTTTTATTATCCAAGACCTTGAGTCTTTCCTCCAAGAGGAAGGATTCAGTTTCATTTAATCGACGTGTCTTTATAAGACTTTCACACGTAACGGATGTCCCTTGCTGCTTTGCTGAAATAGCCATTCTGTGATGGTATTAACATCTCAGAACCATGAAAAGACATTATTTCGCATAATTTTATCATCAAGGCTCCGTGAGGCGGCTTCTGGTAAACAAAGGATTACTTTAGAGTTCCAAACAGCAAAACACTTCATCTGTATCCAAGATACTAGTGTACAATGGTAAGCGAACCGTCACTTTCATTTGCATGTGGGTGATCACGCAACTTCGGAGACTGATCTCAACTTTCGATAACCTACTTCCGATTTTGCGATTCTACACCGAAAGCTTTCAACCTTAATTTAACACACTGAAGAAGATATGTCAGAAATACCTACTCCAGAAACGAGTCTTTGTCTAGACTAATCTGAAATATAATGCAATATAAATAGCTTTTGATAAAAGAACCCTTTATTAACAGCTAATAGATTTTACGCATCAATTTTGACGCTTCATAGATTGACAGCAATTAGCATGTACGCGAAACAGATATTTACATTTAGATGCAAGGAACCGCCAAAAGTCCCTTGCAATGGAAAGCTGTTTGACATCGAATCTTAAAAGAGCTTAACATCGCTTACTTAATGGCATTTAAATATAAAGAGCAAAGCGTTTGTTTAATCAAAGTTTATGATCCATTGCGTAGATAGAGAACTGAAAAGTTATTTATCAACTTTGATTTTGGGGCAAAGGTTGATGACAATGTTAACACTCCGTAGAGAAGTAATATTCCATTATTAAAACAATAGATATTCAGATAACATCTATGCAAAACTTAAGTTGAATCAAAGAGGAGAGAATGAATTATGATTCAATAGCTATTAGCCAATGGTCAACAAAATTTATTCCTATCTGTTGACGTAGGTTTCAGTGACGTACAGCTTACGAATGACTTACCGTGAGTGTAGCGGAAGTATATCAGTTAAGGGTCTCGAAAAGGACGGATTTTACTCGTAAATGCAAGAAGGTCACAGTTAATTTCAGTTTGATTCTTTCACTTGTGGAAGCACTTCATTGCTAACGTAGAAGAAACTTATCGAATTGTATTTTCTAATTTACTTAGGTTCATAAGCTATTATATTAACAAGTCAACCTTTTACTTACTGAGGTAACCTGTTCCTTTTACGTCAGACCGCCAACAAATATCGGGCAGTACAGTCGAATAATGGCGAAAGCTTGCCATGAACAACAAAACGATTGTTTATTTCGTCTTCTTTTCGGAAACTCGACACTGGATTAATTTTTTTACTGCTGGTTTTTGTAGCGTATAGCCTTTCAACATTTTTACAGCCACAAAATAACAATCGTCAACATCTCAGAAGCAATACAATTTGTGAAGAGGAAGCAACTCAATGTTTCGTCGAAATGACTGATACTGCTGTTAGCCTGTGAAATAACGTATACAGTGATATAACTCGATAACTTCATGGACCCATGTAAAAACTTCTGCATCTTGAAATTCAGCGGATTAGCGATCCGTGTTTGTCTCCTCTGTCGAGAGAAGATAAAGTCTCATTATTTTCTCTTGCCTTTATTCGTTAACCACTCTCGGCCTTTTTAATTCATTCTTCTTATTTTTGGCCTTTTTCTGTCCTTCAATTAGGGAGACAACAAAGACTAAAAAACAGCTGCAAATATCGTAGACTGAATGCATGTCACGATGCGTAAGGTAATACTTTTTCCGTTATTAACAACGGACTTTGACAAAGTAGCGCTGGAAATAGTAGCTTCCAGCTGTAACCTTTTAACCCCTAAGAGTGACTAGCAACTAATGTCTCCTCTCCATATTACTCCTGAATCAAACATTGAGGTCAAGAGAACAAAATAAATTATCACCAACTAAAGAAGCCGTCGTTTGTTAAGCAAATTCTCCGGCTCGTCAATACCTTAGGAAATGTAAAGAGAACAGTGTGAACTGAGAATATGAAAACTGATGATAGGTTGTAAAGGATTCAAGTTTTTGTCAACCAAGGGTTTTCAGGATGTAATCTCGTACTGAGCATTGGTTCTATTATAAGGCGCTCTATGATTGGTGTAAAATATTTTAGGCCACCCGCTCAACCAATCAGATGTAGAACTAAAACCACTCACGAGTTGGTCACTTGAGTTTTCCTGCGGTTCGGGCGGTTCGTTTGAGTGTTTTTTTTTCTGTGAATTCCTATTTGATACTGGCGATATTTACCTTTGTTCTGTTTGGCCGATGTGATTAATGTGGTCTTTTTGGACTTCGACACCCAACCGAAAAGCGCTAAAACGTTACGTGTGTTGAAGTCCTAAATGTAATAACATTTGGTCCTAAATGTAATAAAGTCCTAAATGTAATAACATTTAGTCCTAAATGTAATAAGCCTTAAATGCAATCGTTTAACTCCTGCAGTGCATTGTTGTTATGGCGGACATCCACATTGATATGTTAGTGACAGCTGTTGCACCAAAAAAACCGCTGACCAGTATACATGTCACATTATGGGCCCGCTGATATCAATCAGCGTCTTTTTACTTGCTAGACATAAGAAATATCAGCAGTCGAAGTATGGTCCTTAAAGCGGTTTATTGATCGAGTTGAAGAAAATCATTTCCAGCTCAAAGTGGGCTAGTGCTTGGCTGGAAGCTCAATAGGATGGAATCGATTGGTACGTAACCATTAAGACTTTTTGGAAAAGAAATTGACTGCAATTGATGATGAACTAGCATGCTATTGTTGATGTTATCGTTCGTGTTATAGTCTTTAGAAGTGATGCACCATTTTAGAGCAGTTTGAATGATTTCGCTGTGTCACATGTTAATCCAAAAGAAAATTATTATTATCAGTAGCGTTATTGAAATTTTGCACATCAATGTTATTCAGTGTCAATTGATTCTAATGAAGCATTTGAGTTCATTTTTAAGAATGACTATCCTGATTTATTCAATTTTGAACCTGGGGTGTTGCATTTCCAGCCCTCTATGGCTTTACTCCACCTCAGTAATCAGTTCATGTACCATATGACTATAAGTGGAAACTGTTGAGCTTTCTTTTTTCATTAATCTATTTATCTATTCATTTTCTCCCCTCACGGCGGGGAGAAGAGGTGAAGACAAAAAATGAACAAATGAAAAAAAAGATCAACTGTAAAATGTATGTTTTCCTAATATTTCGGTTCGGAAACTGATGAACCCGTCATAAGGGGCTAAAGGAAAAAAATGAATGGTTCCCCCAAGTTAGACCGTCAACTGACCATCATGTGTTGAATGGTGTAGCTCAATGGTTCAATTTGACTCTTGCGTGGAAAAAAGGCAACATGTCGAGACCTGTGATCGTGAAATGGGATAACATATGATTGGTCAGTCGATATCTTGCTCTGCAAGTCACATTATCATATAGCTAGCAGCACACGCGGGCAAGATGAAGTGAATCCTGTGTTCTGATTGGCTACCTGAGCGGGCATGATGGGCCCACCCTCGCCCGTTCGGGATCCCCCGTATTGATCTCACGCAAGAAAACTTACAAAGTTCGTAACTTTTGGACAATGTTTGCATATATACATAGAAAAAATAAACGACCCTCTTGGGTTTATTGTGCTGCAAACACAGTTGGCTTTCACTATCGGCTCTCGAAATAAACAGGCCATTCTTGATTCTTATCAAAGCGAAATCTTTTGCTATACAATGAATCCTTTAATGATAAAGCCAAGAGAATATAAACTCTCTTGACCAAGCTTGTATGGTCAAGATTACTGGATATTAGCCTCGTTCTTTACCTACTTTTTTATGGACCGTGACTTCGTCTCAGTCCATAAAAACGCAAAAAAAAAAAAAAAAGAACTCGGCCAATATATAGCCATTTTGACCTCACGTTCGGTCAATAACGTATATGAATATATTTTATGCAAACCCGTACAAATCTGGCAAGGGAAGAAAGTACAAAAAATGCCCTTCTGAGCCCAGAATTTGTCTAACGTATAAGTCGGTGGACTTCTTTTTCCTTGTAATTTGGTTCATCAAGTGTTAACTTCAGCACTGACGACAGAAGTATTTCGTCAAAATCTGTTACACTTAAGAGTCTGAGCCAATGATATAGAGAGAGCTATTAGTCAACGTTCTTGTTGCTTTTGCGTCCGTCAATTTGATGCCAAAAGCACATCAGTATCAGAATAAGGTTTTGTAGCCAATGCTTCTCAATTTACGTCTTTAACAAATAAAAAGCCGCTGATTAATATCAATGAGCCCGCAATATTCTATAAATATTGGTCAGAGGATTCTTTGGTGCAACAGCTGTCACTTTAACATTTCAATGTTAGCGCAGTTAAACGATTGCATAGGAGGCTTATTACATTTAGGACCGAACGTTATTACATTTAGGGCTTTATTACATTTAGGACCAAATGTTATTACATTTAGGACCAAATGTTATTACATTTAGGACTTTATTACATTTAGGACAGTTATTACATACAGGACTTCAACAACGTGCCCTGAAAAGTGTTTGAAAACTTAGTGATTTTCTTTATTGTATGCCAGCTGACAAGTACCATATAATTTTCTGATTCATCCCTTTCATGATTCAAGGTTGATTATTCCGTATCTACGCGTGAGCGTGTACTAAGGTGGAACCACGTGCGAGAAAAAATAAACCAAAACAGCAACATACACCAGAGCTTACAACTATAGTGTTCATTTATTATTTGTAAATTTGTACATTATGCAGGTAATATTTCGTGCCGTGAATGTAAATTGTATATATTCATAAAAGCTTTATCTCTTTATATGAGGGTTTTTTTTAAGATTTATATGTTGTGACATCCACTTTCATATGGCGGATGGATACTATTTTTTATAACGCAATAAGTATCGGTTCTAAGTGGTCGACCGTCTGGAGTGTCTGAGACATCAGCTATTTGTTTTTAGCCGTCAGTTTCCTTCCAGTCCCTCCAGCAGCTTTTAGAGCTGACTTGGCCCGAGCCCTCTCCGCTGGCGTGACATCATCTATGCAATCGCTGGTTGAAAACTTGGGTACGTATACCCTGACTTGCTTACCACCGATTGTCATCTGCATCGTCATGTAGCCTTTACTCAGTGCTTTGTCAGGCCTTGCGTCGTAGACAAAATCTCCAGCGCTGTTCCGCCTTCCGTTTATCTTTGAAACTTTTTTCAATGTCGAGCTTTGATGACGGGACAGGCCTGGACGCCCTTGGGGAGCGCTTTGCGCGCGTGTAGCGGCGCTTAGTACACCGTTTGTTCTCGGCTTCCTTAATTCTGCGTTGGAAGGCAGGGAAGTATCAGTAACCTCGCCTCTGGTTTTTCCACTGTCCATTTCATCGCTAGCATCGTGAACAGAGTCCTTCCACGAAACTTTCCTCTCTGAAAGCTTAGAAAACTTTCGTTGGTCTCCATCCGGTTCATCATTTTCTTCCTTTACATGATTGGCAGCCACAACTTTTTTCTTCGGAACTCGAGGGCTTGTTTCTGGCGACTTGGAATGAAACCAATTTCCATTCGATGGAGCAGGTGGAAGGTGAACACTACTTGTACTACTTTCCAAACTCATTCGTCTCAGGTCAGCAACTGTACCAGAAATTCCTTTTTTTCCCGCCATAGAAGCAACAGTCATAGATCTGGGACGTATTTTTGGCCTTAACGAAGGCTTCAGATCCAGAGAAATTGTCTCTTCCAACACAACGTTATCACTGCTTTCTTCCGACAAAAAGTTCGCTTCTGTTCGTAGTCCGCTTTCCAGTTGTAGGTCGGCTGATTTTTCGTCAGTTTTCTTTTCGCTGGTTACAGAATCACTGCCACGAGACTTCTTCCTAACATTTCCGGTTGTCGAAGAACTTTTACGCGACATTTTTCTGCGCGGAGTACTTCCTCTGTTCTCTTGAATATTACCTGGGCATGTGCGACTCCTTGGCCGTAGAACTATCTCCTTATCTCTCTTCAGGTGCGCAGTTTGTGGTCTCAAAACTCCATACTTCCTCTCTATATTACCGATGTCGTCGAGGCTAAGCAGTTTCTCTTCATCTTTAGAGTTTTCATCTTCCACATCCCTAAAGTTTCTCCTGGAACCTGGCCTTAAAGGGGGCGTTATGTTTCTGTAACGGAAATCTTTCCATAAGCTGTGAGACCGTCCTCGAGTTTCAGCCGAGGAGCGATCAATTAGCTCCTCATTGTCCGAATTTTCTACGTCAAGATTTGGTGCCGCTAACGATTTCAATTTATCGATACTCAGCTGTTTCCTAAGAGTGTCTCCGTCATAAAAATCCGAACAAGGTATATTGATGTCCTTTCCGCATGATGAACGCACCGTAAAATATTCTGCATTACTCTTATCTTTGGAAGGCAAAATCCTTAGTCCTTTATCCCGCAGAAGCTTCCTCCTTTCCACGCTTACACCAACATTTTTCTTCACACCTTTGATTTTGACCAGGTTTTGGCGAACACCATCGATTTCGTCCGATATTTGTGAATAGTTATGTTGACTCTCGTAGTCGATTGTTTTCACTCGTTCCTGTAGTCGAAAGTTTTCCACTGAGTTCATACGATGTGTTTTCAAGACCCTCGTGGAGACCACCGACGGGGTCTCTCGTGCGCTTCTTACAAACATGACCCCGAGGAACGCAAGCGAATGGCTCACTTGTCAAGTATAAATTTAACACTACTCCCAAAGTATTGTTTAGCAAAGAATAATCTGAATGCGTCTGCTGTTTACCATGCGGTATTACGACTTACGGCTTTGATCATTAGGTTAATATAATAAATTGGCTCATTAGTCCCTTGAGAGCGTTGCTCTAAAAACCTGACCTTATTGTAGTTACTGCTTCCAAAGCCTTATTCGTCAATTGAAAGGATAATTTGCTTTCAATTTTTCTTTCAAAATCCATTTCAAATAAAGAAATATATCCCAGAAGGATTAAATTGATTTAATTCCTCTTTTGTCTTCTTTGAAATCCGTCAAAATGTAAAGGAATTATTTCTTTTGCGGCTACTTAACAGCTCGAAAATGAAGTGAGGGGTTATTCATGTTATTCAGACGGGGTGTCGCAAACACAATTCAAACAATGTTATTTGGAAGAATCATAATGAGATAACAAATCCAAATTGTGAAATATTTTTCGCACCTTGAGTTTTGGCCATAAAAGACAACTATCTAATTGGATCAATCAGACATAAGACCACTCTTTACTAACATTACTAATTACATTAGTATATAAAAATCCTTGCATAGTACGTCAACAAATAATACCCTTCGCAAATGGATTGATCTAAGTGATAAGCCGTCTCTTATCTCATTAATTTTTGTTTAATATTTTAAGGCAAAGTACACACCGTCACCACAACCACACGAAACGGCGAATTTTATGCCGAAATAAAGAGGACTACCTTCAGTCTCTCATAGGATTACCTGGAAGGGATTACTGGAGAAGAGAATACTGGAACATGACTCTACTGGTCACTGATCAGATTGGTCGGTAATTTAGGACGTTATACTCTTGATTTTGAATTGGCTAGTGTCCAGAGAGGTAGGCTATAAAATTCTCCAAAATTTCATCCAAGTGTCGTCACCTTTGTTACCATTTTCAGATGTGTTCGATAAAGCTGCACAGGCGGGCTGAAAAAATCTTCCTTCTTGACCACTGCCTTACAGTCGCCCGCCCTACCGGTTGGACTCACACCAGCGTGAAAACCGAGATCGGATTTGACGTGCAGAAAGTTTTGCAATGATTGAGTGTTTTAGTGTCGGCAGAACCATCCTTAAACAAGATAGTAATTAACTAAGTAAATAAAAGTTTATTTAAAACACGCTTGCCCCGCCAACTAAGCTGATGGTTAGAACAAGATCACTAGTATAGAAGCTCTACCGGTCAAAAAAAATATTGTGCTTGGCAGATAAGCGTCATTGTCTCGCAGTCAACGGATGGAAAAAAGAGTGTTCATCTTTTCATGTCTAATCATGCGACTGCGTCACAAAAATAGAACGGATGAATCAGATAAACAACAGAACTTTAAATGAAACCAATAGATATAGCTCTGTACCTTGTCCCCTCGACTAGATCTCGTGCAAGTAGCGTTAATTCATTCCGCTAAATTCATTCCGCTAAGTTGGGAAGGACCTCCAATGTTCATCTCACATCGCCAGTGTTTGCTATTTTCGTCCTTACTAAGATAAATGCCTCAGTATGAATTAATTTTGCCGTTGAAGAATAATCCAATACAGTAAAAACCCGCATATAAGAACCTAGATTTTTTCAAGTTAGCCTCCATAGGTTCTTATATAGATGGTGTTTACCGTGAAATTAGGCTACCAAGGTTCTTAATCACATTCTTAATTTTTGCTTAATAAAAAAATAACTTGTATTGGTAGGTGTGGGTGTGATACTGCGCTGTATGCCAGCCTCACAGTGCCCCGCTTTGCATGGTGTACTTAGACACACAGTCGGATATGTTGCACAGCTATAGATATATTGACAGTAGAGTATTGTGGTCTTATAACACTGCCGGTGTTCTGGTTCTATCTTTTTGTATTGTATGCGATGTACAGTATCAAATTTGAACAAACTTTACATCCTCAAAATATATAAGAACCTGTATTGAGATTTTAGTCTGGAATGGTTCGTAAAAGAGGGGTGCTCAACTGGGAAATTTTAACCTCACAGGATCTTAAATGTTAAGTTCTTATACGCAGGTGTTAACTTTATCGGAAAATTCTGAGAGCTTTGTTAATTCAAAACTGAAGGCCTTAGGACTCTGAATAAAGGGGTAAGTTTCTAAAGAAACTGTGGTGCTGCGTCGGTGGGAGAGTATAGCAGGTAATTTAGTGCTAACAACTGGGTTGAAAACGTAAATTAGCCACCGTAAAGGGTAAAAAAGCTGACGTTTCGAGCGTTAGCCCTTCGTCAGAGCGATTGGACAGACAGACTTCGTCTAATCGCTCTGGCGAAGGGCTAACGCTCGAAACGTCAGCTTTTTTACCCTTTACGGTGGCTAATTTACGTTTTCAACCCAGTTGTTAATACTAAATTACCTTTGGACTCTGAGCTCGTTTGCACCCTCCGTATTCAAAAGCTGATGCCACCCATGTGACTCGTTGTTCTGTGGTTTTCTTCTGCGGTTGTTTTTACTTTTAATTTTCTATCAACGCCATCTGTTATATTGCTACCGGATAATTCTGTCTGAGATAATAAAGGACCAAAAAATAATATAACAAATATCATCTCAAAGGATACTGTTTCTCTGGAAATTAATAATTCTGATTGGTTTACTTGAACTAAAGAATTGTTCTGAATGTTAATCCAGAGAGAAACGTCTACACAAGGATGCATTTTTTATCTTCAGTATCTAAAAAGCAGTGCTACAAACTCGACTTATTCTTGCCATGATAAAAAATTACAACATCTATTCAGGTCCTCAAGCTTTTGAATGACACAAAAAAATTATTAGCAAGAAAAACAATATAAAAAATAACCAATTAACAACTTTGTATGATAGTTTCACAAGACTAACAGTCAATATTCAAATCTAGCCAGCCTTTTCTAACTTTTCAGCAGCAAAATTTATCTATTAGTCTAAGATCCGCCCCATAAGCGATTCCTCTGCGACCGAATATCATTTGTCGAGCTAGTTCTCACATCATTTCCTCGTAGAATATCAAAACGATTTGCAGTTCCTCTCTGGAAGATGTTGCGCTTTCTTGTTGAAAGATGGTCTCCTTTGCCTTTACGCGTTTTCTCGGGGCAGTAGTTCTTCTCGCCTAACCTTCAATTTGCGTGAAATTTACAGCCATCATAAGACTTCAAAAATCTCGCTATGGAGTTGAAGAGGTTCCAAACGAGAACGCAATACAACAGAAAAGTTACGAAGGCCAGCTCAGCGCTCGTGTCACTTTACGAAAAAGTGAAGAAAACTCCGGAAATATCTTGATCACGGGAATACTGAGTTCCTCTTCGATAATCCAAGGCCACTCCATCACGAAATGTAGTATGTTTTCTCTTCAAAGATTGCCAATCGATGAATCATTATGCAACTGAGATGCCTGTGGCTTAATCCTTTCTAATTTTATTCAACAATAAGCCTCATTTACTAACATCTGTCTACGGGAATGATTTTATGGCACCAAAACCAAATTTAATGATGTAAAACACTGAATCACTTTTGACAAGGAGCTGACGCTCAACTGCAGTTTTCAGCGATTGAAACCTCCCAAGAATTGTAAAAAGATGTAAATCCATTCGCAGCTCACTAATTACAATGCAGAGCATTTGAAACACATCCTAGACCCGATTTAAATATATAAATCACGACGTGACCTTGACTCTTTCCGCCTAAACTACAATACAGTTTATAAATTCAGAGCTGACATTTTAGTCCATGGTTTGATGTAAACGAACACGAATCGAAGAACACGCATAACCCGCGAGAGCTACTTATCTAAACAAGGTTTGCTTTTACAAAATGAAACCTGTAAAAACAGCCGATCTTAATCTTCTCGCCTTTCCAAGTCCTAGTCACGCCAAAAAAAATAAACAAAAAAAAATAAACTAATCAAACCGAATTAGTAATCATCATCATCGCTCGTTGCGCCAGTAGGTGCATAAGGCCGTCACATTGTCCGCCCAACCACCCCGATCGCGTGCCGCCACCTTGGCCACGTTCCAGCTCTTCCACCCCGCCTTGACTGTCTCCTTCGACAATCCTTCTCCAAGTGGTCTTTGGTCTCCCTCTCGCCATTTGACTTTCTGGTGTCCACCTCAATGCCGTAAATGTCGTAAAACATTCGTTCACACCCTCTCTCCTGAGTACGTGTCCTAACCAGTTCCATCTTCTTATTCGCACCTCGCAGCTAATTTCCCTGACCTCTGTCATTTAAACTACTCTCTTGTCATTCTTTTCTGCCACCTAATCCTCAGTATCCGTCTTAGGCATTGGCATTGGAAACTGTTCAGTTTTCTTTCATCGGTCTTTGTGATCTTCCCTGTTTCACAGCCATATAGCATATATGTCGATATATGCTATATGGTAAACCGAATTAGTAGTGATGCTATTAATGGATAAAATCCCCTCCCTTTACAATAAAATAAATGATGAAAAATGATATGTTGCTATAAATACGATGAGGATCCTCTATCCCACAAAATAAAGCACAATATGATAATGAAGGAAACTTGTCAAAGCCAGCCGAGGCTTTATCATATTATCCTAAAAGAGATCATTGGATTATCTTTGAAAGGCCAACAGTAAACTATCCCGGGGCTCTAAAAACTGAGTGAATGATCGTGAGAGGGATGCAGTTATCAGTGCAAGAAAAGCTCTCCGAAAAAGGCCCCGACTTCATCATCAGACATCATTCTGATCGCTGAATAGATAAAAAGCCCGTTCAATACCATTGAATGGTAAGTTTTCTCACAATGGAAATGTCGTTCTTGGCTAAATAACATTTTACGTCGATCCGCTTAAGAGCTTAGCAAGCTGGTTAATTGAACATCTTTTCCTCATCAAACTTGCGAGAAGTAAGCCTCTGTAATTCTTTGAGCACGGCTCCAATCCACGTCCAGCCTTACCCATCGGTCATGAGTTGAAGCTCACTCCCTACTCTCCCTCCCCTCTCCCACTACTTCACGTTCTTTAGCAAGCGGGGAATTGTCTTCCCTCAGTTCTTTCCACCCCGGAAGCTATATTTGATAAAGAATATTCACAGGAGTGTTGCACCGAACGCTACACGCTTGCTCGATCTCTCTTGCTGTCATCATATAACTTTCCAATTCGAGGGACTGGGAAAGAGATCTTCAGCAACGAAATGTTTCGTCCCGAATCCCTCTCGGTCACTCTGTTCTTCTCAAGAACGCCTAATGAAATATGATATAGAGAAAATTGAACTAAAATTGCGTAGAACGGACGTTTTCCTAACCTGCGTGCTAGATAGTTGGTTAGTTTTGTTTTCTTTATTTGTGTGCTTCTTTACTTGTTTTATTTGAAGACTATCCACAAAAATTAGAACCCTTGAGCTAACAACTTTACAGGGAAAGAACCCCTTCCCCTCACCTTGCAAATCAATGGGTTCAAGTTTGCGTGAGTTAATGAAATCATGAGAGCCATGATTTAAATCTGAGAAGGGCAAATAGGGTGGTAAGCGCTTAGAACAATCAGTATTAAAATCTCCATTGGTATCATCGCCGCTGGTGGTCGAGCCCCTCGGAGATATTTTGAGATTGCGACAAAAAAATAAAAAAAACCTTTGAGCCTCTGAACCTCTCACGCAACAACTAAAGTTTCTTCTCCTGATTCTTAATTGGTCAACTAGAAAGAAAAGAAATGTGAAATAAACGCAGTTTATGGTAAGTTGCAAACCGAGTACAGCTAGAGCTCAGTAGATGAAGCATCCTATACCCAACTTTTTAACGCAGGTTTCCTAAATGTATTCAGTGAGACATCAATTGACGCAGTGTGTAGATCCTAATATTAGAGGGCTATCAGCTGGGGTGTTAGATTTTTGTAAACAAGCCTTTTACTTTAAGACATTTTACCTAGATCTCCTTCCTTCCTGCTGGTTTACCCAGCAAGCATGAGCGAAGGATTGGAGACTGGCCAGACAAAACGTCGCCCGAACTCACCTATCACCAGCCACACAAAAAAAAAAAAATTGTATCGACATTTAGACTTCGATGTCGAGTTACAACAAGCAACTCATACTCGCTATCAAGAGAAAAGAAAAAAGCTTGCCAAAAAAAACTGACAATAAAAGCTTCTTCGCGTCGACACCACCTTTGTTTATGTTCGTGAGAGCTAAAAGTTTAATACTAAGTAAATTGCGGTCGATCATCACTAAATGTATAATTTTGCATAGGCAACATGGGGGACTGACCACCGCGTGGGTAAATCATCACAATCATATCACGAAAATCACTGCTACTACGAAAAAGAAAACCTTTTCACTCGACGTTATTTTCTCATCAAAAAATGTATATTTCAACTTTTTTCTTTAAGTTCATCTGCGTCAACCAGTTTCAGCTTAAAAGAATTCAGTGAGACAAATGAATCTCACGAAAGCAAGGCAACCATAAAATATAACTTAGACGGATGTAGGGTGGATAGCTGTGATCCTCTAAAGCGCAACTGGAGAAGAGAAAATACGACAAAGCAACCTTAAAGGTGAAAATACTGTTGATGTCTACTACTGACAAACACGATCTATTAGTGAATTATTTTAAAATATTTTATTGAACTCTCTTAGTTGTCTAACCAATGCATTACATTGTAAAAAGAAAGTCGCCATGTCTTTTATGTCTTTGGGGAAAAAAAACTTTGGAAAACAAAGTTTTTATTCAGTTCGGCTTTCCTTTGAAATTTTCACTTTATTTGAATTAGGTATTTTCGGTTAGTTAAAAGAAGCATCATAACTTAAATTACTGACAGACAAATCGGGGTGATTTTTAATTAAGACAATGATTTAACGCCTCCGCACAAACCATCGAAAACAGATTGCGCGAAGAAAGATGTAAACAAAGTATGTTTCACCATCAGCTGAAAAGTTAATAATTTTTTTTTCTGAAATACGTAAGAGTTTAGATGAAGTTAATACTTGCAGAATAATTGCATGAAGCTATCGTCGTTTTGAGCTTTTGACACAATGATAAAGTTAACCACTTTTTCTAATTTAATTCTGTTAAATATTCGGAATCCCTCGTTACAGTGTTGCATCGGACTGCAAACACGCAAATGTCGGAGCGGTGCGATTCGCAGAAAAATCAGCTGCAGTTTTTCACTCTTCATAAGTAACTCTCGCAAGATCTCCGCGAGCAAATATAATATATTTTTTTCCTTGCATGGGATAAGCGAATGCCGGAAACTTTCTTGGAAAGCATCGTGGCTGCAATGTGCTGTTTAGTACTCAAATCATTAACATTTTAAGTACATCAGCTCCTTTCTTCATGCAATAAGATAATTGCGTGAACAAAAAATATTGCCAACCAAACAATGCAAGAAAATGAACTTCGACATTATTATGCAAGTTACTCCGCAAAGAAACTTAATCTCTTCGGATGTGAGAGAGTTGGTAATATTTCGTAAAAATAGCTAATGGAGACACAGGAAGTGATCATTCAATAAACAGTGCCAAGTACGCGGATATGAGCTTAGATAAATAAAATATGATGTTGAAGGAAGTATTGGAAAAATCAACGACATAAACTGCGCTGTACATAGTTACAGCTATACCATTAAAATACAAAAAAAAAAAAAATTGCCCTTTTAACGGTAATTTCATTTTGAAAGGCAGAAAGACAGTATGCTAATGACGTATGAAAACTGGTTTGGAAATTATTATTTTTCTTTCATTGCCGTCGAGGAAAACACTCGTTCGACGTTGGGTAAAGAAAACTTGTGGTTCTTGTTTTTCCTCGAACGTTCGTCAATTACAAAAAGTATTATTTTCCCGATTACCGTGGAAGAAATAAATCGTTTCTCTCATGGAGAAATGTAACTGACTGTGAAATGTAACTGACTTCATAATCGATTTTTATGTTGATTAGAAAGCGACTGCGAAAGCACGTGAGGACACCTTTGAACACAGTCGACTGAAACTCTGAAGGGCCAACAGGAATATTATTGAATTTGGATGTTCACTTGGCCATAAACAGTAAGTAAAACCATATTTTTTAAGAATTGGAATAGTGCTAATCAAATAAAATAATACTTCGGCATTGGTATAGACAGAAAACGCGATATATAGAATTAATCAGCACGCACAGCATTTTTAATCATGACGCCCTGACGAAATAAATAAATACAGGGAACTTGAACTTTAAGTTTAGAACTGTCTCGATACTCGTCCATAGCAATTCCTAGTTCAGTCTCATGGACTTACTTGGTGGCAGAAAAATAAGAAATAACCACAGCAATTTTTAGCTTAAGCCCAATTTCCCTTGGCTTGACTTGAGATAATTCGCTTACTGCTCGGACCGAAAAAGAGATTATCAAATAGCCGCTTTTTTTATTGCATATTCAACCAAAATTAAGATTTAATATAATTTTTTCTAGGAATAAAAACTAAAAGCTAACAACCCCCAACTGTGATTGATTACAATCCCGCGAAAGGAACGAAATTGATCCAAAAATGATTCCTTCCTCGACCGGAACCGATTTACAAATGGTATGCAATTAAGTCATTAAATAGAGGTTTCGCTTCATAAAACTTCAGCTATCACAAAAGAAGAAGATAATGAAAGTACAAATTAATGAGACTAAAGCTTTTAAAAACAACCCTATCGGAAAAGTGCATTTAGTTTAGCGCGGCGACAAGTTATACTCTCTCCGTCCAAATCTTCAGGTAACACAGTAGTGAACTCCATAAAATTGAGACAGTCGAGAGATTTTAGCAGATTTAGTTCACCATAAGTACAGAAGCAGTGTGTTTCTTCATTCAGTTTGCTGAATTAGAGCTACTTTAGAAAACAACCGCGCTCATATGAACGATAGGAAATTTGATTGCAGATTTCCCAAAGTGCTTCTCCTTCGCAAGGACCACGAGGTAAGTTTCGCAAGTGATGTTTATGTTCAAAAATTTGGGATAGAATACATTTGTCAACAAAGAAACAAAGGATCTTTTAAAGGAGGATGAAATTACTGATTTTATCGCGTCTGTTCCATTTTGGTAAATCGTTGAAATTATAACATCGCGACGTTATCTTCAATCCTATCCTTTAAGGATTATCAAGGCCGAATCCTGACTTTGTCGATTATTATCATAAATTTTTGACATTACTAAATGACGTGGAAAGAACAAGCATAATCTAACTGTGGCGTCATGATAATGAAGCGAGAACCATTAGGCACTGACTCTCGCCTTGTCAAATGTTCAATTGTTTGTCGGTGCTACGGCCACACGGTTACGTATTTCCGTCGGTCGCATAAACTGATCTGGTTAACCTTTGCAATTGAAAACATATCCACCACGACGATAAACAAAACATGTAAATTATAAAAAGGTGACGAAGGGTCAAACCTATTTATATCGATATTTATGTATATAATTACAACACACTGTTGATAGCTGAAGTGACAAATCTTTGAACAAGTTTAACTACTGAGCTCAGGAGTGAGAAGTTGCTAGGATGTCGTGTAAACCGAATGAATCTCTTGTGAAGCTCAGGTCGTAAGGAGGTTCGTTTGAATGTTATTAAGGTATAACTAAAGGGGACGTGTCAGGGCCAACAAAGGGAAAATTTGGAACTCGTCCATAAACGCGAAGTGGGTTGCAGCTGAAAACATCTTTTTCGCCGTGGCATGAAGTGTCTGAAGACATTTAAAAACTTAAAGTGACCTTTTAGCATCGAATAGCTTTTAAGTTTCGTAAAAACCCTAACAATTTCAGTTTTTCCCTTGTAGGTCTATTATCGAGAGTAGCATCACAGATCAGGGGGCTCAACATCCAAGTACTCTAATTTGGAAGGAAGCAACAACTGAACACCCAACTCTCAGTGTTAAAACTTCAGGTATGAGCAAAGTAAACCAAATAGAAGATAACACGTAAACTTGAATTAATCGATCACTCAACAAAACCGATGTACTTATTAGTGAGTCGTAGATGAGGAACTCACTTCACTAAGGTAGCGTTTTTACGTAACACGTAATTAAGGTCTCCAACGTAATAATTTACGAAACATCCAGACGGTGAACCGCCGGGCTCGAGTGCATTTAGCGGGTCGGGTGCGGTTACACGTCATGTAGACCATTAATTTCCTTTGCTACCTTTTAGATATAAAGCCTTAGAGGAAGGATGTTATCAATTTTTCGATTTTCTCTGACAAGGAAGATCAAATATGCATATAAATCGAGAGACGACAAACTAATCAGAAAAAAAATGTAAACCACGCGACAACTGGTGAGAAAACATTAAGTGAAAAAGTTACAATAATTATTATTATTTTTTATATTTTTTATAATCATGATTTCTTCTGAACTGTTCTTCGTTAGTAGGGTTGACAAGATCATAGTTCATTGTTTTGACGTTTTTTCTGTGATTGACAAAGCTTTTTGTATTCAACTATGTCTTTGTCCCGCAAGGAATTCACACTCATAAATTAAGCTTTGCCAAAACAAGACGCAGATCTTTCTGGAGAGAATATCCCTTATTTTCATACAAAAGAATTTGAACTTATTAATTCAGTGTTGGTAATACTATACGATACGTTTCAACTACTCATCTTGAAGTCCTAAATCTCTTCCGTTTTTTACTGAGTGGTTTTAATTAATCTTTGGCGAACACGCGATCCTCTATGGTTTGAAATCATAGGCGAGTTAAGACTTATCAAAATATCCTCATTTATCTTTCTATAAAAAGCAACTGAAACGAGATTGTTTCATCAAAGTCTTGAAACCGTACAATCCTTGAGGATCCTAGTGGGAGATTTTGAAAGCAGAGAGCACTTCTTACCTCAAGAGAAAAACACTTATCGCTGAGTGTTAATTAAAAGCCGGTGTTGATTTATTTGGGGGCGTTGGTTTTATTAAACTAACAGAGGTACAACGGCCTTAATCACGATAGTTTTGTCTGTTTACAATGGCATCGTGTCAACGCTTCCAAAGAACTAATGTTGTTCTCCAATCAACTACTAAGGAGCAATTTGGCAATTTTTATTGCATTTTGATAACACAATTCTCTTGTTAAAAATTAAATATTTTTCTTCACAAATAAACTTCAGCGGTCAAAAGTTCATATGTTTCAAAACCGCCTGAGGCAGCACTTGGCTTGAGCCTTAAACTGACAGCGGGGTTTCTCAACTTTCGGCTTTAAAAGGAAGGGCATAATAAAATTTTCGGAAAGATTAATCAGCCAAGGCGCACAAAATAATGAAAACAGCGGCAACATTTCAAATATACAAAGTTCCTCAATTATCAAGAAGTGGAGCTGAGTGAGAAATTCAATTTAGGTTTGATGGCGCAAAGCTAAAGGCGAATATGGTGGGTTAACTTACTTTATTTAAATCAATTTGACTTGTATCAGAATCTCTTCAATTTTACATTCTTTTCCTTTATCGACTTTTCTTAATTCCTTGGTCTGCTTTATTTCTGACCTATTGAGACATTGTGGATGGAATAAGGCGATAGCTTTCTCAATAAAAATTTGAGGTTATTCTGCGAGATAACTTGGCTTTAGATCAGCGGGAAGTCAGCATGTAAGAATGCTAAGCTTGATTTCAAAACAGCAGTCGTCGTCGCAATAGTGTAAATAAATTGTTTACGGATGCATATAAAGTGCCTTCTTAAGAGGCCATGATTGGTTGTTGTTAGCACTTACGGAGTCGAGAAGAACTTTTCGGTTAATTCGATGTTGTATTTTTGATTTTGTTTTCAAATTTCTCGCATACTTTAACGACTAAAAGTTACTTGGTAAGAAGCCGATTAAAATAAGAGAGCTGGAATCTAAATGCGCTACAAATAAGGAACATAATTTGCAGACTATCGTGATAAAGATAACTGGCGCATTTAACCCCTTACACCCTAACATCAGTATGCATATTCTCCATACTGTTCTCTATACATTCCTTTAGGGTGCTGACAAGGAGAATTTGTTGAGCAATCAAGAGTTCCTTCCTAACTGTTGATCATTTCCTTTTATTCTCGTGATGACTGCTATCAGAGGTTAATAAGATTACATAACATTCTGTCTTAAGACAAAAAATTTCGTGGTGAGGGTGGGAAAGGAGTCATGGTTGTTTCCACGTCACTGCATTAAACATAAAAAAACGTACAACCGAACAGTTCCGAGTTTCAGACATCAAGCGGCGCGGCGTCGTTGTGTTATGTTCTCGATCAGGGCTGTAGTATATAAGGTAAAAAGCAAAAGTACTTTTACCAATGTTAGTAATATCATCGTGGAACTGCTCAATGATGTAAAAGTACTTTAATTAAGAAACACGATTGTACCAGCTTATTAGATTGTTGATGGATGAATAAACTGAGACAGAATATAGAAAGCAATTTAAGAATGAGTGTCTCCTCTAAAAGAATTCACAACAAGGACTGTCACATTTTACAATGCTCTTTAACTTTCTTTCTCAAGCCACAAAGCTGAAGTTAATAACAGTTCAGTTAAACGTCACGTATTTTGTTCCACATCGTCCAAAAAAAGGAGAAAAAGCTCTAAAGCTGATCAGTTAAAGAAAAACTTCTAAGTAAAAATTTGCAAGTTAAAATTACATCACGAATTGTATCCTTGTTGCTGGGTAACTGGTGACTGTCCATAAGGGTACCCACAAGGCTATAAGGCCCCAGTACAAGCTCAGAAAGCGCTCCAATTACCTAAGTGCAGTCATAAACTAGGCAGCCAGGGCAGACGTAGATGTTGATCACATATCAACAACAGATCGGGAAACTGGCAAGTTTTTATTCTCCTTAGGTGAGTTTTTTCTGACTTAACAAGTAAACGTTTACTAAGACTTCACAGAGTATATTATTTTTAGTGTCAATCGAGAAACAGTTTTGTTATTAATCGAGTGATCCGCGTAAAAATTGCGAACACAGCGCCCTCAGTCTCCAAACTGATGTTTTCATTAAAAAAAGAAAAGCTTAGGGAAATAAATCGGAAATTTGACTGAGCAATAATCAAGTTATTTTTTCGTCGTTTTGAGTGATCCTTATTCAGAAAATGATAGAAAGAAAACTTGTTTGCCCTTCGTGTGGGTTAATAAGTTTCCAGCATGCAGCTGAAAACAAGTAGATTGAAGTGCCGTGCTATTCTTTCCTTTTTTAACCAGTGTTGCTTCAAATTTCCTGCCCGACGGCACCCTTTTTATCCGCAGCATAATTATGATCGAAACTTATCACAAAAAATTTGGACTTAACTTTTAATTTTAGGTGTTCAGATAAATTGAAATGTTCTTCTTATTTTCCTTGTTATTTTTAACCCACTTCATTGCTCTCATGCTTAAATTAAAACTTCTTTCTACAGCATATCGACGCCAATTCATGATCATTCTACGAACACAGTTTATTATGACTGTAAATTGACGACTTTATTAAATGTTCGCGACTAACAACTGGATCAGTCTTCTTAAATGTTTAAGTGAAAACAATTCAAATACAAATTCACCACACGCTCTCTATCGGACGTGACCTCGCATTCATTTCTCCTACAAAGCGCCGCAATTTGTCATCCTTTCAATAAAAACGTGGTGATCAATTTGTACCCCTCGGAATTTCTTATCTGTCCAAGTGGCAATAATTTTGGCAGCTATTGATAAAATTGATCACTCGACGGTGTTTGTTACACTTGGCGCACGGGATGACGCGCTCATAAAAGAATATACAACCTGTCATGAAATTCGAGGCTTTCAGACTGAATTACACTTGGGCAACAAAAAGGACTCTACAAAGCGCCAATCGGAAAAGCACAAGTTTAAAATTGAAATTTAACCCTGTGCTTCGTAACTTAAAAGAAATTCCCGAGTTAAAAGGAAAATGACTCAATGAATGGTTAAATGCGTCTGGAAAAAAAAAAAGGTGACACCACGGAAAAGTATTAAATATCAAGTGAGGGCTCGCCAACAATAAATGAAACACATTAGGAGCTGTCGTATTTTTTTTGCCGAACATCATTACTTGCGTAAAGAATAAGAAAAACAAGATGCTCTTTGGTTATTATTATTTAATCCTGTAGACATACCGACGCGCCTTAAAAGCCGGGAGATGTCATTATTGAATGCAAATTTTCGCCAAATGAGTTATTTCCCACATCAGCAAAATCAGTGATCATTGATAATTTGTTTCTGAGTTTTAATGATATTTTGACTCAAATGAAACGATCGCAAAGGAATGAAAAAAGGAAAACAAAAACAAAAAACAAAAACAATAAAACAAAAAAAACAAAACAAAAAAAACACTTGGGGAAAGAGTCAACGAAACAACCCACTACTCAGTTATTACAATTATATAAATTTTTTGATCCGCATTAGACTCTTCATAACTTTTATAACTCAAACGGTGAGATTACAAACTTGTTGACCTCACACCACGAAAAAATTAGCCAACGAAGAAAAAAGGCCCAGAAATAGCAAGGAGAAGCAATCTAATCGTATAACAAACTTTTATCTCTCCGGAAGTTTCCAAAATATGGTGCCTCGCACCAGAAGATTCTAAATTACCTAGGGGTAAAAAAAGTCCAAAGCGTTTATCAATGAGGTGAACGAATTTCATCGTTCAGCTCAAACCTTTCTGAGCAAAATTTATCACAGTTACAATATCTTATTCATAAATGGAGCATTTCTAACGCCCAACAAGCTCAAAAAGTGGCTGTAAAATCCATGATATACAAAAACGGGGGAAAAAACGGGTAAAAATGAACAAAACAATCCCTGAAGAAGTCTTTAATTTTAACTTCATTTGTCTGGATTGTTCTGGCAGATCCCCAGTCTTGTTGAAGGGTAAAACTTGACCTCATCCCCTGATTGACTCATTCGATTACTTGATAATCACCGGCAACCCTTTCTTCGATAATTACCTCGATAACTCATTGAATACCTCTGCCAGTTTGTTTGGATACGGTTGGATGAAAATTTTGTCGAATTCATCTTGCTTATTGTCACGAGAAGGTTACCAGGGGATGGCAAAGGGAAACAGTAAACAAATAATTCTCGGAGGTAAAAGCTATGTTTCTATGATTTATTTAATGGTGCGAAACTAAGAGCCTTCGTTGTACTAAAGTTAAACTCAGGTAGGTCTCCAATTCATCCATTAGAGCAATTTCCAAAGGTATTTTAGAGTGGTTTGAAAACCCCTCGCTATCCACTCAACCAATTAGATTCGATTGCGACTTGCTCACAGACGTTTTCCTGCGTTTAGCGCTTGGGTGGCAGGTGCATTTAGTTCTTTCAATTGTTATTGGCTCATGGACTTGATAACGTGTGAAATACACGTCACATAGTTCATTATCATTTCAAAGTGTGTGATTCTCTGATTTATGTACTTGTGTTATTCATCATGTATTTAGTGGTTTGTTTAAAGGTGTTGGGTATTCTTTCATTAACTTACTCATCTTATCAGTTTAATTCATGGTCACATACTGTAGTCAGAGATACATATGATCATCATCATAATAAAATTAGGCGTTAGCTGAGTCTTTCTTTAATAAGACCAAAAACTTTCTCCACTGATAAATTGCAACTAGGTCATTAGACGGGACTAATGTTGGACGAACGCTAGTTTGGGGACCAATTAGTCTTGCTCTCAAATTGAGCTGTGAAAAGGGAAGGCAAAGATTTTATTAGTTTATTTAATGCCATAGAGTGCTTTCAGCCGGCTTACCTCCGGAATAAAGAACCTCAGTTAATTGTAGGCTGTGAAAATCTCACACTTTATATCTCCGAGTTGCATTTTGAATAACTTCCAAATCTCATTAAAACTTAGTTCCTTCCATTACTTTGTCTTTTTTCAAACCCGTTGTTTCCTGTTTTTCATCTTAAGGTTTCCGATTCGTACACTTATACTACCTTAAACTTAACTTTTTTCACACAAGTTTAGGCAAAACTGTTTCCTTATTCCTTGTTCGGTTGTTTCTTGGTCAGAGGACCTTTTTTCATGATCGTTTCAAAGAAAACTGCATTTTTGTTTCGATTACAAACACTTCGGGACTTTCTTTGATCTAGGCAGTCTGACCAGTTAAAACCACCTGCCTATGCATAACCAAACATGTTCAATGCAGCAAAGAAAATTCTAATTGACTTCATCATCTTCAATATAGGTAACCTTGAGTTGTAACAGTGGTAAAAGTCGTAAGAGAGTAGTGAAGAGTTGCAAGTGAACGATTAAAAGATCGTTGATATGTTGTCAGAGAGAACCACCCCCCTTCCCCCTCGATCCCGCCCCAACCTTAGAGACAACTTAGATCTGTTTGGTAAAATATTTCTTTATTTGAGCAAGAACAGGACCTGCTCTTCGTTTAAGGCCGGTCACGCGAACATCTTAGCGTCATTTCGCTACCGTTAGAGGACAAAGGCGACAAAGGCTCTTTCTCACACAGAACTATCTCGACAATTTTAATACTACATGACGCCACTACTTGACGCCACATCAAGAATTACCGATGTTCAATTCTAACTCATCTGTCTCGGCTGTTATCTGCTAATCGCCGAGAAAATCACGATATCTTGTTCATTTCCTTCGACAAGAAAAGTTACGCTAAAAAATGAGGAAACCTCAAAATATTTGTTTGACAAAGTTAATTATAAAAAAGGCAAAAGCGGAAGAATGTATACAAAAGGAAAGGGTATGACAAATAGCGATCAAGAAATTTGAATGATATAAGCTTATTATTATAAGACACAGAAACTGTGATTAAAAGTTTCTAAGGTTCAATTGTAAATGCTGACCGAGCCAAAGTTTACTTGACTAACCGCAAATCATTCCCTGAAATGCAAAACAAAGCAAAAGTCTTTGCAGTCTTTTCAGAGATTTGGGGATGGGATAATTTAGCAGTTTCCTAGATCAACAGTTTCGTTCAGCATCTGTAATTGTTTGTTACTTTAGACATTCCTCTGAAGGAAAGAAAAATTTTCGCAATCTATGAAATCCAATCCGAAGGCTGAGATAAATTTGATAATTCCCTTTTAATGAATTTACCACAAACTCGTTCTTTTCGTGCGTTTAATGTCTTTTTCCGGTTTAACTGAACACATCTCAGCGCGATTAAAGACTGAGTCAGGTTAGAGTTCATCGTATGTGATCATCAGATAAACTGGAGATAATTCTATTTGACATTAAATTTGTGCAGTTTCAAAGCAACAGCAAAGATCGCAACCATTTATCCCAAACGAAAATGTTGCGCTTATCTCTTCAACTTTGCGCGTGGGCGACTAACTACTCTCCCATGTCCAAGTCAGAACGGCATAATATCGAAATTTAGCCAAGCCTAAGAGCGTGACTCCAGTTGGTTTATTTTAAAGCCCTTCAGTTTATCAGAACTCGTCAGTGGCTGTTGAAGAGTTTATTCACGAAAATTAAGGGGCCACTCATTTATTAAACAATGAGAGGGTTATCATCTATTTGTAGCTTATTTATGTTATATGCTTTTGTTTAAGTTTAACAACGAAATCGAAAAGGCTCGTATGATCGCTTGATGTTGAGAATCTCGATCCGAAGATCAAAGGTTTCAATCCAAAGGCGCAAAAATGATTTAATAAAGTAACCTTCACTTGTTAAACAACGTAGGGACCTCTTTGAAGTTTACTTAGGGATTAAACAAGTTTAACGCTTTATTGTCCTCATCAATTTATTCTGAGTTTGTAGCTGCTGCTGATTTGTTTCTTGCGCGTCACTAAGCCCAGAAAAATGAAATGATTTTTGTTTTTTTTTCCTCTATTTTTTTTTCTTTTTAGATCATTTTTGATCTGATACATCTTAACTTTACCCGGCAACGAAAACACAAGAGCGCATCGACTTGAGCTGCAAAAATCGGAAGAGGTTAGCTGCAGTCCGGCACTAGGTGTGGAACATCCTGGTGAGCTCTCTTTGACTCTGACACTAATCAAACATTGTGACAAGACGCCTCATCATCACGTACTCTATCTCCATAATCAAAGACATTGATATGAACATGTCAAACAGTTAATTTAAAAACCAAAGGAGCGCAAACCATCAAGCGGAGTGTTTACACAGACTACAGCTATATTATTTTCATTTGAAAAGCCGTGCTTAATCTAGCGGAAGGTCACTTTGTAGGAACAAGGTGACTTGTACACGTCGCAAACAATTAGAGATAACCGATCATCAACGCTTGGCATTTAGGATCACGAAAAAGAACCCTGATAAAGTAAGAGTAATCCATACTACTTGATAACAGCCTCGTCGCAAGAACCAGGGAAACGGAAAAGACAACTGGCCCTCATTACGAAAAGGTTAAGACGCTGAAAAATTCAAGTTCAGCTTTCTTTGGGTGTGTAAGGAAGTTTATAGGATCCACAAGGCCTGACGCTGTCAAAAATGGACTACAACAACACAACACGCTCACCAAACGTAACTTACCCTGGGATAGGCACAACTTTTCCTCCTTCTGATAAACTCTTTCGATTTCTCGTCGCTTCTCTGATAATCATCATCATCACTGGTAGTGTCTGCGGAAACTTACTCGTTTGCCTAGCCATTGGACTTAACAAACGCCTTCGAAAGACAACCAACTACTTCATTTTCTCCTTGGCCATCTCTGATCTCTTGACTGCATTGTTTTCCATGCCTTTCGACGTGGAAGGTGACTTTACGCAACATCAGTGGAGCAAAGGTGAGTTCATGTGCAACTTCAGGGTGTTTATGTACCTCATCGCCGCGCCGACTTCAATACTGAACTTGATGGCGGTCAGCTTGGACAGGTTTTTTGCCATTAGCTGGCCGCTGAAATATTGCACCGTGATAAATCCCAAAATAGCCTTGCTGGTTATAACTGTAATATGGCTGTACACCCTACTATTCACGACCGTAGGAATGGTTTGCTGGCCGTATTACGAGCACAGTGTGGTGAACGGTCAATGTTTCTTCAACATTGACCCGTATTACTCAGCGGTTAATTCGGCTGTTAATTTCATTTTACCAACTGTGATTATGTGTGTGATTTATTTCAACATTTACACGATTGCTCGAAAACATGCTAAGCGAATCGCTAAGCAAGAGGCGAGTTTTCCAACGGTGTTGTCCTGTTCCAACGAAGACTCAGGAGCCATAACATCAGAGAAGAAACGCATTTCAAAGAACATTAAAGCGGCTAAGACTATCGCTATCATTGTGTCCACTTTTCTATTGTGCTGGATGCCGCTGACTCTAACCTCGATGATCGTTGTGTTTTGCGGCAAAAAGTGTCTTGCGGGAATCAATCTGCAGCTGTGGAGGGTATTCCTTGTGTTGGCATACACGAATTCGGCAATGAATCCTATTTTGTATTCTTTCTTCAACAAAGAGTTCCGCGAATCGTTTCTAAAGCTATTTAAACTACAGTTTAGATTTCGCTAGAGCTGCTTGCCTAAGCTATGTAAATATCGGTTGTAGCGAACTTAACACAACAAGTAAATGAAATAGTAACCATAAGCAGACTCTTCTTAAGAATCAATGGTAAAAGAGCGCCTTTCAGCCGCGCCGCATTGTCAAATGTGCAGTTAGCCACCAAAAAAACGCTAAGTTATGTAAGGTAAGAGGCGCTTGGTTAACAAATTGGAGGAAACAATATGTACATAAAGAATACGGAAGAGTAAAATAAATAACAAAGTTATTAAGTCTCGAGAGAAGGTCACGATACGTGAAAGAGTGAGACAGCATGTATTACTTCCGGTAAAGATTGAAGAGGAGGATAGAGATCTTGTTAAAAGATCACTTTTAGTGCTGGAAATACGCTCTGCTTGGTTAAGTTACCTTTATCTAGGTTGACTTCAATTGTTTTATTTAAACGATGCGTTAAAATGTAAATTAATAAACTTCATAAATCCATTCCGCGGTCTGTTTGTTAAATATTATCATAAAGGGAGTTGGGGAAATCACGGCAGGTCCGTAAAATAGAAAGCTGAGCCGTCGTTTCAGATAAACAGAGCAAAAAGTAAATTACAACTGAATTTTAAACATATCGAAACCATAACTTTTTTGCAAATTTGCAACTTGGTAAAATAACTTGTGATAAGTTGTGGCTTGCTGTCAAAGAAATTACATTTCTAAAGGTCGAAAAACATTTCAAACCCGAAAGAGAAATCGGGCTCGGTTATTACAAAAAGACTCCCCTATTATCAAAAGGAAATTTTTGTGTGCAAGGTATTTCTGTTCTTTAGAAAGTCACATAGCATTGTTTGAATTCCCGACGAGTTACTTCGGCCATAATTTTGACCACACTACCACCACCAAATACAAGAGATATTACACCTTACGATGCGCTGTGTTGTCTTTTAGCCATTAAAAACTTTCACTAGAGAATTATTACTTGTTTTAATTGCATTACACGTGTTTACAAGTACCTTTCACAGGTTAAGTATCATTGTATAACTTACAATAGGAGATGGAACATTATATTTTCGAGTGGCGCTTGGGCAGAAATTTTCCTTGGCTACTCAAGTTATTATCTCCATCAAGTTTAACAGGTGTTTTTCGGCTATGAACCAAGGCTAGAATCCTTGTTACAAAAGTACCCAATAAATAAATAATAATAATAATAATCTCAAAAACAATACCTAGGAGAAATTCCTCTTTGATCACTCTTGGGAGTGAAAGGATTAAGAGGTGCCGATTTTTTTGCCACCCACTTGGAGCACAACCCAACCCCAGAAAGGAAGATTTTTTTACGCGAAACGAAGAGCATCCATCTCTTAACCGTGTATGAAGTACACAATATTTTTGACCTTGCGTAAAAAAGAAAACGCACAAAATTACATCTAACTGCACAGACCTTGGACCAGCCATTTCAAGGTAACAACCTGATATAACGCCAAATATTCGTTCATAACAATCACTAGTCTAATAAACCAACCATTTGTCTTCGACACTGATCTCGAAAGTCATCTATAGAAACACCATCCATTGAGTCCTCAACAAACATTGACGTTAAGCTACGATGGAAGTACTGTGATGCTCAATTTTTGACTGTAAAACTTCACGAAAATACGTATGCACATTTAAGACCACGAATACTCGTACTTTTCTGCGCCTGAAACTAGAAAGACGACTTGACAAGCCAAGATTAAAGATGGCGCAGATAGAGAGTCGAGTCAAATTTTGCGAAACCACTTATGCAATAGTCAAAATCTGCGCAATTTTGGCCACGACAAAGATCAAGTTTTCTCCCCTGGCAAATCTTTGTCGAGGTTTAGTTGGAAAAATGACCAAGCCATAAAGAGTTCGTTTCGACTTCATCACTTCAAATAATCCAGTATTTTCGGTTTAGAGGCGCTTAATGAAGGTTCCCTCCGCAAGAGTAGACGCCTCAAATTAGCACTGAGACCCAACATGTCAATGACACGCCAGCTTGAGTTATGTTGGAAAATTGTATCGAGAAAATGGATAAAAAGTATCAGAGAATACCATTCTCATTAGAAAAGAAAATGCAACCTTCAGTTCAATCGCCTATGAAACTAACGTACCTTTCTTAATTAAAAGGATGAAACAAAAAGAATGGAAAGAAAGAAATTAAAAAAGTGAGACTCTACCCTTGAGCCTGAAAAATAAAACTTAAGCATGATTCATAGCAGTATTTCTGTCACTGTTATTTGTACTAATATGTTAAGTATTCAGAAAGTTTTGCACCTGTCTAAATTTGCTCAGAATGCTTTTTTCTAAGGATTCAAATAAATTAGAACATTTTTTTCCTTGCTGGAATTCTAAAAACTATTACCAGTGTTGTTGTTTCTCTTCTTTTCGCTCTGCTCTTTTGTTCTCAGGTTCTAAACAACCGCGCCCTGACATTTTCATTGGTCTGCTTGAGAAATTCTTTTTCGATTTAGCGAGAACATCTTCTGCTACCTCGCACAATGTTCATGCTTTAAAATAATTCACCCCAGGTTGAACGGCTTATCTGGAAAAAAATTCCCCGCCATGTGTAGAACCAGATTATCGCAGTAACTGATTAAGATAAGCATAGTATTAAAAAATAACATAAACTCCATCACGTTCTTCGCAACATTCCAATCAAGTTAGCTCGATAGTAGGATTTTATTGAATTTCGCCACGTACGACCTAATCAAGTGCAGCAGTCAATATTGATGTCAGCAGACTTCTCAGATGTCTTTTCCATCAAATGAATGTGCAACGATCCATCTCTGTAAAATTTAGAAAAAGACAGAGTTCATGCTCAAAATGTTTCAAGCATAAATAAACAACAACAAATTCTGTGTAGCAAACTACATTTGCATGAAACATCTGTTTGTGACTTTTCCTCAAATATTTAACCACTAAACTTGGCCAATAGAACAAGGAAAAGCGGGTCAATACTTGAAAAGAGGTGTATTACCCCATTGCCCACAATCTTCAAATGCTTCAAACTGTTCGGTCCAAAGCCGATTTTTACGATTACGCAGGTCAGTATGCGAGCCTTTAAGAGTGAACGCAGAGCAAGCGACCTCTGACACAATTGCTCCCAAGGGACTCTTATTTCGCTTGCACTCTGCACAATGACCTGAGTCATTCATGTTGCACATTATAGATGTTAGGAAAGAGAACAGGGTTTCCAGAAACGGGCAAGGCAGTTCCATCAACATCAGTTAGGGAGTCATCATACTCTAAAACAAGTGTGTGACAAGTGTATCTTCAATGTGCTTTGTGAACAAACTCAACTAAAATGTTTTCCATAGCCTCAGCAGAGAAGGACTAAAAGCCCAGAAGTGATATTTGCTATGCCAATGCAACACAATAATGTAGTCCAACCCCGACAGCACCACATTTGACTGAAACCCGAACCAAGCAGGAACAGGACTTGAGAGTGTCTTGTTCGAGGCAATAAACAAGGATGATATTCAGAATTCACATGAGCGTCAATTGAAGGTTTGAACTGAAAAAAAAAAGAAAAAAATCGCTATTTGGCTTGCAACCAAACCTCACCTTCTAATGTGAAAGGTCCCTATAATTTCTGCTTGTCCTTTTGCCATGGGTGGTATATCTTCAAGAACTACCTGTGGCGATCATAAGAGAACGATATTTATCGTGAGTTTTGATTTTGGTGCTGGGAAATAAGGGCCTACATTTATACTACGACAACGGTATAAAACGCATGTCGACTGCATTTTGTAAAACTAAAACGAAAATTATCATTGTACAACGGCCAATTCGAAGAGAGGAAATTATAACAAGGACCAATCAAAATTCAAAGTGAAAGTAAACTTCCCGAAGTGCTGGAAACTTGAGTGATCACGCCATGGTTGGTTTGAATCATGCATCTTTTTAGCTTAGAGGGTATGGTGACTTTTCTATATCAATCACAGATCTAAGTAAGGCAAAGCCAATGCAAGTAAGATTCAATGAGATGTCGCTAAAATATGATATGCAAAAGAAACAACTCAGAGATGACTCCACCAAGTTTTGATCATGATTTGCCTTATGCCTCTGCCATGACCCAGTTGCGACTTAAACACGTGTTGGACACCCCTTGGATACGTGTTGAGCACGCCTTGGACCTGACCTAGTTACCATTGTCTCGTGACTTTCAAGACTCGTTTTCTGACATTATTGGATCACGAATGCACAAAGCGATCAAAAATGCGTCATTACATGAACACGACTAGGCTACGACATGGCAACGGCGCTTAACCACGTCATGATCACAACACACACACCATTCAGTCACCACTTGTTCACGACTTGGTCAGGGCTTTTTTTCATGACTTGTTGTTGGTCACGATGGCGTCACGAATTTGCGACATAATCACGACATGGCACAGGCAAGGTAGCGAATGAGCCTCGCAAAGTGATGACATGCTCGCTAATTTTTAAAAACATTGTCAACATATGATCACCTTCTTGTTACCAAAGGTAGCGACTTTTTTAATGATTTTCTCTGTGACTGTATTACTCCTTTCAGTGATTAACTATTTAACAAGCAAACTGATAATACAGAGTATCACTAAGAGAATTAAATGACAAGTCAAAGCGGTAATGATCTTCCTTGCAGGTAACAATCGCGGCCCTCATGGCAAACGGATCTTTACTCGTCATCTGTGCTCTTAGTCGTACCCGCTCACCAACGAAAATTGTTTCAGTTTCGCTAGCGTCCATACCAGTGAGTGCGAAATAGCGACGGTGATTAAATTTGATTTCTTGAGTTAAAACCTCAAGTTGTCGTCTGCCAGATAGCACCCTGATTAAGACTTAAAGCAAACCAAATTACCTAGCCAGGAGCATGCTATCCACTCACCTTAGCTACAAGAGTCTTTCCAGCATTGTTAGCCATGTCGTCATCCTCTTCATATACAGATAAACAAACAGTCTCCTACAGAAAGAAACAAGGCATCATCGCAAGAGATTCCGACTGAACTTTCAACCAACTAAGAATAAAGCCTTCTACTCAACTACTTTTCCGAACCCTTTAACTCCCAAGATCTGATTGTTAATTCTCCCCTCTAGCTGCTACACCTTTCCTTCTAAATTAGTTATGAGAATTTGGTGTTAGATCAAGATAACAACTTCTACCTGATAAAGTTTGAGTATTCTCATTACTGGATTGCTGGATAATGTATAGATATTATAGGGAGAAGCTACATGTTAATCGCGTCTGGGATTTAAAGGATTAATACACTTTTCGGTTTGATGCTATTAACGTCTGGGAGTGCAAGACAAAAACCGGTCTTAAACGTCTCCAAACAGTATTTTAAAAACCATATGACCAGATATGAAGAGAGTGAGAAAGGAAAAGAAAATCAAACCTGATTGTCCACAGAGGTTGTGAAATTGTGTGTTTTTCGTAGGGGTATGGGAGAGTGCTTGGGGATAATTGGACACAGACGGGCCTCTGCCTCTTCGAGCTGTAAAAAAAATCACGCGAAAATGTTAAGGATCACACAAATAGAGGAAATGATAAATGGAAATCACAACACAAGAATAGCTGAGTGGCAGATTGCGACAGTCTCACGGCATTAAGCGCATATCGCACAACGCAAATTCAAAGCACAGCGAAAGAAATTGAGCATTTGGGTCAACTAGTCTCGAATTTCCTCAGAACCACGATGCTAAATCTGTGAAACATCGGGTTTATAAAATCCAGGGTCAGGGTCAAGAGTCTGCTGCATCATTACAGGCAACTGGTATGCCGCCTGGTGACTATTATCATGATCGTTTTGCTGCCTGTGGAAGCCAAGCCAACTGCTCTACTTACCATCACACTAATAGCCTTTGACGTGCATTCCGCCTCTATGTCATCATTTATCTGTTCTTCTCTTCCTTGAAGTAACGACGCCTTTAAAAGTCACCAAAAAAAAGAGAAGATAATTACAATCTCTTTGGTGAAGGGGATTACACTACATTGGGTCAGATTTTATTACCTGTATAGCAGCGCCATATGCCAACACACTGTCTGGATCAATTGTCTGACAAACTTCTTTTTCTGCAAAATACTCTTGAACAAGCTGCTTGATTTTAGGAATACGTGTGGAACCACCTACCAAAACAACCTGTAAAAGAAAATTAATACGTTACCTTTTCAGGGGTCAAGAAAGTACATTATCATGCTGAATTCGTTCTTTCACAATCAAATAGAAACCACCGCACTATTGAGTAGTGGGGAGGACTCTCACATTAAAAATTGGTGATCATGAAGAACAGCTCCCTGAAAAAAACCTGTCAGCCGACCGATGGCCAACAGGTCACCGACTGGCTACTGACAGGCCGCCGACAGGCTACCGACAGGCTACCGACAGGCTACCGACAGGCTACCGACAGGCTACCAATTGGCGACATATCGAGAATTAAGGTCCAAAACAAAACTTTGACTGAACGGTAAATACCCGCTAAATGTTGAACTTAAGTTAACTGCATACGTTGAATCACTTCTGAAATGAGTTGCTACCGCAATTTAACGACAAGATTTCTGTAGGCCTACAGTTTTTCAGGAAGAAGTTCTAAGCAATTACCCAACGATGACGAGGAATATTTGAAATAAAAAAGAGTTGAAATTATCATGGTACTTCAAAATTTGCCAGTAATCATACCTGATCTATGTTGTTTCTACTGATATTTGCTGTGGAAAGAACTCGGTCGATGGAGGAAAGACTTTGTTGGAATAAACTCCAACAGAGGGATTCAAACCGAGCTCTGTAAGGAAACAAATAAAAAAGTTGATGCACTGCAGTTTTATTACAGAGCTCCAAGCTGAGAACTATTTTGTCAGTATAGCAAGTAGGAAAAAAAATTGGCGATCAAATTTCCAGCTTAGGACGCCAAATTTTTCCTTTTTCTTCTTTGCTGTCTAAGTATTTAGCTTTAGGATTATGAATTTTCTGTTGTAAAAAGGAAACTTTGGAAAAGTGGAGCTTGGAGCTCTGTTTTAGGTGATGTTCAACGGGGAAATTTAGGAGAAAACACGGTTAATGATCCATTTTTTTAAAATTTTCGACACAGCTCTTAAACTGATATTCTATTTCCTTTAATTTCGTCTAACAATAAGAGTAAACTCCATCAAAGACCAGCTCCAATTTATGCTTAACAAATGAAAAATTAAACCAAGTTGTAACTTTAATCGTGGATAAGTATTAACCACCTTATTGGACAACTGGCCCTTTGTCTTACAAAGACAAAATGACTATGCATCACTTTTCAATACCTGGATACTTTGGTGTTCATGTCAATCCCTTCACAGAGTGACTCGATGGCACAAGTTGCTGTATCCCTGGATGACAGAATATGTTTACAGTTCTCTGCACTGGCCCTTAGTTTGGCCATTGCTCTATTATTGCTTCTGACGTCTAGTTTCCACTGTCTGCAATAAAATAAAGAAACGTGAATTAAAATTTTCTGAGCACAAAATAGATAGTATGGCGGCTGGCAAATCTAGTATGAATCAAATTGCTGTGAACCAAAACATATGCAATCGGTTCAGATTATCTTTGCAAACCTAAGCCACTATTTTCTATGAGCAAAAAGAACAGAAACCTTTGAAACTCTGCAGCAAGATGATGGGCAAGTAACTCATCAAATTTTCTTCCACCCAAGGCTGTGTCACTTTCTGTTGCTATCACTCTGTACATTCCACCATTGACAACCAAAACAGTGACATCAAGTGTAGTTCCTCCAAGTCTATAAACAAGTACCCTCCTGGTGATATAAAGCAGTGCACAAATCTGAACAATGATTTTAAGAATTAAAGCTTTACATCAGAAAATCAATTTATGGATTGAAAATAACGCCATCTTACCAAAGTTTTTATTTAAGTTACTATTAAAATAGGCATCTACGTCAATTTTTGAAAATACAGATCAATTCACAATACTGAAATTATACTTGCTTTCGGCTACCTCACTCTTAAGATATTTTAGATACTACTGTGAAAGTAAAAAATTGAAAAGGCATTTACTATCAAAAAGAAGGAAAATCAAAAGTTTGCTTTTTTCAAAAGAGTTTCCAAGTTAACCTATTATGTTTATGCTTGGTCTTTTTTTATATACACCAAATCCCCACTCCCACATGTATCTGATAAAACAGAGAACATAATAAAAAAAAAAAACACCCTGTGATAATACATCTGACTAGCATTTTTAAAAGAAAACAGACCCTTCTACAGCCATATTTGATAAACATCATCATACCTTAATGAGTTGCGATCATTTTGTCCAATGTCTGTTAAGAGAGAGTAAAAGCTAAAGTTTGTAAATTGTTATTTTTAAAAGATAGCTATAAAAATGACAACTCAGTAAATGAAAAGCCTTGATAAAAAATGAGAACTTTTAATTTCTTAAGTAACTTATTGATTGAAATGGCTTTTACAGTCAACTCACAGAATAAAATATCACTTCTAATTATTAAAATATAATATCCAAAATCACTATTGCTAGTTTCCGTAAAAGGTACAGCTAAACCCACCAAAAAATGGTTAGAGATACCCACAATAAATTTGCATTCCATTGAGGAGGGGAGGGAAGCTACATATCAGTAATTACTCATGGGTGAACAAGTACCCTAACAACCACTAAGCTTTCAACAGTTTTCTTACCCTGAACTGACATTTATAAGGACAGAGCACATTAAGCATTCTTCCACTAATAGTAGAACACCACTGCTGGGCAGTGAATGTCATTTGACCCATGATCACTGAAAAAAAATTCCTGTTCACTTTACCATAGGCCAGTGCTGCTGCCGCTGGTTGACTTATAACACGAAGCACATCAAAGCCAGCATCTTCTGCAGCCTCTCTAAAAAAAAAATGTCATACAACTGGTTCAATACCACATGTAACAAACTGCAATAAACTGCTGCTTATACGCCCTGGCTGATACAACCTCATAAGGGGTTTTAGGAGGGCTTATAAACTGAGGGCCTTAAATCCAAGGGGACCTATATCCTGAATAAAAAAAGTGCTTTGAAATGAGCTACAGCAGTGCTGATCATGATACATCTACTGTTTTTTTTTAATTAAGCTTCAAAATGTCATAATATGTCCTTATTGACTGAGTGGGAGGGCCAGACAAGAAAATATTTTGCTCCAGGTGATGACAGATGGACTTCACTGTACTTGGTCTGTGCTTCATAACCAAGATCCAAATATTTTCCTGTCTCACCCAACCAAACTGAATCAATAAGCATTTTTTCATATGACCACTAGATGTTGAAAATTTCAGGTACATGCAGCAACAAAACCCCCCAAAAATTCTGCAATTAAAACTCTTTTTTTGGAAGTTAGAACAAGAAACTCCCTATTTTTTGAAACATGCTCCTTTTTTCTTATTTCTGTTTTCCATCAAGTTTTTGCAACAAAGTAATGTGAGTGCAGCAAGACTGGATGGCTTTTTCAGGAGCAGCTCACGTCAACACTTCCCACCCTTCACATGTTAGCTTTCACTAAGGTTTTTTATGGGATTGCATTAAGTTGAAGCAATACTAGCAGTAAAGCATAGAAAAATTATTTTAAAGGTGTTTTATAATAAAGGTTTAGTTAATTTACACAAGAGTTGACTATTAAAAAGAAGTAATACACTAATTGTTCTACAAAATTTTTTTAAAGGTTCTGTTTGAAGGAAAAGCTTGAAAAGGGGGGTGTTATATATGGGGGTAGGGGGTGCAGTTACGATCAGATGTATCTTTTGTTTACGGGTATATGGGCCAATAGCCAGGAGAGGTGGTTGGGAGCTTATAAGTAAGGGGGGAGGGAGGAGGAGGGCCTATAAGCTGCAGTTTACATTATACATGTAAAGTTGTACAACCACAGCATAAAATCTAAACAATTACAGTGGATGTGAATATGTGCACGTAATGCCATACAATTTTAGAACTTCTATCTTGGATCTTGAAATTAAGACTTGATTAATTCACCTGATCTCTGTTTTCTGTTCATTGCTAAAGTGTAAAGGTGCAGTGATAACAGCTTCTTCAATGTCATTTCCACCATTAGCCTGAGAAATTTCTGTGCAAATAAAAAAGTCTCTAAACTCAAATTGTCACAGACATGCAATAAAAGTGATCAAACACTTCAATATGAAGTTAATGTCCCCACTCAAGTAAGGAGGTAAGGTCAACCAAGGATAATCAATTCTTGTGAGAAAAATGACAAAAATTATAACTAATGTACACAGGATTTCACGGCAAGGCATTTACATCTAAAGCACTTCGCCCATTGATCAATTTATATTTCATAATATTGAGCTAGGACTCGTGCCTTCATTATAAGTTTATGATACTACTGCAGTATATTCAGTATGATTGTGTGTCGAGTTTGAACATCGACTGATTTTATCATCAACAACTGTGACCTACCTAAAAGTTTCTCAAAAATCATCTTGATAACTTCTTTAGGAGAAAACAGAGTGGGTTTTTCATTCAGCTGGACTTCATAAAAGGGCTTTCCATCTTTATCAACAATCTGATGACAAATTCAAAAGTAGTACAATAGAGCCAGTAACTTCCAACAGAATTATCTCAACTCTCATTTTGAAAATTCCACTACAGAGCAACTTACATCAAAAGATGTTTACTGAAAACCCTTGTGTGGAATCAAGCTGTAACACCAGCAGTCTGCTAGCAGATAATTCAACTCAGATTTCTCCGTAGTTGGGGTTATTCTGGTTCAGTTGCAGCTGTGTCTTTTTTTTTAAGCTATATGGAAAACACCATATTCTGGATTTCAAGACAAACCCACTTGCTGAAAGCCTCAAAGATCACAATCTCCTCAACTATTGCACATTTTCAGGAACTACAATGTTCACCCATGCAGTATACAAAATCAACATTATTTCAAATTTCTATCAATTACAAATGAAATGAACTGAAATTTGAATACAGTCAGGCCTCAAACAAGTGGATACCCTATGCCTAGGAAGCATTCACAGGTCTTAAATGAAAGGTTTATATGTTCCTACATTTAACCACATCTTAGTGTGTTCTCAGATGAGGCATCACTCCATAGGAGATGTTTATTGGAGGAGAGTCTCTGTTTAATTTTTCAGTTATTTACCTTACAACCAGAATCTTGAACCTCTTGATGAACTGTATCATCAGAAAACCTGGAGTTGTAGTCATCAATATTCATTAAAAACTATACATGATCATGCTATACTAATAATAATTATAGCAGTCTGTAATCATAAAATGCACATGACTAAGGAATTTCCTTAAAAATTCAGTGATTCACTTGTTTTTGAAACCACTTCATGTGAAAATGTAATTTTTACATTATGTTTTCTCTTCCTGAAAATAAATATTATTATACTGTACAAAATCTTGTTCCCTTCTACCAGAGAGCTGCCCCCCATAAACACATACTATGAAATTGAATGAAAATATTGAGGTTATTTCTCACACCACATCTGATTCTGGCTGTCTTCACTTGTGGTATCTCTTATCACTGCATTGAGAATTTAACAGATAAAAGGTCTACTCTACTGGTTTATTCTTAAACCTGTGACTATTGTGCTCAAAATAAGGGAGAACAATGAGATTCTCACCTCAATCCAATTATTTTGCATGCTCTTGCCATGGTATTCTTTGAATTGCGAATAAGCCCTTGCTTAGCTGGAAGACCAATTGCCTAGAAGATAAAATCTCACATTATGAGGTATAAATATCATCAGAATTCTAACGTAAGGAAATTCCAAGAAAGTATCAATTCAGCATGATGGCTAAGAGTGGATATCATCTGAGTCTCCTCACTCCATTTGTTTAAGCTAAAAATATCCTTGATAAATTAGTGTACTATAGGAAATGTACCAAAAAATCTTAGTTTCACAGGAAAGCTAACTATATATACAACAGAATCCTACTAACTTGAACTTGAACAGAATGCAATTTCCCATGGATTAATGACCCCATTTTATCAGTTGTTTACCATCAGCTAACTCAAACTAGGTTAACTTGAACTAATTCCCCCTTACCTCAAATTTGTTTTACTTTCCCTTTGCTCAATTTTGGGAGCTTGAGTTAGAGGGGTTGTACTGTAGTTTTAAGTGAACTCGTGGTATCACTGTGGGGGGTCAAAAACGAGTATTCTTAGTTTACTCTCATTGTAGTACAGTCCTCCTTCTTGACAAACAAATACATGTTTCTTGATTCACTGAACTGAATATCATCTCATGTGTCTCAAAAATGATGCAAACTAAACTAAACTAAAGCATCTCCTCTAGGCTTTTAACTGGCAATGATATGAATCTTTCTGAGATAACAAAAATACTTTCATACTCTCTGTAATGGCAGGAATGAAATGGAAATTGAGATTAGGATTTACATCAAGGAGGGCTTATGTGTGAATAACAAGAGTACTTTTTGTTTTCTCATAGATGAGAATTAGACAGGTGTAAATATTCTGAATTACACTGACATTTCTATAGGTCTAAAAGAAGGGTGAAAGGTGAAGGAAACTTGACTACTTATCTCTACAATGAAGTGTAAAATTTGACTGGGAACAAACAGGATAGCTTACTATTGGTTGTATTGTGGTTATTGGGATTTTCTCGTTCACCCAAAAGTGGTGACAAATTTCCTTTAAGCTGTAGCGAGAAAGGAACCACACTTGCTGAAATATTTTTCTTGAAACCTTGCAGCTCACTCTGGCAGCCTCACTGAAACCATCAGAGCCTCAGGTTGCGAGCAAGCCTTTCTCGCATCCCTATTTTTGACCTGTTCCTTATTTCAATTTTAACTAGCAAAGATGGAATAATCTATCTAATAAACGGGAATCATGACAAACACAGACAGAAATGGTTAGCGAAAATCACTTCCCTCTCGAATCACTCGTTTCTCTGTTTCTTAATCTTAATGGGATACTGTTTTTTCAGGGTAGCAATACCAACCTTGTCTTTTCCAGAATACGCGACGAGAGCTGGAGTGACTCTGTCCCCTGCATCATTCGCTATAATATCCGTTCTTCCAGCCTTGGATGAATAACATAGAAATTAGCTCAAAGGCTCCATTAAACATTTAAACATCTTCAAGACAGGAAATTCTCACCTTGTGGATAGCTAATGATGCGCTGGTATTCCCTAAATATACACCAACCACAGCCGCCATGTTTATTATGTGTGAATGAAAAAACCTGAAAACTACTCTAGACCCCAACCCCTTAGCGTTCGTAAAGGGTGTGGCTGAACTCTTCGTTACTCAGCCTTTTTAACTCTTCGTGACGAATTCCAGCCCAGATTTGAGCAGGGGTTACCATTTGAATGCTCAGCTTGCAAGCAGCCTCAGTATTGCAAGTTGCAGTAAAAATCTCGGTGCCAAAGTAACCTGCAAGGCAAGCGCTCAAGAACCAATAGCGCGAGTTTGTGGTGACATACTTGCGCCTAGTGACATGCGTGCCCTTTCAAGAAACTTCCACTCGACTTACTTCAGCAACGGCGAGGAGCGATACAGACTACTGCTCTTTATATTAGAAGGGGAGCTCTGTCAACGCACAATCACTTGTTTCTTTTTCTACATATTAAGACCCTGAAAGCAATGAAATGGCAGACGGTTTATCATTTTGACTAAAATGGTGGAATGTTGGATAATCAATACTTCAGTATTGTTAGATATCTACGTTTTGGGATTTTCATTGTTCATATGCAACACATTTGCGGAGGTTCAATAAGGTATTTTCATATGCATGTACTGTGATATGCTGTAAGCGGGTGGGGGTCTGGATGCGAAGCCTATTATATATGCATAGAGGTATATATATATATATATATATATATATGCAAGACTACGTTCTATGCATTAATCTTTAGTGTTTCGTAATGAGGCGAGGCGAACGGAAATCACATTTGCCTGAGGGGAGAGAGCATGGGAAGTGCAAATGAAGCGAGCCACTGCGAGAGAAAATGCAAAAAATTTCGTTATGGGACGTCGGTCTAAGGAATCACTCTGATATTTGTCAGGTCATTGCTTTGTTTCGTAAGCTGCGATAGCTATCACAAACAGGAAAAACGCGTTACAGAGGTCATCCACGGCTAAGAGACCATACTCTTGTCGTGAGCTCATTAAAGTTAAAAGGTTTAGTGCTGGTGTTGAAATCCTCACTCCACCGTAAAAGTATTACCGGGCTAGTTAGTTGCTTGAACAATAAGCTTGAAGCTTGAACAATAAAAACTGTTTGCGCTACTCTGAAAGTCATAGGGGCTGGCCACAATAGGCAGACAAAAACCACAGCAAAGTGACTCGCATGTGTGCATTAAATGTTTGTATTCTTTTGTGACAACGACTACAACAATATACCCATGAACAACGACTCGAACTGATTGCGTTCTCATACTCGGCAAACTAAAAAAACACACACGGGTAATATCTTTTCGTTCGCAAATTTAAATATTCATCAAAAAAAAGAAAAAGCAGTGCCGATGATAAAGAAGAGAAAATTAGTAAATATGTGCTTAATTTAAACCATGAATGGGCGCATCTAAAAATGAAGTGCATCCTACATCGTTCAAAATGCCTCGTTGTTCCTGTATCAGTAATTCCTGTTGTCTCTAGTCTACGAGGAAAGGGATGTTCCCATCAGCAGGCATATTCTCCACGCAAGAGTGATGCTTTGGTTTTCTACACGGCTTGAAGCTACCAGCGTTGTAATCCTGCCAACTATCTTTGAGTCCTTGTTTTCTCCAAGACTGGGAATGTTTAAGTATTTCTCTCCCATATCGATTTCTCGCAAACAAACCAGGACTACATGCTGTATTAACCCAGTTGCCTCTAAGATTTGCTTTCGTAAACGATGCAAGGTTTCGTAGCTCCAAAGGGGCATGTAGAAAATTCGTAAGATTCTGCATTCCCCACACTTCTATTTTAAATCCATTGAAACCTATGTAGGTGAAGCCATGAATCAACTTTCCCTTGTCCAAATGTGGTGATTGGTATCCGTAAATGGAGAAACCATTGCTCCGAAAAAGTTCCTTTATCTCGTCTTTGCTGAATATGTCAATTTGTTTGGTCACCAATATAATATCTCCATCGATATCATAAGGAAGAAGACCATTGAACTTAATTCCACCCAACAAAGAGCCATGATCAAGTTCAAATAAAATTTTGTGCTCATTACTTAACTTCTGGAGGAGTGCCATTACCTTTGCGTACTCTTCCAGACAACAAATTGGGAGTAATTCGCTAGTGGCCTGGCATGTCACTTCAATATCCTTACAAGAGAATGAATATTTGACCCCCTGGGGTAACAATATTCGATTAAGGGTCCACTTTTTTGCCAAAGGTGTCCAGACATCTTTTTTAGTGTTCTTGGAAAGCGAAGTGTGATCTGAAGTAAAATACATTGCATCTGGGCATGCCATTGCCTGGTTGCCATCTTTACCTATGCGTAAGAACCAGTCTTCAAAAACTACTTCATTTGGAAGACTTTCGTCAAGTTGAAACAATTCTGTTTTAGTTACAAAAGGACCCTGCAGATAATCACAAAACATACACGAATTTTGTGAGTGATAATAACCTTCTTGATATTCTAGTACATAGTTAAGTAGCTTGGTTTGTTCACATCCTGCTTTCCATTGACCTGAAATATTCCGATACGCTCCCCCTGCAACTTTTACATTTGGTATCTGACTGATCACTCGAATTTGTCTCTCTACTTGAGTGAGCCATGAGAAGTGAACCACATCACGTGCAATCAGCATGTAAGGAGTTGAAGCTTTAGTTTTGAGTGTGTTCCATACCTTTGCTACTTTTGTATCATTGACCTTAACCGCATCAATGTTTTTAAACCTTTTGGCAGTTTCCACGATATCATCACTCTGCGTTGCTACGTAAACGTGGACAGAAGGATAGGTATCATTGATACCTTTGAATACATTGTCGATGTGTTTTTCATCTTCTTGGGGATATGTGACAGTATTTATTACAACACTAATCACGGAGCTAAGTGGTTTGGCTTCGGTACAATCGGCGAGGACCCAACCTTTGGAAAAGTAAGGGTAACCAAAATTTCCTCCTTTGAATTCCTCTGGACACACATCCAAACTTGTGTTGTTAATGCCACTATTCGGGTTTGCCGGTTCTGCTTTTCCGTCAAGCCGTTTTGCAAGTTCTCCAACTTTCTCAACAAGTTCTGGCGAGGGCATACGTTTATAAAAAAGTAGTTTTTTCAGTTGTAAGTGGATTTCATGTAACTCCTTTGCAAAGTTTTGTCTCAGCCAGGTTGATTCTGTTGTAGTGGCATTTGCCCAAGAATCCTCTCTCTCCTTTGTTTTGTTCTCACAGGCACACTTTTCAGCCGCCTCGTTGTTTGTTTTTTCTTTCGGAGGATGTAATTCAAATCTAAAGAGAGAAAAAGGTTACAGTTTCATTAAGTTCTTAGATTGTGTATGGCGGAAAACACAGCGTGGTTAAATAAGGGTTTAACTGATAAAAATACTATAATAACAATGTCAACTTAACGTGAATGTTGCTAGACTAAAAATATTAACTATACGTTGCCAGGAATATTTTGTGCTGCAACATAGAAGTTACGTTTTCTCCCAACTTTTGGGTTTCAACAGTCGAGAACTACGATTCGTGCACTGATCAGAGCGATTGACGATGAAAATGTAGAAGGAATAGCTAATTGTATTCCAAATAAAGGCTTTGCGAAATTATCATAGCTCTTGAAAATTAGGGATTTAGATTTTTTTCCTATGAAGTACTCTTACAGAGTGGTACTTATACACAAATGTAAATCTTGAAATGTTGTTTGGTTCAACAATTATGCTTTGAAACCACATGCAAATACTTTGATTTACGCTAAGAAAAGCAACATTTTCTAAATCATACCATACCATTTTAATTGCACACAGAGGCAAAATAACAAAATATTTCAAAATGGACTTTAGTACTTTGGTGTAAGTGAAGTCAGAGTTTCTCCCATAAAATTGAGGATTCCTTTAACAAACGTACCTGCTCACTGGTGGACTGAATATATATACTGATACTAATGTGAGGCTAAAAATGATTGCTGCGATGACCCAATAAATGTACTTCATGGAAAATGGGGACCCCATCAAACTTTCAATGGCTGTGGAAGTAATAGGAAAAAGTGTTTATCGCAAGGAACAATTTAATGTAATTCAGTGCAATCGAGTTTTGTTTATCCTCTTGTGAAGTAATACTTTGGCTGCAGCTGCTCTTAGTAAATCTGGTTTTATCAACTGAGTTGATACAGTAAACAAATGTTTCTAAAGCTGATGTTTTAAGCGTTAGTCCGTCGCTCTAACGAAGGGCTAACACTCGAAACCTCTGCTTTCTCAACGATAATCACACTTCACACTTTATTTACTTCATTACAAAATTTAAAGCGTAAAATAGTCCGTCAGCAGATTTGCTGAACGGGGTTGTCAATCAACTGCCAAAGATCTACATAATTAATAGCGGAGCTCGCAGAGCGTAGCCCCATAATTATAGAAAATGGTAGTCGTAAGCCATCAAGCCGAAAAAATTTGGACTTATGACCATTCGGGCATCCGTATAAGGTGCTACTTTTAACATGCGTAGTCAACTGTACCGCGGGCACGCCAACGCCAAGGCTTTGTTCAGTAGTCCAATGATCAGTGTACTGGGCTCCGAGTCGGACGACCCGGGTTCTAGTCCTGGCCGAGGCAAGGTGTTGTGCACTTGAGACGTGCGGGAAAAAAAGTGCGAGCTCCGCTTTTAGGCTTGGCTAAATCTATATATTATTATTATTACATAGATGAAGAACCTAAAGAAATTAAATACTGGAAATTAAGAAATCGAAAAACAAATTCTAAAGAAATAAGTTGTGTACCATAGGGCATTTTTATAAGAGCGGTAAGAAACAGAAAATGTTTCACAGGATTTCCCGCTCGTGTCAGAGAGAAGCTCCGTCCACGCTGGTTCAGTAACCTTGAACTGTGTACTTTCGCTTAAATCTGACTTTAAATTGGACAATTCAACATTACACGTTTCGTTCTACGATCTATGTCTTCTTTTCAATTTATAAGGAAACGAAAATGCTACATTTACTAGCTTAGGAAATCCAACCCGTAATTCTGTGTGGGAATCAAGGCGTCTGTGGTTCATACCATACTTTTTGTCGTCATCTTTGATCAATTTCTAAACAAACTTACGACAACATGGAATCTAATTTTGAACGTGATTATTCTGTACCGCAACGCTTCCTGTTACATTCGTCATATTTAGTTTTTGGAGAACTGCGATTCTGTTTAAGGTTACTCCTAATTCTAGCAAACTATATTTCAAAAAAATATTTCAAAAGAAAGCTTAATAACTGCAGTCTATGATAAAAATATAATTTAAGCGAGTTTTCCTTTAAGGAAGTGCCAGGAGCCGGTAAGGCGTGAAACGACCGAAGGTTCATCTGTAGAATTTATCGGGTATTGAATACCGCAGCGCGAGCAAAATGGCTGCACAGTCTTAATCACAAGGCATCAATCAACAGAAGTGTGTCAGACTGTACCGATATTCTGATTGGTTGTCTAGATATCAGCATTAAAAGTTGGAGTGACTAAAAATATGCGACGCGTTTTGCGTAAATGGACGCTACGGAACAAACATTTCAAGTATCAAAATTTCCCGACACGCTTTCGTTTGTCATTATCCCTAAAATGTTTAGGCGAAATTTGACGAAAATCGGTCAAATATGAATACCCTATAAATTTGCTCAAAGCAGATGTAAAATCAATTGACTTGTAGTCAACCAGTCATATAAACTCTACGCTAGCCGTCTGTTCAATTGACCTGAGATTCAAATCAGCATTAAGTATGTAGTTACCAAAATACAAAATCTAAGTCATTTAACGGAAGGGCGGGAAAGTCACTTAATATGTAAATTAAGAGTTGGAGGAGAGAGAAATAAGTTAACTTGATATATGCGATCCAACTTGAAATATTTTTGGGTTGGATTTGTGAAATAAGAAAGAAAATAATCATCCATCAATATCCGACAACCATAAAAGTTTAATTCATCAGGTAGTATTATATGATTTACCTTATCAAATGCCTGACCAGGCTGACCTTTTAAAAAAGTGATACAAGAAAATAAATTCCAATTTTTGGCCAAAATACCTTAAGATCTTTACTTCGCATTGGTGAAATATCTTAATTAATAGCCACATTATGACATTTCACCGAGGGAAAGTAAAGATCTTAAGGTATTTAGGTCAAAAATTGGAATATATCTGCCTGTCATGAGGACATAGGTTTAGCGGGATGAGGCTCAAAATGGGATGTGGGATGTGAGGAACTTAAAAGGCGGGGTGCAGGATGAAAATAGAAAGGCGAGGCTGGGCCTGATATGCTCCGTTTCAAAGGAGGGATAGTGGATAAGGCGGGATCATAATTTAGCTCAAGTTACGCGTCATCCGAACTAAGTGACATTATAAAGCAATTATTTTCTTTATAAACGGGCTTAATTAATGCTCCCGTGCGGTACATAAAATTTATTTTTGGTCTTTCATCTTCATTTCTCAAGTAAATTCGTGCCAATTTATCCCAAACTTTACTCGAAATCATGTGATTACCTGTAACTGACTGCACCGAAGTCACGAATGATTTCGTAATGCGAAGTATGTTATGCAAAATCTATCGGACACAACGTGTTAATTTCGTATCACTACACATAAATTTATAAATTTAAGAACATACTCGATGTTTCGTTCGCAAAAGCGGCCATAGTAGGTTCTGAACAACTATTTTAGATTCTTAAGTTGAGAGACGAGGAATAAAAAAATAGAATACACGTGATTAAACTTTGACTGTCATTTCAAGTCGGCGACAGTTAACACATCGGTTAAGTTATTTCGTTCTTTTAACTCCGATAAAATTGAACACAACTTCAGCCCTGGAGTCCTAGTCAAATACGACGGGACAGGGGCGACTACACCACAGATATGGAGCCAATATTGGTTGGTTGGCAACCGATCAGCGGCTCGTGGGTCATGCATCCGTTTTGCTTAGCAAGCCGTGTTGCGTTGCGCTTGTGGCACAAATATGCCACTCATTCCTAAGGTAACAGTAGTGTTATACCATGCTTTTTTTTACAATACAGTGTCGCTTGAATAGTCGCAAAAATGACATACACTGTAATTGCTTCTCATTTTTCTCTTGGGGAGAGGATATCAATCAGCCTGCTCTATCTAATGTTGTTTTTATACGGTACTTACGTTAGAGCCAAACTTCTCTTGCCGCTATGACATACTTCGGTAAAGAAGAATGTGACTCTGAGTAGCTGCCCTAAATATTTTGGAACGTGAAAGCAAGAATTCCACGCTAGTGCCGAGAGACTTTGGTGGGACTACCTAATCACAGGTTAACAAGACAAATATCCCATAATACATCTTAATACAGTCGGCACAGCTCTGAAAGACGTCAACACAGAGGTCAAATGATGTCGCATGCGTACTTGGATAGATAGTTTGCCATTGTAAACATGGAGAATATGAGTGATATGCAATTTTTCGCAGTTTTTATGGAAAGTTCGAAATTTTTAAGGCCGAGACTGATTCACTCTGTTGTGCTAGGCTTAACCCATTTTATGCTAGTTCATATTCTCGTACATTCTTTTAACACTTTGCTCGGCGGCTTGATGAAGTCGTCCGTAAGTGCTGGCAGTAGCACAGGTCATAAGTACCGCAAATCGTAACATTTCATCCCCGAAATCCCCTTAATGACAGTCATATAAATACAGTTCACTTACCTTCGTTTTTCTGTGTTGTCTCGAGTGATTTTGCGGGGTTTGGGACGGTTAATTCTCCACTTTGCACTGATGTCCCTCCAAAGGCAAAGGAAAAATACAAGGCGTGCAACTTCAGGCCGTCTGGGCCGAAAGCCACCAGGACTTCACCGAATTTCTTCCGCTTGCAAATGGCGCTCACCTCCCAACTTCGGGCACGTTAAAAGTCGATAAACGTTTAAGAGCCAAGCTAAAACTCAGTGCAATTGCCCGTCTCTAACCACCTCAAGAGCCTGCTCGATTTCCACCGACAACTTTAATTTCAAATTCAATTTCAATTTTCAATTGCTATTACTCAAAGCTTCGTTCCGATTGGCTAATATTTTTTTCCGGTTGCCGAACGGAAGTGTTAAAATAGTCTCAGGGGAGGGCCGGTTTGTACAGTCTTTCGACCGACACACTATGCACTAGCGTGGGAGGGTCGGGTGCAATCTGATCTCGGTTAGTGATTAATTTGAATTATAATACGGTTAATCGAAGGCTTCGGTCCATATTATGTGTCGACGGCTCTTAAACGTTTATTAACTTTTAACGTGCCCGAAGCTGGGAGGTAAGCGACATAGGGAAGCGTAAGAAATTCGGCGAAGTTCTGGAGGCTTTCGGCTCAGACGGTTCTGGAAGTTGCACGTCTTGCGTTTTTCCTTTGCTTTTGGAGGGGCATCAGTGCAAAGTGGGGAATTAACCGTCCCAAGGGCTGTCTGTCTGTGGCAGTAGTTATTCTTTACTGCGTTTACGATAGAGGTGCCGGTCAACACTGAGGAAAATGTATGAAAACTAGACCCTGTGAGCAGGGTAACTGGGATACTTGGATGGTACTGGATCCTTGGGATCAAGTGTGGTGATACTACGGGTGTCGGACTAGTATACTGAAATAGTGAGCTCAAGTCTGGCCGAGGGCATACACCTATTTCAAAAAAGGTTGTCATCAGGCGACAGGTGTTAGGTCATTCCGAGACGGAAAGGAATCATGGGTATACAACTCGGTAAATAGTTCTTGCTGAGTGTTATACATTTGTTTTTTTAACTCGATAAAAGTTTTTCTGTATAGTATTCTGTTAAAAACTGAGCAAATATAGTATGAATCTTCCCTAATCTTACTTTGAAAAGCTGTGATCTTATGATCTAAATCATGTTTAACTGAGTTTCTATGGGCTTCCTTATTAGCTTGGACTTGTGATATAATCTTATCTTTGTCTGCAGGATCTAGTGTTTTATATCATTCTGCTCTGCCAGAAAAAAGTTTTTTCTTCAGGATTTAATGACTTATGCTATTCTGCTGTTTTTTATTTTTGTGCAGTATCCAGTGATTTATACCAAATTGCTCTGCTAGACAAAATATCTTGTTTTTCTGCAGAACCAAGTGATTTATACCAATCTGCTGATTTGGACAAAAGCTTTTCTTTTTCTTTTTCTTCAGGATTCAGTGATTTATACCATTCAGCTTTTTTTTCTGCAGGATCTGGTGACTTGTACCATATTGCTTTATTAGACAAAACTTGGTTTTTCATAGCAGGTTCCATTTGTGCATAGCTTTCTTTTTTCCTTTTTGCATGTAGTTCTTTCTGACTATGAGAATTATGTTTTTCCATTACCTTTTGTCTTCCAGCATTTGACAAATTAGTTGAACAACATATAAATTTAATACAATATTCTACATATTTACTCTGGAAGTGGTTTTTAACAATATCCCCTGATGACTGAATAAGAAAATCTATATCATTAATTTTTTCAAATATATCAAGTGTGCCATTAGGACTGAATCTTATAATATAGTACTTAACACTTTTTGCTTTTGTTTTCATATTATTGTGCTAAAAAAATACAGCCCAAGCAATAATTTGAAATCCATATTAAAAACCCAGTATTATCCTTAGTATTATCTGTGATTAACTTCTGAAGCAATAATTTGCTACCAAGAGATGTACAGCATAGTATTCTTGTTTCTCCAAATTAAAGGCACTATTAATATCTGCATCATATATTTGAAGTGTCCTTGGGAAATTGTTGATAGTCAGTGGATGGTTATCGCCATTGAGTTTTTCTTTGTAAAACTTGTTTGCATGGTCAGTGATTCTATCTAGAGTCTGTGAATTCCAATACCCACAATATTTGATAATGGAAAACAAATGCTATAAAAAGATGTGGCACAACAGCATAACAAGGGAATATGAATGGTTGTAATTTCAGCATCTGCATGATTTGCTTCCAGGGGAACAGCTGACAACTGCTGATCAGAAATATCTGTCATATCACATTGTTTTTTCATTAATATGTACACCTTTGAGTTCAAATAAAACATTTGGATTTTGATAAAGACCTTGAAAATAATTATCAGCTCATTTAAGGTGTTAACTTCTAACAGTACACAAGTTCCTTGAGGATGAGGCATACCATGAATCTCTACCTTGAAAATCAAATATCTTAAACTTACCATAACTACAGTAAAAACCTACCCTAGTATGAGGTATTCTTTAAAGAAAGGAAGTATAATTTAGTCCTAGCAAAGCCTACATAGCATTAGCAAATGACATACAACAATTGAAATCTTATACTTCACAAGTACCATGTATAGTACCAGTATGACTTGGACTATATTGAAGCTGATAATTAATATCAAACACTATTATCATTTCAGGTACTTCTGTGAACAGTATATAGGATTGATTGGATAGACTAGATAGACCAGAATACAATTCATTACCAATGTTCATGATATTAACCAAGTCCATTGAGGATACAATACTATTCCTCTTGTTATATATGAGGGAAGAAAATGACATGGCTACACTTTGTGTACCAGCATTTAGCCAAAACATTGCCACATTGTTTTGACTGTATAAGGAGCTTGAATCATTTTAGTAGAATTTTGGGTTTGTTTCTATATCCACAGACAGATTGGACTTAAAATGATTTACCCTGTGATTCAGATTTTTATAAACATTTGGTGCTGAACTAGACCTCCATGCATTCGAGTGCTTTAGCTTTCGACTTTTTATTACATGCGGATATTGGTTTAGCATTTTCAGTATCCTGTGTTTCTTAGACTTTCGATATTTTCTCCTGACTGCAGAAGAGGGATATTTCGTTGTTCCTTTATTCTCACATCTGATTCCCCGAGCATATATTTTTTCACGAGCTTTATTTGTAAGAAGATGCATTCAGGAAGACTTCGGTGTACTTTTCCTGATGTAGGTTCGAAGTAAACGTCCTACCTTCCTGAATCAAAATACGTGTAATTCTTTTCTTTGGTATTCTGCTGGGCTCACGATCACGAACATGAACACCATGCCTACGAGGGCGATTAAAATAAACAAATTTGTCGTATCGAGATCTACAGTGACAGACTGTATTCATTGAAAATGCTTCATTATTGCTATTATTAAGCTTATTACCATATACAATAACAAATAACTGAGCAGCTTTCTCAAATACGTTACATTTATCGAAGATATTCATGGCAGCTTTTGCTGAAAACATCAACAACTTAACGTAGAAATTAGCCCACAAGACCATTGCGTAAACAGTAGATAATATAATAACATCATACACAAAAAACACAGGATTTTGGCTCATGTATTTATTAAAAAAGAATATCCATGCAACTACAACGAAAACAAACATAAGATTCACCTTTCTGATCGTGAAATTAATACCATTCGTACTGTTATCGTAGCTACGTTCCTAGGCATCAAGTGAATCTAATATGGCGTCTTTCTAACTACCAGGAATGGCTCCGACCTGTGATTGGATGATAAAAATAGTAAAAGTTAATAAGATATATCTTAACTCCTTGCTCGTGAGTATTGTTAACCGCGTGTCTTAAAGCGGAACAATTAAATATCAATGCGAGTGAAAACACCGATGTGTCAAACAAGAAATGGTTACTTACGTAGCGAAGAGAAGGCAGCCTTTCTTGTTCAGCGAGGTCGTTCAGCGATATTCCGGCGATGAAAATTAAAAGTCATCTGCTGACTAGCTCCGCTGACTAAACTCATTTAGTCAGTTTAGGCGGACGACCAGAGACTGGAGCCATTGCTGTATTTCACGGCTGACAGGAATAGCTTCGACTCAAACGTTTGACAATTTTTTTTTTCAATAATTTTTTATTAATTTTTACAATTTTTTAAAAAAATTTAAAAAATTTAAAAGTAAACAAGTGAGCAGCGCTGTGCGAAAAGTAGTTGTAAAACTTCTTTATTCTCTGACGCTTTTCGTCTAACTGTCGTAAACTTCTTCAGGGAGTTTTACAAGTTAGTTAACAATAAACGCCTATATTTATAGGCCATTGTCAGCGGCTATTGCGGGGGCCAATGACCATAAAGGGCTTGGCTGGACCTACGAGCAGGAATAGGCAAAGTTGTGAAAAATTTGAAAATTTCTTTTGAAAATCTTTTAGGCAAGGTGAGAAATATTTTCGAGAGCCACGGTTTTAGCTAAAAATTTTCAAATTTGAAAAATTGAAGCGGTTTTTTACAGATGGTGCGTGGAAAGCAGTTGGCAAATTAGGTTAGGATGGCTCGTGTACTTTACAGAAAATGTGGTTGATGTTCTACTCATTCTTTCTTAAATTTAAGTGGTATAAATACCTTGTCTAAAACAGTAGTGTGATACAATAGAAAACGAGATATACTCGTTCCAATACAGCGTCATGTGATGAACAGCCTTCATTAATTTTAGAACAAGTTTTATAAAATCATTTTACTATTTCTTGTTATAGCCGAAAACTGTTCGAAGATTGGTTGTACCATCACTGCAAACAGTCAAGGTACTTCGACATGATTCAGTGCGAGAAAGACTGTCACTGGTTTGACTGGTAAGACGTTTTTTTGGTTTGTTTTGTTTGCTCCTTTATTAGGTCTAGTGGAAATGTTAGAAATTACCAAGTAAAATTAATCCGCGACTTTCTTCCTTTAGGTGGTGTGCAAACACAGATGAAGAGCCCGATGAATTGATTTGTCCTTCATGTGAACAATAACTTCGAAAATCACGGAAAACTCCCTCGATTGCGGCCAAGCTATATTTCTCCAGCAGAGCATACTGCAAATTAGAAACATCGGTC